CGGCGATTTTTGGAGATAGCACCGCGTTGTGGAGGAATACCACGGGCGCGACGCGTAACCGTCTTTCTGGGCACATCGTATAGTTTCTCAACGCCTCGGAAGGATGTAATTTGGCCGGTCTTGTAGGCTTGAACGCCTAGAATAACTCTGCCTTCTTGAAAGATGGCTTCTTGTTGTTGTGGTGCTGCCATTGGGGTGGTTGTTGGACGACGCGTCGCGTGTTGAGTTGGGTGGGCCACTAGCTTGTGCGGGCCACTAACTTGTGGATTACGTTACTGTAATGTATAATGACTAATCAAGCGAGTGAACTCCGGACGTCTTGCCTGCTATCCGCCATCAACCACACGCCTATACTCGCACCCAGCCTCACTACCCTTACCTGTGATACTCGTTCCTCACGCCGTCCACCACTCCTTCCGATCAACAGCCTCCTCGCCCAGCATGGCCGACGTCGCCGTCGAGAACCCGGCGAACCAGGTGCCTCCTCACAAGAAGCAGCTCCCGTCGTCCATACCGAACTTCGATACCCTCGAGGGCTTTGCAACTGAGGGCGCCGATGACTACTCCACATTCAAGAAGCTCCAACGGCAGCTAGAGTACGTTGTCTGTGCCACGCTGCTCCGGCCAAGGCTGACTATTGTCTAGATACATCCACCTCCAGGAGGAGTACATCAAGGATGAGCAGAGGTACGCGTCTGGCTGAGATTTGTTATACAAAATTCACCAGAGCTAACATGGATACAGGAGTCTCAAGCGGGAGCTGGTACGAGCACAAGAAGAGATCAAGCGCATTCAGAGCGTGCCACTGGTGATAGGGCAGTTCATGGAGGCTATTGACCAGAAGTAAGCTTCTTCTAGACATCAACCCGAAATTATCTAATATGGCCCAGCACCGGCATCGTACAGTCGTCGACAGGCTCAAACTATGTCGTCCGAATCCTCTCCACGCTCGACCGCGAGCTCCTCAAGCCCTCCTCCTCCGTCGCCCTCCACCGCCACTCAAACGCCCTCGTCGATATTCTCCCCCCAGAAGCCGACTCCTCGATAGCAATGCTCGGGCAGGACGAGAAGCCTGACGTGACATATGCCGACGTGGGTGGCCTGGACATGCAGAAGCAGGAAATCCGTGAAGCCGTGGAGCTCCCTCTGACGCACTTCGATCTTTACCGTCAAATCGGCATCGACCCGCCGCGCGGTGTCCTCCTCTACGGCCCCCCAGGGACGGGAAAAACCATGCTCGTCAAGGCCGTGGCAAACAGCACCACCGCCTCCTTTATCCGTGTCGTCGGCTCCGAATTCGTGCAGAAGTATCTCGGTGAGGGTCCCCGCATGGTGCGCGACGTATTCCGGATGGCGCGCGAGAACTCCCCGTCCATCATCTTCATCGACGAGATCGACGCCATTGCCACGAAGCGATTCGATGCCCAGACTGGTGCGGACAGGGAAGTCCAGCGTATCCTGCTCGAGCTGCTCAACCAAATGGACGGCTTCGACCAGACGTCCAACGTCAAGGTCATCATGGCGACCAACCGCGCTGACACGCTCGATCCCGCGCTACTCCGTCCCGGGCGATTGGACCGCAAGATCGAGTTCCCCAACCTCCGCGACCGCCGCGAGCGCCGCCTCATCTTCTCCACCATCGCTAGCAAGATGAGTCTGAGCCCCGAAGTCGACCTGGACAGCCTAATCGTGCGGAACGACCCGCTCTCCGGAGCCATCATCGCGGCTATCATGCAGGAAGCCGGGCTACGGGCCGTCAGGAAGAACAGGTACAACATCATCCAGAGCGATCTGGAGGACGCGTATGCTTCGCAAGTCAAGGGTGCCCAGGAGGCGGACAAGTTCGACTTCTATAAGTAGATAGAAGAAATACAGCGTGTGGGTGAGCGATCGATCGTTCGGTGTTGAGTTGCTGGCAGCTAGTGATACTGCTGTGTATAATTACAAGAACTGCGAATGCATCGTTTTGTTGGGATCTTGACCAGACGAATGAATGAACCGAGTCTAACATGTGAAATGTTGCAGTTTTAGGTGATGATTCTCAGTACCATGGAAGGTCGTCATGTGTGGCCCGGTCTTAACAAAAGCGCCGTCTTGAGGTGGCCCAGGAAGGGTATCGTATCAGGACCCTTCGCATGAAATATCTGCAGCGATAGCCTGTCCTGTGCCTAATTCGAATTCGCTAAATGGAGGCCAGCAGTGCTGAGTGAGTGAGTGAGTGAGTGTGCACAGACGCACTCCGAATCCTTCTCACGTGCAACAAGGCATGATGATTAAAAGTGCCATACCAATTCCCATTCTTCTCACTCTAACACAACCCCCAAACTCCCTCATCGCATAAATCTATGAGCGCCTGATCTCATCACGGAGTGTCCAAATCAATTACAACAGCCACAGACTGTATTCAATACATCTACATCCCTCAAAATCCCCATCCCCCCCCCCGGTCATCCCCCTTCTCACCTCAGCTCCCTCATGCCAACCAAAACCCAAGCAACCAAGGACCCCCAACTCTCCCAAAAAAAATAGCTTGCTTTTCCGCGGATCAAAGCAGAAACATGTAACGATATCTTACACAAGAAAAAGAAGAAGAAGAAGAAGTGGTCCCATCCAGCCACAGCCCCTCAGAAATAGACCAGGGCGATGATTACAGGGGCGGCGATAGTATCATATCCAGCTCATCGTTCTGGGAGATGAAGCAAACAAAAAGGGAAACAGGCCAAGTCTATCAAGGCGCTTGCGAGGAAAGTGAATTAAATTGAGAAAAAGTGGCGAAACAAGGGCGTGAGGAGAACTTCAGTAAGGTTCAAGTTCAGGCCAGGAGCAAAACCCCGGCGCCGTTGGTATAATGCAGACGCGCTGGACAAAACGATGGATGCGAAAAGGAAACAGGAAAACTGGCTTATGCAGGTATGAGTATTTTGTGCTCTCTTGTGTGTGAGTTGAAAAGAAATGGCGGCTTCGGTGGGCCTTTTTGTATTTAGTTCACCCTCACGACTGACTCCATGGGTGGTGGGAGGGGTAATTCCTTCTCGCTGCGTCTTCCCCTTTCTCGTTCGTCCTTTGGTGGAGTTGGTGGGCCACGCCGGGCTTCGAACCCGTCCTTTGGTGGCGTAGGCGGCCGTTCTTCTATACGTCCGTGGTTAGGATCCTTAGGCGGCGTTGGCGGTGGTTTCTGGTGTCCTGAATCTCCTCGTGCGCGGTCTCGAGGGAGAGGTTGTAGCTCTTGGATATCTCTTTCGTCCATGGGCGCATGCGGCAGCGGGCTGCTCTCAACACTCCGACCACTCCGCCCTCCAGTGCTAGCTGATTCCGCAGCTTCTTCGACAACTGGAAGAGTACTACCAAGCTCTCCGCGCTCTGCAGATGGACTCCGCACCGTGCGAATTTCTCTGTTTGGAACGTTATCTTCTGATGCACCCCTTTGTCGTGAACGCTCCGCTTGCCGCTCAGCCTTCTCCATAACCACATCAGTAGCATCTCGCTGATGCATATTTACACCGGATAGACGAGGATCGTCGACCATGTGCTCAGCCTCAATCTTCTCTCTTTCGGCCGCTTCGCGCGTTTTTGTGACACCGCTGATGAAGCGAACAAACCGGTCTCCGTATCGCTCCGGGGGGATAGCTGATATCTGTGATTCCGTATTTACGAGGCCCTTGAAGAAATGCTCCGCGCGCTTGATGAACGAGTACTTGAAGTAATTGTCAGCAGGTTGAGCTACCTCACTCATAATGGGAGATTGAGCTTACATGGGTCAGGCAGTCGATGATACCTAGATAGTAGATCTCCTCCCCAACACTGTCGTCCTCGTGCGTGGCCCTAAAACCTCCATCGTCATTATAAAAGTAGAAATTTTTCCGGCCTTCCTGCATCTCATCCGGCATCTTACTCGTCGTTTGATCCATTGGAATTGGCTTTTGGTACTTGATCATCTGCCGTAGTTCTTTCGCTTTTCGCGCGGTTTCTAATTTAGACGGCGTCCGCATCAGCATATTGGCATGAACAGGATCATCGGCCGATTCGCCTCCCGGCTGAAACACTTGCAGTGTCTTATCCCGGAGATTCTCCTCATTCCCACGTTCCAGATCATGGATGCCCACCAATAGCGAATAGTCCATGATCTTCAACTTTTGAAGAAGCTTCACATCCTTTTCCATCTGCTCGATGAATGCCTTCTTCTTCGTCGGCCCAAACTCCAAATGCAGGTTCCTCCGCAACCAGTTTAGATCTTTCAGAGTTGCCCGCGGATTGTGCTCTAGCTCATCCTCCTTAAAGTCCCTCCCAATGGTGGATCCTTTCAGATCAAATGTTCTGTGAATGTCCCTGTGTGGCGGAAATAGGTTGTTCATGACTACGAAATGGATCTTCCTGCCGTATGGGATCTTCACCCGATGAAGACCGTAAAACTGTGATAAAAGGGTGTTTGGGTTCTCCTGCACGTGGTCGTAGTAATCGCGCAGTATCTTCCGGAGGAACTTGTGTTCTGCGTGGTGGATGGTTTTGATGATGTATTTATAATCGCGAGAGAAATAGAAGAAGCTCCCACTCTTGCCTGGAGACCCGAGCTCGGATAGTATGTACTTGCTTGTTAATGACATTAGATAGTCCGCGGGGTCCAGTTGGAAGATGGACCGGAGGTGCCGGAATACCCAGGGAGCGTAGTCTTTGAACTTGAAGTCGTATTTGGCGGAAGGGGTCAGTTCGTTACCCGTGCTTCATAATGTCAGAGATAACACCCAGAAGTATCACAAATCAACTTACATATCAAACGAGAACTTGTGCTTCGCTGTGAAGTCCGCATCGGTCAGATCTCTGTCCATCTTTGCGTTCGTCCTAGAGACTGTGAATCTTATCCCAGTCAACATGTTGTAAGCCGTCACCCAGTTGACATGGTTCTGATCGACTTTTGTCCCTACAACGACCCGATCGTCATCCTCGTCCTCTTTCCTTTTCCTCTTGCTCGCCCGTTTCTGCCGTATCGCATCTGCCCACCGGGCTGCGTCTTCGTCCTGTGGCGGTTCTTCGAGGTGCATGTCGGAATGCACAGATCGTGTGTGCCGACGAGCGAGACTCAGCGAATTTCTCCGCCGAGTTGGTGTGTTAGGTGAGAAGCGTCCGGTGGCTGAGACAACGTCTTCGGTCCCACTGGGGGTTGGGAACTCCCGTGATTGGCGTGTCGAAGAAACTTTGGGGACCTCAAGAGTATGGCGATGCGTCAGACGATGCGAGTGCTGGGGTGACGGGTTGGATGTGGGGGCTCCGGGAAGACCGGTGGGAGGAAGAGGGAACGCAGGTGGAGACGAGAGCCGGTGGGCGGATCCGGGAACACGTAGATTTGATTCGTGAGAGAGCTGAACAGGGTGGCTTGTTGACGACCCGTTGCCTGGCGTTGCCATTACCTCCGGGCCCGGCTTCGTCGAAGATCGAGATATGTCATGGGTCGACTCGGAGGCGCCATCTTGACTATCAAGAGCTTCCAGCTTGACGTGGGTCGTCCCGCAGCTATCTTCAACGTCTCCGTTTTGTATGGCAGCGAACCGCCCGTCATCTCGAGCAAATTCTCCGTTGCTGCGACCACGGCCCAGAGGGGCTCTCTCGTTTTCAGTATCAGACATACGGCCCCCGCTAGAGGTACCAGAGTCCTCCTTACGGGGCAATGGCTTGTCCCACGACGACGTCGGCTGCACCGGATGGCCATTGGCCACCAAGTGCATCGCGGCGAGCCCGTTGGCCAGCTTCCCGTTGGCAATGCCAGAGTCGCCATTGGAGAGCCTCGCAGCGTCGTCTCGCACAGAGGAGGGCTGCTGTTCTTGGGGCGTCGGCGAGTTCAGGCCGTGGGCTGCGGGGGCGTCGAAGGGCGAGGGGTCGCGGCCGTCTGCCATGAAGGATGGCATCTCGAGGGAATGCAGCATGGGCTCATGGGGTTGCTGTGGACCGCAGACGCTGCCCTGGACGGGCTCGTCGATGGGGTGTCGCCAAACGGCGGCCAGGCTCGCGGGCAATTGGCAGCGCACTGGGCCAGCAGGTCGGGGCGCGCAAGCTTGACGGCGGCGCGGAAGATGGCGGAGTATGCGGCGGGGAATAGGTGCTCAGGCAAGAATGGGTCGGATGGTGTTGAGGGCGTATGAGAGACGGTATGCCCTGCACGGCGAAGTGCGAGGGTTGCTGGGCAGCATGGGCAGAAACAAAGCGGCGTCCGAGATGCCGAGCCTGGGTGCCAAGCCGAGCCAGCTCCACGACACGCTGGAAAAGCAGGGCGTGACGGTCATAGGGGCCGTGGCTGAGTGCGCAGGCTCATTTCCTTCTCGCATCCATCCTCCGCACGGCTGAGTCAACGCGGCTGTTCTCCTCCCGATCCGGCGGCCGTGAGTCGCGAGGGTGCTGACATTTCCTCCATTAACGCCGTATCCAACGCGCGCTTCAGGGGCCGATTTCACAGAGGCTTCTGGCGTAGTGCAGCCCTGCCAGCACGGTGGCGGCGGGTACAGCCCTGCCAGCGCACCCGATTCCCTGGGCCCACAGCAAAAATAGCCTCCCCTGCACCCGCTGGTGGGAGCAAGGAGACCATGCTGACTTCTGATATCTGGACTCAGCCATGTCTTGATCCCGTGAAACACTGGAAGAACTTCACGCCTGATTCTCAATTTATATGCTACAGAGGCCAGAGGCAAAGTACATGACAATCGGAGCCATTATGCACCGTGATCACCGCATGTCAGAGCCACAGTCTTTACGAGCGCTGTCAGCGCCTCCATGCAGAGTGCGCCTCCACACCAATCCTGTCCAGATTACTTCACCCTTCAGCCTTCACTTCAAGTGTATTCCGAAGTTTTGCACTGTACTCATAGACTTTGTTGTGTCACTTTTCTCTGCCATTTCGATGTCATTTTCATTACTATCCATCAAGCATGTTGCAATACGGGAACAAGAGGATGAAGGACGGCGTCTCCGGGAGCAACAGCGCGGAAGAAGTCTATATGCCTGCATACCAATTGTCGTCGTGCCAAGCTTGGTTTATCTCTAAGGCCTGGCAGGTGATATCCCAGTTCCTGTCCGCATTATGTGCCAAGCACGGTAGTTCGCCGTGTTTCCTCTTCACAATCAGCCTGCTTGGAGAATCTCGCTAAATGCCACGCCTTCTTCTATATTTCTACCTCCGTTGGACAGTTCTCGTGTGCCTGCCTTGGGGGAAATATATCAAGCACTGTTCTGAGATGCTAGTTCTGGACAACATATAGTGGATAGCGCCAAAATGCACTTACGTATACAATCGTTTAAGTGCTTGGCCATCAGTTATCTATACAGCGGAAAAACATACCTACGTACATTATCTATGGCGGCGAATATTCTAAGGCATGATATAATGGTGAGAAACCAGCTCAGTCCGTGAGATGGTTCAGCGGTAGGTACGAGAGCAATGTCCCGACCTTATTCTAATTAACGATTAAGCCTACAGATCAAAAAGTAAGACTCGAGGACTGGAAGCAGTGCGAATCGAACCCAGAGTAGCGAGAAACAAAAACCTCGGGCGGGCGCCCTACTGAAAACCCCGTGTTGTCGCAGGGGATTTTCTCAAAGCCAGCGTACTAGCCTACGCTGTAAAGACAGCGTTACTGCACCACGAGTGGGCAGCGCCGCGAAGGGCGATGGCAGCGAGGAATTACACGATATATATACACGGGTAAGAGAAGGATCTAGGCGGTGAAGGATGATAGTGTAGTCAGTCGACCAAGTTTCCCAAGGGTTTGACGTCTAATGGAACTGCACACGCTCACATTACTTAAGAAGACATGAGTTCAAAAGTATTTTCTTTTTCATATCTCGTTATTCTGTGAAGTCATTGTTCTTGAAGTCAAAGTCATCTTAGAGAACCTAGATTGGATGAATCATGACGTGAAGGTAAGGGAGTAAGAAAAGAATAGTAGAGCAGCGAGGTCCAATAAGGTGGAAAGGAAAACCACCGACACGGTCGCTATCCAATGGTAATCGATCTCAGCACGAGCCAGACGAACTGTGGATCCCAACTTCGCCAAGAAAGCGCGTTGTTTTGACATCAAAATAACAACGCGACGCAAACGAAAATCACAACAAATGAGACTGAAGCGTGATGAAGCAACCGGTTTCGATTTTTCAACGAAGCGATGCTACTTATGTTCTCTACACCAGCTCGCCAGACACACTCGCCGAGCCTCTCCTCATAAAGTCCTGTTTCCCAACCAATAATCATCATAGTATGAGCATGCAACAAACTCCCGTGAACGCCGCCCACACCATAGTACCAGTGCCCGCCTGCCTCGCAGTGATGATTGAAGACGCGGGAAATGGCAAAGAATCGCCACCACTACGCGCTACACTCTTGAGAGCAGAAGGCAGAGAGTTCCCCGAGGTTTGACCGTTAAACCAAAAGAAATGGATATCACACAAGTAGCCCCGCCCGTCCGAAGTATCCGCCGGACGCCTACCGACCGTCGCCTATGAAGGGTGGCTCGAGACCTAAGAACCTAAGAAGTGAAGAGGAATAAGATTGCCTCCCGCTCATGCTGCAGCCTTCTTGGGGGTAGCCTTCTTAGGAGTTGCCTTCTTCGCCGGTGCCTTCTTGGTGGCGGCCTTCTTTGCAGGCTTCGTGACAGCTGGGGCTTTGGTCTTGGTTACTCGGCCGGACTTGGTCTTGCTTAGGACGGTCTTGGGTTCGACGACTGCGGGTGCAGGCTTGACAGTCTTTCGTGGACGGCCAGCGTTAGCCTTGGGCTTAGCCGCAACCTTCTTCACAGCGGGAGCCTTCTTCGCAGCGACCTTCTTGGCGGCGGGCTTCTTGGCGGCAGCCTTGGTGGCGGGTGCCTTCTGTTACCTGTATTAGTCTCCAATCACGACGACGGTAGTCACGATGCCAACGTACCTTCGTCGCTGGCTTAGCAGCGACCTTCTTTGCCGCAGCGGGTTTGGCGGCAGCGGGCTTAGCTTCCTTCTTCGCCAGCTTTACGGGACCGGAGGGACCTGAGAGGAAGTTCAGTTTGGAGTCGACATTAATCAACATAACATAGTCCAGAGCAGAGGTTGATTCGACACAAGATCAATAGCAGGAATTTGATGGTTGAGAGATGAACGCGTAGAAAAGCATGTAAACAAAAGAAACGGGACGGGAAGGTACGGAATGACTAACCCTTCGGACGCGCGAAATCGCCGCTCTTCTCGCCAGACAGGATGGCGCGGTTCAGGTGGCTTGTGAACATGGCATCGGTGGTAGCACCGAGGTTGTTGTTGGCCGCAATGTACTTCTTGATGGCCTGGCGGCTGCAGAGGAATCGGGTCAGCAGATGTTTCTCAGTGACAGCAAGTGACGTGGCGCCGCGAACAGCAACATAATGAAAGACCATGGGAACTAACCTGCTTCCATTGCGTTCCTTTAGCTGAAAGAGGAGAAGAACATGTCAGTATTCAATTCAACAGCTTGGAGAGTTTGGGTGGGTGGCGTGGTGGTGGATGAAGTGACGCGACATGTTCTCGGTCGCAATCTCGAGCGGGGTGGTCGTGATGCGCCGGAAATCGTAGACTTACGTTGAGAATAGCCTCCTTGACCATATCTATGGTGTATGGTCAGTATTGAGCGGCGATTACGATGGAACAGTCACGCAGCTTGCGCGAGCGTTGCGTGGCGAGAGAATGAGCGACATACCTTGGTAGCTGCCATGGGCGGGAGCAGCGGCAGCGGCCTTCTTGGGGGCGGCGGCGGTAGACTTCTTGGGAGGCATTGTAAATAGTGGTTGGGTAGTGATTATTGCTGGGAAGGAGACGTGTACGACGGCCGAGACGGATTAGCAGATTTATGGTGGTGGAGGCGGCGAACGTTCAGAGGAGCTCTTGGGGAGGGCGCGGCGCGCGGGGGCTTCTGAGTTTAAGTAGTCGGCACATGACTTGGGCCAGCACCGGATCACCACGCACCCACGCTACCGGCTTGCCAGGGCTTGCATGCGACTCTCGATACGCGAGGGCCACCGTCAGTTGGGTGGCCGTGCACAGCTTAAAACCTCAACGCCTGCCAGATGACCGTCCGTTCCGTCTTCTTTCCTCCTCATCTCACCCAGTTCGCTCAGCTTGGGTCCTGCTGCCTACCCATCGGGCATCTAGGAATACTGAACTACCTGCGCCTCTACGACGCGTGACTCATTGCTTCCTGCGCCTCCTGTCTGCCTTGGTGCTGTGCTGTTTTGTGATCTCCCATGTCATAGATGCGTGTTGTTTTGATCTTCGTCACGTCTCTTTACAGCCGTAGTCACTCGTCTCCTTACCCACGTGTGCTGGCATTGCTTGTGCCAGCAAGACTTCGCCTTCGATGTGTCACTTGCCTAAGTAATGGCATGCAGCCTTCAACACATCTAAGCTCTTTCAGTTGGGAGTTGCATGCTTCGTGAAGTTTCTCGGTCGCATCGTTGTCTCGGTCTCGGGTCATCTCGTGTCTCGCTTCGACTAGAGATCTGTCGTACTCGCAGCACGTTGGTAGATGTTTGAATTAATGTAGCCGTCTTGGTTACGCCCTGTTAATCGTGCATTATTCATCGAGTTATCTGTGGATTTGTACAGTTATATTCATTCTGTACCGAACAACTTCTCTTTTTAGTAGTTATGCCCCTATCGGCGATAACTGCCACACCAACAGTGCAACATATGCAGAGCGAATGTGTTGACATTCGCCCCAGCCAGCCCTACCTAGAGCTTGCGTATATTAACTTGGTGTCCGACAAATGCCATAGCTCGTTGCCTAGAGCTTGCAGGCAAAGCACCAAACCTTGACTCCCTCCCAATGCTTTCCGGGATCGCTATGCATGCTGAAAGAGAAAGACATCTCCGTGGAGCGTCCAAAACGCCTGCTCAATGCATCCAAAATATCAAAGCATTCCTCACTAATCCTTAACTCCACTCCTGAGCCAACCAAAATCACCTAAAAAGGTGAACCCGCAGACGGAGCTGGCGCCTGTGATGAGGAAGGCGTCGCGGCAATTGGAGATGCGAATGCCGTCGAACTGTCAAACGCATCACTCTGCCTACTCGCCGTGCCATTGAGCTGAGGACAAAGTCTAGGGCTTTCGCGTTAGTAAACACACTTCCTAATGACAAGCGTCGAACAAGAATTCTGACAAGGGAGGAATGAAAGCATACTTTTTGTTCGTCTTGATGTGCCCGACCATTCCGCAATTAGCACATTTTCGTTGAGTCCCTGCGTTTTTCGGGGCAGCAGCTGACGGAGATCCCGGTGTAGCAGCATTGGATACAGCCACCGCACTCATATTCTTAGCCTTCTCCCGACCTTGTCGCCGCTCAACATTGCGCTCCAGTCTAGCGAGTTCTGAGAGGAGACTAGGTAGAGGTTAGTAGTGATTTGCGAGCATTGTAGTAAATCACATACGTCATCTTTTTAATATTGTCCTCCTCCGGATTACCGGACGGCCTCAATTGTTCAATGTTCCTAGAGAGTCTGTCAGTGAAGGCCAATCGACAGCAAAAAACGAAAACGTACTTCAGTGTGTCATCAAGCTGTTGTTGGTGTCTCCGATTGCGATACAATGAAATGACCTTGGGATCCCGAACGATGATAGTCTCATCATCACTCTCGCCATCCTCATTCCTGATCTTGCGAGTGATCCTCAGAACCTTGTTTTTGATCGACTGACTGTTGTTGCTCATCCTGCTGATGTGACTCTCATCATCCCGAAGGAATGCCGCGGGCGTCCCATACTCAGATCTGGGAGTCATCCCGCGACCAAGAGGTTGCTGTGTTTCAACATGATCGATGTCCATCTCGGTATCGGAATGTTCTAAGGTCGACGACAGGCTCTCTTGTTGTTTGGTCCAGATACGCTTGATGGCGTTATCGTACGAATTCTGCTGCCTGGCAACATTGTAGCTGTGCCCGCCAAGTTCTTTGATCTTCTTAGCATCCAGTTTATCTTCGAGACTCTCTCCCACATCCTTGAAGCCGCCTTTCATCGAGGTTCTAATAAAGCTGAACGCTTCACCCCGACCGGTTGGATCACCTTCGCCGTGTAGCTCCACCATAGACTTACCCTGACACGCGCTTAGGAAGTTCTTCGTGATCTGCCATGGAACCAGTTTCGCCACGATACTATCATTTGTGTTATCTCCTTCCTTCACGTCCATCAACTCAGCCGTGTTTTCGCCCGCGTCGGCAAGGTATCTAGCACCGACTTGCATAGCGTCCATTAGACAGATTTCTTCCGGCTTGATCATTGCCCGGAATTGCTCTTCCGTCGTGATAGACTCGTTGAGTTTTGGCTCCCATGACTTTGTATTCGTGTTGTACTGCATAATGTCCCTCAGTCTGGAGCGGTTGGAGGCGATGTCTGTGCCAGGGAGATGATCTCTGATCATTTCATTACTAGCGTATGGGCCTCGGACATTGCGGTGCTTGTTTTTCGTGTACATACGAAGCCCGAGCGCCTTCAATCGCTTCTTGTTTATCTCAGTGACCTTTCGTGCATGGGTTCCCGGAATCTCGACCGAAGGCAATTGCTGACCAACGACATGCAAGTTCTCCATGTTCCTGAGATACCATCTTGAGCCTTCTACGCCAGTTTGGCTTCTGCAAACCAAGAAATCGGTGGACTTAGGGTCGTGCCGGAAAATAGGTGCACGATACAACGAATTATGAAGAGCAGGTACTTCCTGGCCTGGGTCGACATAGCCAAAGACTGAAAAGGGACTCTGGTCTTGGGGAAGGAGCACCGCGGTCTCGCCTATGTCGTGCTTCGGGCGGGCGTTGTCCTCTTCATCCTTTCGTCGATAGTAATGAACATATTTATTGCCCATTGCGAGATTGGATAGCATCATAGGATACTCTTCCGAATACTCACAAAGGAGCATGGTCGAGTTGTCTCCCAAAGTCAAGTCTTCTGCTCGCTCGTAGATAGCCTGCGGCTTTAGATTCTTGAAGCGCTTTCGCTTCAAGGTCTTGTTTGGGGTGAAGTTGGCTCGTTCTCCTGGCTTGCAATGGAATGCTGGCCGATGGAAGGCGCGAAGTTCCCTGTCAGACAGAGTGATCTGGTAGAATGGATATTGCAACCTTAAAGCAGGCATTCCGTGCTCTACAGCCAAAGTCCCTATTGTACTTCGGACCTTGTGTTGATGATTCTCTTTCAACGCATCATAGGCATCGTCGTTGGAGATATTGAAGCGTTGCTTCATTGGGTTGACGTGCTTCCCTCTGACATCGCGTCTGGATGTAGGGGCTAGTGTCCGAAGCTTCTTAGCCTCTACAGCTGGCTGTTGCTCGTCTATGAGTAGTTGAGGATCGTTCAGATCTAGAACAGTCTTTCTTGCAATCTTAGCAGTCGCCGCCTCGGGGTCATCGAACGAAGGAAAGCTCCTATCGTAGATAGGGACGTGTTGCGGTAGGCCTCCATGATCACCAGTCCGTCGCTTCTGTATGAAAGTATTAGCATTGAAATTGGCAGGTCTTGATACTGTCTTACCTTTACTAATGGTGCGATCATCCCTTTGATCCACTCGTTGTCAGGTGAAAAATCATCGACCCGAAACGCTTCTGCCTCTCCGTTGCTTGACAAAGTGTCTGGACTTGGAATTTCCAAGTCTTGGCAGATGACCCTCAGATCTTTCCAGGAAACGCCTGCGACCATCTCGTCCTCGTCTATATCATCAGAATTGTCTAGGTCGATCTCATCGCCACTATCAGCCACCTCATGCTTCCCGTCGGTAATGACAACTATGCCTCGCTCATCTGCATCGCCATTTGGAACCGACTTCCGCGTCGTGAGGTTATCCGGAAGCCTGAAACTCCGCTCCTGGTCCTGCTGAATCTCGAGATTCACCTTGGATGGCTGTATAGGCTTCGGCGGCTTCAGAGGTGTTTTGGCAAGGAAGAAAGCGCGTTTGTGTGGTATAATTCTGGCAAACCGCAAGGGAACCCCCTCCTCGAAGTCAGGCCACATCTGTTCGAAAAGGTCTGGATCGGTAGCGTCGGCAGTTGGTAAGTCTGCTGCGCCCGAATGGTCTCGCCGAGACATATCGAACAGGCGACGCTGTTCCCGCGTTTGCTCATCCTCTTCTTCTTCCTCCTCCTCGTCATCATCCGCTGTACCGTAATCAACATCCCGGAAGGTCGGCTGGTCAGCGTTTCCCGCATTCGACGTTGTGCCAGTACCGGCGTTCGCGGCAGATTGTGTATCGACCGAGATGTTGGACTTGAAGAGGGTCGCATTTTGAGGGTTGTCGTCGAGGAGTGTTGAGGGCTCATCGTCGCCAAACAGATCGCCAAAATCGGCGCCTTCATTGTCCTCTACCGGGTCTGAGAACAGGCCGGCGAGGCCGTCCTCGTCATCGCCGTTGATGCGATTGCCGTTGGTCTCGTCTTCGTCCTCAGCAAGGTCGTCGTCCGCGATATCCTCGTAGTCCACAGCATCCGCTGCCTTCTCGCCTGTTTCTAGGTCCCGCGCCAGGAATCCAAGGGCATCCTCTTGGGTCTCGTCTGCGAGAAGCTTCCGGATCTCTTCGTCGTCCTTCTCCGCCTGGAGATCCTCTTCACCGACGGCGTGTGGCATGCTTGCCGTGATTGCAATATACTCCGGAGGTTGGACCCCGCCACTAGGTTGGAAGTGGGAGCGTGTCCAGGCAGCGCAGCGCAGGCCTCGACAGAGGACGGCGCAGGATATAGGGTGAAGCTGTCGCCAGCGCAAGTGAGGTGGGCCAGCGAGAGTGGAAATTCCAGGAAGCCGGTCGGTAGAAGGAGTTGGGAGGCGTAGTTTGGGTAGTGGTTTGGGTGCGGTTATCGAGCAGACCGCGGTGCGCGGAGATGATGTCGTGGGTTGATGGCAAATGGCCAAGACCGGGGGTTAGCGGCGAACAAGAAGGCACGTGATCGCGAGCTTTATGTCATCCACTATTTTCGCAGAGCAGCAAGGGACATGCTTGTAGTTAGACTTGTGTATTCTTTGACACCTGGTTGGAGCCTGGAATTTTGCATTCCTTTGTGACTCTCAGTCTATACCATTGCATTCCTTGCGTCCCTCGTTCACCTTTTCAGGTATCCCAAAAGATATCAGATGAGCTAGCCAGCAGCCCCTGCAAGTATTGAAGTTCCTCACGGCTTTCAGAGAGTTTTGACTCTTATCTATCTTGCAGCTTTCGGCCTCATTCCACTTCTTTGCCGCAAGCTACCAACTGCAGACCCAGCAGACGCTTCAGCAACGGAGTAAGGCACCATCTTTGTGTGCTTGCCCGAGCGGTGGTTTTCAAGTCAACCTACTTTAGGCAGCATTCATTCCAAGTGGGAGACTCCATTTCCTTCGGCAGCCCCATCGGCAGTCTCATCGATAGTCTCATCGTCGTCCTTCGGTCCGAACGTGAAGTCGCCGAAATACACGCATATCGCCTTCATCTAAGGTTAGCAATCTAATTGCAAGTCCCCTGAGATATCCCACGTACCTTACTAGCTCCTTTGAGGCAGTAATGCGCAACTTCGAGCTTCTTACCTTCCGTGGTATATTTAACTAGCTGATTCAGATTCGAAGTTCTGGGGAGATAGAGCACAATGTCTTTCGTGACCTTTGCGAACGCAGTGTATATAGTGTCGAGGTTGTAAGGCTCCATAGTCTTGAGATTGAAGACATTGTCTTCTCGGTATCCTGGGCCTGTGATGACTTAGCACATCATCCATCATATCGAAAAAGGATTTTCGCTCACCTCCCCAAGGCGGACTCGCATAGATGATGGCGTCTTTGGTACGAGCCAGATGTGTCCTGAGGACCTCAAAGCAGTCTCCCTCATACCACCAGATCTTCTTCTCGACTCCGTAGATCTCTGCGTTGTGTTTTGCGCATTTGAGTACGGCTGGATCTTTCTCGATGGCAAATACCTGCTCCCATCTGCCAGACAGGGCGAAGGCAATGGCATTTCCACCAGCGCCTGCGAAGGCGTCTATGATGATCTTCTTCTCTTTTGGCGCTCCATCTGATACATGTTCTGATATGGCACTTATGAAATGAGCTTGAGATAGAGCGAGGAATATAAAGGTCATACTTAGCCACCGGTTCGGGCGTGATGCCAAACCAAGCATCGTTAGTCATCCAAATGCCTCTAGAATACTCCGAGAAGATGGTGTCCCTCTGAGCCCAGTACCTAAGTCCGTGTTAGCAGTTCCTTGTATGTGGAGACGAGTAACGAACTTTTGAACTTCTGCTGGGACATCGTCGCCGTACTGGTAATGAAAAATGCCCTCGTCCGCGGGAGGATCAGTCATGGGCGCCATAGAAACCTGCTCGTGAAAACCCTTGAAGATTGTTGCTACGCCACCCTCATCGATTGATAATTTGGTTTTTGCCCTGCGTTGCCTCTCTCTGTATAGTCGTGTCTGCTTTTGCCTACGGGTCGGCGGGCGCATGAGGTTTCAGTTGGAGTAGTGGCTGCCGGAAATGAGGTGCTGTTAAAATGCAGGTGGTCTAACTTCATTCACGGCCGTGTCTGAGGCTGTTCATGTGAATTGTTTGCAAGAGAAAAGCACTGACAAACGTGCAAATCTGCGTCTTTGCCTCACTTAGGAGCTCTCAAGCATGACTGGAGACACCAATATTCCTTGCACGCTCTGAGTTGTTTCTTCTCAGTCTTCCAAACGCGGGATTCGGAGAGACAGATCAGCGGCATCAGCCACAGAAGCTATGGCCACAACAACAGACGACGACGAGCAGATCCCAACACCTGGCATCGAAGTTCCATTACTCGCACCCCCCTCGATCTTTGGTACCATGTTCGGAGCACTCAATAGGTTCATCGCCCGCCTCGACGACGGCCCACGCGAGCAAGGCTCAAGCATACACGGCACGTTCGGGTTCCAGGTCCTGCGCAACACCAACGCTGAGATACCCCTGGAGCCTTGGTTTGACTTCATTATCGGCATCAATGGGAGAACTATTGTAAGAAACACAAAGTCAATAGAATACTATCGCATATCTAAGTCTTGTTCATCAGGATAATCCCGATCCGAATCTCTTTGCTGCAGAGGTCCACAACTGCGCTGGTTCAGCCATAAGCTTAGGACTGTTCAGTGCCAAGGTAAGCATGGAAGTTCGTCTAGTCCCATTACATCCTAATGTATGTGATGCAGGGCCAGAAAATCAGAGAGGTCTTCTTCCAGGTGCCAGCAGAGAAGCCATCGCTGGGATTATCACTACAATGGACACCTCTGTCAGCGACTGAAGATGTTTGGCACATTCTTGATGTTATCCCCAATTCTCCAGCAGATACTGCTGGTCTACTTCCGTATGGTGACTATGTCATCGGTAGTCCTGAAGGCTTAGTTCGTGGTGAATCTGGACTAGGCGAGTTAGTTGAAGATGTAGGTTCTTGATCTGCATTCCTGGTCTCCCTTCGAAAGTGCTATTTTCTCAGTTTTTTTACCACGAGTTCAAAAACTTCAAGAAGCAGGAGGCACGTCGATATACGGGCTTCTTGTTGATGTCGCCTTTCGGCCATATCTAAAAGAACTTTCTAACCCACAACAGTACATGAATCGCCCGCTCCGCCTGTTCGTATACAACCACGAATACAATGTCACGAGACCAGTTACCATCACCCCCACACGTACTTGGGGTGGTGAGGGAGCCCTTGGCTGTGTACTAGGCTTCGGCGCTCTCCATCGCATCCCAGCACCGCTAGAAGAGCCTCCACATGGGCCCGGCGAAACCCTCTTCTCCACTGACTCCGCTTTCGACGAGCAACGGCCTACATCTTCCGCATCGCACGCAGCACCTAATGCCGCACCCCTCGCGCCACCAACGGCAGACTTCCTTGTTCCAGCTAATATGCAATTCCAATCCAAATCCCCTCCTCTCGCGCCATCTCCAAGTGCAAAACCGAAGAAAGGTCGGGCGCACCATGCATTTGCGTCGCCGAGCGCAGGCCTGGACGACTATTTCAAAGAGGGGGAGGAGAAGAGCAAAGAGCAAGATTATGCACCATTGGCGAGAGCTGGATCTGTGCCTCCACCTCCAAAGATCGGTGGGCCACCAAGGGCTGGAGGTCCTCCGAAGGCAGCGACGCCTGTGCAAAAAGAAGACGAACCCGGGGCGGAGTAATGGGCAGAGCTGCAACGCTGGTGTCTGTGAAGTATGTGGGCTTGGGGGACGAAGGGAATTCTGAGGTTTGTCGTTGCGCGCAAGCTTCGCGAGGATCATGATGTCTGGATTTGATCAGCTTGTCACTTCGCCTGGAATCCACAGAAAAGTAGACTGACCGTCTTTTCCTCGATGCCATAATCCGTGAGATTCTCTTTGAATTTGCTCCGCCGTCGGTCAGCTGTCTCTGCGCTCGAGTCTAGCAGTGGCAGGCGTAGTCAGAATCAATCACGGAGATCGTTACAGATATAACGATGTACCTTTAGAGAGCCTTGCTTTCGCCGGAAAAGTGATACCGTCGTCAAACAACTCATCGATCCTCATGTGCGTCGAACCCTCGCCCTTAGCCTTCCACAGCAGCTCGAGTCTTGGTGCTGGTTCTGTCGTGACACAAACAACCTGTGGCCCCTTCTCGCTGTTTCGGATTCTCTGGAAAGGCCAGCACATGGTCCGAAGAGTGAGATGATGCGCGAAGACGTTCCTGGTGTGCTGTATCTGCTTTCGTAACAATCGTATATCTGACAGTGAACTAGTCGTCAATTATGCTTGCATAGAGGAATGCGGTAGTATATGCACAAGCGTGAGTATATATGCTTGCTCGAATGTAAACAGCATAGTCCATGTGAGTCGAATTGGCTTGCTTTGTGCCCAGCTTGCGACTGCCTCTGGAGGTCGTGTTTTGTTTCAATCTCACGCTTTCTGGAAGGCACAGTGGCAGATCGGAGAGGTTCTTGTTAAGTCAGATTGCTTTCACAAAATAGTCTTCAGCTTTCGCAGATCATTCGATTGTTCACTTGTATATCTAATGTCTCGAAGTCCGATACAACGGTTGGTGTACCTTTACAATACCTGCGCCGCCTCAAGGGACATGATATCGCATTCAATCTCGCCAAAGCCTCCCATAGCAGCCCCAGAGCTTGTAAGGACCAGATATAATGCCAAATTCAACAACCAGATCTTAAGCGCAAAGTAAATAGCATCTTGTTCATTTTCCCGGGAACGCACGAGAGAACCCCTGGATTCTGCTACCATAATATGCAAGAATGTACTTAGAGACCAAGTTTACGGTGTCAAGAACAGCACATCTCGATCAAATCTCAAAATTCATGGAAGCGCCCCTTGAAAGTCACACCGAAGTTGAATCAAACCGTCAAATTTAACGGCTTGGTTTACGATGTGAAAAAAACGAATTGAAAAGCACAGCAAACTAAACGACCAGATTCACAATGCTCGAAACCCGACATCATATCGGAATACTTGTGAACCTATCTAAGCGGCTCATGCAATGCCAGACACGAGTACACAGACTACGGTACTCCAGACACAGAAATCTATTTTTCTTGCCTATCAAACAAAGTATCCCACACTCCAAGCCCCTTCATAAGCGAGTTCACTGGTCTACCGCTGTCTTACATGCTTCGATATACCTTTAGAAACTCAAACAGGATGAGAAGTCACCCTTTGGAAAAGCAAGAAACGCGTGTTGGGGTATCTCAAGACGGTATCGTGTACAGCTGTTACAAAGGGTATGGGGTGATAGCTTCAGATCCAGCCGGCTGTTACTCAAATAGGATGGTGCATTTAGATTACCAAAAGTAAGTCACGGTCTACATACAGTCATAGAAGAGTTTAGACAGGCTCATGACGGATTGGTATTCATATTGTGATACTTTGATATTGCCTGGATTAGTCTTTCCCATGTGCTTTAGCACGACTACCCGGTGGCCCTCTAGGGACGTATGAGCAGTATCAGAACGAAAAGAAGTAGAAAGAGGCATGAAGGGTACGACATGTACGCTTTTCGTACGCCCAGAAGCTAGAAGTTCCACCTTTATGACCCCATTTCCACCGGTCAGTCCTCAAACTGTACGCCAAGCTTCGCCATAGCTGCACGACTCTTGGGGTATTCTTGTAAGTTGGCAAGACCGTTTGGAAGGTATTCCCCTATACCGTCCGCCTTCATGATCACTGCGAGAGAAGGGAAATTCTCCTTCAGCCAGGCGACTTGTTCAATCCAGGTTTCGAATGCTACGTGTTCGTGTGTATGTTCGTGCTTACAATCCTCTAGATCAATGTAGACCTGACGGAACGAAACACAACGAAGGGATTTCGGCATGAGATTGAAGATCTTCGGTATGGTCTCACATCTGATAGCGAAGTCATTCAAGCTGAAGCTCTCGAGGTGGTGTAGCGACACTAGGGAACGGAAAAGCCAGCTCATCCAGCCGTGATCCAGGTCGTTGCTCAGTCCTCCAGCACCATTTGGTTTAAATGGTTCCATTCTTTCCCCAGTAAGTGCGAGACGTGTGAGATTTGGACACATATTGATCGCATCTGCCCAGTACTTCACCATTCCAATGCTGCCAGTATGTCCGTCCCACGTCTCGGTACCATAAGTACCTCGAGCTCCACCAATGGTGAGTGAGAGCTCTGTGACAGCCATAGTCCCCAAGCGGTGGACCGGGTTCTGCGATAACTTATGGCTTTTGCACATGATAAAAAGAAGGCGATTTACGGTCCTGAATCGTGAGAGATTGGTTAGATTCGCCGCTGCCATATCGAGTGATTTGACGTGCAAGGGCATAGAGCGTAGTACTACGCCACTGATCCAAGCAAGATTGACGTCGAAGTCATAGATATAGTCCGGGGTGACGGCCGCAACGTCGTCCTTCCAACGCCTGACAAAGCTATTGGTAGATGTTGGAGGGGGAAAGTCTTCGGGAAGACATATGCCACACCCTACGTGTTCCAGCTTTGGCAGCATCGGAAAGATCGCCTTGCAAGAAGAGTAGGCGAAAGCGACCAGGCCGAACCAGCGCGTGCTGGTGGTAAAAGGCTCCACCATACAGGCGTGATACTGCTCGCAAAAATCCTGCTGCTCATCTGTCAAGTCCTCCACCTTTCTGACCTTAAGCTGATTGCAGAGCTTGATCTTTGTGTTGTCCTCTAAATTATCCGCCTCTTGTTCGTAACGGAACTCCCATTGGATAGCGGGTGGTACCTGCAGCTATATAATTAGTACTTGTTTTGGCGAGCATGGTGGTCAGAGTGGCTTAACGTGCCTGCACTTGTACGCGTTTGATATACTTAGATATCTTCGCACCCAGAGGATCAAGCAATAGGCGTTCAAGTTGGGAAGACATTCCGGTTATCAGGATATTCAAGGTCATATCTTGGAATAGGAACTCCGGAACCCATTGGCGAAAGCATGAATGGGCTAGATTGGCATTCTTGAGGTCTTCCTTAGAGCTAAGCCGTGTGAAATGACGGTAGGTTTTCTCAGTTGTGCAGATGTGCCAAGAGGGCGCCAGATGCCCAACAATTAGTCTTAAAAGCTCGACAGGAAGGGTGGTGATTGAAGGCCTGTCCGAGGCCAGTGGCTGGCGAGTTCTCATTTGTAGCTCCATCACCAGTCGCTCGAGGTTAGTAGCTCTGATGTGAAGCTGGAGATGAATGGTGGTAGTCGAGGGGTGCTACTGTGTGACTGTCTTCCGCTTAGCAGACGGTAGGTTACAAAAGCGCGGTAGAGGACGCGTCAAAGGGACTTCCACGACGCGTTGACTACGGTCGATGATCCTCGTCGTTCTAGATCAGGCCGTGGACGAGGTGCAGTTGGAGGGAGCAAGGGTGGAGGAGGGGCGGTTTAGTCCTCGGTGAAGACGTCCAGTGCATCGCCGCGAATTGCCGAGTGCTCGAGTGCTGGAGAAAGCGGCCTCAGGTTTGGAGCTGCACCTCACGCACCATGTCTCCGTCTCTCGCCCCCAGATCTGCTTTCCGCGCCCACATATTGCTCAGGCAGCTGCAGCGGCATGCCTACTCCACGCCAGCCGCCTCGCCGGTGATCAACGTCACCAATGTCCCCGCTCCCCACTGCGGGAGCATCCGCATCCTCTCTCTGAACCGCCCAGCAGCCCGCAATGCCATCTCAAGGCAATTGCTCGCCGAGTTGAACCACCACATCACCAGCATCCACGATGAAGGCGGCTCGGGGTCTACAAGAGCCCTGATCCTCGCCAGCGAAGTCGACTCGAGCTTCTGCGCCGGCGCCGACTTGAAAGAGCGGGCAGGCTTCACTGCAGAAGAGTGCGCCCATCTTCCCACTCCAACCTCCGAACTACCACTTACCCTCTCTCTAGCACCAAAACCTTCCTCACTTCCCTCCGCGGCACCCTCGCCTCCATCGCCGCCCTGCCCATCCCCACCATCTCCGCCCTCGCCGCGCCCGCTTTCGGCGGCGGCCTCGAGCTCGCCCTAACCACCCACCTCCGCATCTTCGGCTCCACCACTATCGTAGCCCTCCCTGAGACCCGCCTCGGCATCATCCCCGGCGCTGGCGGGACCTACCGCCTCCCCGCCGTCATTGGTCTCTCTCGCGCCCGTGACATGATCCTCACCGGCCGGCGGGTTGCAGCAAGCGAGGCGTACTTCCTCGGACTGTGTGACCGGCTGGTGGAGGTGCAAGCAGAGGAGGCGGGCGAGGCGGGGGTGGCGCGGAAGCGGGTGCTGGAGGAGGCAGTCAAGCTGGCGAGGGAGATCTGTGAGGGAGGGCCGATTGCTATAAATGCGGCGCTGCGGGCGGTGGAGGGGTGTGCTGGGGGCGAGGCGGCGGAGAATGAGATGTATGAGGTCGTTGTGAAGACGAAAGATAGGGACGAGGCGCTGGTTGCGTTTCGGGAGAAGCGGAAGCCGATGTTTAAGGGCCATTAGAAGTACTGAGGTCATGTATATATTCGGCATAGAGTATGAAGTTAAAAGCAAGCTTTCAAAGAGACTGGTCATGCATTGAAGTATGCGATTGGACGTTCATATTGATCGTCTCTGATGATGATATCACAGGGAGCGTCTACTGGAACATAGAGAAATATCTTGGTAGTCAAACCGTTCAGTCAATCCTTCCCTCAGACCTTCGCACAACGTATCGAAGCACTCCAAGCAGTTATGAACAAGTCAACACGTTTCTTTGAGGAAGACCTTCAACTGTAGCCTGCCTGTATTTGTTACGCTCCTTTTCCTTCATATGATCCATGATTGATACTCATAGAGCGCACTGGATCCCCTACTGGACCTTGGAACTATTGATGGCAGTCGCCGATACTCGGAGTTCCTTCTACTGTCGAGACGTCCAGTAGGGCTCAGGTTCCCACGGTACCCATTACTCACTCCCTATATCTTCCCGCCCGCCACCTCTCCTCTTCCTTTCTCCTTCATGGGCGTCGTAAGTCACCACCACCACCCCCCATCATCATCACGACTGCTAACATCCCCAGCGCTCCCTCACGTCTGGTCATAGGATGCCGATCGGTCGTGCCGGTGGCACGTTCCGCGTCTACCCTGGGGAATCGCGTGACAACCGCCTCTCTCTGCCTTCTGGCAGCTGAGACTGCGACATTTAAGGTTCGATTCCTTTGCTCAGACCACGCACATCAGACTCACCCTCTGGTGCCTCTTGTGCAATGGTTTATTGCGTGGTCTGGCGCTTGGTTGCGCGTTTGCTTCGGCATAAAGCAACCACCATATTTTTCATTGTACATCTCAGCTTGTCGGGGAGTATGAAGTAGAACACCGTGTCTTTTGCTGGTAGAAATGGTTGGAGTGGTGGAGGTCAGGACGACTGGGATGATGGGATGAAAGGGTTGGACGGGTTGGATCGGTCCATACTACGATGTAAATTTCATCAATGCATCCGTGTCTTGCCTGATGTATCATTGGTCATGCTGTTGAATCAAGAAAGGATGTTGGGTTGGCGTCGTCCATCGACGCAGCCGTAGATTTCTTGCCTCATCCCCTCTTGATGCGGAACTCCTCGCCTGCATGAAGACTAACGACGTTCGTCTGGATAGACACGCTAGGCCCCGGCAATTTATCTCCGCCGACGAGCATCCTCTTGATTTCATCCAGGCCAAACTTCCGCATCCGGATCTGCTTTACGGACACGCCCTTGTTGATCTTGTCGGCATCGTGAGCGCTGATCCACGCCTTAGCAAGTAGGTTGCGGGCGATTTCAACACCACCAGGCGAGCCGGCTGCGATGTTACCCCCGAGGTAGATTGGGTTGGTTACACGGTCGAACGAGTGCATGAGGAGATCTAGTGGGAGGGCGGACTCGGAGACGAGATGGGATGATGCGTATGGCCGGATGATCTCGTAGGATACACCGTGTGGAGAGTATAAAACGGACAAGGTCTTTTCTCTGTCATTGTATGGGGATGGCACGATGGTACGAGGACCTGCTGAGATGGTTCTCGGTGAACGAGGTGATGCTGGTGGAGTCGGAGGTAGGTCCATATACGATCCTAGAGAGGCAGACAGGACACTACACGGCGGTCGATAGGTGACGCCAACCGCATTATGCAAGCCGGATATATCCCTTCTAGCAGGCATGAACGCGACGGTAACTTCACCTGGGGAGCCTCTCGGAGAAAAGGCCGGTAGCGCCATACGAAAGATTGAAGACTGGTCTGGTTCTGAGAATCTATCCATGGAGAGCACCTGATTTGGGGCGAAATGCTGCCATCCTCGGATCTTCCTTGCAGCAGCAGGACTCGCAAGTATAGTCGACTGGCAGTTTGGCGAGAGCTGGCGGAGCGTTTCCTCGTGGCAATGATCGGGCTTATCCTGAGAGATCAAGATGATATCGGGCTCCTGATCGAGCTCCGTCAAAGATTCTATACATGGCTTGGTTATGTGCCTTGATATGGAGAACTTGGAGCTGAGGATCTTGGCTGAGCCGCACAGGAACGGGTCTATGAGCAGAGTGAAAGATCCAGGAAAGAGACCCGGGGACGAGAGCGGTGCAACAGGAGGCGAGAACGTGAGGAGGAAGCTGGTATCACCGTTCAAGGCTTTCACAGTTAACGACATGTCTTCTCACGCAGAGGGAGACTGGAGGAGTAGGCAACAGGCCATGAAGATAAGCGGGAGGGAAGAGAGGGGATAAGTGAAGGCAGAGGGTGGCCGGGGGCAACAAAAAGGGACACTCGAGCCTACACAGGGCTGGAGATGCAGCGTCCACTTGCCATCTGGAGCCCCGGGGATGAAGGCTTTGGGCGCCACACCGGCGGGACGGCAGCTGGAGGCGATGTGAAACGCCCGGAAGAGGGGAGTGGAAACGAGCAGCAGGGCGGCGCGAGATCAAGGTTAAAAATATGCAGCGTTCAGCATGCTGACGAACAGACGCCTCCCGCCTTAAAGACGCCCGCCGCAGAGTCTTGGGGACGCCTTGCCGCGTCTCCGGGTTGTTTGAGTCTATCTCGACCTCCTCGCTGTCGAGTCCAGCATCGGCTTTGGAGGCACCCTCATTGAACCTCACCAAGCGGTTCACGGACTCAATGGCTGCCCCTTCTGCCGCAGTCGTGAATCGGCTGGCCAAAACAACGAAACACCTCATCCCGGCACCATATTCCACCACGATTGGCCGCATCTGCCGTGCTTTCATCATGGCCGCCTGCATGCGGCGGACAGAGGACCACGGACTGGACTACCCAGCGCCAAGTTACCCTTGTACTCCAAGCAGCTTGTTTCAACAGTCCAGCGTTCCAAGATTTGCCTCCCGAGGTACGACTCAGCTGAACCCTCCACGCCGATGCGCAACTCAAAACTCAGCTAACATGCATTTCGTCAGCTCTGGAGCGACCCATGCACGCCATGAAAGCACAAAGTCACCACAAACTTGCTAATGCACGCCCCTTGCGGAGCCCCTCTAACTGTGTGCCCAGGCTCAAACAAATGTTGCATCCACATTAGTTAGGACGCAGAGACGGGACAAGTGCTGACGAAGTCGGCCGGCTCACTGGACGATGGTCACTGAGAATTATCTTGACGCCCCAACACCGCATACTGCTGAGGTTTCATCTGGACATACCTAAGTAGGCGACCTAGCTATCTGCGAGGTTCGACGGCAGAAAGTTGATCCCAACGGGTAAGGGTGTTGAAGTGTTGTGCACGGTCCAGTTTTGAGCTGTCCTACGAGTGCGAGGGAGGAATAGCAAGGCGTCCAACAAGCTTGTCTCCCAGGCGCACGGTAGCTCCGACTTTGGACGTGGCCTCGGCGGAGCCCGGAGTCCTCGAGCCTTGGTTTGCTCTTTCAAGATGCGTGCCAGGCGCATCTCGCGCTGAACCCGCGATACTGCCAGAGGGCGGCACGGATACTGTTTCAAGGCAGAAGAGTAGCCCGCGCTGAAACAGCTGCCAGGCACAGCTCGCACACAGAGCTGATGGTGTTGAGCAGGCCTGAATATGCTAATTGTCGACGGCAATTGGGCGCGCTGGAGCTTCAGCTTGAACCCCCGGTAGCAACCTACCCCACCAAGCCGTCCGCCTCTCCCCTCACCATCTGCCCACATTCCCGGCTCCTTTTGAAGCTTGAAGCTTGAAGCCTGTGCTGCACCATCCACCCTCCCTTGAGCTCCCGGAGTCCGCTCCTGCGAGCTGTGCCGTTCAATCTGCCGTCCTGCAACCATCCTCGCCTTCACACTGCATCGCCCCGCCACAGGGCCGTCCGTGCGGCAGCAAGCTTTGCTATGCCGCCTCGCGCCTCCTTGACCTCCTCCTTCTCCGTGTCGGATGAGAACAACGTTGTCGTGTGTCCGCTGAAGAACCACGATGGCTCGGGTTGTAGGAAGCGCTGCACCGGCGTGAGTGCTCCCTCAAAGCTCCTCCACTGCTTTCTGCTGTTTCGCACGTCATTGGCATTCAAGCATGACCCTTAAGCATTTGGAGTAACCAATCTGTGCCGCGCAGGAGAAACGATATCGCTCCATGCAGGAGCACATCCGCCGGGCGCATCCTGAGCACTACATCTCAAAGCTGCCGGCCACCGAGGAGAGCTTCACATTGATGGTCAACACTCCACCCTCGGAGCGACCTCCCCCCCCACCGCCAAATGCGTCGTCCGGAGGCCCGCCAGGTCCGTATTTGACCTCCTATCAACACTGCCAGACGGTTGACAAGCAAGCAAGGTTACGCCAACGACATCAATGCCTTCTACAACGATGGCTACAGCTCCACGACGCCGCGGACCTCGGACGAGATGCGTCGAGGTTCGCTGCTACCCGCCGCGAGCGCAGCAGCAGCCCTAGCAGCACTACACACGCACCGCCCAGACTTCGATTGGGACTCCGAGCCAGTAAGAAATCTCCCAAGCACTGATTATACTCCCCTAACTCGATTGCTGCTCTAGGACGCCTACTCTGAGCCAGAGTCGAAGGTCTATAAGCCTCGAGCGCGATTCGCTCCCGTCACACAGGAACAACACTTCAATGCTGACGAACCATACTACACTTCAGCTGCACTACAGCGCGAGTTATTGCCTTCGTCGTTAGCGCGGTCACCTCCTGGCCGCTCATCGACGCTCCCTCCTATTCCTCGCTCTATAAAACCTAATCGGCCCCGCAAGAACTCTGTGGGGCAGAATGCTCGCAAGCCAAAGCATGAACGAACAAAATCCAAAGAGCACGCTCGAAGAATGAGCCATGATAGAAAGGCATTTTCTGCCGAACCACAAACAGCTGCAGCTATATATGGCAAGAGGTGGGAGGATCTGATCGATGCAGCAGCTTCAGCAACTGAAGAGGACAGCCGAGATCTTACACCTGTAAGTCATACATGTTTATTTGCCCGTTGAAAGCTTATATCTGACCATAATTCCCAGATACCTGGCTCGCCCCACCACTCCCCACACATGCTTAACCGAGCGTCTCTGCCTCCATTCGTTGCGTCTCAATTCCAATCATACACCGCATCTCCGTTGCAGAAGACACTGACGCCGCCGCCACCGGAACACAATGATCTCCAACCATTCCCTTCCGTCGAATCGTCTATTGAGTCAATCCAGTCAGGGCAAAATTTCCACATGACAGCTCAGGGTCTATCAGATTCTTCCCCCATGTTCCTACAACCTGTACAAATATACTGTGCAGCTTGTCGACGACTATCCATTCTCAAGGAAAGCTATGCTTGTACAGAATGCATATGTGGACTCTGTCAAGATTGTGTAGACGTATTAGTAAGCGCACAGAGCCGAGGACGCATTTCACGATGTCCGCAATGTGGTGCAATCGGCGGGAAGTTTAAACCGTTTCAACTCGACATAAGATGAGTTGAAAAAGCGATTTTGGTTTGGGATACATTTATTTTGCATGCTACCTACCATCTGGCTCATGGTTGGAGTTCTGGAGTCTTTTGAATTTGGGGGATACCTTAGATCGGCTGACTGGATTCAAGTCGTCTACACAACGTGGGGGGAGAATGTTTTTTGCATAGACCGCGGAGTTGGGTGGGAAAATGGTATTTGCTATTCTATGGATTGTATCGATGAATCTCTGACTTTGGAAGCTAGGAGACAAAAGTCTAAAAATCTGGTTGGATCACGGCTAGGAGTTGACCTCTGTAGCCAAGCACGATACACATTTATTGCTGTTATTGACAGCGATAGAGCGATCGAATCGTAAATGATTGAACGTTTCAAAATTTCGATCAATTAAATGATATCTGAATGTGCTACTCGGAACTCCGCCTGGAAGCTTTAGGAGTCTAAGAAAAATGTTCGGCACCACTCTGCCACCAAACTACTCACCTCATTCCATTATATGGAGTCTCATACGATCTTGATTGTCGCTCTTTTGGACCTTGGTAGGACTTTTCCACCGGTTTGAAACTCGTCAAACAACGTCTCCGGTTTATCCCAGCTCTCATTCTTCCACGACACAAACCCTACGCGGTGAAACTCTCCAGTATTTTCTCCCTTTTCTTGTAGTAGAAGAGTATGAATAAACTGTGTATCATAAGTCTGGCCATGTAGATGGCCTATCGCAATTACCGCAAACCACACGACCGTTCCAGGCATGGGAAGCTCAATATCCCTTGATACCGGGGTTCCGAGCGCTTCAAGGTCGGAAGTTACAGCTACGAAGCTCTTCTCCTCTTCGCTATCGAAGCGCCAGCTTGAGGTAGTCTCGCAGAGAGACGGGCATAGGGCAAGGAAGACGCGGCGGCTCTTGTCCGAATCCCGCAATCCCACCATCCCAGGTTTCATATCCACTTCTAGCGTGATGGCCCCCGAGTAGCGAGCTGCTGTGCCTGATTCTTCCACGTCCACGATAGTAGCGAGCCGGTCCGTGTGGTGTGACCAAAGCCCTGGCCACTGAATTTCTCCGTCCACGGACGCCCAGGACCACGTTGGGGCGACTCCGGTGCGTCGTTGAACGCCCGATGTGCACCAGAGAAGGCCTTTGTACATAGAAATGGACCAGATCCCCGCAAGGCATTTGAGGTTGGAGTTCTGGGAGACGGCATCAGATACACCGCGGATGGCCACTAGCCGGTCGCTGCTGCAGGTGAGGCCTCTTTCGGTGAAGTCCTCGACGATGCGAGACCAAGCCAAGACTAGCTCGTCCCACTCAGGTTTGCTTTCGTTTGCTGCATATAGGAGCGGCATTTCGTCGCCTTTATCTGTTGTTGGAGACGTGATCCATCTTCTTTGAAGCGCTGCTACCTGGGCATCTATGTCCCTCGGGTCACCCTTCCACGCGGTTTGCTGTGACCTTCTTTTATTGATGAAGGTCTCTAAAGGTTCGCACAGTGGGAGTTTCTCGTAGAACCGCATGGTCTGGCACCTCCAAGATACACTATCGCTCTCGTAGGAGAGCAACCGGTTTGATAGAAGCTGTTCCTGTAACACCCAAGCACGGCTGTGAAGAGGAGTCGCTAGTACACTCATGACCCAAGTATGCGACATCTTGTCAAGGCAAACGAAGGTCGCCCCAGCTCTTTCATCGGCTAGGCCATGAGCGAGAGGAAGCTCACAGGGGCGTACGGCAAACCCATCTCGAGCAGCAAACAGCCCGGCGGCGCCGTCCTGTGCGTGAGTCGCAGCAATCGTGATTATGGCGTTTTGGTAGACACCGTGCATGAGAGCAGCTTCTCTCCCCCAATCTTCCGGATCATCCTGAATAATGCATATGGAGTCTATCCAAATATATCGGATATGTAGTTTTCGAGTGACTGAAACAGCGTCTGCAAAAGTCTTAGACATGCTAGATATCGGAATTTTCACTTTATGCTGGGCTAGATTCCCTGTCCCGGTCCTCAGGAGCTTATGCTTTCCCCAACAATGGCTCAATGCGATATATCGGCCATACTGTGGCTTACTAGGCTCGTACAGGAAGGGTTGCTGCGAGCCGTCAGGAGGGCCGACGTCTACGACCCGAGTTGGTAATGGACTCTTTCCAGATTGTGTTTTCTGACACCTGTCGTGATTTTGTAGACATTCGGTGATCCAAGCATCAACGAGCTTGAAGGTAGTGTCAGAGCCTGTGCTTGAGTTTTCTGCTTCTACACTGGAACTCAAGGCTTCTGCAACAGTTGCTAACATAGGCTGTCAGCATACCAATCTGGGAATTAGATCGTCCAATCGCAGAACTAACATGGGAGGATAGGACTTTGAACTCCGAAACGAAGCTTCTCTATCTTGACGTTTTCTTTGGCTGCTTCAGCCTTACTCTTCTTGGGTTCCAACCAAACGAGGAACTGTAGATCATCACCAGCAAACTCGACCACCACAGCTGTATCTTCCTCGCCAACGTTCTGTAGGCTCTTTCCAAGATGAGTGGTTATGATCCGACACAGATGGCACGCTGATCTCGATCCACACAGTAATGTGGTAGCGCTTTCATGTAAAACTAGTTTGACCTTTCTGGATGGCGTAAAGTTTCGGCTAAAGACTTCACAGTGTTCGCAAAGCATTTCAGAAGTTTCTTATGTGAGCTGGAATCGATGGAGGACGAAGAGGCTATGCGATGTCTAAGAGATAGATATGCGGCGACAAGACGTTGAAGTTAGCTGCCTACCAGTCAGCCTTGCGTGATGTTAGCCAATCGAGGTGCATCAGGATGAACGAATCAGCGGTTTGAGACGGTTTTAGTAACGTCCGGAGGTGCTCCAGTAAGAATCTTCGGCATTCGAGGACATGCAATGTCCCTCGCGTTTTGAATTAGGCCGCTAGCCTCGACGTTATGTTTTGGTCAATTTGTAAAGTCCGGAGCTGCTGCAACGAACCCTCAGAATCTGGACGATTTCTACCTACATCTCCAAACGCTGTGATTCAGGCTGATAGATTTGGGTAGAATCAAGACCTCACTGCCACGTCCGGGAGGGCGCCAGTATCATTTTCAGAAATTGGGCAAGATGTAAATTGCTTCGGGGAGTAAATCAAGTTGTAAAGACATGCATTGAAGTTGCGATCGTTGTAGGGCCGGAGATTTTGAACACATACTTCTAATCTAATACGAAAGGAAAAATCTGTGGAAGATAAAGACTTGGCCTCCTGTCGAAACTCCTAATTAATTAGCTATTCAACTGAAGCCCTGGACGCAGAATTAGTATTTACCAGCTGGAAACCACACCGGAGAAGAGTTTGTTCAAGATTTAAGATCGGTAGTCTAAGCTCAGTTTAGTGCAGGGAAAGAAAGGAAATCGCAGAAAAACATTCCAGAATGCCCGTCCCGACCCCAAAGATGCTCCGACCCGACCTGACCCATCCGTCTACCCCACCCAGCCGACATCACTCGTCAATGCGTCAAAGTTTCGTTTCCAACTCATCTCGACACCCGGCCGCTGCTTAAGATGGGTATAAGAGCTAGAAAATGCCGTTTAGCCAAAGAAAGCTCGCACTGTCTGCTGTGTCTCTGGCGATAGGTTTGCGAGGAGCTGGTTTGCGTCCAAGCCGGCGGTTGTGACGAGTTGTTTGGCGGCGCCAACGATGCGGGTGGCTGTTTGCCCTTGCAGAGTTTCAGATTCCAGTGCTAATGCTACAAAGGTAAAGCACTTGGCTGCCTGAGCCATGACAGCAGGGTTTTGTCTACATCACAAGTCAGTAATTTTTCTATAACTGGATTTCAAGCTAGTGACTCACTGATCGATTAGCTGGGCGAGGAAGGAGTATGCGTAGGGCGCTGCCTCTTCGTCATTTGTCACGGGGAGAGTGTCAATCCATGCAGCGACCACACCTTGCACATTCGCGACCTTCGAGCTGTTGTAGTGCAAGATCTTAGCGATACTCGCACAGGCATTTTCTGTTGCGAAAACGTCGTCGTCCGCCCGGGCGTTGGGACGCTGCGTGACTTGGAAGAGCATTGGCAAGCTGGCGGACACGAAGTCAGACCATGCCTCGCCTCCTTTGTGCGCCGCAACACCAATTCCATACACGGCCGCTTGCCGGTTTGCGGGGACGTCGTCTCGCATGCCATCGGCGAGAGGTTGGATGATGTTAGAACTGTAGGTCCAGCTCTGGGGACCGCAGAACTCTAGCACATCATCGAAAATGCAAATTGCCCATTGGCGCTGAGTTGGGTCTGGGTTGACGATAGCTTGGTTATAGTATGGAAGGAGCTTTTCCCAGTGAGGCAGGAAGTCGGTGCCTTCGTTCTTGAAGATGGTATGGAAAGCCTTGTTCATGTCCGATAGAAGATTTTGGTCGTCTTCGATTGCGAACAGGATCTCTTCGGGAGTTTCCTCCCCATCTTCGGTTTCGTCTTGCTCTTCCAGGCGTTGCTTTACACGAGTCTGGTAATCTTCCAATACTGATTTCGCAGACTCTATGAACGTTGCCATATGTTGAGAAGTTAAGCAGCCCTTGCCAATGACTTCAACGCACTCATAGAAGCATTGATACATCTCAGCGAGTGTATCGATGGCTGGCTCCGTACTTAAGACTTCAAGCACACGGTCGACAGTCCGCTCCCAAAGCTGGCCAAGCTGCAGAGATTGACCACCGTGGGCCTTCTTGTAAGCATTGAGGAGCTGTGGGACACACTTCGCCGATGCCACGCGGACAGGATCATGGAAGAAAAAGGCTAACCCTGGCAAGGCAATTTTGTCCATGATGTCGTTGACATAGGGCTCGAAAGCAGCCTCAAGCACTTGTGCATATATCACAATGAGCTCGATCGCCATATGCTTATCGTCCAAGGTACTAGTCTTGATACCGATGACTTTGCCCTTGAGCGGAACAAGCTCCCAGCCTTCTTCTTGCTCAACTTGCGCCACCTGCTCGTCATCGTCGAGAAGTTGGATATCTGCCTTGGCTCCAGCAAGCTCGGTCAGGGGGGGAATCACTGCTGGAAGGTATGGGAGGAAATCTTGACCGAGGACACGACACATCCTACCCCAACAGTGGAGAAGGTAAGAGGCTTGTGGATCATCGGAGTCTTGTATGTTGTGCTGGATCGTGCCTAGGAGATTGACGAGGGCTATGGCGTCGGCGCCCATCCGCTCCTTCCCAACGGCAAGTGCAATAAGTGTAGCACACTCCATGGCTTTGGCCCTGAGCAGTCTGTATTCTTTCGATTGCTCTTCTCGCAAGACATTGAAAAGGAGGGGCATTAATGTGTCGTAGTACTTCGAAAAGGCGGCCTCAGCAGAATCAGCAACTGTAGCAATTGTTGATAGTGCTTGTTCTTGAACGAAACGTTTCGGGCTCTGGAGGAGCATGAGGAGATGGCTGAGAAGCTGATCCAGATATGGCTCGAGAACTGTCTTTTCGGCTTCTTCGCAGAAGTTGACGAGAGCGGCCGCAGCATGTGCTTGAACTCGGGGTTCCACGGACTCCAACACAGGAATGATATTCGGTAAGACAACTTGGTGATATTTCTCCTGCATAGTCCCAGCAAAATCTGTGCTCATCTGTCCGAGAGCGTTACAGCCGGCCCATCGTACTCGAGGGTGGGGGTCTCGCAGGGCAGGTAGAACAAGATCAAGCACCTTGTCTAGTTCCCCAATCATCAAGTCACGGCAGCCTTCTGATATCGCAGATATAGCCATCAGCGCTGCGTGTCGGTCCCGCCATGCTGAGGAAGTCATCATCCGAGGAAGCCAGTTGAACGTAGGAGGCAATACAGCCGAGCCGCCTAGCTTATTGGCGAGTCGATCCATACATTGCTCTCCCGCAACATGGTTCATGTCGCTCTCATCGATGTCCAGATCTTCGGAAGCGTTCCACTCCTCGGCATCGTCGTCGTCGATGCCTACATCGGTCATCAGTGACAAACATTGAGTGACCATGTCGTTGGTGTAATTTGGATCTTTGCGACACATTTGGGGGTTGTAATCGGCGAAAGTGGACATGAGTTCCAGCGCGTTTTGTCGAGGTTGATCTCCAAGGTCCTTGTCCTGAATGACGGAAATGCTAAAGGCGACGAGTGCGCTAAACATGGGCTTGAACATCTTGGGAGATACTTCTGCCAGCTCAATCAACGCAATTAGGGCCTTCGTCATCTGATCAGCATCTCCAGCTTCCTTGACTGGTGGAAGGATGTTGAGAATCTCGCCGATAAGGGGATAGTACTTTGGCTGGCTCTTCTTGGTGATAGATCGGAAGAAGGACGCAAATGCTTCCATGGCGGCGATTTTGACCTTGAAATTATCAGCAGAACACACTCGAGGATGTCTTAGTTTCCTTACCGAAGTATCAGCGTCGTTAAAACCGGTCTTGAAAGCTGTTATCACAACATCCTCGTGCTGTTGTTCTATTATTCCTGGGGTAGTTGAGAATATTCTCCAGGCGGTCTCGCGCATGCCAGCATCTGTCGATTGGCTGGCGCTGAACAGAGCTCCGAGTAGTTCTGGCCAAGGCTCTCCTGGGGCAATGGGTGTATCAGCAATATGTCGAGTAGGTATTCGAGAGGAATGGCATACCTTCATCTGTGTACTGCCTCGCAATTTCCGCTACGGCGTCTCCGATTTTGTTCCTCACAAAAGGCAGCGATTCCGACTGCAGACATGCCAACAGTTTCGCGCGAATTGCTTCCCTTTCGCCCTGCTGGAGGGTCAAGAATAGGTCCCTGGTTTGGCTGGAGTTGGGGTCCTTTCGTGCTCTCGTGGCTATCCGCCGGAACAGGACTGCGGAGTATGAACGCGTCTAATAGCACACGTAGTCAGCATCTTTTCCTTGCGCTTCTGAAGTGTAGTGTCCTCACCGAAGGGTCATCCTGGCCTTGTATTTGCTCCGTCAGGCCTAGAAGTAGGATCTCTGGCCGACTCGCTACCCATTCTGTGTTGAGAAGCTCCTCTGCCTGTGTGCGCTCCACATTGTCTGGAGATTGGAGACCTCTGAGCAGCTGGCTCAGCGCAGCGTGCACCTCGGCGGCAAGCATAGACATGGTGGGATTCTGGCGAGGTCGAGTTGGGTGTGGCTAGGTGTTGTCTGCGAGGTTCGTCCTGAAGCGGCGCACAAAGGCTTTGATTTACAGTTAGCAAGGGAGACAAGCGGTGACGTTGTGACGCGGTGAATGGCCCGGCGACAGGCGGAGAGGATCCAGCACGGCAGGTTGCAAACACGCCGGCAGGCTGCAGCAGTTCACGAGAGAGTGTGCAAGAGGTGTGCGGTGCGGGAAGGTAAATGTTTTGGTGGGGGCTCGCCGAGAAATAACCATGGACCGGGTCGCGTTCAAGGCGGCGTGAGTGGTCCACGGGTGAACGGTCGTCAGAAGTTGAATTGGTCTCACTAGTTCTACATGGGCTTCCGCCTCACAGCATTCACAGCATGAAAAAGCGGCTCTTAGAGACAGAGATTCACGGCTGATTAGGGACTATAGATCTAGAGTACACCTTGCTCGCTGCCAGAGCCGCCGACCTACCACGCCTAGGATATCAAATTACAAATAACCCGCTCTAACAACTAGCCACTACTGGAATATCACAAGACGAATTCACCTCCACAACGCTACCGGCTCGAGGCGCGGCCAAGCGCGAAGACGGCCACAATCACGACTGCCAGCGTCACGATGGCACCGGGTAGGAGGAGCTCGTTTGGCACACCCGCAATGACCTCTTCTGGCTTAGTTGGTGCAGAGGCTTGGTGTCTGGCATGGCGCTCGGCAGCCTCCTCTTCTTCGTCGAAGAATTTCTTGCGCTCCTTCATTACCGACTCCGGGGGAGTCGGTGGCTTGGCTAATGCAGGCTGCGGCTCAGCTACGACCTGAATAGGTGCCTTCTCAGGGTCATGAACAAAGAGATCCACTTTGTCTCGGTGAGCCGCAATGGAGAGATCAATTGCTTCGGCCAGATCCTGGTCGGTGGTGATGGACACAGTGTCGCCATCGTTGTCGAGGTAGCTGAGAGCGAATCCCGACTTGGAAAGCTTGCCCTCCTCAAAAGTTGGGAGACCGCCAATGGCATCGACCTCCGCGCCTAGCTTGCTGCCAACGCGGGAGATAAGGTCTTCGATTCCTCCAGATGAGGTGACCTGGAGTCGATGGACCCGACCACTGGGCGCCTTGAACTTAAACGGGAATGGTGTATCCTCCTGCGCGATGGCCTGGGCACCAGCGAAAGCCGAGTGCTCAGGGGAATCTCCATGATGAGACGCAGAATCATTGGGCAGCACGCTGTCTCCACGATCCATATGGCCTGGACGCGACAGATCCGGCGACATCAGCGATCGGGCGTCGGGCGTGTGAGGCAATCGGCTACCCCCTTCGCCAGACATCATGGACTCGGTCTCATTGTCGAGTGACAGCCAGAACTTGTTCCAGGCAGGACCTTCGCTGTCTCCTTGTGTGCCAATATTGTTGATCTGATCAGAATTTAGCGTTGGAACTAGCATATAATCAACATGTAGCATACCTGATCCAGTGTCGCATAAGTGAGCTTTAGGACGTCTACCATGCCGACTATCTCGCCCGCTTCGCTCATTACGGGAAGATTAAGGTAATGGCCATCTATAACTATTAGCATATAACTCACTGGCAGTACCGTAGAGCGACATACCGTGCATTTTCCTTAGAGCTGCTTGAATGCTCATGTCCATGGGGGCGAAATCTGGATGAGGCGTCATCACCCTAACCACACTGCAGGTTGCCGGATCAAGGCCAGCAGCAATGACACGTAAAACCACGTCCTTGCTTGTGAAAATTCCGGTAATGGAACCTTGATCTTGAACAAGCACCGCCGTCGTGTGGTTCTCCTTCATGAGCGTAGCTGCTTCTTTGACTGATGTTCGTACAGATACCGTCACTGGTGGTAGTCCATTCAGGACGGACTCCAATGTTGGCCCAGACATCTTCATTCGGATAGCTTCTACATATTGTATGATCTGTTGCGGCTGGCTTGAGCCGAGTTCGGCCTGTACGCCCTCGAGAGCATCGTAGAGCTTCCGAGACGAACTGTATGCTCGCTCCAGCTTCTCCATAGCGTCGTAGAAGCACTTCGTAATATCCAGAATGCCAGAGATATCGTGGTTCTCGTCCATTACAGGGAGATGGCGGAATCCTTTCCGGACCATGAGGTCCAGGGCATCGGTTGCACTGGTGTCTGTTTTGGCGCAGAGGGGGTTCTTGGTCATGATCTCTTCAATAGTAATGTCACGAGCCCTTATACCAGCCCCGACAACTCGAAAGGCAAGATCCTTTGCTGTGAATATTCCCGCAATCCGGTCATCGTCGTCTGTCACAAGAACGCAGTCTTCACGCTTCGCTGCCATCAATTGGGCGGCTTCCGCAACAGTAGTCGAGGGTTTGATCTGAAGGGCAGGACTCGGTTTTAGGGCAAGGACGGTTCCTGGAGGTGCTTTTCGCGTGGGACGGACGCGTCCTGACGGGTTCTTCTTTTTATTGAGGTCCGTCTCAATCTTTCTCCGGATGGCCTTTGCACTGTTTAGCACTGCGTAGGACAGCGAAAGGAGGGCAATATCGAAGGAGCACATACCTCATCTCTCTTGGTCTGCTTCTGCCGACTAGCACTGAGAGTTGACGTGCCGGCATCGCTCTGGGTTGTGTGGGACTCGAGGGCTGGTCGAGGGATGCCCGAGGGACTGTTGGTAAAAGGGACCTGTCCCCGGGCCTTGGGCGTGCTCCTGTACGTGCCGGTGGCAGACATGGCGAAGGTGAAACAGAGATGCAACAAATGCCAGCGCACGCAGGAATTTGCTGTCTGAGGGGTGTATGAAAGCGATCCTATTCGAGAGCGGGTGAAGCGGTAAGGTCAAGCACCACCCTGGCACCCGGTTACCAGGCAAAGCAAAAACAACCGGCGGATTGGCAAGGGCCGACGTTGTACAGGTGGTGTGAAGCTTTAGAAGTTGCCACACGCGCAAACGATTTATAGAAATTGCCCGCAAGCCAGAGAGTTATGTGAATGGTATAAACACAATGCAGTGCCTTTTCACGGACGTCAGGTGAACCGTCCACGCACCGCGGTTGACAGGGTCATTTTGGCCTGAGGCATTGTCCGATTCAAGGTCACGGGATCTCGATACTAGCGGCTTGGCAGACGAGCCCACAACGATTTTGACCTCGTCGGCTCCATGCAACGAGATATTGCTGCCGCCACCACCGACCCTCATCACTCCGCTGAGATTCCACGCTCATAAAGGTACTGCTATGATACAGGCTCAAATTCCACGAGCTTGCGCTAACAACGCAATAGAATCTGCCCAGCATGGTCAAAAAGCGAGCGTCCAAGTACGAGAATCCCCCACCTGCGGCGATCATGGACGAGAGACTAATTGCAATTCCAGTGGCCGCAACAAGAAGGGCCGCGGTCACGTTAAGCCGATCCGCTGCTCGAACTGCTCTCGCTGCACTCCCAAGGACAAGGCAATAAAGAGATTCACAATCCGGAACATGGTCGAATCGGCTGCCATTCGTACGTCGCCCTGACACCTTGGGAATACTCCGGCGTTGGAAACCACGCCGAACGAGCCGCAAAAATCTGGTCGAGTGGGTCGCTGACAAGTCTGCCAGGTGATATTTCCGATGCCTCTGTCTTCCCCGAGTACACCGTCCCCAAGATGTACTTGAAGCTGCAATACTGCGTCTCCTGCGCCATCCACGGCAAGATCGTCCGGTGCGTCTCCAATTCCGAGCATCCCTTGCCATACTCGAGACGTCTAACAGCCTTAATAGTGTCCGTTCGCGAGAAGGCCGCCGCAACCGCGCTCCCCCACCACGTGTCCGATACAACAAGGATGGCAAGAAGGTCAACCCGCAACAGGCCAACGCCAGGCCAGCTGCTGCTGGAGCTGCGCCGGCTGCTACCTGAGGGAGGAATGATGGCTGAAGGTGTCGGGGCAGCATTGGGCCGTGCGGGGACTTTTAACTTGTTATAAAGGGATTACGAATTCCTCGGAGCTACTGGCAAGCATGACGACTTATGGTTTCGAAGCCTTGGTCAAACGAGGCGAATGCTCTATGTTTCACAAAAACAACAAAGCCATCGGCGTCACCAGCTAGAATGAGTGCGTCAAACATTCCATGTGGTGATTGTGCAAGATATGAACATGATATGGTATCCTTGAAAAGTCAATATAAACCTACACGTTATCATAGCAATTCGTGTTGTAGTGTCGTCTCAATCAGGCCGTTTCTTAGCATCCACGACGCCAATATCCCCAGAACTGCTAGGCGGCGTCTCCTTGCCGCCCCCATTTGCTTCATTGACTTCACTCTCGTCCCAGTCTTCGGCATTCTCGTCCCAATTATCCAGCTCCTCTTCGACCGTTGGAGTGGGCCTGATGACACCAGATTCCTGGTCTACGACTGCCTCTCCAAGTTCGATATCCTCGTCGCCTGCGACTGCGTTATACCCCCGAGCGGCCCGCTTCCGTTCTAGCATTCGCTTGTGGTACCAGTTGCAGATGGCCAGAGAGGAAACGGACCCAAGGGCGTTGGCCAAAATGTCATAGTAGTCGAAATTACGGCCATTCTATGTCATAGTCAGCATTGAGCTATAGTATGTCTTATGTAGTCCGAGAACATACTGGTATGATTTCTTGAGCTACCTCTGAGCCGAACCCCAGCGCAACTGTGCACACTAGGAATGTGAATTGGACCACCCGCCGACGATTTGTTTCGAGGATCCAGTAAAATAGGAACGTGAGGACGAAAAATGTGAGGAAGTGCAGCACCTGAGCATGTGGTTAGCTTGATGGGTTCTTTTGCGCATCAGGTCTACGCCGTCATATACCTTGTCGGATTGTTTGTACGCTGGGAGTTGGGCATATTCAGAGGGCGAGCTGTCAGGGAGTTAGCATAGCCAGAGACTTGTCCACTGGTCAAACTCGTACAGTCCAGCGAGCCCCGCGATCAAACATAGGCCAACGAAGCCACCTGAGAAACCATTAGCATCCTGCAGGCTGCAGCTGTGCCGCGCGTGTTGAAGTAGCTGCGTTACCTGCGAAAGGCTTTCGGATACGCATGCCTGGATCAGAGTGTAGGTGCCGGGTGCGCACAGCTATAAGTGGCACATGAGGATATTTAGCAGAGAGTGGAGGCGTTCAATGCTACGTAGGTGGAGAGAAGCTGCGAGCTAAGCTAAGGTTGAAGTCTGTCGATCCTAAATGTGGTGGGGCTTGGCACTTCACTCCTCGATCGTGGGCCACGTATCATCCGCTATTCAAAACATCACTCCCAGGAAAACTAGCGAGTGATCTACCAAGGACGGAAAGTGACATCAGGAACTCCCGCATGAAAGGTACAGTAAAGCAATGTTTGACTGAACTTCTCTTTCAACAGCATTCAACACTCAAAATCTCATCCTTACAGCGTGAGAACATTCATCTACCTATGCACACTTTCGAATTATTATCAAAAGTGCTTCATTATATTGTCAAAGTTCGGAAAAAATGATGTAAAATTTGTCATTTTGAACAGTCTGAAGTCTCCTCACGCTATTACCAACTATCAGATAGGAACATTGGCATACACACCCCAGATTTCTGATAACAATCAGGCCATCACTAACGGCGACATGCATACTGGTATGAGTGCGAGATGGCCACTGGGGATTGCCTCCCCCGCGACCTCGCCGATTCCCCGAATCTCATTAATGGGAACTAAGCACAGCGCCCTTGTTGTCTGTTGCACAGCATGTGCCACATCCAGGACTCGAGGTGCAAGTGCATTGAGTGTACCATACCTGTCGCCATGGGTAAAGTGTGCAGACCGCGGGTAGCGCGTACTTTGCGACGGAGGCACCGCATAATGTTGACATGTCGTTCAACACCGGGTTTTGCCTCACTACTTCTTTCATCTTTTTGGAATATGCCAAAATCCTGGCATACTAAGTACGAGTGGAACATTTCCTAAAACTGATGAATGTAGCTTTGTTAAGGGGAAAGGACTGCACCTATACAAATGCTTCCTTTAGACTCTGATTATTTAGGGTTAGTACTCCTGGGTCAGATACTGAACCGAACAGAGCTAGTGAGACTGGTAGAGGGTATACTTAGGTTGAAATTGATGTGAACTCTGATTTCTATAGACGTCTAGCTAGTTGTATATATACTAGGGGAAGGAAGGGGGCCACCCCCAGGGTGGCGCGCTAGTAAGTTCAGATGAGCCCTGCACAGCTGAGGCTTCAGCTCGGTTCTCTACAGCTGAGATTTCAGCTGGGTTCTCTACAGCTGATGTTCGGAGAGTAGCTTTCTGGCATATGAGTTGTTGATCCTAGGTTGTAGTGTTGCAACCTGAGTGGTATTCTATGCCAGTTTGAGTAGAAGCAAGCACAGCAACATATTGCCGACAGTCCCTTAGCTGAAAAGGAATAAGACTCCAGATTTAGCACTCCAGATTTAGGACTGTTACCTAAGATATCACGCGGTAACGAACAAACCTACTACTTCTAGTGATGCTCTTACGATTTCAAGGTCTGAAACAAGGCTGACGATAATCATTGTATGGGCCCCTGGTTCAGTCCTTGCTTACCTTTTGCGGTTTCCCAAGACGAGACTTTGGCCCCGTATGTGTGTAGAAGGTAAGCATGTAGCCTGCCCCTGTTGCCTTCCACACGCTGTGTCTCTCGTTACTGTCCCCAATCATACTCCAGGATGCTCTTTCCTGGAACACCATCTTCATTGCATTTGTCTTCTGTTCTGCGAGTCCACCATATCTTCTCATCCATCCCGTCACACATCAGCTACGCCATCGTTCCATCCAGCGAAGTCAGCATCACTACTCACCGGATTCTTAACGCTGCAAGACATCTCACACGCAGCTGTCGTCTTCATTCCAACCGGATTTCTACGTCTTCTTACGCAACAGCACTCGTTGTACATCGTTCATCAACCAGCATAGCACCGCTCAGATCGCACCTTGACGCCAACCGCGATAGCCCTCTTCACTTTGCCATAAGGATCTTGACTTTGCACACCGCCTCCCCCCAAGCCGGAACACCTGCGGCCTTGTATCCTTAATTGTCATGACTTCCAATCCTCGAGCACTATCTCACGCAATGCTGCCGATATATGAAGAGCTGCGGGTTGAATGGGACGAGACTGTGCAAGGCTCCACAACTCAGCCTACAAGCTTGCCCACGACTTCTTTTGAGGATCAGCCTGTAGCAGGCACGCTGGGCATGAAAAAAGTGGCACACTCAGCAAGTACTCAGCCCGTGCGTCCACCTGCCTGCCACTGCTTGGGTTGCTTCAACGTATTTTCAGAAATCTAAAGAAAATAGAAGCTCTTTACCTTGGGCTATGTGGAAACTTGTTGAAGCGCTTCATGCAGTGGTAAACGGGTGTACACACAGGCAAAGTACTTGGTGAGTGTGCCACTTTTTTCATGCCCAGCGCGGCAGGTACCAATCTCGAGTACCTGCCACTTCCGAACGACGGACAAACAAATCATTCGACAGAGGAGTCCAGAGCTACCGAGGACGTGTTCCACAGCGCACATAGCGAGGGGATTGCACACCCGACTATCCAAGAAAAACATCATCCTACGAGCAAAAGCAAGGGTGTGGCCTCTTCATCTGAGCCAACCTCGTCTCTCAGGTCTAAAGAGTCAGGTGGTGGCGGTGCGGCGCACCCGCCCGTCTTATCCGGGGAGAATTCTGTTGCGGCGCAAAATCGTCGAGAGATTATTGCGGACAAGAAGCCGCAGGCGAAGCACCAGCAAGATGATCAAAGTACCGAGGAAGTGGCCAGAGAGAAGCTTCGTCAGTTGAAGCCGAAGGAGAATTCGCCGGCACAAGCTGCAGAGAAGTTGCAGCCCGAGCCACCCTGCCTCAATTCCGCGCACCTGGAGGGCAACAAGGGCGAAGCAGGTTCCCAGCGGATGGAGATCAAGGTTGACGAGGGTGACAATGTGGGCGTCCAAGATGAAGAAGAGTTGACTTTCTTCATGTATACAAATCTTGCGAAGCTAGTCCCTCCCCGTATCGCCGAGCGTCTTCCACCTAATTCACCATGGAAACACGGTCAGAAGATAAGCAACCACCACCCGGACATGTTACTCCTCGAACACTGCCATCTCTTTGAGCCAAATACTGAAGGATACCCAACCGAGGAAGCCGCCATGGTCGATATTGCGTGCAGTTTATCGTTCGCACGTATCCCAATCATTCCTAGATACACACCGAACTGTGTCTTGACGCTCCTAACACGTCGCCTCCTTGATTGGCAACCTCAAATTGTACGGACAAAAGAGGTGGAATTTAAAGTCCCCAAGAAACCTGAAGGTCGGGGCGCGGTCTGACCCTTTCTTCATGTCCAAGAGGTGGAATCCGGATGACCTAATGAACCGGAGGGCCAGGAAGCTGTTTATGTCCCTCTCAAGGTTTATGACAATGAGCAAGAAGCCGATGGCCAGCACGAACAGGAGGCGCAACTGGAGTCTTTGGGTTCTCTCGCACGGAAGTACATGTTCTGCGTTAATGAGGCGGATGAGCAAAGGCAGTGCCATTCATGTATACCTCCTTCCTGTATCACGGTGATTGCCAAGAGAAGAATCACCCCGATATTCCAGGCTTGAAGGAACATGAAACTAAACTATGAGCTTGCCTTGTAACTTGTAGTATCTTTCTTCTGGGGTTGGTGGTTGTGATAAATGCCTTTGACATAGTCTAGATTTTATGATGGCCCTACTACTATGGATACTGAGAGTAGGAATTTGCGCCCAGAAAAGATGATACCCCGTTGAAGACTGCGAAGGGCCCCTGAAATGAAGCTTTACTCTAGTACGAGCTGGACGTGGAAACCTGGATATTCTCTCAGGAAACTGTTACTAGTCTACAAAAAACGTAGTGCTCCACGTTCAACTACCTCTACACGCTAACATGGTGCATGCGGGCTCTGTCCTCGTGGTTGGACTGTCTCAGACAGCTCGCGCATGGTTGCAGGTGACTAGCGGGCAGTGACGGCACTTCGCACTCGCGATATACGCTGTTTGCGAGGCGATGAGTGTAGCAGCTGTATCTGGTCGTAGAACGGTCGTAGTCCTGTTCTGTGAATGTTTGTGGAGTGTTTGCTGAAGAGGCGAGCGCCCGGCAAGGCTGCACTTGGCTGGCGCGACTAGGGGCCTGGGGGTAACTCAATTCTGACGACGCCCTGCCTCTCCGATCACTCACTGCTGGCCTCCTCGACGTCGCCCATCGCCTTTCCATCGCCAGGGACGGCCTCGCCATCGCCTTTCCATCAAACCGACACCGCCAACCGACTCGCACACTCGCCCGCCTCCTTCATGAGCGGTCTTACCTTCTGGAAACCGTTGTCTGAGCCTGGAGACTCCCGCTCCCGCCGCGGCTCTTCATCAGCGTCGCGGACGTGAGGGGCGCCAAGAGATTCTGAACATGCCCAACGCTGCATCGCACCGGGCATCCTCTCATGGCGCGCATCGACTCGATCGTCTCTCCGGTCCTCTCTCCAATGCGACCCGCCTGCGCACCCCGAATATGAGCGACGACGGCGCCATGTCCTTCGCCTCCGCCAATGTCTCCGGGGAGGGAGGTGACACAATCGGCGACGAGGACCCTCGCGCCGCCCTCTTCAGGGAGCGCTTCATCCTCACCGAGGCGCGCCTGATGGCCGCTTTGGGGGGCAAGACGCAGCATGATGGTAGCGATGGCAACAATGCCGGCAAAGACCCTCCCCCCGATGCCGCGCGCGAAGACCAGCCGCGCGCAGCAATCACCCCCAAGAAGCCCGCCCGAGCGATTGACGAGGACGACTATGGCGACGACGACGACGGCGATGACGAAGACGACGCCAACCAATCTCCCCTCCTCTCCAAAGGCGCACCCAATGGCGCCGCCCTCTCCAACCTCGACCCGCCCACCCTCAAAGTACCCTCCCTCCCCGCCAAGCTCGGCGTAGAACGAACAAGCACACCCTCCTCAGACCAGGCCAAGTCGTCGGACGATGTGCGGAAGAAGCTACAACAGGACAAGAAGGCCGCAGAGGATGCGGCGCGCAGGAGCTTCCACACCCTCTTTTATACACTGGAGAACGACAGGGACGCGATGTTGGAGCAGCAGAAGCTGGACGAGCTGGATAGACAAGTAGAGACGGAAATGTCTGGACATCCCGCTGCCGGTGTGACCAATGGCGCTGCCGGAGCCCCAGCGCAACAAGGATCCTTAAGCACAGCCAATCTCGGAGCCTCCAGTCTGACTCTCAAGCATCTCATCGCCCGGATCGATGCCAAACGAGATGCGGTCCACGCGACAGATGCTCAGCTGCGCAACCTTATCAGCGAGGTCCGCAAGAACCGAAGTAAATGGGCAAGTGAAGACCGGATTGGCCAGGAGGAGCTCTATGAGAGTATGGAGAAGGTCCTGATGGAACTAAAGGCCACTGAACATGCTCATCCGTTCCTGCAACGAGTGAACAAGCGCGAGGCGCCGGACTACTACATCGTCATCAAGCATCCCATGGACATTGGAACAATGATGAAGAAGCTGAAGGGACTTCAGTACAAGTCCAAGAAGGAATTCGTGGATGACTTGATGCTGATCTGGTCGAACTGTCTAAAATATAACGCCGATCCCGCACACTTCCTCCGAAAAAAGGCACTTTATATGAAGAAGGAGACAGAGAAGCTGGTGCCATTAATTCCCGAAATCGTAGTAAGGGACAGAGTGGAAGTGGAGGCAGAGGAGAGGAGGATGCGCAACGGGGATGTGGATGTGGATGGCGTCGAAGACAGTGATGATGGTAAGGAACTTGCTATTCTTCTCAAGCCCACTACTAACAATCAACAGAAGAACCCCTAATGGCGTCGCGAGGCCGAAAAGCGCCTGGCAGAGGAAACAAGGGCGGAAGTACAGCCCGGAAAGCTCCCCCAGCAGGTCTGGAGGATACGCCAGGACTAGACAAAAAACCGCCAATTCCTTCTTTCAACAACCTCAAAACCGAGTTTCTCCGAGCCGACTCTGAGATGGAAGGTAGCATCAATGGTCTCTCTACGCCACCTCCAGGAACTCTTACTCCTTTTGGTCCAAATGGTATATTTCGCGGTGGTGCCGCTGGCAGTCAAGCAGATGCATCAGAAGCGGACGGAACTGGTAACTCTGTCAGCGGTCTTACTTTGGACGCCGAGGACGCAGACTTGGATGACCTAGAGTACAAAACTTGGAAGCAGGTGACGAAGAAAGATAGAGCAACGATTGCGGCGGATCGTAACCGAATGTTTCGTGGCGACCACCTCAATGTAGAGGAGCCTGCTATCCTCAGGACTAAAGCTGGCATGCGACGGTGGCTGCGGCACCGGAAAGAAGCTTTGGAGGAAGACAAGAAGGACGACTCAACGACCCCAGATGGGAAAGACGGTATCCAACCAACAGGCGAGACATTGGCAGAGGGCATTGAGGGGGAGGACGAGCGACAAGTGCCTGATTACTACGATCCGGTGTCTGCCATTCCTGATATGTCTGAGCGGCTGAAATGGGTGGAGGATTCCGAAGGCAACGTCATCAATCAAGCTGAGGAATTCATGCGAATAGTGCCCAAGGGTTACTTTACGGCTCCGCAGGGTGCTTTGGCGTCCAAGATCGAGGCGAACATGCGACAGATGCAGGACACTAGGAAGATATGTGCCAAAATTGGTATCGTAAAGCAGATGCAGCTCCAATCACAGGTAATTAATCTAGTCCATTCCCAAGATCATCATTACTAACATAGCTATGCAGATGTATCAAAATCAGTTCCAGAAGTACGGCCCTCTACCTTTCGTCGAAGCCGACGTGGAACCCCTCGTGGTATCTGACGATGGGGCAATCATGTCTCCATATGTCTGCCGCGCTGCTCTACAGAGAAGCGTAGGGAAAATCTTTTACCATGCCGGATTCGAGGAATTTCAGCCATCCGCGCTTGAGGCTGTTACAGATATTGCTGGCAATTTCTTTGCGAACCTTGTTCGAACCTTGGGTGCCTACCAAGAGCAGCCAAAGATGAAAATGGAAGAGCCTAGTACTGCTTCTACAGGTGTCCAGTCCGCATGGAAGCCTCGATTCACCCAAGAAGAAGCCGTCCTCCATTCCTTACATGAAAATGGAGTCGACTTGGAGTCACTCGAGGGCTACGTAAAGGAAGATGTAGACCGACTCAGTACTAAACTTGCTGGCATGCACGACCGAATGAAGTCGCACCTAGCAGAGCTCCTTGTAAGTCTATTCGCCCAGGCCAAACCCACGTTTGCCATTTTACTAACATGTATTTCCTAGCGTCCGGCTCTCGATGGCAGCGCGGGAGCAGATGGTGCAGGAGCGTTCAACGATGGCAGCGAACAGTTTGTCGGAGGTGATTTCGCAGAAGACATCGACGAGGACTTCTTTGGTTTCAAGGAACTCGGTCTTGACAAGGAATTCGGACTCGCGTCACTTAGTGTTCCGCTTCATCTCCTACAAAACCGGATGTACAACCACGCCCAGTCGCAAAATGCGAGGTACGTATTCGGGACATCTTTCGTCTTCGATGGAACTGACATTTGCGGCAGCATCGTTTCGACCACTGGCGTGCTTATGGAGGAACCTCCCAAATTCGAGCCCGTCACGATTCGGAACATCACGAACGAAATCGGTCTCGTTCAAGAGTGGTTCTTGGCGAAGCTTCACCATAACAACGACCAACAACTCCCTGAAGACGAAGACTTGCCTGTTAAGCAACGCTTCCCTAAGCCGCGTCTACCTCCTACCGGCAAGATCTCGAGCCCGCGCAAACGTCCACTCAAAGAACAGCAACAAATGGCACGCAAGAAGCGTAAGCTTGAAGAGGGTAAAGACGACAGCACCAACAATGCCAATGCCACTGGCTCTGCGTCTGGGTCTGGGTCCGCTGTTGTTAACGGAAACGGAATGCCAAAGGCCATTGCGAAGCCAGTCGGAAAACTCAGGCTGGAGATGCCCGGCCAGAAAGACAGTCAAAACAATGCCGAGCCTGAGAAAGACGATGGGAGTGCAGTTGGTATGATTAGCCCAGAGAGCATCGGAGGAGCTTGAATGCTCCCTTGTGCTCTGCTATGTTCTTTGGCGATGAGTCGCTTCAGGGTTCCATCCTAAATCAGGTGGAGATTTGCTGATTTAGTGGCACAGGCCTTACGTTCTCAGGCCAGCCACAAGACGATTATCTTCTTGAATTCATGAACCAAAACATGGAGCACCTTCCTTCAGGCATGTAATTTATTCGTGGGTGCCTCTGGGCTTTTTTATTTATCCCAGACTTCTTTGGACCTTTTTCTCTGAGCCGTCTTCTCCAGTTCATCACAGACATTCTATCTTTATGGACCTCAGACAAGGAGATGCCATATTTGGGCAGGACTTGGTGTGGGTTGGTTCTTTCTTGGGCGTGTTACTGCTGCTGGCGCTTGGCGTGCGGTCTTTTCGGGCTTTATTGCAATCCGCAATGGCACTTTGGGATGGGTTGGTTGGGTGGTGTGCGGCTGTATACCCAAAACCTGAGAGCCTTTTTTTCTTTTGCATGATTCCCAATGAATGGGCAGCTCACTCGGGGTCGACATGGTGTTTATATGTACATATTGGACTGCGTGAACCGGCTGCCGGGGATCCTGTGTAGCTGCAATGGAGAGCGTGAACATCTGGGTGTCGGAACCTCATCTGACGGTGATGTCGCCATCTATCCGTGACCTTTAGGACCAGGGTGTTTTTCTTGCCAGGTGGGCAACCTCTCTGAAAGTTTCCTAATGCACATGTTTTCTGACCAGAGCACGAATCAGTTTGTCTGTGGCTTTGTTGGATCTGTCTGCCAACATCACACACCATGATTCTTATCACGTGGGTCATATGGCCTGAATCTTGTAGGTACAATCCACAGTGGCTGCAGGTGTGCTTTCTGCTCACCGTTACAAACTTGTAATATATTCACTTTTTACCCTGCGAGCGACTGTTGGTCCTTAAAAATCAACCTGATTCACAGGCCTAAAGGTGAGATTAACGTCTTGGATCGCAATGAGAGTTAGGCTCAGCGCACGTGCACATCTTCACTGTAGTGGGCTTCCAGCGAATCGAGACGCGAGGCGGCAAGCCTCGGATACCTAAGTAAAGACTTCATCGGCGCTCCCTCCGCCCTACTTCACAGTTGACACTCACGCTCTTTTCACTATTGTCCACTACAGTCATTCGCTCAGCCTGGAGTCAACATTGCCGCTCGTTACCCCAAAAGAGTCACTCTCTTCCGTCGCTCGCTACGCGCAGTACTAGTATCATCGCCTCCCCCTCAGGCTCCGCGCCCATAGTTGCCCGTCCTCCGCCGCCATTGTTCGTCGCCAGCTACCTGTCGCCTGCTTGTCTATCGCTGGAGTCCGTCACTTGGCCGGCCGTTAGACTTTCGCGGTGAAGATTAGCTAAAGGATTTCGTTCTGCGCGCCTTCAGGCCGCCTCTCGCTGCCTCGTACAGATCCGTTTGGGAAGCCATCGGTAGTAACGCCGCGAAATCAGAGCGGAAGTACGACAAGGGCAATAAATCGGATCGATAAATAAACACGGACGAAGTGTGGCATCTGATATACTCAGTACATCAACATTGGGGAAAACATAAACAAACAACTCGTCGAGAGCTTAGCTGGCCACCCTGCCACGCAAGGACACGCAAAAAGTTTGGCCATCACCTTCAGCATGGCCACCGTGCAAGAAGCCCTGGACGCGTTGGGCGTGAAGACAATAGCTGATCTCGTATCGGATATCCTAATGCGGGAGGCTTTCCTTGGGCCATGGGCAGTCTACCGAGATACCTGTTTCTGGGACTCACGCTATGAGCCATGGAGAGACCCTCTAGGAATGAAGCCGTTTGTCGCAATGGTCATGAAGGCGTTCGAGGAAGGCGTATCTCAAAGCGACTGCAAGGACACAAAGGACTCCTTAGACATTGAATACCATCAATCGCTGCTATTCTCATCGCTTCTACGCAACCTTATGCAGCAAGGCGAGTTCTTTCATGGCAAAACAGGCCATGAGGAGAGCTACCCTGGACTGATCAAGGCACTGAGGAAACTCACTACAGGGGTTTTGGTAAAGCACTACAGAGACAACCGCGGACTTGGAGTGATCGTCGAACGGGCGAGACCTTCAAAGATCCACCTCGAACGATCGTTGTTACTCTGCAAAGGCCATGCATCAATACCGAAAGAAGCACCCAAGGAGAAAGGCAAATCAAAGCTGAAAGCACGCGGGCACAGCTCTAGAATCGATAATGATCAACAACAAGATGACGCTGGCGCAGTCATTCGCTGTATCTGTAAACGTAAGGGTGATGATGGGGAGATGATCCAGTGCGACAAGTGCGACGTTTGGCAGCACACGGACTGCATGGGGCTTCGAGGGCAGGATTGGGAAACAAAGGCATATTATTGCGAGCAGTGCTGTGTGGACTCGGACCCGAGCGCTCCAGACGGAGAGACGACTATCACGGCGATCACGGGCCAGGACGCCCAGGCTCCGTCGCTCTTGACTCCAGAAACGGTCTCGCCGCCCAAAGAAGCCTTGAACAACACATCCGTTGTCCTCAAACATGATTCCGCAAGGCCCCAGTCGCAAACCGAGCCCGGAAACAATCCCCTTCCCCGCACAGGCAGCGATACCGACAGTTCTCCCTCCTCCAACCCGCTATTGCTTCTAGCTGCTGCCGCCTCGCAAGCGACTCCGATAGCTCTTGAGGAGAATGCAGGAGATTCGCAACCGGTCCTATGCTACCATTGTGGGGCTAGCGAACACGCTGCTCGTGATTGTCAGGACCCATCCGTGACGTGCAGCCTTTGTGACATGGTCGGCCACATTTCTAATCATTGTCCAAGAAGCGCATTGACTGGGGGCCTGGCTGCTGCACCTCAAGAGAACCCACCCGGTGCTCCGCAGTTCATAGAATTCGAGCCAGAGATTTGGACTCCAACTTTCCTGGATCCTCATGCAACATCAATTACAAGGGGAGGTTTGTCAACTCAAGCCCAAACACAAGCATACGGTACCGACGAGTTGGCAGCCAGGCCAGCTTCTGCGCCGCCAGCTCAGCCGCCTCTCAGAACGCAGCTAGAAAATGTGGAGAAAGACATGGGCATAAGGGCGCCGCTAGGGTCTAGCAGTGGTGCTGCCAACAGTTCCAGCCTAGCATTCCCTCCACGGGGTCGTGTCTTGGGGAGGTCTTTAAAGCGGCGGAAGGGTGCCTTGGCAGTGCGCGTTCCAGCTTCAAATGAACTCGGCGACGAACAGGAAACGATCATGGTAGAGCACAACGGGAAGCGGAAGCAGTTCCTCAAGTCGATGGGCTCGCTGAGGACAGCCGATCCTCAGATCTATTACTCCAGTAGCGATTATGCGACTGAGGCTGCTCGCCGACTGCAACTTTCGGAAGTACCTCAAGCATGGGACAACAACGCTCGTGATATCGTCCAGGACACGACGGGTTCATCTCCCACGGGCATCACTCAAGGTGGTTCTGATGTGAGAGGTGTCCTACCTACGTCAGATCAGGGTAGCTCACCGCATCCCACACTCAGGGATTCAAGCGCTGCTAACAGGCCTGCTACTGTTGGGGTGAGTGATTATCAGCAGACCTCTATGCTTCAGTCTCGGTCACCTAGACTTCTTCGCCCTCTCACATCGCATGAGGTTGCTACAAGCTTGCTCAATCGGCCCTCTCCCTCTACAACTCGATTTCCCACAGTCAACGTTCCAGACCGAGTTTCAGCAGTCAACCAGGGAGCTTCATCTCCAGCCGCTGGTCAATCTCCACAATCCGGAAGCCAGCCTACATCAATCGGGCACAAAGACCAACCACAGTCCAATTCTAATTTGGTACCTACCGTCAACTCGACTGGCGGTCCGTCAAAACCGGCTGGGCTCCATCCTTTCGAGAGATCTCTATTGAGCGTCAACCGTCGTGCTATTGGTCAGCCGCGTACATTGTCTCACGGCCCACCCGTTGCTGAAGAGGCCTCCACGACTCCTCAGTATTCAATGCAGTACAGCACCTCAGGACGCCCCTCAACTCATCAGTCGCCAACGCAGCGCAACTCGGCACCCGATCAAGTTCCGATGCAGCAGCACGAGCAGATAATATTCGTCACTCGTCGGGGACCAATCATGGATCGACGACAGCATCCCGTTCCAGATATCAACATCACGGGACAGGCACAGGGACTTCCAGGAGTTTCTGGACCAGCAGGTGCAGAAGGAGAACGCCAACCTACCCACACGGTTACAGTATACCATGTGAGGGGACCCCCACCCAATCCCACACCAGGCCGATCAAACATTGTCCGCACCCCCAGCCGTACCATATCTCCCCGGGGTCAGTTCTGGGCGAACCAGCTCCGCCTCTTGTACGCTAAGCAGCTCCGGATTGGTCGTCTTTGCCGGGCAATTGCGCGGGGGGACAGTGTACCCCAGAACTATGCGCTGCTCAAGATCACGAAGCGGGAATACGTGGACTTGAGAACCGAGATTCTGGGCTACAACAGTTACCATATGACTAAGTGCATCGAGGATGACTTCCCGCTGCCTTCTAGGAGAGCGGTGGAGACGGACTGGGTAGAGAAGACGTGGGTGTGAGCGTCTTTCTAAACTGTGCAAGATTGTTCCTGAAGTGAGCCGATTGGAGTCCGCTCTATATGAGATTTGCATACATTCCTCTGCTACTGTATGAGGTGTCTCTACGCTATCTCGGATCTTGAAGACCAACGAGCACTTGCGATGGTGAACTAAAGGCTTGGGTCATGGTGGTGACCTCAAAATTGGATTGATGGTGTCCTTGAATATTCACGGGAGGGCCACTAACTGGTAGGTGGATAGGTAGGCTTTTACTCCTCTTATGTCCTCTCAAAACTCTCTTTTCTTGCTTGCATTGGTTCTACACGATTGGTAGCATTCATGCTACATTTCTTTACTTCACTTCAATTCTCGACTCTGGTATTGCGAACACCCGCACCTGAGGAATCGCTAGTAGTACCAGCACTAGCAAAAATACCAGCCCGGATTAAAGACTACATCTTCAAAAGATGCGAATATTGAAAGGGCTGGTCTGGTGGATTTGCCGGTTTAATTTTGCTTTGATGCTCTTTGTACAAAAGAAAAAGATTTCTCCTCTCCAGAAATAGAACAGATCCACCAATACCGCACCCATGAGTCACTTTGCAGATAGAATCTGCTCAAATTGCTAGCGGTGTCCGTGATTGTGAGCGTCAGCGGACTCGTAGGTGCAGAACTAGTAGCGCTTTAGATCGCTTTTTGGTTGGTTGAGTGTCTAACAGCATGTGACGTTCGCCGATTTTTATAAACTCCATGACCGCTGTCTGTGGTGCCTCAAGGAGGGTTTGAAAATACAAATGGGGTCTAAGCACATCGTTCTAGGCATCTAGTAGATTTGCTAGGCTACTTCAGACAACGGCAAAGGGGTGTATGTGGTTTCCTGGCGGCCTGTTCACGCGCGGACTACGTACGCTTGAATGGTTCATTAGATATGTGATATATACAAGTGTAGTTGACTGTCGAACAAAGACCTAGGAAGGATTGCGTCTCCACTAAACGTATCGTGGGTTGACGAAAAATCACTCCGATTGCGCTCCCAGCCTCCTGAAATTGTATTCGTGCGTGAGGTCTGGCTCTCCTGAGGCTACGGTGGCCAGAGCAGACTTGGCAAGTTTCGAAAAACTATTTGACTTCGCCCTACCCCGGGCCCTCTTCTCTTCTTCGCCCTCGGGCATCCCCTCCTTCCACCTCCAAAAATCAAGGTCTCACTTCCATGTATCACCATATCTTTTGTATATGTAGGGCACAAACCCGGCCCTTGTAGACTATGCTATCTCGACCCTTCCCCGGCCATGTATTCCCACCCTTTGTCACTCTTTCGGGGCAGCATATTCACAGATACTTAGGTGGAAAGTGATCGTTCAGATGGATATGTGAGATGCTTGTGGACATGGTTGGATATTATTGAGGTTTTTGACCCGAGAAGGGTTTTCCTCGCAAATGATATACTCGTTCTAATCTACACATTATTTCTTTGCTGTGATGTTTGTGAGGGTGCAGCGCTTGCCATACTGCTAAACACGAGAGAATCCATAATCGCTCGTAGGTAACTTATAAATATCGTAAGCGTATCAGCGTCAGCCGTCCAATTACACGATCATTACACGCCTTCTTTCGGTCCGTCAAAATCAAAATCGAACTTGTGGACATCCTCAAGGCCTGGCGGAGCAACCTCAGGCTCAATTTGAGACGCACTCTTCGAATTCGTTGCCTCATCGACAACACCACTCTCCTTGACAGCCTTCAAACTGACCATGCTGCCGCCGACCTCATCTTTCCCGCCTCCGGTAAGTCGCGAGAGCGCATCATTCCGCTCCTGCTGCACGCCCTCCTCCGACCGCGGCAGAGCATCAATACTCTCACCTCGACTCCACCTCTCCCCCTTCATCTCCGGCAGCTCCGGAACGGCAGGCATATCGATATCCGACATGCCACCCGGCCCAGTGAACCCCGACCACCTCGAGCTCATACTCGCAGCCACGGAGCTCCCGCGACTACTCCTCTTGACCTTCCACGCCCCCGTCTTTTCATCCATTTGCAGCGTGCTCGGGCCATATCTCAGGCTATCCGCCAAGGTGCGCGTATCAGAGAAGATATCATCCTGGTACATATGCAGCGTCATATCGCTGCTATCCACATGATTCGTGAAGCTATCGCGGGGCGGTTCTTCGGCATAGTCGCCCGGCTTCTTCGCGCCGTCGGGCACCCAGAAGCGCAGGTCGAAGCGGGTCCAGGCGTAGAGCACGACGACGAGAATCTCGGTGGTGAAGGAGAAGACGTAGAAGCAGGCCGTGGAAAGGTACCATGGCGTCGCAGCGCGTAAGGGGGTCGGGTTGAGCCAGGAGGTGCCGGCGCGGAAGGAGGCGCCGAGGGTGAGGGTGGTCACAGCGAGGGCGAGGATGAGGATGTTCTTCGTCATGTTGCCCTCTCCAATTCGCTCTTTGCCGTGCCGGGGGAGGAGAGCGTTGATAGCGAGGACGAGGAGCGGTACGAAGGAGAAGAGAGCAAAGTAGGTTAGGCCGGCTAGTTGGATGTTGCGGTCGATGCGGTGGATGTTTCTGTCGAGGGTGAAGAAGGATTGGAGGGCGACTGTGACGAGCATCAAGAGGCAGCAGATCAGAAGGGCGAGGGCGCCTCGGTGGATGATGCGATAGGGCATCGACCAGCCGAATCGAGGGTTTTGAGCTCGTATTATGCGTTGGGCAAAGAACCAGTTCATGATGAAGAGGATGACGGTCCCGACGTAGACGAAGATTTGAGCAGCGATGCCGACGCTGACGTTTTTTCTGTTGCAGGCCCATACTATCCTGAGAGACATGGTGGCCATCCGAATTACGCAGAATGCTGGCTACATGTCAGCGCGAGCAATATAGAGGAGGAGCGGGATTCTTACCCAGCATAGCTCGGGAGAAAATGAACTTGTGACCCCGTTTCCTGTTCCTGATATCGATACGAAGATGAATCGCAGAGAAAATTACGTATAATAATAGAAAGCTACCAGTGATAGGTACATCTGGAATCAATCTGGGAACACCTCCTGAGCTCTTAGTCTGAGGCGCATACGGAGGGCCACCGGGCGGCAGCTGCTAATTGGTCAGATATTGTATCTAGCAGAGCGCAGCATGTGAGAAGTGGTCAACGCGTACCTGATTTGGAGATGCCATGACCCTGACTGAGTTACTGAAAGAATCTGTGGGATCCCAAAACTTAGCAAGAATATGGAGTCACGAAAGGCTATAAACTATATCAACGACATGCGATCACAGGGTTGCGTGGATGTGTGGATGCATGGATGCATGGAGGCGTGGGGCCGAACCACTAGAATCTTAGATCTGGGGAGAGCACCGAGGGAGCTTGATTGTCAGTGACGAATAGGAACGGGGTCTACTCCGTGAGGAGCTGATCGTAAGTCTAGGGTTCTCTGCATACCGGGCACCATTGCTGCAGTTATTGCTGTGGCTTTCTTGGAGCTCCAAACACGAAGCTGTAGAACGGACTGTTAGCGTACTAATTAAACATGAGCATCAATATCTATTTGAAGCACTGTTAGTCCTGATTCCCACCTGATTCTTATGGAGATTTTATGAGGTTGTTGACAATCGTTTCGTTCGGCTCTCCGCTGGCTGCCGTGAGTGATCGTCATGCATATCCGTCACGTGATATGGGTACACAAGCCCAACTACTAGCAACCACGTATGCCGAGCCGAGCTCGAAGGCTAGCTGAGAGGTCGGCGAATCGGGAGAATGAGATAGGCATTTGACAAGGTGACGGATGTATGTCCGCGATTAGCTGGACACTTCAACAGTGCATGCTCTCTGGATCGCTAGAATAACTTCGAAATACTTTGCGGCTATGAGATAACACACCTTTGCAACCTGTTTCTCAGTCATGGGCGCCTTCCAATAAGTATTCCTTGATGATCGACTCAAGAACTTCTTTGATAGTCGCGAATTCCCGTGTGGACTCGACTTGCCAATTGGAAATTGCAAACCGGCAGGCAGGGAGCCCCTCCCATGCTGTTCCTGACACATATACTTTCCGGGTGGCTTTAATCCTTTGAACTAGCTCCTCGTTAAGCTTATTGTCCTTGGCCTTGAAGAGGACGATCATATAGGTCTGAGCAATCTGGTTTTCTTTGGGACCGTCGCTGTACGGTAATAGCTCGTAATCATCGCTATCCACAATGAAATCTGCGATGAATCGCGCTAGAGCAATTTGCTGCTCAAGCATCTCGCGGTAACCATCGCTACCGTGCGCAAGCAACGTTGCATAAACGGGTAGAGCTCGGAATCGGCGGGAATTTTCGAGACCGACGTTCAGCGGCGACAAAATCCCGTCATTCGACCCGGTTGTGGCTAAATATGCTGCGTTTGGGTTCTGGAACACTTTTTGAGCATATGAGGGATGGCGACTGAGATAGAAGCCGCAATCGTACGGCTGTGTTCGGTCAGGTATGGCTTCTATCAATTCCTGATGGAATACTTACAACATTCAGTAGTTTGTGCCCATCCCCTGTAATTGAGTCGGCCAGCTCCAGGCCTTCGCAGCCAGATATAATAGAGCTGTATTCTGGGCCAGAGAGCATTCTACCCATTAAGCCAAATGCTAATGCGGTCAGTGCTTAGAAATCATCACGAGCATCTTCAAGACGTGCGTAGGGTTGCACGAAGAACAAGATAGGAAGCAAAGGCGTGAGAAGGAAGTTGATGAGTAGACGAGATCTCTAGCGATATGGTGCTTGATGAACAAAGAAACTTACCGCCATCAACATGGATCCAGGCACCATGCATGTCACATATGCTTCTTAGCTCTTGTAACTCAGCCAGCGAAGTGGTCGCAAAGAGGCCGGTGTTTACATCTCCCGCCGAGATCGATACAATTGTCCCGGATCCCGGCGTTCCAATGTACTCCTTGAAGAGTGTCATGTCAATCCTATGGGTGGATCCTTTCAAAGAAACGTCTTTGACCGAAGCGCGACCAAGACCAACAATGCTCGCAGCCTTGTATATCGAGGAATGTGGAACAGTCGTTAGAATTTGTATCTTTTCTAACCCGGCGCGGTGCATCGCTTCAACAATCCCAAGTCCTCCTACACTCAGGATCTCTTCGTTTCGAACAGCTGAAGCTTCTCCGATCACGTACTCCCGGCCAAGAGCTAGACCCAGAACGTTACTGGCGGTGGCCCCAGTCGTGAAGATTCGGTGTTGCCACACCGTCGCGTCAAACTTCAGCAGCTCACATAGCATGGTCAGTGCTTTGTCTTCCACTTCGGTCGCAATCGTCTCTGTGGGCAGGTGGACTGCGACGTTTTGATCATGATATGTGACCAGGTTGTCCGCAAGAGCGGCTGCTGGTGTAGTGCCTCCAGTCACAAAGCCGTAGTAGTTTGGAGACCGGCTCGAGGCATTGAACGCAGGTGCGAGATCTTCCGTGATATGAGATATGGCTTCGGCGGAGCCTAGACCAACCTTTGGGAGGGTATGGTGGAGGTGTGTGCGAGCATGAGTCAAAAGATGTCCCTCGGGCAAAACACTTGTAGAGATGGCGGCGGAACGCAGTTGGCTCGACATTATGAGTACAAGGCTATGAGACTGTTGAGATTGATACCGCTAGGGTGAATTGATGAAAGGAATTTGAATTGCTTCTCATCGTTGAGGAGGAACCGTCCTTTTGTATCGCCACACCGTGACTTTGGCACGCGCTAAAACTCACAGCCTAGCTAGGCAGTTCTATCCTGTTAGGCATATCAGTGAGCGGGTAAATTGACCGGCTGGTGCTAGATCGCAAAGTATTTCCCTCTCGTGAAGGTTGTTAGTCACCGCTTCGACCTCTTCTGAAACCTCGGACTAGGGGGTGAAGTTGCTTCTGCACGTGATCTCGCGAGAATTGTTAGCGCGCTTTGGACGCGCCTCAATCAACCTCAACCTCAACCTCAGCTACCACCACGACGACACGTCCCCGGGATATCGCCCACCCCCGTCTGCCAGCCCTACCACCAACTGTGATAGAGACTCAATGCGAGCCCCCGCTGATCATGCTCCGCCCTCATGACGCGGAACAATCTAAATGAGCACCTTGCCTGGTTGTTGTCCAAAAAGCCATTCATACCTCCGGCTATCGCATCTCTACCCTTCGTTTCGGATCGCGCTCCGGACTCTACGGCACACTCTGAACAGTCTCTCTCAAACCGCGGACCTCCTTTGGAACATGCCACCAGCAGTACACGTGCTCAGCCTCCAACAGCTCGAACCGACCTTGCCACACGACAAACACAGATCCAGAACAACCATAGTGCCGGCGAGGCTGATCCTGATATGGCCCGACTACGGCCCGGCTCTTCGTCTGCTTCGAGACCCCGACTTCTGATTCAAGGACGTCAGACGCCGAGTGGAACACCCTCCGGTGTATCTACTAGGCCCCGCTCTCCTGTGCAAGACAATGGTACGTACTGATAGAACAAGGAGGTTTTCAGTACTGACAACCTTACTTTTACAGATCATTCAGAGAATTTCACGCATACTCGTCCAAGACCGGCAATTACCACGCGACATCCTGCCCCTCAAACTGGCAGCTCTACCGGGAGATCTAGAACAAGAAAGCCGGAAGCATGGGACACTGTCGACGCTGTTGACCTTACAGGGGGCAGCAACGGACCCCAATCGTCAAGCCCAGTACCAGAGACAAGGGGAAAGAAGCGGAAGAGTGAAGACTTCGAGTCCGACCTCCGGTCTAAGCCTTGTTCGCGGCCCCCGAGAGCAAAACCTGCAGCTTCGAACCTTTCCCCCGCAAACGACGTCGAGTTCATAGCAATCGATGTCGTTTTAAGCGATTCACTAGACGAACCACCGCCGCCTTATTCTACCATGGCACAGAATCTCAAGAGTCCTGTAAGGGAAGAACCATCCGATTGGCACAATATTGACGACGATGATTACAATGGAACGGATCTCGTGGCAGAGCAGGATGAGCGGTCGTTTGTGTCTAGAGAAGAACGGACCACCATTAAAACAACAAGCATTCGAAGATCGTTGAGTCAAGTGACGTCCGATGTCTCATTACCCGCCCCGAAATTGAGGAGCCAGGAGCAACATTCTTCTCCGCAAAAGAAAAAGCTCAAAATTGAAAACGCCACTCCAAGTGCGTCTTTCTCTACAGGGAAGAACAAGAGGGTCGTGCCAGACACAATCGCGGACTCTGAAGACGACGAAGACGATTATGGTGTTATGGAATCTCAGCCTAAAAACCCACTCAGCTATTCGGTCCGGTCACCAAAGAAATTAGCGTCACCAACGAAGCCAATAAAGACCCTTGTACCGTCTTCATCGCCTGTCCGCTCACAGGCTGCTCCGCACCATGCATCGCCATCTCCACAAAGAAATCGAGAAGACCTAGGAATCGTTACGAAGAAACAGACTCTGCCCTTGTCCCAACGCGAGCCCCAGTCGGCCCCTCATTTCATTGCAGAGTCACAGAACATCGACTCAAAGGAGCTGACTTTTGCCGAACTTGATGATGCGCAGAAAGGTCTCATCTCGAAGATTTTGGCCGGTCCAGAAGAGAAGCTCCGTATGCGCTTGGAAGACACGTGCTCCGATATTCAGGCTACGCGACACGAAATCATCTCTTGTTTTGAAGCTGGAGATAATGTGATTAACTTGCAGCAGAGACTTCAAGCCCAAGTCACATCTCTACGGACGAAGAAGCAATCACTTGAGCGACTACTCACCCTTAAAGACGATTTTCTCAACTCTATGAGGGAAGCGGACGGCTGGCGCCGACGGATGAGAGACAATTTGCGACAACGCTTCCCAAGTAAAGCAGAACTGGAAGAAGCGATGGAGATCTCAAAATCTTTGAAGGCTATCGAAGAGGAATCATTTTCCGTTCTCGAACCTGCTGGCCTCCTAGGCGACCCGGTTTATCTCCAAGAGATTACTCATTCTGTGGCCGATCGCTCCGAGGTTGTAGTCCAGTCGACTCAAGTAACGCCGAGGCTGGACCTTCGAATGAATCAGCTACGATCAGAGGCAAACCCTGCTGCTGCTGCACAAACACAATATGTGAAACAAACACAGATAACTTCCAACGGAACCTGGAAACCTGCTCATGGAGTTCGATTTGCCGAATCACCAATGGCTGATGGAGAGCCGGTCAACGAAGCTACTATATCAGTATTCTCACCCAAGGTGACTGAACGCAATCGTATACATGGCACCACCTATGAATCTAAGTCTGTCTCAAATTATGACCAGGCATTCGACACAAGACCGCGGAACCCGCAATACAGATCTGATCATGCCCCTGAAGTGGAAGCATTCGCCCGAGACGAGAGTGCGCAATTTTGGAACCCAAACGAACACATCCCGGATGAGGAGTATGGAGAAGACTTTGATCCAGAAGAAAACTTGTTCCAGCCTCACATGGGAGAGGGGCGCGTTCAAGATAGCGACGATGATTTCCACGACGGTGAACTTGACGATGAAGCTTTACTAGAAGTGGAAGATTCCGAATTCCAGGAGCCAAAACAAGTATTCGACTGGAAGGGCACTCCACGTGATGTTCTTGCGGAAACATCTATAAACCCTACCCGCCTTCCAAAGCCAGCCTCCCGGCCATCGCCTAAGAAATCGCTGCTAGAGAAGCCTGGCATTGACCCGGCATTGATGAACCATCCATGGTCGCAAGATATAAAGCATGTGTTGAGGAGTCGATTTACACTCAAGGGATTCAGGCCCAACCAACTCGAAGCCATCAATGCTACTCTCAGTGGTAAAGATGTCTTTGTACTGATGCCTACGGGCGGCGGCAAGTCTCTTTGTTACCAGCTGCCCTCAATCTTAACGTCCGGAAAAACCAAAGGAGTGACCATTGTAGTGTCTCCCTTGCTAAGCCTGATGGAAGACCAAGTCAACCACCTCAAGAAGCTCGATATTCAAGCTTCCTTAATAAACGGAGACTCGTCTCCGGAGGAGAAAAGAGTCATCACGACCGCGCTTCGGGACCCGAATGTTGAGCGATACATTCAATGCCTTTACGTCACGCCAGAAATGCTGAGCAAGAACCAGTCTATGATCAACAACTTCTCTGACCTACATAGACGAGGCCGTCTTGCGCGGATAGTCATCGACGAAGCTCACTGTGTCAGTCAATGGGGTCACGACTTCCGGCCTGACTACAAAGCTCTTGGAGAAGTGCGACGGCAATTTACGGGCGTGCCTGTTATGGCATTGACTGCGACTGCTACGCAAATGGTCAAGAAAGACGTCATGTTCAATTTAGGTATCGAGGGATGCGCAGTCTTCACACAAAGCTTCAATCGACCTAATCTTACCTACGAGATTCGGAAAAAGGGCAAAGATGTAATTGGCGACATGGCCAATACAATCAAGGGGAAGTACAAAAACATGTCTGGGATTGTTTACTGTCTTTCTCGGAAAAGTTGCGAGGAGAACGCAAAGAAACTCCGTGAAATCCACGGCATTTCAGCACACCATTATCATGCTGGGTTGGAGCCTAAAACTAAGTCAGAGGTGCAAAGGCAATGGCAACAAGGGGTCTACCACGTCATTGTTGCTACCATCGCGTTTGGAATGGGTATTGATAAGCCAGATGTGCGGTTCGTGATGCATCACAGCATACCAAAGAGCTTGGAAGGCTATTATCAGGAGACTGGACGTGCGGGCCGTGATGGGAAGCTATCTGGTTGTTACCTGTACTATGGGTACGGGGACACGAGGTCGCTGAAACGAATGATTGACGATGGTGATGGCGTCTGGGAACAAAAGGAACGACAACGAGCGATGCTTCGCAACGTCGTTCAGTTCTGCGAAAATCGAAGCGACTGCCGCCGAGTACAGATTCTGAAATATTTCAGCGAATCGTTCCGTCGTGAGGACTGTAACAATACCTGCGACAACTGCATGTCGAATGCTACTTTCGAGACTAGGGACGTCACCGAGTACGCAGCCGCTGCGATAAAATTGGTGGGCAAGATTCAAAAACATAAGGTAACGCTCTTGCATTGTGTTGATGTATTACGTGGTGCGAAAGGCAAGAAAATTGGCGCATACAGCCAACTGCAAGAGTTTGGTGTGGGTGCAGACCTGGAGCGTGGAGATGTTGAGCGTTTGTTCCAACATCTTATAGACGAAGAGGCTCTTCAGGAGGAAAGCGTCATCAATAAAATGAAATTCGCGACTAATTATATTGAAGTAAGTACTTACCTCTCTTTCCTATATCGTATGCTGACTTGCCTAGCTTGGGCCAAGAAGTGACGAGTACGTCAGACGTAGGAAACCTCTGAGCCTGCAGGTTCGCCTTTCACCAGATGCGAAGCCGAAAGCTGCCAGACCTACAGCAAAGAGGAATGGGAAGCAAGCACGGACGGGCGTAGCGGCCGCTCGAGCAGACTATCCCTCAACCAATCTGTCTTCTCCCGTCGCGGCTGCTACTAAAAGGCGCAATCGCCGTATCGTTGAGGAGGACGAAAACAGTCAGGAAGATGAAGATCCCGACAGTGAGGACGACCAATTTGTGGTTGCTGACGACTTCTTCGAATTTTCTGACGAAGACAACGAGTTGAAATCGGCGCCGAAGGCTAAAAAGCCGCCACGTACCAAACGACGAGATCCTGGACCTCCCATCACCATTGACGAAAAAATTGCCAACTTGGACCCGTTGCAACAGAGTGTATTGGAGAACTTCATGGAAGAAGCCAAGAGAAAGGCCAAGAAAATCATGGTCCTCAGGAGCCTTCGTAGCCAGCCATTCTCAGACACTATTCTCCGCGAGATTGGCATTTCGCTTCCGACTACCCAAGAAGAACTCTTCCAGATTCCAGGCATCAACGCAGACATGGTTCGATTGCACGGCAAAGTCTTTCTAGACCTGGCCAAACGGACAAAGGAAATCTTCCTGCCTCAGGATCCGAACCATCAGATTGTCAATTTGATTAGCAGCGATGAGGAGAGTGATGCTCCAGAGGAGTACTCTGCCAGTTCTGAAGGGGAAGAGGACGACGAGCCTCTGCAACGTAGCTCTTACTTCCCGCCTCCCGACGTTGCCGCTTTCAATAAGCGATTGTCTCAAGCTGCGGGAGTTCCACCGCAGCCGGCAAGACCTCAGACTTCGACTGGTGGCCGATCAGGAGGATACCGAAGTGGATCGAAGAGCAAGGCTTCTTCTTCGAAGTCGGCCTGGCCGAAGAGTGGTAATAGGTCATCCGGAGGTAGCAAAGGTCGACACTCAGGCGGCGGCGTCTCTAAGAGCAAGAAGGCTCCTAAAGGAAGGACAGGCGGTGGGAACACGTTTCAACGTAGCGGCGGTGGCGGCGGCGGCGGAGGAGCATTTGGGGGCATCGGCATGATGCCGACGTGATCTTTGTTGCTATTAATGGCTTTACGATTGACGCATGGGCGGCGCTGGGGCTTTACGCATTACGATCATCTGTGTAACATTGCGACAAGCAAGCACGGAAGTAGTCTTTATATCATAGATCATCCTGATATTTCAAACTTGGTATCTTTTTTGTACAATTCCTACGTACGCGAGCACGACGCCACCTTTTCACGTATGACCCTGAGACCTGACCCAACTACTTGACAGCCCTACTGAAAGCCCTCCACATCCTCCTCCGACTCCAGCTCCTCCTCCTTGACATACCCCTCATCCCCATCCTCCATGTCCACATCCTCAGCCTTGACCTCCTCCTCAATCGGTGGCAGCACGCCCCCATTCTGCTTCAGCGCCGCCACCTTCGCCTGCGTCATCTCGTACACGTACTGCCCGAGGTGCTCCACCCCCTCCATCTCCGTCCACTCCGCTTTGCCGATTAGTAGGCGCGTAGCGGGATACATCTCGTTAGTGACGAGCGAGAGTTTGTCCTCGCGGCGCAGCAAGCGATCAAACGCCTCCTTGAGCTCGAAGCAGGCCTCGAAGACGTCGCGGCGGCCGAGGATATACAAGCCGAGACGGGCGCGGGAGAGGGCGACGGTGAGGCGGCGGATGTCGCGGAGGTAGCCGACGCGGGTGGTGCGGGTGAGGGAGAGGATGATATCTGGAGTTACTTGTCAGTCACATGATCATTTCGCGATTTTGATAAGGGAGGGAGAAGGGGGTTCTTACAATCATTTTGCTCGCCCTGGTACTTATCCACCGTCGTGACAATCCTCGGCATCCCAAACAGCCTGTTCTTCGCGCAGCGGTGTGTTAACACGTCCCGAATCAGCGCGCGCTGTCCGGCATACGTAGTTAGTATCGAGATCTTGGAGGCCGGGTAGCCCAGCAGCCGCATGTACATGAACAACGCGACGGCGTATTCGGCCTCGCCGAGGTTCTGGATGAAATGGGGCGTTGGTTCCATTTCGCCTTTTCCTTTGTAGTCGGGCACGTTGATGAATTGGTAGTCGTAGCGGAAGCCGGCGTTTGCGGTCTGGAACTCGGGCGCTGTTTCGACGATGGGGAGATTTCCGAGACGATGGTAGCGCCATTTGTAGAGCTCGGCAATACTGGGGCGGGCGCGGCCCTGCTGGTCCAGCATGATGGTAGGGACACCCAAGCGCACAAGTCGGAGGAATAGGCTCTGCTCGAGGTTGGCATATTGTCGGAAGGCGAGATTTTGGATGATGGGGGAGTTCTGGAGGTGGTCTCCGCAAAGCACGACACGCTGTAGAGGTAGCTCCCCGTTTTTAGGGTGCTGAAGAGCTAGAGGTATGAAGTTCTCAATCTCTGTAATCTGTGCTGCTTCCTCCATGATGACATTGTCGTAATGAAAGCCAAGATTAGCAATTTCTTGTCTTCGCATAGCGGCGTGGGTAGATGTCATAGCAACAATTCGAGCTTCCTTGACGAGCAGGTAATTAGCTTTGTCCCGCGGCCTCCCTAGAATCTCAAAAGGACGAATGTCCTCTAGCTCGGTGAAAATCTTCTCGACGTGTCGGTAGCAGCCTTCGACTACATCCACGATCTCTTCGCGCGTTGAATCCGGTTCAAATAGAGGCTGGGGAGCAGTGGAGAAATACATCTGGAACGGAAACTGGTTGATGATCTGCTCGATCGTGAAGTCGTCAGACTGCACGAGGTCCCAATACTTCGTCCATGCTGGTAACACGTAGACTGAATTGAAATACCCAGCAGTCTCACAGGAGCTTCCGTGGGCCCCAGGTGCGCCAAAATTCTGCGCGAGGCGGTCGACCTCTTGCAAAAAGCGTGCTCGATTCTCCAAGAAAGATTCCACACGGCCATATTTGCTGTAATTGGCTTCCGTTTCAAGTTCCTCCTCACCATGACCGAGACGAAGAAGGTGGCGTTCGTCAATGTCGAGCGCCACAATCTTCTGGAAAAGCTGATTGAGCGCTTGATTGCTATGTGCTATGAGTAAAGTCCGCTGGTCTGGGAAGTTGTGATATATGTTGTTTATGATCTGGGTAGCAACATCCGTCTTTCCGGTACCGGGTGGGCCGACCACAACCGTCAATCCAGGCTGGGTACCTGAGGTTATGGCCTCGATTTGCGTAGGGGTAAATCGAACAGCGTTCAACCTTGGTGCGTCCGTTGGATATGGCCCGGTGTTTGGTGGTTTGTATGTAGATACTTGCAGAGACTCATGTACAGGCTGTGGCTGTGTGATCTCAACTTGATCTCGTCGTCGTTTCTTGGATGGCCTAACTGGGATTGGCTCTGCATCCCCAGCTGGGAATTCCACTACGTAAGGAGGGCCAAAGCTAGAATCTGCATCCTCGTGAGGCTCAATTGATTTGCCTGGTAAGCTCTGAATGAGATGATGCCAGTCAAGGAAGGTGTCGCGGAAATCTATCGAATGCAAGCGGTTTGAGAGGCGCTTGTAGGTCGCTGATGTAGGATCTCCATATCCCAGAAATACCTCTTGGAGCCACGACGGCGCCGGTATATCGGACAATGTGAGTTGCTTGATGGATTCGAGAATTGGCTTGAAGTTATTTTCGCGTCCTCGGCGGCGAACAATGAGGTTGATATTTTCATAAACGCTTGGTTTGCCAGTTGCAACTCGATCCATGTCTTCTTTATACGCGACAGCGTCTAGTCTTACGAGCAGTCTCCGTTGTCGTGGTCGGTACGATTCGCCATCTTGATTTTGATGATCACGGAGCGGGCGACCCTTTTCGTCCTGGACTTGTATGACCTCTGCTGCCCTCAATCGTCGGAGCCCTGCCTTCTGCCCTGAATGCTGAGGTTGATGCCCATTCCTCATTGGCATGTCTTCATCCACGGGATGAACATCCAGTAGAAAGACAACATCATCAGCGCGCAGAGAGTCCCAGTCCTTTCGTACACCGTAGTTCAAGCGGCTCACATCCAATATGATCTCAGCCTTTACTTGAGCAGGGTGCTCGTCTCCAACCTTGGCGGGTGCAACATCAATGATAGCGGGTTTCGATATTGGCAGAGCCATGCGCGAGAATCCGTTAAATTTAGTGCCTGTTCCAGCAGATTTCGGCTGGACTCGTCTGATGGCATCTTCCATATCTTTTCTAATTTCGTAAAAGGACTCGCACCGATGCAAGATGAACGATCTCCAGAGGAAATCGCCTATTGTGAGGTACTGAAGATTCAACTTCGGAATGGCCAGTGGTCTCGAGCCGTTGTATGACTCGTTCCGCAAAAATGTCGGTTCGTATAAGATACGCTCCGTTGGGAGGATGGGCATGTTCCTCACTGCCTCCTGAAACGTTGGTCTCCTCTCGTGCGCCTCAATGATCAGTTCCGCGAAGAAATCTCGGTCCTGCACAAGAGACGATGATTTGGGGTACTCTGTACGGAAGCCTAACAAACCACACAGCTGAACTATCTCATCAACTGTAAGCTCTTCCAAGTGCCCTTCCAGGTCAGCTCTCTGGTTCAGGGAGCCATAATTCGACAGGGCCAGGATGGTCAGTTTCGATTTGAAGTGCTTGAATGCTGTCCGCTGTAGCTTGGCTAGTTTCAAGCAATGCGCCTCGTGGTATTCGAGATCCGTTTGATGTTGTCCTGTCTGATCGTTGATTGGGAAATACGTGAAATGGCGTAGGAGAATGTATAGGTCTCGGAATAACCCATTGTCCTCGTCGGTATACATAGGGGAGAGTCGAGTCGCGGGGAGTAGATTCAAGTCCTGCAGCAATGTGCTGACATACCTCCTCGTAGGAAGCTGGCTCTGGAGGTCAGTGAGGAGCTCGACGAAGCGCTCACAGTAGCTAGCATTATCCGAAGTCGTTTCGCCGTATATTCGGTCTAGGAAGTCCAATAGCAGAGTGTACAGCCAGGACCGTTCAAACCGCAATCTTGCCTTGACATCGTCGTCTGCAGAGTCGAGGCGTTTCGACATGGCCCTCCATGCTTTCTTCAGCACTGGATTCTTCTCGAACAAACGATCCCTGACCGTATCGCTGTGTAGGTTTTGCCATATCGATATGGACACTAGGGGGGCACATTCCTTTCTAACCAGCCCGCTGTCTAAGGATTGGAAGGCGCCAATGATGAAAGAGATGAGTTGTGTACGGATCTTCATGGGGAGCGAATCGTCGATGCTCATGGAGAGGATTCGACGGAAGAAGGACGAGAATTCGGAGGGCTTGCTATTGAAGTGATCTGGTTTATCATTAGTCTGGGCTTCAGTAGATCGAGATTGGCAACTCACCCCAGGACGGTAGGTTCTCTCTTCGCTTCACGTTGACCATCAACGCAAGCAAGAGGATCTGGTGGTTCGAGGCGTCCTCGGAGTATCCAGGCCAGAGGTACTTCTCTAGCAATTGCAAGTTCTCCAGGACTAGGAGAGATCCAAAAGCGAAGTCGGTCTTCTCTAGCTCATCCCATAGCTCTTCCTTGACGATCTTCTGGTTGATCTTCGTTGGCTTTGACGGGTTTAGCCAGTGCTTTCGCGCCAGCTGCGCAAAATGGTTCTCTCCGTGCAGATCTGCGACGGTGGGTCGTGTATGTATCGCGAACACGTTGCTGTTGTCTTCCATGCTTGCGATGTCCGGCTGGGCAGGTTACTTCGAATCGTGATGTCCCGTTAGGACTGGGTACGTCGAATGGCGTTCGCGCTGCGAACGGCTAGTTCTTTAAGCAAGGCACAGCGTGCTATTTGACCGTGGAGTGGCGAGCAACGTCCAGCTTGAGTCCTGGGTCAAAGTCGAGATGGCTGGATCCGGGTCGGGCAGTCACTTCGCGACGCTGCCTGCACGCGTGTATCGCAACCGTTTTCCAGTGAAGTGATATGTCCTTCAAGCTTAGCGTAGTCGAATATCAAACGGAGAGGCGTGGGTTCATGGTGGTGCAGCCTTTGCAGTTCGGCGACGCGCCTGCAACTTTTCGCGATGGAGCTTTGCGATCAGCCTTGCGCTTGTCACGGGCCTTGGCTTCGACATTCAACCTCTCCCGTCTCTCCGCAGCACTCCACCTCCGAGCTCCCACGACACCCCCATCAACCGTCATGGCTACCGAAGAGAGGACCACGCCAGTCGTGCCGCACAAGCAGATCGATGGAGACTACCCGGTGAGTCGCCCCGGGCCACAATGCTGTCTCAATGGCTTTCTCAATTGCTAACACGGCCCAGCTCATCGACAGTGACCCGTAAAGCCGCCTCGATCCTCAACCTCTCCCGCACACGCTGACAGCAGCAGTCACTTCAAGCGAGTGGTGAAATATGCTCGGCCCTCCGACTGGGCTTACGGCGCCGGATTCTCAGCCATTGGTCCCGCGCTGATGCTCTACTGGGAGCGAGTCTCCCCGTCCTATGTCGGCAAAGGCGGTTTCGCACCCATTATGCGCCTAACGGGAGCAATTGGTCTCACCGGCGGCTTTCTTTTAGTATACTCCAATTCCATCCGTGCGTATCAACCCATCAACTGCAGCACAGCATCCATATTCTAACAACCCGGGCCCTCCCAGACCGCTTCTACGGCGCGAGCGAGAACCGACGGGAAATCGACATGGACATGCGGGAGATGGTGGACAGAGTCAAGGCGGGCGAGCCGCTGTACGGCAAATCGTCGCTGTCGGAGCACTTGCAGGGCGTTGCAGCGCGCAACTCGAGATACGCAGGCACCTTCATTCACGTGCTTCCGTGGTTCAACTTTGTTAATCACCCGCATCATGGTGTGGACACGGCGAAGTACTATCGGCAGGCTGAGCGGGAGCTGGAGGAGGAGCGGACTAAGTCGTGAGGGGCATTTCTGAGCTCTCTTCCCCATTTCGGGTTTTTCGTTTGGTGCGTGGTTGTAAATAAGTATGTGCTATCAAATCTAAAATGCCCAAATGCATCGCTCACAATGCCGCCCTCCACTCTGGCGCGCTGTATACAGCTATTCATGGGTAACTATACGACAGGAATAACGAATAGAGAAATTACATCGATATGTTCGGATAAAAGGGACACCCTTGCTCTCATATCTTCAGCTGCTCTAACGAACTATACGATGCTTTCCGCAGGCCTTCCTTGACCTGTTCCGGCTCTAACGATACGTCCTTGGTGCAAATCCACGTTGATGCGTACATATTAACGCTATTCTCAAGTCAGCGACACTCCTCAAATGTTCAAGGTTCAAAGAAACACCACCTACCGATCAATACACGTCCCCGGCAACCTAGCCGCCACCCTCTTGGTCGTAAATCCTAGCTCTTGAAACTTTTCAATATACCACGGTTTCAATCCCGCAGATCTGAGCAGCACACGTCCCTTGAGCTTCATCGCTCGATTCAATGCCCTGATCTGGCGAACAGCATGCTGACCATTCGGTGGGAACCAGTCCATGGAGTCCATGACAACGACGATAGTGAGCGTACCAGGTCGCATGCGAGTAATGACTTCGCTGATCTCATCAGTGTGGATTCTAAGTCCATCGAAAGCGTCCGGCCTCGAGAGCTTGATGTGTGCTTTTGGAGTGAGGTACTCTGGATGGCTTTTTCGAGAGTATTTGCCCTGAAGACAGAGGAGGTAGTAGTGGTTGTCGTCGCTCATAAGGGTGGTGTTGACGACCTATTGTGCGTGAGTGCTACGAGAACCCTCGATAGTCTAATTGAAGTGACTTACAGGCTCAAAAGTGTTCAGGACATACTCGTAAATGGCTTGCCCCGAACCAATAACGCCAATCTTCGATGCATTATCCTGATGAATATAGTCCTGCTCAATGATATTCCGTTGGGCCGGGGGCACACCAAGCGCCTTCCACAGCCACTTTTCATTCCCAATAACCGCCCACGTCAATATCCGACTATGGAGCACCCTGCGGATACTCTGCTGCCAGACCTCACGCTGCTCGTTCAACGTCTGGGCTTCGCAGAGCTTCTTCACTTCCTCTGAGAGCCCAAGCACCTTGAAGAGCCAGCCGACAAGGTGGAGCGCATGTCCAGAGCCGCCAGAATAATACAGGCCGCTCTTAGTGAAGGAAGAGGCGCCGTTTTGGAGCCAGAACTGAAAGGCGAGACTGGACATGTGCGGGCTAAGTTTGTTGATTAGGATGTCGCGGAAATACTCATGCTTTCCCTCGCCGAAAAGCTTCCAGACGTCAGAGTAGCCTAGGGCTGTGAATGCTGCTACTTTCAGTTCGAGAAGGTGATTTTGCGAAGGACTGAAGCATTGTCAGTATGGTTCTAGCGCTATTGGAAGTGTTCTCTCTCACTTCAGATCAACAGCGTGTATACGCCTTGGCTTCTCTAATGCGAATGACAGGATGTTGTCTCCAGCACTTGTGATAGCCAGCACGACGTCGTCGGGTCGTACTCTTAGGATGCGAGCATCAGCGCGGCTATCCTCCCACGTGAACGCGTAGATGTATTTGTTGTTGAATCGCACGTGTTTCGGGAGAGATTCGTCATGGTGTATCCTCCAGTGATGATTCTGATACCTATTTCCATATCAGAGCCATAATCATATACTGATGGAAGCTAATGGAAGGAGTGCAGCTTACCATGTCGCTGGCAAAGGAAGGCTGGACTGCAAGTTGACTATGGCTGATTCATAGGCCTTGGAATGGAGTCCTACATCTCTAGGTGTTGGCCCAGTCTGGAGGTCAAGTGCGGATAGGTATGGAGATTCCGTAGCAGCAGCATCGATTTCAGCCAGCCTCGTGGTCGACGCACCGCTATCTTTAGAGCAGCCGATCCAGATGTAGTAAGGTAATCTCACGCCAAAGAAGTGGTTGCGGGCGTTGATGCCAAGTATCGTTCCAAAGCGGTATTCCAAGTAATCCTAACGGCGTGAGCATGGCTCGGGACGAGAGTCGATCCATGTGCTTACCCTCCTAGCTGCTTCAAGATTCACGCGGTCAATCTCAAACCACGTTCGCCAAAAGACCCTTGAAATCCACATGCAGTGCCTATCAATGACACCTCCGGTATAGTTTCGGCTCTGATAGTCGACCTGATTCTGAACATAGAAGTCGCAAACACCAATGACAGCGTTAGGAGAAATCAACGACGATATCGAATCGATGACCGGGTAGAATTCCGGAATCATGGAGAGCGCGTAGCTCATAGTCACGAGCTCAGCGCCGCCCACATCCGCATTTTCGTCCAGGTCGCGGACGGTTTGGCCCTTGAGGACGACTTCCTTTCGTTGGAGGGCTTCTTGTTCGTGTTTGTGGAGACGGAATGCTCGAGCATCTTGACAAATGACTTTGACGTTGCTCCAGCCTAGACGTTCAAATCGTTTCCTTGCCATCTCGCAAAGACTCGGAGAGAGGTCCACGACATCTATTGTGCGACTTAGAAGGCTAATGAGGCGAAGGCTGGCGAGCAGATACGTACAAACGGCTTTGAAGAACTCGGGTACAGAGAGAAACGCGGACATTTGCTCAATACTACGAGATGAGTATGTCAGGACATGGAAATACTCAAGTTGAATAAAACTGAAACTGACTTGTGCCCTGTGCCGCCACCAATCTGAAATGGTCAGCTCGCCGAGGTCAAGGCCACCGCTGAAAGTTCAAGACTCACGTCTACCCAGACTGGCTTGTTGTTGATAAGTCCTGCCTTTATCCGATGTTCAAGTTGAGCTGCAACGAGGCCCAGCATATCCTTGCGACCATGAAGTAGCCTTGAGCGAGTGGAATCGTAGACTTCAGCTTGCGCCTTGTAGAAGCTTTCCTGCGGAAGTCAGAATGACGTTGTGTTGCAAGAGGAAGCTTGTCGTACAAGGGCATCTTGTTGGCTGCCGGTTCCATCGCCTGTATGCGGTTTCACGAAGCACGCATAGAAGAATTTGAAGTACGCTTTGATGGCATCAGTAGCCTCGGTGGGGTCCTTCTTTGAATTCAAGGCAATAAGGAAGATGGAAGTGAGGAATACGCCAAGTATCCAAAGAGCAATGGTAACCCTCTGAAGCGCATCCAGAGGGATTGCTGCTGAGACAGCTATCATCGTGGCGACAAAGAGGAGTGAAAGCTGTAAGAGCGAGGACGTGAGGGAGATCCAGGAAAGTCGCGGGGCATCGAGCTAAATGATATGAGATAATGTAGTCGAAGTGATCCGATGTCGGGTGCACGATACTCATCCACATGATGGTGATGTTGCCAACAAAAGACGCCGCCAGAGATCTGATGGGCCCAGATTGAAGCATGACAGCCAGTTGAATCGAGCACATGGCAACCCAAACCGAAGTTGGGCTTCTGTGTATTGCTCGTGACCAGAGTCGAGGGGCAGCTGTAGTTAGCCAAGTCGTCGGTTGTTGCTCCGAACCGCTATGAGCGGCTACACTATCTAGGGCAAATGACGAAAGGAAAAGTCTAGGAAGGTTCTGTAATTGTGGGGGACGAGGGCACATATGAGCCTATAAAAGCATAAAGCCGTTCCCCGTGCGCAACATTTCATGGTGTTGAGGTAGAGGGCGACGTTGGAACTAGCCAATCACAGGCGCCTAAATTTCTCGTGGGTGAAGCGCGACTGACCTGTGAGACGTCCAGCCGTGCGTCCCATACCACCCGATCTGCTGCCGTATCAAGATAAGGTGCGGCGAGAATCGTGTCCTGCGCGTTACCATATCTAAAGACTGCCGCAAATGCTGAAGTCGACATGCCGCAGAGGTAGCTGGGAACCCATGTTTGCAAGGCTAGAAAAGATATTCCCAGGTAGACCATGTTGAAATATCAGGGAACTCAGTTCCGGGCAATTAGCTGCGGGTAATGACTGACCAGCTATGGTTTTGATTCTTGATACTTATCTATCGAATATCAGTACAACCGCTATAGTCTGCGGCATGAGTGCCCTTAAACTCCAACCATGACCCGCTTGTTCCACGCTACAGAAGCAGACGCCCAAAGCCCTCTATGCATAGAAGTTCACTGTGTCCTTCTTCTTGGCCTGGACTTCCGAAATGGCATCCACATAATGCTCGTGACTGATCTTCGTCTGAGCAGACCTCAATGCAATCATACCGGCTTCCACACAGACAGCCTTCAGCTGTGCGCCACCAAACTCATCCGTACTGCGCGCCAGTTCGGGCCAGTTGACACCCTCGTCAACAGTCATCTTGCGGGAGTGGATTCGAAGAATCTGGGCACGAGCTTCCTCGTTTGGCAGGGGGAATTCGATCTTCCTATCCAGACGACCAGAACGTAAAAGAGCAGGATCCAGTACGTCCACGCGGTTGGTAGCGGCGAGAACCTTCACTCTATCATCCGATGCGAAACCATCCAGCTGATTTAGTAGTTCCAACATGGTTCGCTGCACTTCTCTGTCACCAGACTTTTCGGAGTCGAAACGTTTCGTGCCAACAGCATCCAGTTCGTCGATAAAGATGATAGAAGGGGCCTTCTCTTTCGCCAAAGCAAAGCAATCTCGGACTAACTTGGCACCGTCACCAATGAACATCTGTACAAGTTGAGGACCGGCGAGTTTGAGGAAGGTAGCGTCGGTTTGCGCGGCGCATGCTCGGGCTAGGAGAGTTTTGCCAGTGCCAGGTGGTCCGTACATGAGAGCACCTATGATTCGGCGTTAGTGGATTCCCAGTAGATTCAAATTCCGCCGCCGAAGATATATACCTTTAGGTGCCTTGATGCCGATCTTCTTGAACCTCTCTGCCTCCTTCATCGGCCACACTACTGCCTCCACAAGCTCCTCGATTTGTTTGTCTAGGCCTCCAACATCAGTGTATTTCTCCGTCGGCTTCTCATCGACCTCCATAGCCTTGACTCTGCTGTCATACTCGGCGGGTAATGTGTCTAGAACAAGGTATGAATCCTTGTTCACACCGATGAGGTCTCCAGGCTTGAGCTTCTCGTGATCCACTAGGCCGATGAGAGGAAGGAAGATCGTTTGTCGGGTTGAGGTTTTGATGACAGCGGACTTGCCCACACGAGTGGCGTCGAGGTCGATGTTTGCACCTTCTTCGGCGGCTTCGGCGGTGACATCTAAGTCGAGTATCTCAACAACATTGCCGACAAGGTACGGCAGTTGCCTTTATAGAGAGTTAGCATGACTGTGTGATAGATTATACTCATGTGTCGAGGCGGCGTCGCATACCTGTTGTTCTCGATCTTGTCTAGATTGTCCTTTATCTTCTCGTGCATAGACGACTTCTCATGGGACAGCCGCTGAAACTCGCTCTTCATGATCCGCGTGTCATTCTCCAGTAATCTCCGCCGTGCTACTATGTCTCGTGTGCTGGAGTTGAGAATCTCCTCGTCCAGAACATCTTCCGGCTTCTCCCCCGACTCAGCGTCTTTCATCTCCGCATCGTTCTTCTCCTCGCGCTCGAGGTCCTCAAGATTTTCGAGAGTTGCCATGTTGGTGGTGAGGTTGTAGAGTGGTGGAAGTGTTGTTTTGGAGTTGGGTGCTTGAGTTGAGGCAGCTGTCGCTGACGAACCCCAGCTTCGACCTATGCCAAGGCCGGCGCTAGTCTAGGTCACGTGCAGTCATCTTGTTGTCACCACATCAACCTTCACAGTACGCAGCGAAGCCCAATTCAGGGCCTGGAGGACTTCACATCTGATCCTCAGTCAGGAATGGTCACGACCCAATTTGCAGCCTTACAACTTTTGCATCTCGTATTCCATCTCGTGCACATGCCTGAAGTGGCTCAAGTGGCTTTGTACTCAATCAGGAGCATGTTCAAAACTCGATGCCGAAGTCTTTACTTGTCATTTAGACTTATATTACTGTATTGAAGTCCTCCTAACAGGGGTAGTCAAGTGGTCGAATGTTATAGTCACTGCCGTCTATTTCGCGTTTTCAGAAAAGTTACCAATCCTTTATCACCGGTCTCCCTCTTTTTAACGGTGGCATAAAGTAGATTAGATCGCGCTGTGTGTGTAGTTGCTTGCCACCGGTAAGCGTACCGCAGCTTATTATCAGAGTTCTAGACAAGATGTAGAAACGTCGACACGGTGTCATATCGAGTTGTTGATGAGTGTGTTGAGCACGTTGGAGGGCCCCCGATCTCCCCAGCTCAGCGATTGATATGATTCGCTGGATCTTTGTTAGGCCATAGTACCTATAGAAAGACTTCAGGACGTCATATTGACTTTCAAGTTACAAAGGAAAGGGCGCAGGCTTGCGATGTTCATATGGTCGATATTACCTCCATCGGGTGGCTGCAAGTCTCGAAATTGGATAGTCTTTAATTCCCGCCTGGCAACATTGATAAAACATTGAACGTCCCCGGAACTATGCAGTATCTACAAACGTAAGACGTGATTTACGTACACGTTAGATTGGACTTGCATTTATGACATAGTCTTAAGGATTTGCCGCTTTGAAGGCCTTTAGAAGCATACTGTTGGAAAAGAACAAAAGTCCACCTTTTCTGCACGCTTACTCAGACGGGCGGAATACATATATGGATGGCTTCTGTAAGTGACTATAGGAGCACCTCCAACGCCGTCATACTGTAGAATAAATATGTTTATGCACGCTAAAATGAGGATGGTGGGAATGAAACCACTCCCCCTGACTCCAAAACAAACCTTCAACAACAGCGACAAAGAGACACCGGCACGATCGATTTTAGCCATCGAAATAAGTATTTGGGCCGTAAACGAGGCAAGTTCAAGCTTTATCAAAGCCCTTTTTTTCCTCCGCTCGAACGTGTAAATCAACTGGCTGTCACACGATGAACGGGCAGGTTTGTCACTGAGAGAAGACCTAGCGTACACCAAGCGCATTTCCCATGTTTTTAGCCACTCAGCGGGGCCCAGACAATCTGCCCGGCCGTCGAAAATAATTGCAAGGCAGCACCAATTTATCTAGCATCATAGTTAACTCATTTTTATTGAAACCCAAAAATTGCCCAATGGCACCATGGCCTAATGTCAGTATTCACGTTGAATTTAGGTTAGCGCTGTAACTAATAATCAATAGGGTAAGGCGCTACTTTCCGGTGGTAGAGACTGAGGGTTCGAGTCCCTCTGGTGTCGCAAACATGCGATTTTTTTGGTGTTGCTTGTGGCAGTGGGAGTGAATTTTTGCTTCGGATGGCGGGGGAGGGGCAGACGCCGACATTTGCGGAGCAATTCCGCGTATTCAAGCCACGAGGATAGCTCTATGAAATACAGGAATCTCTGTTTTAGGTTAACAGGTGAGGACTGCCATGGCTACATCGTTACTGGAGTAGATTGAGATCTAGAAGCTCCATGGTGTCAATCTCCTCTCATTCATATCGTCTAGAGGCTCAGGTTGCTCCTGATAAAAATCTCCGGACTTCAAGCAGCTCCTCCTTTGATAGTCAACCCTCTCAACACCAAGTTAAGCGATTCTAAGCGAGCATCACTACATTTCTTTCCCTCTCACGCTCTTTCCCCCTCGTCTCACGTCAGCCATTCATTCCTTTGGTGCGTCACCATGGCTCACCTCCTCCGCGGTCTCAACCAGGTTCGTACAGCGTACATTTACTTCGCATCATTGCTGATTCCACCTTAGGCATACCGGCGATCACTCCGTATCCCTGGCGGTCCAGTCTCACGCCACGTCTATCCCGCAAGGGCACCTGCTTCTATCAAGAGTGTTCGGGTAATCCACGATTCAAGCACAAACCGTGCAGCAGTAGCCGCTGTAGGTTGCAAGCCCGCCTGCATGCTGACGCCATATTAATGTCAATAAGCATGTTTCCGCTTCTCCGCAGCAGGAATCGACGCTCAAGACTCCGATTGTGGAAGGTTCAGCCATCAAAGCGTACTCGGATACGGTCAATGACTTCGTGGGCGTGTGAGTGCTTCCCTTTTGGACTCTTCAATGCGGTCGTACTAACCTGATACCCTCCATCTAGCCCGAACATCTGGCTGAGGTTTGACCAACCCACGTTTCAGTCTGTCAAATGCTCACTCGACCAGGGACAATTGCCAATGTAGCGCTTGTGTGCATGAAGTCACAAAGCAGCGTCTTCTCGACACCTTTCAGGTATCACAGTCTCACAAAAGCACTGCCACCTGCAATACTAACAGACATGTAGATCCCGCGCGACATCTCCATCACGTCGGCTGTCAAAGATAGCCAGGGTGTCAAGGTAGCTTGTAAGTAGTCCCATCAACGTCGCGTGGAAAACGGATTCCAACCATCCCGCAGGGAGCGACGGTCACAAAAGCTACTACAACGATGATTTCCTCGCCCAAGCTGCCTTGAAGAACAATGGTGTCATACGTCAAGGTCTCGAAAAGTGAGTGTATTCGTCTCAAACGGGCGAACATGTCACTGAACGTGCGCCAGAACCACACTGTGGTACAGTTCAATCAGCGACAACCCACCAATTGTCCAATACGACGCCGCCATGAACTCCAACGAAGGACTAAAAGAGTGGCTCTCCAAGATCGTAGCTCCCCCTATAAAACCCCCACCACATCTCCTCACTAAGCCCTCTCAAGCGCGAATATGGCTTCTGCTACGTCGACGGCACTCCACCAACCCCAGAAGCAACCGAGCAACTCCTCGAGCGCATCTCCTTCATCCGCGTCACCCACTATGGTACCACCTCTCCACCCCTCCAGGTCCTATAAACCCCTACAATACTAACTAACCCCCCTCCCAACAGGCGGCTTCTACGACTTCACCTCCGACCTCGCCTCCAAGGACACGGCCTACACCAATATCGCCCTGGACGCGCACACCGACACGACCTACTTCTCCGACCCGGCCGGCCTGCAAGCCTTCCACCTGCTCTCGCACACGGCCGGCGCCGGCGGCGCCTCGCTGCTCGTCGACGGCTTCCGCGCCGCCGCCGACCTCCAGGCCCAGGACCCGCAGGCCTACGAGCTGCTCAGCCGCGTCAACGTCCACGCGCACGCCAGCGGCAACGCCGGCATCAGCATCCAGCCCTACCGCGGCTTCCCCGTGCTGCTGCACGACGAGCGCGACGGGCGCCTGGCGCAGGTGCGGTGGAACTCGAGCGATCGCGCGGGGATCGAGTTGCCGCTGGAGGTGGTCGGGAGTTGGTATGAGGCTGCCGCGTACGTATTCCCCCCCTTCCCCCCCTTCCCCCCCTTTTCCCCACCATTGACATCTCAAACCCAACTAACCGCGCACGTCTCAACAACAGAAAATGGCACGCCCTCGTCTCCGCCCCGGAATACGAGTACTGGTGCCAGCTCACGCCCGGCCGCGTCGTCGTCTTCGACAACTGGCGCGTCATGCACGGCCGCTCGGCGTTTACGGGCAAGCGCCGCATCTGTGGGGGGTATGTGAATCGGGATGATTTCATCTCGAAGTTTAAGGTGCTGAAGTGGGGGCAGGAGGGGGTGCTGAAGGCGCTTGCGGTGGGTTAGGGTGGTGAGAAGGAATGGATGGATGGATGGATGGAAGGTGGAGTAAGGGGTGGGTTTGTCTTGTGTGCTAAAAGTAGAGGAAGGTCGAGACTGAGCTGCGAGTTATTAGCGGTGCATCTGAGCGTTGATGGGGTTTGTGAGCGAGGTATCTAGCCGGTTTGTGACGATTTAGATGCGATGAGATGCAATGTGATGAGAGAGGCGGAAAAGTGGATATGCAGAGTAGCTCCAGTGAGGTTATCAAAAATAGAAAAAGAAAAAAAAAAAAATCTCCATATTCAGTGCGCAGCCCACCAGTCTCTCTCTGCACACTCTGAAGACCTCCGAGCGTCTATCAAAACTCTACTCGCGATATCAAGTCTGCTCACGCAAAGATTTGCACTAAACGTCCTAGTCCTTGTGATCAGCCTGACACCCAAAGAATCCCATCCCAGGGTCCAAGCAGCAAAGAGGAGCGATGAACTGGATCAGCGTACTTGATTCGTTCTTTGGAACTAGCCCATGGCCCGTTCCATCTCTGCCCAACTATACACTATCCTAGGTAGGCCACACCTCACCCAAACACACGACGTATCAATATCAATCATCTAACCCATCTCCCAAAAAAAAAAAAAAAAAAAAAGCGGAGTGGCACCAACAAAGGATCCACCAATGACTCAAATTACGTCCGCATAGTACGGAGTAAAGATGCTAAGGGTAGGGTAGTGTAGTGTAGTGCAAGGAGTGATATCATGATCTCGGGGGTCGTCGTCTTCTCAAAAAGAAGAAGGGAAGAAAAAAGAAAACAAAAATCCTAACTACACGACTAACTGCCCCCCTTCCCCGGTTTTCCCTTGGTCGCCCACTCACTTATAATCGATCCATCTTCAATGCCTCCTTTCTTCAATTCACCCATTTCTTCATCAACTAATGCCCATCCTATCATTCCTCCCATATTTTCAATCGCCCAATCATATCTCATGCGCCCACGGACCACACGAAAAGAGAGAGAGAGGAGAAAAAAATTTCAACGCTTGCCTCTTGACGCCATTTCACCTATGTAAAAAAACAACAAAATTATCAACGCCGGGGTGTGTGTGTGGGTGTTCATGCAGGCTGCTCCAAAAAGGGGAATATGATTTCCCTCGAAAGGGAAGAATGATGTGGTATATTTGGACTAAGATGCGGGGAGAGGTTATCGAACGCTGGAATCGGCTTTTCTAATGCAATCCAACGGTTAGCCACTATGCTTATTGCGTGGCCACGGCGTCGCCGTTGGTTTGCTCAGCAGCGAGAGCCTGTTGGGCGAGAAGGTCGGCTTGGTGAACGGCGGCCTGGACGACCTGCTGTTCTTCGGGGTTCAGGCTCTTGGTGAGATTCTCGTACAACGCCAGCTGTTCTTGTTGGAGCTCTGTTATAAAGGTTAGTGATAAAGTCTTGGCAGCCTAACGGCTTAGCACTTACGCATCAGAGCATTCTTGAACATGCCGTATGGCTCCACTTTGTCAAGAGGAGTTTCGAGCAAGCTCTCTTCCTCGAGCTCGTCGTCATCTTCGTCGCTGACGGCAGTAAATTTCTGAGCCTATGAATTGTTAGCTTTGGGCCTATTTTGAACTTGGCGCTACTTGCCTCTTCGTTCAAAAACTCCAGATACGCGGCACTCTCATCCTTGACATCTTCAGTCTCATCGGCCTCGTTGTTCCACTCATCTTCACCAGCAGTCCACTCTTCCTCTTCTTCGTCATCGTAATCATTCCCAAAGTCGTAATTTTCTTCCTTCTTAGCTTCTTCTCGATCTAAATTTCATATTACTATTGTTCATGCTAAACGAATTGGATAAGAACACTTACTCTTCAGAGCAGCAGGAAGAGTTTGGAAGAGCCGAACGATGCCTTGCAGAAGTCGAGGCCAGCCTTGCTGAACGCTGATGGGAACAAGCTCGGCTCGCAATGTAAGAAGCGCGCAAATAGCAGAGATGGATAGCTTCTTGTCGTGAACTCGGGTGAAGCTGTCAATGTTGGAGAACCACAGGCTGAAGAACTTGTTCGTCCAGTTGTTGGTCTCCAGCATATGAAGGGCGAGCTGGGGGTTGTAGTAAATTCCGTTGACAACCACCTCCATGAGATGTATCCGTAAAGATTTGACCTTGGGCTCGTTGTTTGTGAGGACCACCATTGCGAGCTGAATGAATTCGGGAACGTATTCGTCAACATGACCGCGCATGTTCAACATGACGATCTCAGCAAGCTTGCATCCACATATCCGGTCGACACCATTCACTTTATCATCCTTGAAGATCGTGCGGACCATATCGATAATGGCGTCCAGGTAAGGTCGGTTTTGGATGAGGGTCTCGGAACCATAGTTGACAAAGTTCTCCAAAGCTGGGAGCATATCTACAGATGGTTAGAATGCGTTGGTGACAAAAATGGACGAAGGGCTTTACCTTCTAGATAGAGCTCCGCGCCAGCTTTGAATGTGCGATGAATAAGCTCAAATGCCTGCCACATGGTAGGAGAGATGCTCTTAGCAGCAAACGTGCAGCTGTCAATGATTTCGAAGACTTCATTGTACAAATCTATTTTCGCGTTAGCACATATAGCTGATAGAGTTTGGAACGTCTCACCATATAGCTTGTTCTCAAGAGTGATAGTGATGACCGGCATGAGAATGGTTTCCAAGTGTAAAAGCACGTCGGGAGTGCTCTCCAATGTAAGGATAAGGGTTCCAATAGTTTGGAGCACGCCCAAAGCGGTTATGCTCTTATCATCCAAGAAGTCTCCGTAGTTGTCGTCTTCATCCTTGGACTGGTTGCGTTCTAGTAGCTCTCGCACGATGCGGAGGTATGTGTCTCGCAGCTGTTCACTCAGAGCAACGGCGAAGGGAGTGAGCTCGTTAGCGAAAACCTCGACAAAGTCCTCCATAACATTAGCCAGAGCGTCGACATCCACCTCGTTCGCGAGCTTTAATAGTTGCTGCATAACCTGAGGAATGTTTTGTTGCATCGAGGTTCGGATGATGTCGTGGCGGATGAGTGGTTGCAGAGCGAGTGCAGCTTCAACCCGCACAGGCAGGGCCGGATCTGCCATTGACTCAAGAATGTTCCGATAGATGATGATGAGGTTGTTTGGGTCCTTGAAGTCGAGTTGCTCAAACTTCTCCAATGTGTCACAAGCACGCGCTCGGAGGAAGCCGTGAGGACTCCGGAATTCGGGGAAGACATGTCGCACAAAGAAGTATTCAACCTGGTCTGCGATCGGGCTCTTCTTCCCAAGGATTACGCCTGAAAGTGTTCCAATCATCCGAAGTGCGCCCTCCTTTTGTCGTGGGTCCTTCAGATCATCTCGGGCGGTTTCATAGGTATTGACGATACCGTTGACAAAGTTCAGAACAGTGAAGGTTTGCTTCCGACGGCTCTTCGTAAGGGTGACTAGGAAATTTGTTGCAGCAACATCGGGCGCTGTGACCTCCTCGTAGAAATTCAGCTTCCGGTGGAGATACTCCTGGGGTTCGGTCTCGAAAAGCTCAATGTCTTCATCCGACTGGCAGAGCACAGGGAAAAGGAGATGCGAGATGAGGGTTTCCGTGTGCGGTTTGAGCAGATTCCACATAGACTTTGGCTTGATGCACTCGTCCAGGAAGTTGAGGATGTAGAACAGGGAAGCTTTGCTCAGCCAATTCGTCTTCGCGACCCACTTCTCGACCTGCACCAGGTAGCCACTGAGGATCTCCGGCGCAAACGTATTGATGAAGTACTTCGCGACGTCGGAATAGTCGATGTCCTGGTTCTTTGCTAGCGTCGCTGGGTTGCCGTACCTGGTAGCTTCATTAGCGATTGTAGTGAAACCAGCCTGTCCCATCTTAACATACCTCACGTATAGCCGGTTCAGGTTGGCGAAGGCCCATTTCTTCGACTTCCACCAATGGTTTTGTTCTCGCTCATCAACATCATCCGGCATGGAGCTCTGTGGCGGCTCTTTTCCGACAATGGTCAGGAATAGAGTGCACCAGCCAACCATGACCTGTTGTTCGCGCAGAGGAGTGGGGAGATCGAACTGCGGAACTGTCAGTATGTATGTCTTGTGAGGCTACTCGGGTCAACGCACATAGACGGCATGCTTGTAGACCTTGAGGAGCGTATGGAGCATCTCTCCAGCCTCCAAGCTATCCTCGCCCACAAGCTTGTTGCCAATATTCAGCAGCTGCGGGAAGGTGCCGGCCACGATTTCGTCAAAGTGTGTCCTATTCTCGCCCCCCTTGAACCGGTAGATTCGACACAGAGCCAACAAGCATTGCACCCCCGCATATACCGTGTTCGCGTCTGACGCATTGAGCAGAGCCACAGTGATGTCGAGGAAGCCCGGCCATGAATCGGGAAAGTCGTAGGAGAGGATCTTTTGGAGGGTAGGGATCAGCTGAGCGCGAACCTGCTGCGGCGATGCGACGAGGACTGGCACGAGGCGGTTTCGGAAGGACTGCTTTTCGCTGTCAGGTATGGGCTTGGCCTGGGTGTAGTCCTCGGCCGGAGCCCACCCCTTGGTGATGCGGTTCTTGAGGTAGACGACAGCTAGTGCAAGGTCAGTTTCTATGTACGGGGAGGTAAGCCATTCCACGCACTCGACAGGCGCACTCCGTGGTCCTGTTCGGCCTCGAGAATGTTCAGCAGGGCGTCGGCAAAGCCCACCTGTTCTTCGGCCTGGGCAGGATTAGTGAGGGGAGCAATGTGGGGGAGCCACGAGCCGGCCACGCACATATTTCAGGTCAATCTCGGCCTGGCGCCTGATGTCTGCGTTGGGATCAAGCGTGGCCGATATGCGGTCTCGGACGCCAGCCACATCCATCGTGTGTGTCCAGTGTGGTGTTGAGGGCGGCCAAAAGATACGTGGGTGGGCGTTCAGGGAGCGAGGACGGGGAGGAGTGGATGCCGACAGGCGGTGATGCGGGCGGCGAGAGGCAGCACTGCAGGGACAGTGTGCGGGCGGGACAGCAGTGAAATAATGTCGGTATGGGCCAAGAGGCAGTGTTTCGGTGTCGGCCAGCCTTATTGCAGATTGCCCAGCAGCTGGTGGGAGGGTCCCGCGAGGGGTGTGCGCTAGTTTTGTGCGCTCCACCAGAGCGGCCAATGCGCTCGCCAGGGCTGGTCGCGGGCGGTGAATTGCTTCGACGTGCTGCAGCCTGCGCAGTGGCTTGATATCGCCAGACGCCCAGGGATGCTGCTCAGGGCGGACAAAAAGTGCGGCGGGGGCTGTTATTGCGCGGCCCTCTAGTCACACGTGGCGCAGTCTTCTCACGTTTCTCAATCTGCACGATGCTGCCCTGCGTGTGCCAGCCAGATGCCAGCCAGATGCCAGCCAGATGCCAGCCAGATGCCAGTACCAGCTTACCCGAGGGTATCCACACGCCCTGTTGGTCTGTCCCACGCTCTAGCGCCTCATCTACTCAGAACGTGTATATTGTCCGCGCCCGAAGGCCACTCTATCGACACTGTCCGTCCCTTTCGTCTCATCGTGCCAGAGATAAGGCTCGTCCTCACAGAAAAGCGGCCCTCGGAGAGTTTGGACAGCCACTCATCGCCCTCCAAGTAAGACAGTGTACTCGTCCCCCACACGGAGCCAATAGCAGCCCGTCCTCCATGCCCACCCAGCGGTCTGATCGCAGGACCCGGTGCCGCCGTCCCAATCAGCGAGCAGACGCGCAATGGTAGACTCCGTGTCGAGGGCTAGCTTGATCGCCCTTCCCCAAGCGCACCATGCTCACCGCCTTGACTCTACAAATACAGTGATGCGCAATTGCAGATGTCCCTACCGCACCGTTAGCTCAATCTCACCAATGCAGGCATATGGAATCGACATACCTCTTAATGGCCTGCTGCGCTTCTTGCATCTTCGAGAACAGGACGGGGTCTCCGATTATCCTCGCGGCATTCTTGACCTCTCGGCACGTCTCATCCAGCCGTGTAATCACTCGCACGATGGTGCCCTCCATGACATCCGTCAGGTCTGTGATCCGGTTGAAAGACATGCCCCTCGCCCACTCGTAGACGACCTCCACCATCCCAAAGCGCGGTCTGCTCACGAAGTCGTTCGAGTCGTCCGCCGACAGGATCACCTGGTGGAAAGTCTGTATCTGGTTGACCTTCTCCGCAATCTCGACAATCTTGTCTCTGCCCTTCTCCAAGCTCGTCGTCAGGGTTGGTACTACGTCCGTCTTCTCCTGGAACACAAACGCCGACAACAAGGCCACGATCTCTTCCGGCTCGTATTGTGCCAAGACGTTCTCCAGGATCAGTTCTGTAAGTACAAGCTCGTCGGCAGAGTGGATCTCGCAAGCAACCTTTCCTTTGAGCTCCACTCTAGAATTTGAGTCGATGAAACCAACGTCTTTGAGGACTGATATCCGCTGCTCGTAGTCCGGCAGCAGCTGGAGGTTCTGATCTGACATGAGCTGTCGTAGCTGCGCGATGTTCTCCTGGATAATCCATTCGTCGTGTTGCATGGCGAAATGCTTGGGGAAGTTGGGACACGTCAGACATGCGCCGGACTGTGCAACTTCTCCTTCTCTCTTCCGCGCGTCAGCGGCCTCGCGAAAATGGAGGTTCTTGATCCTATCCCAAGTGTTGGTTTCATCCCAGTCCTGGTATGCCCACGACTTGCACAGCGGCATGAATTGGTTTCGTGCGAGTTCTAGGGCGTCTTTCCTCTTGTTGAGATTCTTGGCCGTTTCAGGGACGTCAACGATAGTTCGCGTTACGCATTCAATCTCGCTGAGAGGAACAAAGACTACTTTGAGTATCATGTCGGATTCTTCGGCAGGCAATGAGTTGAAGTGTTTGGCGAAGCTGGGGAGATAAGGGAGTAGGTCGCTGGGTAGTCGTTTGCTATTAGTGCTTATTTCGAGCACTTGCACGGTAGGCTCAGCTTCTTTACTGTTGTTGATACCCTCACGTAGCAGCATCCCGGCGGTGCGTACTCCGTCCTATGCCACTTAGTACGAATTCAACTGAATGCTCGGGTCAGTAACATACCTTTTTGTAGACTATTAGTCGCTTAGCACCAAAGCATTTTCGTCCAAGTGGATTCCCCAACGCAGATAAATAAAGTTCAGTTGTAAGGCGCTGGTAATTCATGCATGCTCGATGAACCTGTTCAAGGTCGATGTCGCATATGTCGCAGGGCTCGCGCTTGATCTTTGCCAAATCCGCTTCTGAAAGCTTGACCTTATTCTCGTGTTCAGGTAATAGTGCCTGAGTGGCATTTTCGCTGAAGCTTCGCTTGATCATCTCCTCGATCTTTAAAGCTTCGACGCGAAGTAGATTCAAGATCATGTTGTAAGTGAGCCTGAACTGCGAACGCAGCTTCGTAGGATCTCCCAAGATCATCTGTCTCAATCTCGCCACTGGTGGGGCTTCTTCTGCACCGGGACTGACGATGATGACCGAACCGACAGGATCAAGGCCTCTCCGTCCAGCTCTCCCAGCCATCTGGGTATATTCGCCAGGCAAAAGGTCTCGGAACTGGCGGCCGTCATGCTTTCGGAAGCCAGAGAAGACTACTGTTCTCGTTGGAAGATTCAGGCCCATGGCAAATGTTTCCGTCGCGAACAGAACTTTGACTAATGTCTTTGCAAAGAGTATCTCTACGACTTCCTTGACAATTGGTAGCATTCCCCCGTGATGGACCGCAATGCCTCGGGCTAGTAATTCTCTCAAACGTCTAATCTGAGGTAGTACTCGATCCTCCGGCTTAAGTCGAGCAAGCGACTTTTCGATAGTCATATGTATAGCACTCTTCTCTGCCGCCGTGCAGTAGTCCAGATTCGACAGTGCGTCGGCGTTTTCTTCGCAACGCTTTTTAGAAAACACGAATATGCAAGCTGGTAGTAGTTCCTTGGTACGCAAATGCTGAATGAGATGCACCCAGATATTCCTGTCTTGGGCAGCCGTTGTTCTGCCTCCTCCTCGTCCGGTTCTGGCAATGTTGCCACGACCACGCGCAGCAGGAGGGCCTTGTCCGCGTTGTTGTGGGCCTCCTCTACCCGCCCCACCTCGTTGGGCGCCTCCTCGTTGATTTGGGCCTCTGCCGCCGCCTCGTTGGTTGCCGCCTCCACGTGTGGGAGCCGCCTCTTCTTTTGCTGCCAGAGCTTTGATCTTGTCTTTTCCAGACAGAGCATCATTGGCCTCTTTCCATCCGGCATCGAGGAACTTCTTATCCGCAGTAACAATCTTGTGCATGGCTTTGTTTGCCCAGAGAAAGTGCTCTAGTGGTACTGGCCGTTTTGGTGTAGAGATGACATATATGTCCTTCTTCTTCGTCCTGCCTACCCAAGAAGCGAATTCGTAGGTATTGGGAACTGTGGCGGAGAGCAGAATCAGAGTGACGTGCTCAGGGAGCATGATGATGACCTCCTCCCACACCACGCCACGTTCCAGATCGTTGACATAGTGCACCTCGTCGAAGATGACAAACTCGACATCTCTGATCAAGTCCGCACCGCGATAGAGCATGCTCCGAAGAATCTCGGTGGTCATGATCAAGCAGCTTGCTTCAGGTCGGATCTGAATATCTCCGGTAAGGATTCCGACGTCGTCAAATATCAACCGAAAGTCTCGGAACTTCTGATTACTCAAGGCTTTGATAGGTGAAGTGTAGATAGCCTTGGTCATTCGCTTCGCGGCCAGTGCAATTGCGTATTCTGCTACCACCGTCTTGCCGGCAGAGGTATGTGCAGCTACAAAGACCGAGTCGCCGTTTTCGAGATGGTACACGGCTTCTTTTTGGAACGTATCCAGCTCAAACGGCCACTCTCTTGCCATATCGGGTACTAGTTCTTTGAAATTGGTGATCTCCCGGTTGATGTCTACCATATGGGCCCATTCTCTTCCGCCTTTCTTGCCGCTACCCACGAGAGTTCCATGTGGAGCTAGAGCTGGGAACTCAACCGGAAGCAAGGAATCGATCTCTTCATCCCCATCTGCGTCAGTGCCATCAACAATGCCGGGCTTTTCGGCGTCGCTGGCTAATAATGCTTCCGTCTCATCTTCGTTCGGCTCATCCGTCTCTGAGACCGGTGCCGGCTCTTCTTCTAGAGTTTCTTCCACCTCTTTTGCTGCCTTCTGGTCACTTGAAGGTTTCTTCGTGAAGTCTAAACCCCGCGTAAAGCCTGGCGGTACCTCGAGCAAGCCGCCTTCAACTCCGAAGTTGATTACGCGGTCAAGACCACCACTCTTTTTCGATACTCCACCTTCTTGACGCAAGATGGCCTCGTCCTCTAACGCCGCTATAGCTTCAACGCCGTCCAAACCTCCTGGGGCGAAGGGAAAGAACCCCGCAGCGCCACGGACAAAATCAGCTCTATTGGCAGGCTTCCGTAACAGAGAAGTCGAGTTCTTTGCAGTGGCTGAGTTGGCTGGGACAGTGATTTCTTTATATCCAGTTACTCGGCCCTCAAGGCCTTCACGGGTAAAGCGGATAATAGTCCGCGTCTGCGTTGGGGCAATTTCGAACAGATCGGAGTAGTTTGTGGAGACCTCCCACCGTTGCTGGAGCTCGTTCAACCATGGCGTGTTGAATGATGTTGACGGAGATAGGAACCCTTTCTCGAGATTCTGTTTCACCTCTTCCTTCGTTTTCCTTGATCGTTTGCGAGGCCGTTGCTCATCTAGGATTGTGTCGATCCAGGTTGGATCCTCCGTGCCAAGAGATTGAGCGGTAAGGTGCAGCTTGGTCATGGCGCCTGGGAGGTCCTCCATGCTGGCTGGGTGTCTTGTGTTGGAGCGAGCTATGGAGTACTGCTTAAAGGTTGTGGGTTTGGCGGCTGCCTCTTATGCATGTCTGACGCTAACTGGAAGGAAGATGAGTGGCTGAGGTGGCATGGGGCGGTGCATTCACGTGACGAGCTGGAATTCTACTACATTCACTTCGTTGAATCCTCGTCCCCGTACATGCCACACAGCGTAGTCCCTAGTTGTTCATGCAAGGCGAGAACAGCCAAATTCGAAGAGCTTTCCACAACAATGGCAACAACAAATGCTATTTTGGCACGAGCTTAAGTCCCTAGCACTCCCTTCTAAAACATCACTTCAAAAGCAAGCTCCCAACACATCGATCACACTCAAACCATTGAGCTCTTCAGTTCGCTTCCCAGCAATCATTGCAGATCTTATGTGTACAATTATCCGTCTTATTCGTGCATTGACCGACAAAAGCACCGTTGATGACCCCGCATTTGCAACAAGTCCACTCCCACCCTTCACGAGCTCCGCGAACTTGAAAGGCTTCAGCCTGCGAATTTGGGGCGGTGAGAGTTGGGCGAGCTGGTGATTGATGAGGCTGGCCCTGATGTAAAGAATTCGATGGTACTATTACTTACGCAGGGGTAGAGTCATGGTGGCTATATAAAGCTTGGATGCGAATGTGGTTGTCGAATGGAGAGGTATTGACTTCGTTCCTCAGAGCCTTAAACTTGGGGAAGCCGATGTCTTTATGTCCTCCACTAGCCGTCGAACCAATCATTGCGAAACAAGTGTAGTATCCATCAGGCTGAGCGCGTTCTATTTCCGGTCGAAATAAAGACGCCTTCTTCTTGGAAATAAGAGAATGGTGTAGTGGTGCTTGTTTCCACCGGACCAGGCTGCCTTAACCTTGCAGAGAGGCCTTGGCACCTTGATCTAACTTCTTACCGGAAGGAAATTCACATAACTGATCAGAGGAGATGTAATCTAAGCAGTAGGTGCAAGTCAGAAGTAGCTCTCAATTACTCACAAGTACACCTATCTACCGCTCCCAAGGACGCTTCGCTCCACACTCAAAATCCCAAACAAACCCCAAGACGCCGCGCTATGCCCGTTTCCCGCGCTCAACATAGGATATACGAAAGTACAAGTAAGGTATGTAATGAATCGAATTTGTCACCAGCCACAAAAAGTAACGCAACCTCTATTAGAAAGCATATCCCGTTCCATTATCCACCTCCACCAGTCGCGATATTCTCTCAATACGCTCTTCCGCTACTCGGCCTCCCAATCGTCTTGAAAGACATGGACTGTACCAGGCCCCCAACCGCTAGAGTGTCCGACGCGTCCACCCCCATGCGCTCAAAGTCGTTGAAGCTGGAGAAGTAGAAACCGACGACGACGACAAGGTAGGAGAGGATGAGGATGGAGCCTTTGAAGTAGTTGCTCTTGCCTTCGCCGTACATGTAGGAGAGGAGGAAGACGCAGAGGATGACGGTTACCATGTCCCACTGGGGAAATAGGAGCGCTGGATGTAATGTTAGAGATGGCGTAATCGGTTGAGAGAAAATCGAGGTGGGGTCTCTTACTGAATGTGTGGTTGAGTATCTTATTGGGATCAATATAGCGACCATGTATTGCGCTGTACAGCACTAGGCATGGAATCTGAAGTAGACAGACTTGCAACGCGTACGCTGAACCGATTTCCATAGACAAAGCAATGTTGCCGTTCATGGCGAAGGAGATAGCGTTCTAATTGGAGCGACATGGTTAGCGCGAATTGATCTAAATCTGGTAAAGAATAACTTACCAAAAACTCTGTCGTATTGGGAACTAGGGCGAAAAGCGTAATTCCGAGAAACTTTTCATCTATGTCAACGTTCTCAAGCACAGCATCCACCGTGCCGACCAGAATCTCTGCTATCACCGCATACGCCAGCGTAGCAGTGAGCAGGATAACGGCACTCTTCGTTCGACTCCAATTCGGAGCATCGTGGCCCCCGGCAGCTTGTCCTTGCCCAGGCATGGTATCTTCTACGCCCTCAGCGAACGTCCCACTCCTGGTCACAGACGGTTTGTTGCCACCATGTTTCGCCGAGGTATGAGCGAGCTGAGCAGACTTGCGAGGTGCTTTGGTGGCGTCTCGAGCTGCGACTGCGGCTGCGGTTGCGGCCATTTCAGCGACATGGAGGACGAGAGTGTGGTTCTGCTCTTCCGAAAGCCCCGCAAGGTGGAGGCTGGTGTGCTCTCTGTCGTCCTCTGGGTCTCTTGGAGGAACAACGTGTGGTGTCTGGCCATCAGTGCTTCTCGTCGAGCGTGGTCTCTCCTCTGGCACCTCCCCATTTGGACCAAGACCGACCTGCTTGAACGATTGTCCTAAGATTCTTTTGTATAATTGACTGTCGCGAATATCAGATCGAGCGAGGCCTCCGGTAATTGACGTGTTTGTTGCTTGTCGAGTAAGTGTGTGTGGACCATCCAATTGCCCACTGCCGTGCATATAGCTTGCAGCCATATCCGCCTTGTCCGTTTTTTTCTCGTCTAATTCACTGCTCCAAATTACGGCTGCGTGAGTTCTTAGAGTAAATAATAAGCCTATCACGTAAGAGAGGAAGAGCATCACAGCTGCGAACCAAATATATGGTCGCACGGCTTCGATGTAAAAACGGTCATGGACAGCCGGAACTTGTGAGTAATAGCATCGCCGACAGTCTTGTTCGTTTCCATAGTCATGCCTGATGCAAGTATGGCAGTTTAATTCGTGCTAGACGGCAATGAGCATATGTAAGCAAGTCGAGCGCTTGAGACTTACACTTCCATAGATCTGGTAAAACAGCGTGGGACCGAAGGCTCCGATGACGGCAAACAATAGCATCGTTGAAGTTACACCGGCCGATTTGACGTTGAAGCGCTGAGTCTTCCGTTTCAAGGCCCCGAAACACATCGATAACCCGGGTAGGAACAGTATACCAGCAAATATGCTTCCGATAATGCTTCCTTCGACTAGCGCTGCCTTGCCTTTATTCAATGCCACACAATAGAGAAAAACTTCAACCACTGTTGAGAAGAAAGCGTTGATTGTGGCACCGAGACCCATTGAAGACTGCGCTGAGATTGAGGCAACGGCCTGGCCGATGAAGTACGCAAGTGGAATGATGGAGAATAGGGCCATGGCGAACACGAAGAACTGATTCGTAATCCCGATCTTGAGACCAAGTGCAACGTCGAGCACCCAATAGTCAAAGATTGTGAAGGCGACAATTGACAGTAGGTTGATGAGGAAGATGTTAGTACCGTCGATAGTATACTTCCAGTATTTCCAGCCTACCGCGCGATAGGTGCAGAGTAGAATGGAAGAAGCTGGGTCTCCTGGTCGACGGGTGTCCGCGCTGTCTGAATGAAACGAGAGAGCTAAGGGATGTCTTCGGAGATGATCGAAGAGGAGAAGGGTGACCTTGCCCATTGGGATGGTAAAAACAAGGAGCCAACAGATTCCGGAGACGAAGAACAGAGAAGGGGTTAGCAGCCCGTAGAACAGGAAAAAGAACACTACTCTGCCAAAATTCCATTTCCCACGTCCAAAGAGACGTCTTTTGGATTTTGCAGTATCAGTTCGCGGAGGACTAGCGCTAGCTCTCCCAGCCCTCCCGAGGAGACTGGTAGTCTCATCAGCAGAGTCAATACTGTTCCTCCGGCGACCGATTAGAGATCTGCTAGGAGGCCCAAAGAACAGCCGACCCTCTTCAATGTCTCCACTCTGCCACTGCTCGTATTCGCTGATGCTTCTTCCTTCCCCTTCGTCCTCTTCTGCGTAGACTTCGTCTTGTATGAGCTTGACATATTTCCCAAAAGGATAGAAGAAGTATATCGCTAGATGGAAGAGAACTTTTGAGTATTCCCAGGAGCTTTGATCCAGACAGCCGAAGATAAAGCAGACGAGCGATGCCGCTCCAGCGACGACGGCTAGCCACCAGCCAAAAAGGACAGTCCAGACAATGTTGAACAAGAAAAGCCAGTTGCTGACGAACAATCCAGGGGTAGAATGAATGTCACCCTCGGCATTCTTTTGCACAGATCTGTCTTTCTTGTAGAGAGCAGGCTTCCATATTCGTATGCCGAAGGGATGAGTGACGTTTATGGCTTCTTGGCGGTCCTTCAGCGTGAAGCTCTCTGCATCGCTGAGGTCCCCGTCATCGTCCCCGTCATCGTCCCCGTCATCATGTCCGCCATCGTCCTCAGCAGCCTGAGCCTCCTCTCCATCGGCCATCAAGGTCCCTTCCTCCCCAGATGAACTTGGGTTCACCTCCGGCTCGGTTGGGGCGCCTGATTGCACTTGCTCGACGGCATCCTCGCCATCTTGCGAAGCCACGGTAGCAAGTGGCGGAGGCTGCGCCGTTGTCTTCCGTCTCACTGTGGATGGCTGCCTCCTAAGCGTAGGATTCTTCGCGGGCCTTTGCTGTGGAACATCCTCGACTATCTCGTCCTCGGCATCGTCCACCGAGAACTCCTGGCCTTTATGGGGAATATGTGTCGAAGTGGCCCTCCTTCCCATGCCTGGTTTCTTAGGTTTCGCTTGTCTTTCTGGAGACGCGACGCGCTGACGATGTACGGGGGAAGTGATAGAGCCTGTCAAGTAGTTAGTAGCTGCGCAAAAGGAGAAGCTTGAGGACTCTGACCATAGCCCGTGGGCTGCGTCTGTATGCCTTGCGGCCGCCGTCGTATCGAGTCTGCGCTCGAGGTCAGGTTTGAGTATTGTGCACCCGAACTAGCGGTGTTCCCATCGTTCGAAGACTGGGAGCTCCTCGTAGAGTTCCTCCTTGCCGGATCCGAAGACGAAGCCTCCTCTCCACCAACAGAACTGGGGCGGTTGCCGTCAACCATGGTGCCGAAGAGACGCGCGTGAGCTTAGTGATGTCTTGGCTGTGTTGGCTAGCTACTGGGAAGCTTATCAAGGTGTTTGTTGTGATATCAGCCTACGCCATGGAATGGCCGCGCGGGAGGGGCAGAGGGAGGCAGAATGAGGGCATATCAGGCAGACCGTCGCACGAGGAAGTCCGATGTGGGGACTTTCTGCAGCAAGAAGCAGTGTGAGCAGATGAGGATGATCACCACCTATAGCCAGCGTAGAGACAGAGCAGGTGCACGGCCGGCTCCCCGGGAACCTTGGAAGTGAGCCACGTGCGCCTGAGCTACATCGTCGCGCAATGACTGTATTCACACCGTGCAAACAGCGCTTGGTCGCGGTGAAGGGCTGTACGCCTGCCACCCGACATTACGGCTTCTTTCTAGTAGGCATGCATTCTCCGTGGGGAGCTGTGGATGCGGGTGGTGAACGAAGTAGACTTGTTAGAGTAAGGGCTGGTCATCGTAGGTGCCGGAGAATAGCCGTGCACAGCTACTCAACACCAAGCTGGACGCATCGCCATCACCGCCATCAGCGCCATCAGCACCACGTCCAAACCATCTGAACTCACTCAGCGCTCCACGTTGGGGTTGCTGCGCTCTAAGCTTCCTCTCTACCACCGGCTCCATACCCCCCACCCTGCTTACTCCGCAAATACAACCCGTTTCATCCTCCGCCATCCACTACCATGGCGCTCGACACCTTCTTCCACAACAAGATCGAGAGCATGAAGCTCGAGATCATCCAAGGCCAAGCAGTACTCCGCCGACTAGAAGCGCAACGGAACGACTACAACTCGCGCGTGCGGTTATTACGCGAGGAGCTTGGTCTATTGCAGCAGCCTGGCTCGTACGTCGGCGAGGTGGTCAAGGTGATGGGCACGAAGAAGGTGCTGGTGAAAGTGCATCCCGAGGGGAAATATGGTGCGTGTCTCTTTGTGCTCTTCTTAAGGCCGAATCAGCTCTAACCATGTTTTTGTAGTGGTTGACATATCCGACAACGTGGACATAAGCAAACTCACCGTCGGCAAGCGAGTCACCCTGCTCAGCGACTCCTACAAGCTCGAGAAGATGCTACCATCCTCCGTCGACCCCCTCGTATCGCTGATGATGGTGGAGAAGGTGCCCGACAGCACATACGACATGATCGGAGGTCTAGACCAGCAGATCAAGGAGATCAAGGAGGTCATCGAGCTGGGCCTGCAACATCCGGAGCTGTTCGAGTCGCTCGGTATAGCGCAACCAAAAGGTGTCCTGCTGTATGGCCCTCCAGGAACGGGAAAGACACTGCTGGCTCGTGCAGTGGCGCATCACGCCGACTGCAAGTTCATCCGAGTCAGCGGCAGCGAACTCGTGCAGAAATACATCGGTGAAGGCAGTCGCATGGTACGAGAACTTTTCGTCATGGCCCGGGAACACGCCCCCAGCATCATCTTCATGGACGAGATCGACAGTATCGGCTCGAGTCGCGTGGAGGGAAGCTCAGGCGGAGACTCGGAGGTGCAGCGAACTATGCTGGAACTTCTCAACCAGCTGGACGGCTTCGAGCCCACCAAGAACATCAAGATCATCATGGCCACCAATCGACTGGATATCCTAGATCCCGCGTTGCTGAGACCCGGACGTATCGACAGGAAGATCGAGTTCCCGCCACCAACCGTCGAGGCTCGTGCCGACATCTTGAGGATCCATTCCCGCAGCATGAACTTGACCCGCGGCATCAACCTCAACAAGATCGCGGAGAAAATGAACGGCTGCTCCGGCGCAGAACTGAAGGGTGTTTGCACGGAGGCCGGCATGTTCGCGCTGAGGGAGAGGCGAGTACACGTTACTCAGGAGGACTTCGACCTAGCAACCGCCAAGGTGCTCAACAAGCACGATGACAAGGCTACGAGTTTGGCGAAGCTTTGGAAGTAATTGGTGGGCTCTTGGGAGAAGTGCGGAGCCTTGGGGTCTCTGCTGGCCACTTTTATATGTATTATCAAGCATAGCGAGCAAGGATAATTAGATCATTTGGGTTTTGATGATCCAGGATTCTATTTTCTCCGCATAACGTACACGTTCTAGGTCATGGGGTGGTGCGGCCTTTAAGCAGTAGATGCTACAGCGTCCGAGGTACCCCGGCATCTGTACTGAGCATTCGACACGTCTGCTGTGAAGTTGATGCTACATTTTCAAAAGGGAACTAGTAATCACACACACCCTTTTTAGTAAACGCACATGCCCCCTCCCGTCCGATCTCCTAATTGGCTGGACTGGCCGGGTCGACTCTTGGAGCTTCCTCTCAAGTGAATAGATAAACGAGCGCAGACGGTGATGCAGGCGGCGATGCAGACAGCAATGCAGGTGGCGATGCAGGCGGGCCAGGCTTAATGGAAAGGAGCCTCTATAAGGTGAGGTTTTAACAGTTTTAGCATCCTTCTATGCACGGAGGCACGGCAGGTCGCAATATAATAAAACAGAGAGACTGCGCGTATAGCTATATGTGCGGCCTCTTATGTACAGCATTATATACAGTCTTATATACGGCCTCTCTTATAGGACGAGCTTAATTACCACCCCCCTTTTCTCTCCGTATCACCCCCCTTTTCTCTTGCTATAACCCCCCCAAGATTTAGCTTAGCTCCAGCCTGTAACAACTTTGTCTCACCAATTAGAAGCAGAACCACCAAGCTTTAATACGGAATCTACGTTAACCCGCGTGACCTCACCACCTACTATACCCATCTAGCCCTGTGCCACTAGGACTGCCACGCATTTATAGAGGAGAGCATAAGGTCTACTATCTTTCTAGAACGGGCCTCTATTTACTCCTAAGAAGGAGGTAGTTTATAGTTAAGGGCCCGGCATAAAAGCAAGCTATTTAGGCTAAATGCTTAGCTATCTAGGCACGTTCTGTTTTAAATATAATGGCAGGTAGCAGGCTGGTATATAGCTATTAATTCGCTCTCGTGGTGTTGCAGATTTAAAGCTTTGAATTTGTAGGACAAAGTTGTTGCGGGCCGGAGCTAAGCTAAATCTAGGGGGGGTTATAGCAAGAGAAAAGGGGGGTGGTAATTTAGCTCGTCCTTTAAAACATACCGAAAGACTTCAGACAATAGCAGAGGCTAATACAGGATTAGGCTAGACTATGCAAACAAGGTTGGGTTCGAGGCTTTCTTCCGCTCTGATGCTATCTTACAATCTCGAAGCATCCAGTACACCGTATACCAAGCCAAAACCATCTCCTACAGTTCTCCCCGTTGCTGAAAGCAGGACACTTCTTCGACCGGGGCCATATACCTAGGGGTACCACAACCCCCTATCCACTCGCGTAGCAGAGATAGCATGAAGCCTCCAACACAAATCTCATCCATTTGTCCTGTGTAGCTGCTACCTGAAATCACTCCCAAGTCTCCTGCTCTAGTCGTGGCTGCGGATACACATCGAAGTCCTCCTTTCGTCGCTCTTGCATATAGCGTATCTTCAATACGAACGACTCCTTCATATTCTCCTGCTCCGCGAACGTAATAAACGTGTGCCTCCATTTACACTCTTCCTGGGTGTACCAGCAACCGTGAAGGCCCAGGAAGAAGTGGTGACAGAGCTCCATATCATACCATTTTGTGCCTCCCTATCACGTGCCATGAGTAGGCGGCAGGTTGTGATATGGCCTCTCCTTCTCTGCAACTGGCTCGGCAGGATGGAGACGCGAACGTAGACGTTCTTACGATACTAACGATCTAAGGAAAAGCACGGTGCATTGGAAGATTACACAAGACGAAGAACCTCCAGGTCTAGTTTCGCTTAATCGCGCTAACAATCTATCAGAAGCCTTTTAAGCGCCAAATGTTTGACCTACCTATTCCTTCCCTACCTATCTCGATATTATAGATACAGCACGCCTAGGAATTTGAGAGAGCACATGGAATGAGGGAGCGAGAATGCATGGTTCAGATTATGACAGGGCCTCTGCAGTACGAGTGGCAATCCACTGTCTTGATTCATGGAGACTCACTAACGATCCTTGTTATTCGCCAAGCTGCTTCTCAAGTCAAATTTGGGACTCTTTGTATGCTTTCCAGAGAGGCTAGTAACTACTTACAAGGCCATGTTCTCATATGAAATTCGATGGAGCTGTGCTTTGCACCCCTGGTATCATTCCTTCAGACCATTTACCTACTCCAAGAACGCAGAAACTCCCCCAGGTAGCTTTGGGCCATCAAGGGAAATGCCCAAAACCTGATCCATGTAACTCCAGATGTCCCTTCTGAGGCTCAATTCCATCTCTTAGCACCCGCCGGAATAGTGAACCCCCTGTTCATGAAATCGCCACTCTTCTTCATCGACGGGGTTTGGTCGTTGCTAGAGAATAGAGTCTTGTCCAGTTTTCGTTTCTTATTCCGCGCCTCTTGCTCCTCGAGAACCTTTGCGGTCAGGGATGCAGTAGCGGAATTCCGAATACCATTGGAAGCATGCACGGGGGCTTTAGATGGCGGTGGGAGATCCGAAGTGAGAGATAGTCGCTTTGCCGGCTTAGAAGCCTTTCTGGCTTCCTCGTTGCTCAAGTCTTCCTCCACTTTGACAACCGAGGCGGTCTTATCAGCATGCTTCTTTTTCTTCTTGTCCTTAGCACCCTTCTTCAAAGAATGGGTCAGGCCCTTCTCCCTCAGCGTCTGCATCCTTAGTGACAATCTCGCGATATCAGTCGGGACGATTGACAGGATAGGGATTATGTCGTTTTCAGCATAGGGCTCGTTGCACTGAGGTATTTAGTTAGCAAACTTGCCCAAACAGAGACGCACCATAAAACTCACCTGCAAGCACGTCTCCCCTGAAATCTCCTTAACCACACTCCCCGCAAACGCATGCCCGCACGGCACCAGATACACAGCCTTCGCCCCCGGACCCAACTCTCTATTCGTAATCGGGCACAACCACCTCTCCGTCCTCCCCAGATCCCCATTCGTCCGCTCCATCTTTCCATCCGCGACCTCGAACTTGACCTCAACCACATCCTTCAAGCTTTTCACCCGGCCATCTAACACCTTCTCCGCCTCTGCTTTGCCCGCGCTGTCTTCCGACGGCAGGAGGTATTCGAGAATCGAGTCCTTGTTGTATAGCTTCCCCACCGAGTCTGACACCACCGGTCGTGAAAGCGGTTTGCGCGATATCGGATCCGTGCTCCAGGCGTATTCTTGCTGCTCGGTCTGCACTTCTTTGACCTGGGTCGTTGTGAGCGCCTTCGCGGCTTCTCTTACGAGCTCGCGGCGCGTAGGGATACTGCCGCCATCGTTTCCCATGTTGGCAGAGTATTTATAGGGTTCGTGAGGTGTTGTGGGTTGTGGCAAAGCAGTGAGGTTGGATCACATGGATGGAGGTGTAGTTAATATGTCTTGGCAGAAAGCACGGCCGCGAGCATTCACTCTTGAATTCTTTCTCCCGGAGCATCATCACCGCAAGCGCAACTCATCCTGCAACGAGTCGACTCGCAATCCCGCAACAACTCTCAACTTCTAAACGAACACTCGAAGCGCATAATTTTAACAAATCCAGCCCTTCCAACCCTCGCACTACCTCCGCAATGCCTCCAAAACAAGTCCGTGGCGGCAACGTCCAAGTCGCGCAGCCCAACTACGCGCAATCCATCTACCGCACCGTCACATCATCAGAGAACCGAGGCGTTATAACAGCCGCTGGTCTATTCGTTGTACGTACCCTCAATCACGGTTCGGTGCTGTTGCATTTAGAAGCGACTTTCCAAAAACCGCGGGCTAACTCCCCACAGGCCGGCGTCGCATTCCTCCACAGCAGCTTGAGCGAGTTCATAGTGCCAGCCTAAGCGAGACCTAATACCGCACGATGTATGCCGGGATAATGGAAATCGACGACTGAAAGGAGGCGGAAGTGACGGTGATGTCGGGCCGGGCTATTCACCATTAGGGGACGGGATAAAGGCATCTTGTTGGATTGCATCTCCAGCATCCGCCGAGGCAATCCAGAAACAGAAAAACACACATCCTATAAAACACTGTACAATACTCAAGAGGACTGCAGGGTAGGGGGCATGGGATAGGCGTCTTGTATTCACGCTTTGCTTCTCGAATATTCAATCTCCGTCACACCACTCTCTACGAACTCGGGTCGCTTGCTGTGGAATGAAACACCTAACAGCGTGGAAGGGCTATAGGAGGTTGTTTGGCGGTGATAACGAGGAGAATCAGATCGTCCGAGGTGTGCTGTGCTTGCGTTCACTCCGAAACATAGTGATTTGAGGCCTCGATGCCGTTTTACTGATTCAAAGGCGACATAGGCAAGGTCATTGGGATTTTATACTAACTTCAAGACGAGCTCAGAGCGTCGACGGAGGCCTCTCCTTACAATAGTAGCGTTCTTCATTCATGATTCATACATCACACTCTATGGGTGAAGGGCAACAGCCTCACTCGAGAGGGAGTTATTCACTCGAGCCTAAACCTTCCATTCTCTAATTCTCAGGAGTCTGCCAACACATATCGTCCTCGCCATCCGAGACACGAGGTAGACCTCACCCTTCCCTGGCCCCTCATCGCATTCGAAACAAGCCAGCCACGTCACGCCAGCCTCGAAGGAGCTGAAACCCAAGCACAGACAGGTCAGACAGGTCATTGAGGGAGGTAGGTAGGTGGTGCGATCGGTAAGGGAACTGACATCCCCCTGCTTTAGATGATAAGTGTGTAAGGAGATCCAGTCACGTGAAAGCAACAGTATGTAAAGTATGGTATAATAATAAGTTTCAATATCGATGTACATTCTAATCGATCGACCCATAATTACAATCCCCCATTGATCCATCGATCCATCACCGCTTCACAAGAGGCGCCTGCCCCTTAATGATAATACGCTCGCTCCAAAAAGGCTCAATGTTTAAAAAACGACTAAATAAACGCCGTGCGGATATACTAAACAAAATGCTTCGCTGAGGCTTATCGACATTACACATAACCAGAAAAAAAACCAAATCAAGCATCATATGAACCGCCCAATATCTGCTTTGTTGAAACTGAAAGGCATCTCTCGGGAGAGGAGATGGGCTATAAAAATGCCGGGGTATTTTTAATCTATACTTCTTGAATCCAGACCTGGAGGACAGTATGTTAGCTTTGTCTTGAGAAGTGCAGAAGGGTATCTGTAGACTTACCTCCATCTTGCCCATTTCCGCCTTTTCTCTTCGTGCATTCTGCTTCGACGTCTGTATCGCCATCTCCAGATCGTCCTGGTCCGCCATCGTAATCATGTCTTCGTCGTCCTTCATCTTGATCTTGAAGCTCTGCCGTAGGCCAAACTTCTCGCGGATCTGGTTTGCGAATTCGCGGAAGCTCTTATTGGGGTCGAGGAACACGTAGCGGGTATCCTCGGCATGAACCTTGACCCGGATAGTACGGATGTCGGGGCGCTTGGAGGTAGCGTGGCGAGCGGGAGACCGTCGTCGAGTCTTGGAGCGCGACACCATCTCGAACTCGGCTTCGTCAACGGAGCTTTGTTCGTAGTCGTCTTCCTCCTCCTCTTCGTCGATGTACATTGGTCGCTGGGGTTTCATTGAGCGCGACCGTTGCACCGAGGGCCGGCTCGAACGGGGTTGTTGGTACATGTCGTAGAGCTCATCAGGGTAGTCGTCGCCTTCTTCTTCGTCGGACAGAACACGGCGCCTAGGTACGTCACGCTCACGTCGTCCAGCGCCGCTACGGCTGGAGAGCGACTCCTGTCGGGAAGGTCTTGGGCGTTCTGAGGCCGAACGCTGGGTGCCAAGTCGCGGTTTCTCGCTTTGATCAAATGCAGCACGGCCCAGATCAAGGGGCATTGGCTTCGGACCAGCACCGCGGACAGATTGAGCTCGTGTCATTCCGCCGGCGGAATTGCTACCGCCGGAGTCTCGCTTGCCCCTGGTTTCGGATTCTGGAGGTGGAGTAGGAGGGAACATATTACGGTTGATGGGTGGCTCAGATTGTTGTCTTGATCGGCTTGAAAGATTAGGCTTGACGAGGTTGGTTGCGGCATATGACAGCTTGTCTTCGGGCCTGTCGTCTTTGGCAGTGGATACCGTCTCGCCCGCATTCATCCTCTTGATTTCGGAACCAGCGAATCCGGTGAATGCGTTGTTTCTGTCCGAAGCTGCCACGAGTCGTGCCTTCCCTAGGTAGTCCTTGGTTTTGAGGTTCTTGACTTTGGCCTCGTTTGGTCGATAGACGATGCCTACGGGAATGGAGAAGACAGTGTAACCCTGTAATTGTCAGGATAAGCATAGCGAGAGAGAATGAAGCACCTACCTCTGCCTGCTCCCGAATAGCTTCGTCAATCACGTCGTGATCCGGGACGACTTTCTCCTTCGCCGCGAACGAAAGATCCTGCATACCAGCCTCCTTCTGTTGCAGGTAGATGTAACACAGACCACGGTTGAAGAGAACCTCGCAAGAGTAGAGCTTAAACTTCAGGCCCAATTGCTCATAGTCGATGTTGTTGTTGCCGCGGAGGTAGAGGAGAGTGTCGTTGAAGTTTGCGAGAGCCTCCTCAAAGTCGCCCATGAGGAAGTTGGAGACGCCCTGTTGGAAGTACGCTACGGCGAGGTACTGGTCCAGCCGCACAGCGCGCTGGTAGCAGTCCACCTGTTCTGCGTTAGCAGTGCCTCTTGCAATTGGAACGCAGCAAAACGCACAGCCTTCTCATGCTCGCCGAGGGTTGCATGGATGACACCGCAGTTGAAGAGAATCTTCGAGGTATCCGAGATGCCGTCGAAATCGGTGAGGGCCTCTTCGAATTCGTTGTTGTCGTAGTGGCCGAGGGCAGAGACCCAGGTCTCGATTTCCTAGGTTCAAGTCAGCACACGTCCACAACGCGCCACAAGGAACAGCCTACCTGCTTCAATGACATGGCGAGCGGAGACTACGCGCGTGAGACTGCTGACGGCCTGGATCGAAGCGTGCGAGGCAGTCGCCAACAGCGTCTGCTAAAACAGAGAAGGAGATGGGTGCACGAGAGTGCGGCGAGCAGTGGGTAAGTAATATCGTATTCTCCAGCCGGTATGCGGGAGTGCCAATTCACGCGTGCTGTGAGCCGGTGGAACTGCGGATTCGTCTGATTTGCTGCCAATTACTGTAGCCGCCTGGGCTTTTTTTAGTCGCTGGCTGGCTGCGGGATGGGACGGTGGAGTTGCTCGATCAGATAGGCGATTGCGCGGGAGGCGGACGGGACGGAAAGAGTGCGAAGGAGCGACGGTAGGAGAGTTGACACAGATGCAAGAACTTAAGGAGAGACAGCTCGTGTGGTGCAGCGGCAGAAGCGTAAAGAACGTGGTACGAAGAGGCGTGAAGCGCTGGACAGCGTGACCGAGAGAAGATGCCTGCGCGACCGACGGGCGCCGGACGCTCCTCTCAGTATATTGGACGACGTGCCGCCAAGGGTCGCAGGTTCAGCCAGGGGCTGCAGCAGCGCGAGCTTTGGTCGTGCCATCTTTGGGAACGATGCCGGGGCTGCAGAATCCACGGCGCTTAAGTCGTGACCAACACCAGCGAGCGCATCCCCATCCAGCCGCAGTACACTATCGAGAGGCACAGCAACCGCTCGCCTCGCTCCTCACCACGGCGAGAATAGCTGCTCACGATGCTCACAGAAAGATACTCTGCGCTGCCCCATCCACAGTCCGCCAGCCTCCTCGCCTGCCCCCTCAGCGTGGTGACAGCTTGAGTTTGACGTCTGTTACAGCGCCAGCTCAACACTGAGACACACGTGACCACTGGCCCCCTGCGAGACCACGCTGAGCACTCTGGCTGGCCACAGAGGCCGTGCGCATGATGTCGGGGCGCCGCGGGGGCACTGCCATCAACTCTGAGGCAGCCTCTTCATGCTGCACCGCGAAGCACTGCTGTTTCGGAGAGGACCGAAATTCATCTTGTTCGTTAGAGCATGCGGCGAAACCAACATCTCGCTGGCTTCTCTCACACCATCTCTACCAGCTTTTCTTGTAGTCGCCCCTTGCATCCATCTTGCATCTCACAGTGGACCCTGTCCCGATCTGTGCTTCCATAGTAGACCCCACACTCCATCTATTGCTTCTCAGAGCATCCTTGGCCACCATCTCGAACTCTGTATGGCACCCCCATTTTGCATCTCTCACTCCTCTTGCTACCCCGGCTTTCATATCCGCCCTCACACATCAATCCCCTCACAGCATTCCCTTGTCCACCATATCCTTCCGCTCCTCCCACACCGTCTTGCCCGAGCACGAACAGACCGTTTTGTCGTTGTCCCACACCCCCGCGCTCCGTGCAATCACGCCCACCAGCGTGTCGGCGTCGTTCTTGTCAAACTTCCCATCCTGCTGTCTCGCTACCACCATGCTGCGGCCAATCATCTCCCAGATCTGAAGAGGCTTGTCCAAAAAGACGGTGCCCACGCCCCCTTTCCCTACTTCTACCGTTCCAAAGACGTCTCTGGCCGGGGTGCCCTCCTTGCTGGCCTTGATCGCGTCCCAGATCGGTCCCGTCGACTCTGGTCCCTCCGAGATGTCTCCTGTTTCTCGGACGGTGGCATGATAAGTGCCCGGAGACACTCCTCGCACGCTGAGGTCGACAATGGTAACGTTCTCGCCTACTTGGACCATCCGAGCTAATCCACGGACCTTGTTGGCCACGTGGGCTGCATGGGACTCTAATATGCACACAGCCGCGCCTATTGGTGTATTAGATCATCCCGTCTTGACATCTAATGGTGTGAAAGAACGGGGGGATAGGTTGCTGAAAGTGGCTTTCGAGCAGGGCCATGATCCTTCCATTGTCACCAAGACATTACTTACTCTCAGACTTCCCACTCCCACGGATAATCGCATCCCTCCCCGTTGTCTGGATTGCTTCAACGATGGCCGACGGAGCCTCGTTGCCTTCTACTGAGATCAACTGATCCTTCAAGTTGGCCGTGACCTTCTTGATGCCTAATAGCGTGTTAATACAAGAATGAGGGGTTCCAGATCTGGCATTCTGACCATTCAGTTTATAGAGTGACCCTGACACATCCTTGATGCAATCCTCACAGTGTAGAGGAACTGCGAACGTAGTCTATTGCCCGTCAGAGTGACACTTGGAGAATCCATAACAAGACGAAGCCAAAAAGTTACTCATGATCCGATTTAGAATCCGAGAAGTAGAAATATGACTGAAACGCCACAGTGAAAAGAACGCCTCACCTCAAACGACGGAATCATCTTTACAGATTTAATACTTCTGCTGAGCTTCCAAAACGGTTGTCGAAAGTCGCAGATACTGACACTTTCACCGTGCATCAGAGCCGCATTACTCGTACTTGAGTGTGGTTTGAAACGACCTCGGCGACATCCGCTTTGAAATCAGTTGCATGGTCCGGTCGCGGCGCTGGCTCCCGAATCCCTGTCCATGTCTTGGCATCAAATTCACGATTCGGCAGTCGTGATCGTGAACATCTTCAACACCCTTGTTAGCATCACTGCTCATCACGACATCCCAGCACCGGGCGGACTTCTTAATTGCAGAGGCAGTTGATGCATTGAGCTCCCTCGCCTGATCCCCCTCCTCTCCTCTGCCCCCAGGGGCTCGCCCACCATGTCGCAGACCGTAGGAAGCGTACGTCCACCCTCCAACCACCGATACCCGTCCCCTACGCCCCCAATTCCTCCTCTCCCCAACCCAACCCTAACCCCTTCCTCTAGACCAAACTCGCCTACGCCCGCGCCTGGCACCTCGTCGACGTCGGCGCGGACCCGCGCGCCCTCGGCCGCATCGCGTCGCAGATCGCCATCGTGCTCATGGGCAAACACAAGCCCATCTACGACCCCTCGACCGACTGCGGCGACTACGTCGTCGCGACCGGCTGCCACGACCTGCACACGACGGGCAAGAAGCGGTTTCAGAAGAAGTACTACACGCACACAACGCGGCCCGGCAGCTTGAAGGAGATCACGATGGACAAGATGTTTGCGAAGTGGGGCGGCGCAGAGGTGCTGCGCAAGGCGGTGAGTGGGATGCTGCCGAAGAATCGGTTGCGGAAGGCGAGGTTGGCGAGGTTGAAGGGTGAGTTTTTCTTAGTGATTGAGGGGGGGGGGGGGGTTTTTTGAGGAGAGGGGAGGGCTAATGCTGGGTGTAGCTTTTGAGGGCGCGGCGCATCCGTATAAGGCGAATATTATTAGGGTTAGTCGGACGAGGATAGGGGAGATGCCCGAGGTGAAGGCGACGCTGGCGAAGGCGGTGGAGGGGTCGAGGGTGGAGGCGTAGGGGGTGTGGAAGGGAGGGTGTAGGATATGGGATGTGTATATCAGTTGCTGTTTCACAATCTACACGAAAACAGTTACTTTGTTGCAAACTTGCATATGTTTATATAATTTCTTTAAGCTCCTGTGAGAGCGTACGCCTACGGTTAATATCATTTTAGTGGTAGGATATACCGTCCAAGGTTGCTTAGAGGCATTGGGCTAGTCAAAGTAGTCGATCTACGTTCCGTCTGGGGACAAACTGTATCGAAGCACTTCAAGCGGTGGTAGACATTATTGTGCCTAGCAGGCATTTTTATATGGATCCATATGTATTTGTTACAAACTGTGAAAGATTTATATACATTGAAAAGAGAAGACATCAAACAAATGCTCGCTAGATGGTCATCAATCTAAAGGTCCGTGGATCCCGATAGACGCCTGCAGAATTTAAAAGAGCTGATTTATAGCTTGGACTTGGGCCCCTTCCTGGTGACAGTGCACTGGATGAGACCGTTGGGGTTGGATTGCGGAGCATACACAGTGGCATCCTTGCCCGTGTTCTTGAGGCCCTTATGCCAGGAGAGATCTAAGATAGTTAGCATTGAATACAAAGAGGAAGCTGGTGCTGCTTACCGATTTCAAAGTAGTGCTTGTTGGGTAGCGAGTAGTCTACCGCTTCCACCAATGGCACTGCTGCCAGAATTTGGTCGGACATTTTATACATGGTTGCTTGCACGCTGGCGCTGTTGTCGAGAGCGAAAGTCTTGAGCGTGATCTCCTTGGCCGCGTTGAATGCCTCGTCGAACTTGGGTGCGACAGACTTGACTTCGTCCAGCCCAGAGAAGGTCTTCCATGCCCAGCCGGCCTCGACCTCTGTGCTCAGGATACGGTCCCATGTCTCCTGAAGCTGGGTGTACTCGTCACGGTGGAATCCATAGAAGGCAGAGCCGGTGCTCTTGAGGACGAGGAGCTTCTCAATCTTGGAGCGGATGGAGACGCCCACGTTTTCCCTTGTGACGGACTCGACAACGCGGATGTCCTCGCCATCGCGGAGGAAAGAGTGTGGGTGGGGCTTTCCGTCAATGGCCATGCGCGTCCACTTGTGTTGGATGATCTTGACATGGGCGGCGTGGATGTGGGGGTAGGTCTTGATGAAATGATCGCCGATGACTGAGGCAAAGAGCTCTGGCGGGGTGATGGGGTTCTGTTTGGCGAGGATGTAGCAGGTCTGCTTCTGAGTGTCGGTAGCCACGATGACAGAGTTGTCTGCCTCAGTGTAGCTGTTAAAGGTTAGCTGTGGAGCTTCCTGAAGCTCTGGGAAGCTTACGAGGTCTCGATGTCACCCTCAAGAAGGATGCAGACAGTCGACTCAACTACAGTCTGAGTTCCGGCCTTCTCGTCCTTCTCGACCTTGAAGAGGCGGATGTTGTCCTTGCCATAGCGGGCGTAGCTGAGTTGAGACATGGTAGCTAAGATGAAGTTTCTATGAGATGTTTGGAGTTAGGTAGCTTGAGCTTGAGCTTTGGAGAGCAGTGTTATGGATGTAAGTAAGTGATGCGATGCTGGTGTGTGGATCTGGAAGCTGTGGTGACGGAATGGGTTGTCCTTATAGCTCTCCACGCCCAGCTTATCGGGATCAGCGAGGGACGGGGGCGCCCGCAAAGAGGAGAGAATATTTCTTTTCGGGCTGGATCAATCAGGACCCGGCATATTGATGCCGTCCTGGCGAACCTAGATCCACTGCATGAGCGGGCGGGAGATGGATCTCAGACCATCGAAACCTCGTCGTCGGCCAGCTCCGATAGTGCTTCGTAGCAGTGCCGCATTCATCCCCCGTCGCCCCGCAGAAAGCGGCCGCGTCCTACGAAGTGCCTACAGCTGCCTGCAAAACTCTACTCAGCATCGCGTAAGAAGACAAATATTCGAGGCCTTTGACCGGAAGCTGATGCCGTGCGCTTATCACGGCACAATTCTGCGCGAAAGCATCATGACGGAATGGCTGTGGAACTATCTGCGCCTGCTCAACGGCACTACTGGAGGCGACGAATTACAGCAGCGCTCTAATCAGCTGCCGAAGATGCTCTGTTTAGCAACTAGACTCTACTCGACGACGTCTGATATTAGGTTTGAAGAGTTATCTGGGCTGAAATGCCTCTCGGCAGGTCAAGGCTCCCAGTCTATGTACGTATGAGAATCTTGAGGCGACTGAGGATACTCTCGAGAAATACCTAGCAAAGACAGACTCAACATATCAGACCCAGAAGTTCAGTAAGGCAAAGTTGAGTCTTCGGCCATACACCTCCTTGTTTGGGCCACTGTACCGTCAGCTTTCGGAGAAGTATCCGTGGATGCACAGCTTCAAATCGTAATTCGAACAGAGCAATATGACTGAAATCTGTTGGTTGTTCCCCTCAGGAGATGAATCATCTGATACATGTCTATGTTCAGTCTGTCAGTTCCCATAGTTAGACCTCGCGACGTCAGAGTTGTGATCGAAATTCAGAACGTCAAAACGCCCATACTGTCTTGCCTGCTTCCGTGACTTGTGACGTCTATCTATACTGAACATCATTGGGACGCGGCGGAATCCCACATGGTGAGTTACATGTGCTGCACGGAGTTTGAGTCTCTCCACGGAGCATAGGTATTCTATAAACACTCTACATGTTGACATATTCATTTCTTCGGTATCGTAACGCCAGAGGCCACTTCTGTATACCATGATCTGGGCTATATGATCAGCAGCCAACTGTAGCATCTCATCAGCTACTCTAAGATGCTAATACGCTCTAAATCGCAAGGTTGACGCGCAGCCAACCCCTGCCCAGTCCGCCGCTCGGAAGCCACTCCACGTCGAGCCTCACCAGCGCTTTCGTCTCATTAGCAACGACAGCATCAACAACGCCCTGCACTTCCTCCAGCTCTCAACCGCTCCTTGTCCCGTCGTCGTCAGTCGCTACACTTGCCGGTCCCCGAAGCAGTCCAATCCTGCCCGCGACCCCGCCCTGAATACCCCCAAACACGGCCACGACGCCTACGACATCACAGCCCACTATCAGCCAACTGGCATGGGCGCGATTCACAACTCTCCATGAACCGAGCGGGCCGACAGAACAACACAGGAAAGCCATGCGGTTGGATTGTTCGTGGGGATAAGGGACTCTCATGACGCTACCCCCTCGTGCACCACCTCCATCGCGCTCCATGCCCGGCCAAAGCGACGCGGCGGCCCCAGAGCAGAATGCGCTGCTTCAGCCAACAAGGACTGGTAAGGATGCCCGCTCTCTGTCTGCGGCCAGCTTAATGGCGGGGTCGAGAAGCCAGTCTTTCGCGACCTCTGGGCCTCCACCTGGCTCCTTCAGCTCCGAATTGAGGTCCCAAGTCTCGCGCACCGAGACTCCAAGGCCCGATTTTGGCTCATACGCGAGTCTCCTAGAGGAGGACACGGAAACAACGTCGGAGCAGCGGCAAGCAGAAATACAGGATCAGATTGACAAGGAAATCAAGATCAAGATTGGCTCTGAGAACCTGCTGGAGGCTCTCAATTCCAAAGGATTCAAACAGACCAAGGACCAGCGACAGAAGGTCGAAGCCGAGCTGAACACCTCAAACAGAAAACTCGCTCAACTCCGTCTTGGTTTAGAGGTTGAGATTCAGAGGTCCAAGGATGGGAAGGCGCCGCCCAACAAAACCACCAGCAGGTTGTCCTATCTGTTTCGCAATGCACCATCCCGTTCCCCTTCGCGTAACTTCGGGGTCAGTGAGAAGGAGGAGCCCGAGCCAGAAACAGAATCGCCTACCTTTGTTCTTGCGGAGATTCTTCAAGCTTTAGAAGCCGAATCAATGCAACCAGAATACTACGTGGATCAGCTGAACTCACTCGTCGAGCTATTTAAGCGGCATCCGACCCTCAAATATGATCTGGCATGGTCTGTGTTTGGCCTACGAATGCAAACGATGCTTCTAAGCGACAGTCGTGAAGTAGTAGCTGCTGGGTATAGAGTCGTCAGATACGCCATTACAGACCGAAAGTCTCTGCAGATAATTCGATCTCTGAATACCGACTTCCTGGTCATTCTTTCACTCGTCAAAGCTAGCAAGGCCAGTGTCGAGCGTGAACAGGCGCTTAAGTTTGTTAGGGCTTTTCTTGACGTCAAAGGTGGAGTTCAAGAGATCTCCCGTGCCGTCCTTCGGATCATTGTCGCAGTAGCTGAGCATACCGATGATCGGCTGAGAAGCATGTGTGTTCTTACCTTGGCCGAAATTCTTGTGCGGCACCCAGATCTGCTGGTCTCTGCGGGTGGGATGGGAACGCTTGTTGATGCTCTCGGAGAAGGCAACTATCCTGCAGCGGAGAGTCTTACGGGATCGTTCCTATTCCTCTTAGACACACCACGGAGACGGAAATTTCTACGGTCTGGGCATGAACTTGAGGTACCCTTTGCAATCTTCACTGATTCCGCCGCGATTCATGGACATTTGCACGAAGAGAAGCTCAAGGCTAACGCGAAGGTTATCGCAACATTGCTGCGGAGCTGGCCTGGACTGTTGACGCTTTGTATGAACAATTTCCTAGCCGTCAGGTCTCTCTTATCTTCGTTATACATTCCGACACCACACGTCCGGAACGTCTTGTTGGAACTATTGTTCGATATACTGAGGATAAAACCCCCTTCCTGGTCTTCGTCGTTCCTGGCTGGTCGGAGACTGACAACCTACGGACGAGTTACGAATCTCAAGAATGAGCAGAGTAGGGATAGCCCCACAGCAGAGCCAGAGGATGTCACTAATCGATGGAATCTCATCGATCACTACATTGCCGTCGTCCTGGCAGTTCTTTTGCATTCAGGACTTTTACCCGCTTTGCTCCACGCCGAGGAGGATGCATTGACTCTAGCTTTGAAGAGGAAGACTACATTGCTATTAGGCGAGGTCTTGAAGATGGCGAACGAACTACTTCCGCCCTCATGGAGCGCCGAACTACAAGTGCTCCCTCAGCTCGTTCGGAACGCTGCTAAATTCGATATGGAGGAGCGTTTTATTGCTACCGGGACCATCTACCAAGTGGATAGCGTTAACAGAACGCTATATCGATCGGGCCCAACCACATTCCAAAACACGAAATCGAACAGTAATAAAGAGTCCGAACCGAATTCGCGCCCTTCGGATCAGTCGAAACTTCAAGCCGGTATGCAAATGGATGAGTCTTCGTTCCGTGCTTTAATGGGAGACAGCCAAGTTCTAGCCACTGTCAACTATGGCAAATGGAGATGGGACCTAATTCAAGCTATCATTGAATCTCCTCTACTTAATCCCAAACGGTTGGACGAAGCCCTGAAAACCTCAAAATGGGTTCATCGCGTACTGGGATTCTACCGGCCATTCAAGTACAGGTTCTGTGAGGTCAAGAATACAAAGCCGAATCAAAGATATGTCAGAGCTGGCTCTGCTCTGGTTCTCAGCCTCCTTCAGAATCCCGAAGGCGTCAAATATCTGGCAGAAAGCAAGCTCATTAGGCAGCTTGCTGAATGCCTTTCTCATTTTGACAGAATGAGTGGTCTCACCTCCGAGCTACCCTTGTTCACCGAGCAGCGAATGGAGAACAGTCTCACCGGGGGGTATTTCGCCATTCTCGGAGCTCTTACCAAGGATCCCAAAGGATTACAGATTCTGGAGAGGTGGAAGATTATCAACATGTTTTATCACATAATCGAGCTCGGGGATCGCGATGACATGATTCGAGCATTGCTTAGCAACATGGACTACACTCTCGACGGACATCTTCGCATCATAATCTCCAAGGCCATGACGTCGTGCTCGAAACAGATCCGGATTTTCTCAACGAGGCTCCTTCGGAAATACGCTACGAAATCCATGCAAGCCACGGACTCTGCCGGTGCAACAAGCGGAATCGCGGAATGGGCAATCCGACTGCTTGTCACGCAACTCTATGATCCAGAAATCGAGGTCTGTGAGGTTGCAATCAAGATTCTTGAGGAAACCTGTAACCAGAAAAATTCTCTGGAGTATGTAGTGAAATGCCGACCAGCGCTAGACCATCTAGGTGAAATCGGCGCACCACTTCTCCTTCGATTTTTGTCTACTTCGGTAGGGTATCATTATCTAGATGGACTGGACTACATCACGAAGGAGATGGACGACTGGTTCCTAGGACGCAACGACACTTACGTAGGCCTGATCGAGGCGTCAATGGCGAGAGGGTTAGCAGATATTTCCGAAAAACCACAACCGCAAATGTCTTACGATGACACTCCTGAACACCAGGAGTACGGTCTGGTGCCACCACACTTCTATCGGGAACTCACTCGGACTGAAGAAGGCTGCAAGCTCTTGGAACACAAAGGACATTTTGACGAATTCGTAACCACTATCCGAGAGTTTGGTATGGAAGACGACGATTCTGAAACCATACTGAAAGTGAAGGGCTGCCTGTGGGCGGTAGGTAACGTCGGATCTATGGAGCTTGGGGCCCCATTCCTTGAGAGTTCTGATGTCGTGAAATGGATTGTTCGCATCGCAGAGACCTCCGAAGTAATGTCCTTACGAGGCACTGCGTTCTTTGTGCTGGGGCTCATTTCCAGGAGCCTCCACGGGCAAGAGATACTCATCGAATATGGCTGGGATGGAGTAGTGAACGAGATGGGTGAAGCTCTTGGCTTCTGCATCCCGCTTGACTTCAAGAAGCTATTCACGGTGCGTTGTAAAAACAATCAATCTCTAATCCTAGTACTAACATATCCTAGATCAAGCCATGGGTTGCAGTGCCAAAAGATCTCGGGTCGTGGAAGCAAACTGAAGTTAAAGTAGCTGTCACAGATGACGATCCGTTGAACGCCAGGATACTGAAACTAACGACTGATCTCGGGAATACCGTCCTGGCCAAAAAGGCCCGGACCGACTTGCATGCGTAAGACAATAATGTGAAGACCAGTTGGACCCCGCTAATGTGCGACAGAATCAAAGTAAAGAAGGCGTCTGGGTTCCAAAAGCCGGCACTGTTCTACAAGGTCATGGAAGTCCTCGAATCGCATCACTTCGGTCTCAACGTGTGCCTGTTTGTGTTCAATCTCTTCGACAAAAGAGTGTTGCGACAGATTGTGTTGGAAGAAGAGGACGATTCAGACGACAGCGAGTCTGAATCGGAAGACGAAGAACCAGATAACGGGATGCCGGGCTTCCAGGCCGGATAAAGGTCCAACTATCCTCTGAAAAAGATGAACGGTACGCGTGTATGCCACTGCTTGACGTGCTTCAATCTACTTTCACAAATTTGAGCGTGAGGGAAGCTCTTCACCCTGGGCTCTTTGAAAACTCGTCGAAGCACTCCAAGCAGTGGCAGACAGGTGTACACACAAGAGGCTTTTTGAAGTGTGCCACTTTCTCCCACCCCGCGTGAGGAGTCAGGCCGTCAGCATAGTTCTAGATGCGGATGCTTCGGAGTGCTCCGTGAGTAGTGATGGAATGATCGGATGTTGGAGAAGCACAGACCTTTGTCTCTCGTGATGTTTGAGAGGTGAGAGACATCGGTCTGCTTCGGCTTACAAATCCCGATGCTGCGGTCATCGACAGTGGGTGTCTCTCCTTATGGCGCCTGGTACAACAGCAAGTCTGGATTGGAGCGTCTGCGCAGGAACCAAGCCGACGGGCCAAGGAATATCGAGGCTTGTCTGACTTCCACATGGATCAGTGTCTCAGATGATGGCACGACCAACAGCTCTGGTTCATATGAGGCTGGGTAACACGGGGTCGTTGTACGATAGGAAGTGGTCTTGAGCTAAGGCAGTTTTGGGTATGGGGATGGGCAGTCGAGGCAGCGTTCGGGAGCTGCCAAGCTGTCACGGCGGAATGATTATGCAGTACGATGTATGTGGGCGACGATGTATGCTTTTGTGCTGTATAAGCAGTGTCTGCGTGCAAGACAGATGGTTGGCAGCATCATGATCCGGGGATGGATTTGGCGACATAGAGCTGAAAGCGAAGTCCTGAATGCACCACTGCATGATGCCGGAAGCGGAATGCAAGCTGTCAAGCTATAGAATATTCAAGGTCCGGCGGTGCCTGCGTCTACGTTAAGAGCAACTGATGGATGATCAAGCAAGTGCGTGAAATGCAGCAGGGTTAGTTGATGCGGACTTGGACCCTCCTCCGCCGTCGTTTAGCAGACCACTCGGGCTGGTTGGCCACTCTGCGACAACCTTCTTTCAACGCCGTGATCGATGACGCTTTCAAATGCACTGGTAGCGGCGGGTGGGCGCGACGCAGGGTCACACGGCAGACAGCGCCGTCCAATGTTGAGCATGCCGCAGCAATGCACACGAGCGCATCCCACTGGCGATTTATGAGGGGTCCATGCTGCGCCGTTGAAGTGATTGTAAGAGTGAACGGTCGCGTGGCCTGCCAAGGCGCGCGGTTCCAGACCCCTTCCATGATACCTACACTACACATGTTTGACAGCTGGAGCGGCATCGTTGGTCCCATCTATCGGGCGAACCACGGTTCGAGGCTGTCCCACTGACCTGACAGCATCCAGTGCCTGTGGTGAGGCGTCCCATGGTCCTGTTCGCCCGGCCGTGCAACGCGCAGTGGAACGCACACGCGGCGGTCGATGCCGTGTTCACAGGCCCAAACACCAGACTGCGTGTCGTGTGTTGCACGTCACGCAGCGGCCCTGGCAGTCTCGGGCAGCGGTTTGTGGCAGTCCACGATGCGGTCCCAGGCCTCAGGCTTCTCTTGGGGCTCTGGCGGCTCTGAGTGGCGGCTCGGCAGCCGCGGGGACAGACGTCGATTGCCAGCACGCTCCCGATGCCGTGATCCTGGCCCAGCTGCCTGATGGAAAATCCGCCGCCATCGAGCTGTGCTGCCGGACCTATCACGCCGGGCCTCTCTTCATTCTCTCGCCATCGCCGATGCGCTTGCGCCTGACCGAGCAGCCGTCGCCAAACAATGCCAGAATCGACGACGCCCTTTCCACCGCCGCGAGTCTTGTCGTCGTTGACTGCTACTACATCCACATCATATATGCGTGCCACAGTCCCGGACCACTGCTCACGACACTCTATCCGCACTATATCGACCAGACGCTTGCACGTTGCAAACGCTTGCAAATTGGCGACAGCTGCTTACTAGGTCGACGCCCTGTGCCTTCTCCACACCACATAAAGGCCTCGTTACGCTCGTCGTGACGCTTGAAGACCAAATTGCAGATCCTGTGGCGTTTCGGAATACTGTACACTCCACCCGCAGTTCGCACCACCCCTTGATCCCCATCTCACCAACCCAAATTAAGTTATCTAGCCTCATCCCCGTCCTCTACCCCTTTGGCCTCTACGATCACCTTACAAACCCACGTCTTCTCCTTCTCTCACTGCAAGATATCTTACATGGAGCCGATAAAACGGAACAACTAGTCAACCCCACCGGATGAGCTTGTTACAACGCAAGGGCAGCTCTTTCACTAACGGTGAGGAGCCGTCCTTCGACGCCTCGTTAGGCACGCCGGCTTTGATGAAAGACCATGAAGCTACCGCCGATGTCCAGGAGCTGCTTGCGCTGTCGGCGCATGAAGATGCGAGGCAGCTGGTCCGCCTCATCCAATGCTCGCAATGCTCTAAGCCGTTGAGGATTCCAATCACACTCCCCTGCGGACACTCCATGTGCCGATCATGTCTCCCGGAGCCACGCCTTCGAGAGAACATATCATACCCAGATACGCCTGATCGACAATATGGCATCCCGTGTCCAATTCTGGATTGTGGCGCCGAACATCCCACTGGCGAATGCAATCCGGACGTCACGTTGGCCAAAATTATGGAGGTGATAGCAACCCAGGTGGCGAAACATCAGTCTGTGACTGAAAACACGCCCATTCGAGTAGATGTCTTCTCAAAAACGGAAGAGCAAAATGTTGAAGAGAAAGAAAAAGTTTCACCATTTTCACATTCCCGGATTCTAAATGGGGGACGCCTAGTTTCTACATTTATTCTGGCCGAGCTCGGAGAACTTCCCTTCGACTCGAGCGTTGCTTACCAGTCTCTGGCTACGACCGACGACGATTATCAAACCCTGGACGCCTCTTTGTTGGACAGTCTTCGGGAAGCGGCTCACAAAGAGCTGGATTGCCATGTCTGCTACAACTTGATGTTGGAACCTACCACAACGCCCTGTGGGCATACCTTCTGCCGGAAATGCCTTGCACGCGTACTGGACCATGCCAACCTTTGTCCAGTCTGTCGACGTAGTCTCTCACTGCCTCCGTCCCTGGTGTCCCAACCATCCAACGGCCGCCTCGTCGATCTCCTCAATAGTCTTTGCCCGGAGGTGATGACTGCTCGTGCCGCTGCGGTCAAGCTAGAAGAAAGCCTCGAAGGGACTGCCCTTAACACACCCCTTTTTGTATGCACGCTTTCCCTGCCCGCCACACCAACTTTCCTCCACGTTTTCGAACCCCGGTATCGGCTCATGATGCGACGCGCACTAGATGGCAACCGCCAATTTGGAATGGTCATGTACAACCGATCCAGAGCACCCCAAGGAGATCTCGGAAACGTACCATTCATGGAATATGGGACGATTCTCGAAATTACCAACGTGCAAATCCTCGGCGACGGCCGCAGCTATGTCGAGAGCAGGGGCGTTGGCCGATTCCGTATCCGCGAATATTCCATGCTGGACGGCTACTACGTTTCGCAGGTAGAGCGCGTAGAAGATGTTTCTCTAGCAGAAGAAGAGCGCCTCGAGGCGGAGGAGACGACCACAGCCTTGGCTGCTGCGCTAGAGGCCCAGATGCACATTGGACAACATCAAACAACACCAACGCAAGAAACGCCCGCATCACTAAAGCAGTTATCGACGCGGGACCTGCTTCTCAGCGGCATCGAATTCATCGAGCGCATGCGCGCTAACAGCGCCCCCTGGTTGAACGAGCGGATCTTGATCGCCTATGGCGGTCCGCCCGCCGATCCCGCATTGTTCCCTTACTGGTTCGCGAGCGTGTTACCGATCGCCGAGGACGAGAAATACCTCTTGCTAAAGACAATGAGCGTGCGGGAGCGGCTGAAGATAGTGAATCGGTGGATCCAAAGGATCGAGCGCCAGAGGTTGGTACCCGCTCACTCTTCTCTTCCCCGTTTCGCTTCTGCCGAGTGAGGTCAGGCAAAGCGAGGCAAGGGGTCAAGATATCTAGTAGCAATGCGAAACCATGGCTTGTGGCATTTAGTTATAAATGTTCGCGGTGCATGTGTGTATAGCGCCTCTTGCCTAGCAATGCCTTGCCTTGCCCTGCCTGGTCTGCCTGGTCTGCCTTCCCTCTTTCGCTAGAAGTATGAGTTAGCGTTTCCTGCTAGCATCCGTGCTGATAAGATGTGTTGCTGACAGGATGTCTGGAAACGCTTGTACAGTACTATAACCGTTGCGCGCTTTATTACAGTTCTGCGCTGGATCATGTTTATTGGGATGCTGGTGATGCCGTTTTGGCCGCCTTTGTTACCGCCGGAATCGGACGCTCCGACATAGACCTCTCCTCGGATGGTCAGCTACTTATTCCCGGACAGTCGGTCGAATACTTCTTATATTCGAGTAACCCTTTCCGAATTTCCTTTATTATATTATATCCTCGCATTACATTGGGTTCGGCGTTTCTCGGTGTGCTAGTACTCCTAGATTTCATCAGTGACGGCTACATGCGGAGAAGACTCCTCAAAACGAATGAACTCTTCGAAAAAGGTCAGAGAGGGAGGTTCTTAGGAGTATTGGTAGGAAAGCTTTCGTTTAGGTTTTTAAACGCGCATTGTGGCTACTTCACATTTGGCTTTAGAATGTTTCTTATTCTCTCGGTGCATATGCATTATTTCTTTTGTTTTATGACAGCGGGTAGTCGAGAAGGCCCTTTGCTTTCACTTATGGAAGTGATTAGATGCAGCACTAGTGGCATTCTCCAAACGCTGTTGCTGTCTTCTCTCGAGCTAGATTTGGGAGGTGTGTAGACTACGATTCAGAAGTCATGGTTCAGACGTCGGTTTCGGACACCAACGAGGACATTGTAGATACGAACGAGATATCCTGTTCAAAATGGCTACTATGATCTTATAATTATCTACACCCTAGCATGAACGAGATCTAACTACATGCGCGAACTGTGGTTCCGAGACCCTATATAAATCACTGCAGTGAATGCTTTTGAGCCTACGCGGGGCGCAACGTGGCACACTCTGCCGCCTCTTGACCCCACAGGGTGGGCGAATCCCACACAAAAGGAGCAACGTATATAACGCCACAAAACCAAGGACTCGGGAAGGGCCAAAGGGCTACCCAAAAACAAAAGAAAATTTCGCGTTTGCGACACAGACAAGATTCGAACTTGCGAGGCCGAAGCCATCAGATAAACTTGAGGAAAATTCAAGTCTGACCCATTAACCACTCTGGCACTGTGCCTTTGGTGAGAATAATCAAGTCTGCCAAATTATACCATACCTGTAGCCTAGCCAACTTGTGAGGCCACCAGCGATATTTTCATCAGTGAATCAATCACGAAGCATGCATGAGTTTGGGCCGCCAAGCACCACCACAGAACTTAGACGAGTCAGAGAACCCGCACTATCATTCACAAAGCCGCCTTTCTATTTATAGCCCACGTATCCTCCCCCTCATCATGAACAACCTTCCCCTCCCCCTCCAACTTCCCCAGAATCTGCACAACACCCCTTTCCGCCGGCTGCCACAAACTCTCGGGATAGTCCTTATAAATCACCTTTACAATCGCCATAGACGTCACCCCCTTGCCCCCCGCATCCTCTAACACAGCTAAGACTTGCTCCTCCCGCTCCTTGCGATGCTTGATATACTCCAACACCTTCGCCTTGCCGTCCTCGATCACGGGCCCGTGGCCTGGGTACGCCCGCCCGCCGAACTGGGCCGCCATGCGATGCAGCGAGTCCATGTAGGTGGCCAGGTCCTCGAACACGGCCGTGCCCTGCCCGAGCACGTTGTCGCCGGTGAACATGGCGTCCTCCTCCGCCAGCACCAGCGCCATGTGGTCCGTCGCGTGGCCCGGGCAGTGGAACGCGCGCAGCGTCGCGCCCTCGGTCTGGAAGACCTGGCCGTCGGCTATGTCCAATTGGCCCTCGGTCGGCTCGTTTTTGTAGATCTTGGTGGCTGGGGAGATGGAGAGGAGGTCGGCGACGCCGCCGACGTGGTCCGGGTGCCAGTGCGTGAGGATCGCGGCGGAGATGGTGATGTCGTGGGCGGCGAGCACGGAGCGTAGCGACGCGAGCCACGCGGGTTTGCCTTCGCCGGTGTCGAGCAGGAGGCGCGTGGGCGAGGTGCCGAGGAGGTAGGTGTTTGTGCCTTTGTGGGATAAGCTATTGCTCCAATTCTATCCCTCTACTTTGCAAACGGGTGGGCGGTTTGTCTACCTTGGAGTTGGAACTACGGGTCGTTAGTAATGGTTTTTTTTGGGAGGAGCTTAGATTCGGGGTGACAGTACTTTTCCGGGGTTTCCTCCTAGGATCCGCACAACGCGGGGAGATAGCTTCTCGATCTCAGGTAGAGGCACCAAGGAGGCCGCCATCATGGAGGAGTAGTTGCGGCTCGTCATGCTGCGCGGCCAGCGGCGGAGGCATTGATATCTCACTACCATGCTCGAGCCGCGAGCACGCAAGCTGCGGGAGCGCGGGGACCGAGGTGTCACCATGCATTCGGAGTTTGGAGGGGTTGGATTGGTGGGGGGGTGTGGTAGGGGGGTTTAGTGAATACGTTTGGGATAGTCAGGCAATTCTGAAGGTTGATCATCAGGGTTCTCAGTCACACTTGTCGACAACAGAACACAAAAGGCAAAAATGGATTCTGATGATGAGATACCGTACGTGCGCTCTGTGTTAGGTGATTAAGGTCTAATAGAAATATAGACAGCTTTCAGCAGGCGCGCTGAATGCGCTTAAAGAATTTTACGGTGATCGCGATACGAAGCAGAAAGAGTTTGAGGATTTGAAAGCGCAGGCCGAGAGTGATTTTGATGGGGAAAAAAAGCTTTCTATGGACGCTTTTACTGAGGATTGGAATGCTAGCCAGTTCTGGGTATGATGTGTCGAATTTTTATGTGGTGTTGAGAGCTAATAGGAGAAAAGTACAACGACGAGACGGCTACATTGCTTGCGGAACAGCTGTTAGACGGTGCTACGGATGATTCGTCTATTGTTGTGGTATCGGCGCCGAGTGTTTTTATCCAGCTTAAGAATCTTTTGGTAAGTCTTTCAATAACTGATTCTTCTTCTTCGATTCGTATGTTTGCTCTCTCTATCCACTTTAGTCCTAGGGTTGATTCTTATGCTTTGCAAGGCATCCCGCAAGTATAAATGTCGGCCGCAGATGACGCTACTGGAGTTCGACGAACGGTTCGCGGTCTTCAAAGAGTTCGCGATGTACGATTTCGAGCATCCGATGCGACTGCCACCTGAGCTCAAGGGGAAATTCGATCGAATCATCTGTGATCCTCCTTTCCTTAGTGAGGATTGCCAGACCAAAGGCAAGCTCCCATTCTGCTCAGGATACCACTCGATCTTGTTCACTGATGATTGTTTGACAGCCGCTCTGACTGTACGGTGGCTAGCGAAGTCCTGGACCACTGCGTCTGCTGGAAGTAATCCATTTCGCTTGATCGTGTGTACCGGCGAACGTATGGAGAACCTGATAGGGAAACTGTATTCCAAAACCGGAATCCAGACTACTTCCTTCGAGGTAAAGCATGCGAAAGGACTCAGCAATGAGTTCAGATGCTATTCCAACTTCGAATGCTCAGCCTGGGAATGGGCTACGAAACCTTGAAGATCTATCTCCAGGCTACACAAGTCTGAACAATCTTCCGATAAACACTGGTGTCATGTTCAAAAGTAGTTTCCCTTTCATGGCATTCAATACAGACATTTCGATAAATTACGAAAAACATAACCGGAGCTTCCTCAACCCCACATCAGCTCAGACCTCTCCATCTCCATCAACGCTATTCAACGTCACGTCACACTTCAATTGTCAAAGCACACGCAATTCACCATGGCCGCTGCCTGTATATTCTGCAAGATCATCAAGGGTATGCTCCCAAATCCCTCTACTAATGCCCATCTAACCTTCAAACAGGCGACATCCCTTCGATGAAGATCTTCGAAAGCGACAAGACCTTCGCATTCCTCGACATCTCCCCTCTAAGCAAAGGCCATGCTGTACGAAATCCCTCTCAACCCCATCCCGAACCATTCCACGATTCCTAATACTCTTCCACCAGCTCGTCATCCCCAAATTCCACGGCGCAAAACTCCACGACATCCCCGACGACCAGCTCCACGAGATCTTGCCCGTTGCGAAGAAGATTGCGCTAGCGGTGGGGGCGGAGGACTACAACATACTGCAGAACAATGGGCGGATTGCGCACCAGGTGGTTGATCATGTTAGTTGCCCCATATTACGTGACGGGTGAATGGGTAGAATGTAGGGGAAATGTGCTGATGGATTGCTTCAGGCCCACTTCCATATCATCCCGAAACCAAATGAGAAGGAGGGATTGAGTATTGGATGGCCGGCTGAGGATGTGGACAAGGACAAACTGGCGAAGCTGCTGGAGGAGATCAAGGCGAAGATGTAAGGACTGGAATTGGGCCGGATGCTGGACATGGAGTATACTTGAGAGGAGTGGATGGGAAGGACCATGCCACAAGAATGGGGCGGCTCTCGAAAAGTCGGCGATACACGGCTATCTAAGGCCCAAAAATCAGAAGAAGTATCAATTTATCACTCTGTCCATTCACAATATAGCAGTCGCGACGCTGTAAATCAGGCCACTGAGTTGGCCTAATTGTAGCACCATTGAGATGTGCTAACGGGAGCCAGTCCGTCCGATTTGGAGTCGGTTTTGACACGCTATTGCGGGATATTGTATAATAGACCTTCTACATTTGCTCGTTTGGAAGGATTCACTTACATCTTGTTCGCATTCTTGAAAGTATATTGGAGGGTGTCAAACGGCGACAGTGTAAGTTTTTTCAAATTTCTCAGACCAACATCAATCGTTATACACCTCTACCTTTAGTGCTTGCACGTTTGCTGACTCCGACGGTTGTAAGATATGCCCAAGCCCTGATCAACTATAGGCGCTCAATATGTAGCATACCTATTCTATCACCTCACCTCATACCATACCGACAATATAAGCCCTCAACAGCCTACATTAAGCTACACTCATTAATTACTTGTCCTCCGGATCCACCCTGCACACACCCCTGCGGATTCACAATCTGCACCGTGTCCTCCGCAGCTTTACACACAAAAATGCTGCACCCCTGCGGCCGGTCAATACAGCCAGTGCTCCATGTGCTGATCGATATGCGGCCTCCCTGGGCCTGTATCGTGCCGAAGCGCGACGCATTGACGGTGATCATGCTTCCTTGGGCCTTCAAAGTTCCATAGAAGGGTGAGTTGATGACGATATGCGAGCCCTGCGAGTCTATGGTCCCGGAGAAGGGTGAGTTAAGAACAATGTGTAAGCCCTAGTCGATAATAGTGCCGGAGAAGGAGCTTTCGATGGTGACTCTTGACCCTTGAGTGTGGAGAAAGTCGGTGGTTGGGGAGTTGATGGTGAGTGTCTGGCCGACGATTCTATGAGGGTAGGTTATGGGTGGGCGTGGTCGAGTGGAGACGGGTGTTCGATGCCAGGTCGGTCTTATGGTCGGTCTTATGGTCGGTCTGATGGTCTGTCTTACCGGCGCTCTCGTCTCGGTCGAGGTCTTCGATTTCTGGATGGCATCGGGCAGACTTTGCTTGACAAGATAGTCTATGGCGCTCGTGGATCCCTCGTCGAGAAAGTCGTTGTCGACGTCGCCGGTGCATCGAAGAAGCGGCCCGTCGATGCCGGTCGAGTTCCCGGGTGTTCCTGCATCGTCGTCGTCTTCGATATCGTCTTCGACCCTTGCGCGACGATCAGGCTGTTTCTCTGCTGGCGGCTCGGACACTTGCTGGGCAATCTCGGTTGCCTGTGACGGTTCGGTGCTCGGCTGGTCTCCTGCTCGCAAGCATTCTTCGGCATCTAAAGCTTCCCATTCACTCGAATCGGATTCAATGTCTCCACATATTGTGAATGACGACGAGGACATTGTTGCATCTGTGTCGGTGGGCGACGAAGCGAGGGGGGATTCGGGCTGAGCTGTGCCATTCACGTGTCGTAGAACGCCATTGATAGCACCCGTGATGAACCGCATTATAAACGAAGTCTAAAAATTCAGGCTTTGAGGTTGCGAAATGTGTGAAGATAATTGGACGGTGGGAAAACGTGTTCATTTGTAGGAAGACTGTAACCATGGTTCATACCTTCCGTACCAAGAAGATAGACCCAAGTTTAGAAGGAAAGGTCTCATGACCTAGCACAACTCACCCTCAGATTGACCACTTTTGCTAACGCTAATTCAGATTCACGCATTTTACCACTCCTCGACAGGCTCATGGATGGGGACTGAGTGCACATATCCAAAGGGCTTCACGCATCAATCCCCTTCTTCTCTCCATCTCGCTCACCCTTTTCTCCGTTTCGCTTACACTTTCTTCCATCTCCTTCGCCATTCTCTCCTTTGCCCTTGTCCTCAACTCTTTCGCCCACGTCTTCAACAGTTCCGTCTCCTCCTCCACCAACCTCCTTCCCTTCCACCACCTGTTCAACAATGTCCACCACAGCCTTTGGCTGGCTCAGCATCAAACTATGCCCAGCCTTATGCATGACAACGTCAATAACCCCCCCCAGCTGCGTCGCCATCGCCATCGCCCAGGCTAGCGGCACCGTCTGATCGTTCTCGGATACCACATACAGGCACTTGAAGTCCCCCTGCCACGGCACATACCGACACGGCTCCGTAAGTGCGCCAAAGGAGTGGTAAGGTGCCAGCCTCTCGTACCAGTACGTCTGGGTCTCGGCGTCGAGGTCGTTGTAAAATATGTTCTTGATGATAGAGACATCGGAGGAGAGGTACATGTAGGGTTCTTCATGCAGGGCCCAGGGAGGGGGGTTATTCGAGGGGGCAGCTTGCTGAGGGCAGGTGACGGGTTTGAGAAAGGCGGCGAGGTAGATGAGGGCGAGAATGTGGCCGGTTGGAATTGAGGGGGGCTCTAGGCTTGGATTCTCGTTTGGGGTTCCTGAGATCGAATGGCCCTTCGTAACATCTGGACTCTGGGTTTTCTTTGGAGACTCCAAGCTCGGGTTATTCTTCGTAGCACATAGTAGCTGATCTACCTCCGTATCATCTAGGCTAGGTTCGCCATACGTGGTTGTAGACTTTGCGGTTTGAATGCTGACACCTGGATTGCTCTCCTGGTTTTCCTGTGTGAATTAGCAGGGTCCTTTCGGCTTGATGCAACTACCTAAATCCGATCAAATGGTACAGAATTGAATTCACAATCTTAATAAACGCTTCGTTTACAGCTACCTGAACGGGTGAGCCTTCACCGTTGGCAGTCGAGTCGGCTTTGAACTTCGAAGGAAGGCCTTGGACTGCTTCACCTGCAGGTGTTCCAGCGTAGCTATGTGCAACGATCACAACATCTTTGCCCTGCTGGAGTCGTTCGGTGACCGCCGAGCGAATAATGGCGATGTCCTGCACTCGTGTTTCTGGCACTGGATCTCCGCCTGCAGATGGCAGCTGGAGTGCGCAGACATCAGAGTACCCGGCCTCGAGGAGGAGAACTTCGACGGCGGCGTAGATGACTGGGCGGTGCCAGGCACCAGGTATCAGAATGATGGATGGTTTCGTAGTCGCCATCTCGATGTTCGAGTGTTAGTGAAGAAGTCTGGAAGGTAGTTGATGCTGGATTTGGAAGAGTGTATTGGAGGCGAAGAGGTGATTTATGTGAGAGGTTAGAGAAGCTATACAGACGAGTGAGAAGACGCACTTATAGTTACATATAATAGGTGAGACACTTGGTAGATACGAAACAGTCAATCATAAGCGTTAGAACTCCTCTTTGGGCTAATGGGTGGCCGTATGCGCAGGACACTGATAGGCGTGTAACATCTCAGTCTTGCCGTGAGATATCGTAAAAAGATTTCTTCGTGTCTATCAAGAATGTTATAGCGGCTGCATATGTGTGGGAGGAACTTGATGCTTTTTGTTGTGCATCGACCTTGACGCGGATTGGCATGGCTAGTGGTCCCTGCTCAACAGCTCGACTTTATGAGACGCTTGTAAGATACAGTATCTCTCTTGCCGTGTTAGGATAGACCCGCATGTCATGAGTAAGCTGGAAGAGACCTCGAGAAACAGTATATATACTTGTGTTATAGCACTGCATGAAGCGTGCACCGTTTAGATTTCAAGCTTGAGAGGACCCGGGGAACAAATGGGAGAATCCGATTTGTGTTAACTTATATTTGTACGGCTCGAAAACCGTTTGTATCGTACATGCCACCGTATCGCATGGGGTATAAAGAAAAGGTTGGCTTATTCTTGTTAGTCCCGAGGCCTCTCTGGGATCAGGTCTTGTAGTCGTGGAGAGCATCCGCCTGCTTACCCAAGATCAAATCCCAATAACCGGTAACCGTAACCAATCGATTGAGAGATCATAATGCTGATATCTCCTAGTTAGCCGATTTCTATTCGATCAGCTCATCTTCGGTGCTTCCCATCAGCCCCATCCCGTCCGCCGCCCTCGTGATTCCAGCCCTCGCGAAGGCCGCCCTTGATTTCTCTGCGGCTTCCTCGTCAGTGAGCCGCAACACTCCCATATTCTCCAACATTTGGCGTGATTCTTCTTCTGAGACACCTTCGATCCGTCCCTCCTCTACTTGGACCATATCTGGCTTATGCATTGCTAGATGCAAGCCCATCAGAAAGGCGTAGATGTTCGCGTGGAATCCTTTGATACCAAACTTGGAGCGTGCGCTCTCCATCGTCTGCTCAGAAATGATGGACGGGGAGTCGTCTGGAGTGAGCTAGAACCACACTCGTCAGCAACCCAGCTCAAAACCATAGTATCCGGTAGAATATGCGGAGACTCACAGCCAAAAGGTAACTCTCTCTCACCTCTGTCCAGTCAGCAAGTTCCTGTTGTAGATTTTCGGGTTCACAGAACAGGGTCTGCATAGCATCCACTGCCTCTCGGACCGCTTCGTCCTCCAACCCGTCGCGCGTAGCGTCCAGAGGCGGACATCCGACAGAGAAGATATCGCGGAACAGATCTTCGCCACTCACACCGTAGATCAAGTATGCTTCTAGGGCAGCTTGCAGCATCCATTCGCCTGCTAGCTCTAGCCATTCGTTATTCGCAGTCCAGTAAACCCCAGCCCAAGCGGCCGTCATACAGAAGAAGTCGGTCATGAGATCGTATAGGGAGGGGCACATCGATGTTCCATAGTACTCCTTTGCCCACAATTCGGGATCAGACACTCCAAGTTCGGCAGCCAGACGGAGGCGGTTGTCATAAAGCTGGTGATTGGAAAGAGGAAAGTCGGTGTGCGGATCGAACGAGATGGGTAGGAGGAGTTCTGATGTGAATGAATCGCGGCTGGACATGAAAGCGGCCAGGCCCTTGTTCTTTTTGCGCGTCTTCTCCAAAGAAGCAGCAGTCGTGAGATTCGCCTCAGGGTCTAGTCTTCGAGTGAAGAGAAGCACGAACTCCAGTAGCTTTAGCCGGCTAGCCATCTCAGTCGGGACAGCATCAGCGCCGTGGGTCTTCGCGACCCACATGATCCAATCTGCAGCCCATTAGTCGACCGATATCCCTCCAAAAGTAAGACTACACATAGGCGAAGAAGTGATTTTAGACATACGATTAGTCATTTCGATCTTATCCTCAGGCATATCCCAGGCTTCGATACGCGTACCTCCGATTCTGGCCTGCTCAGCTATGAGAACGGACTCAATCGTTTTGAACGCGAGAAAATCCAGGATCATCAGGTCAATGTCTAGTTGGTCGGATGGATCCAATGAGCGGTCATGGTTGAAGAAGCCATTGAACGGACCAAGATCTTGATGTAGTCGCCGCTCAATGATGGCGTCGAGCTCTGCTTCCACATCCTGGCCATCCGTAGAGAATGAATTCCCCTTCACTTTCATTATGGCTGTCGTTGTCGTCGTAGCAATCGGGCAGTCGGTCGTCGACAATCCAAGGCTCTTGATCACCCAAGAAACCCTTGAAGTCCTCGCGCTCCTCCGGATTGACGATCAAGTTTGTTGTTGAAGAAGGTGAGTGAAAGTGAGAAGGAGCGGAAAGAGCGGGCAGGGCTGATAAAGGTTATCTACGTAGAATAGTAAAGAAAGTGAGATAGAAGCCACTGCTCAATAGGAACGCGCTAAGCAAACAATAGCAAGTCGCTGCCTAAGGCTAATTTCACCAAAAGAGAGTGAAGGGAACGGAGGCCCCTGAAAGACGTCTGAAAGGTAAAAAGAACGTGAAGAAGTGGAGTCTGCTAGCATAGCAGCAGCCACGGCGATGTGCTATATAAGGCGCACGGTAATTAGCATTGTGCGCAAACGGCACAGGGGTGCAGGTGGCGGGTGCGCGCTGAGATGAGGTGCATAAGGTTCCCAGCAGCAAAGGTGAAGCGTGAAGCCGTGCCATCGATATCTCTTGGCGATCTTATCTACCCGTGGACTAATTCCCGCAGCCGATGGTCCGATGATGACATTCACTCTACTTGAAGCTTCCTCGTAGCTATATCCTCCTTCTACCCCTCCAATCCGTCATGAGCCGCCTACGCCATGCTCTCCAAGAAGCCCGCCATCCTTCTATCCTCCTACAGCAACCTCTCGGCCCTCTATAAACCCTCTTCCTCCCAATCTACGTCACCATGCCCCTCTACTCCCCTCTGTCGAACCTACGTGACAGCCTCCCAACAATCCTCCGAATCAAAGCTTCCCTCCCATGACGAGGCTCACGACCTCCATTGGCCCGCTCCGGCACATCCACATACCCTCCCGTCTCCCTATCAAATTCTCTCTTGCGCCCCAGGCACACCATATACCAAAGCACGCTTCTACGCCCTAGTCAAGCTCTACCACCCCGACCGCTTCCATGACGCCTCACCCGCCGCTGCCCTCCCCCAGCACACGCGGCTGGAGCGGTACCGTCTCCTCGTCGCCGCTCACGCTTTGCTCTCCGACCCCGCCCGCCGCTCCGCCTACGATTCACACGGAGCTGGCTGGGCTGCCCCTCCGCGATCATACACAACACCGCGGAAATGGCCACCAGGCCAAGACCCAATGAGGAATGCGACGTGGGAAGACTGGGAGCGGTGGCACTCTCGCCAAAACGGACAGGAGCCGCAATCACCCGTCTTCGCCTCCAACTTCGCCTTTTTGAGTTTCATTGTTGTGCTCGCATGTCTAGGGGGTGTTGGACAGGCGACAAGAGCGAGTAATTTTAGCACGAGTGTGCTGGAGCAGACCGATCGGAAGCATCGGGAGGCAAGCCGGGAGCTGATGACGCAGCGACGGGCAGCGGTGGGGATGGACAAGGGTGCACAGATTCAGAGTCTCTTGCGAAGGGCGGAGCTGGATGGATATACGGGGCTGACGGGCCACTCGGTAAATAATCCCGAGAGGTGTAGCACAGAGACTGTGAGGGAGAGGTGAGGTGGGAATATCAGTCTCTTGTCAGAGAGCTGAGTCGTCGAATGGAGGCATGGTGATGATACTTACGGCCATTGGGTGTACATACGGATGGATTCTTGCTTTTTGGATCGAGGAGATTGGCTGGGTGGTCATTATTTTGGTGATTATCACCGGCGTTAGGCTTGCATAGGCGACACGCATCCTGGCTACGTCCTGGATCTGTACGGAGACACAAATCAATAAACTGTGCAAGATAGACTAACGAAGAGTTATAAATTGGTACGAGCGACGAGGGATTTCCCGCGGCATGCGGACTGACAACTCTTAAATATGATCGTCTTGAACTACAGAAGACCTCCGGTTCACACGATTAGGCGCGGAGTCAGCTTTGTAGAACGTAATCAAGTTCCAGAACGATTTTAATTAAACTGCGGACAGCTTGTCGTGAGAAACTCACTGCCCATGCCCCTGAGCATTTCTCTCGCACATGATGCCTAGCCATTGGAAGGGACATCTCCACCAATGAAAATCATTGTAGGAGCCTCGATCAGGGCTGTGGTGGTGGTGAAGGTGAATGTACAGCAAAGTGCAAAAAGAAAGCAAACGAAAACGCAAAAGCTAGGTGTCGAACACCTAAGTTGTGTTTCCAAAGATTATGTAGTACGGTTTTGTGCGCACCTCGCGGCCACTTCTGGTAAAAGGCAAGAAATGGGTTTGTACAAGGCGTCGCACCGTACAATTGAGCCATTTCAAAATAAAACATCTATGTACTTGAACACTTTCCGGAGCCAGTCCCGCTTTTTGCAGTCCATGCTGGACGCACGTGACTGCTCCCTTCCGATCCCCGCCACCCGCACTGGCACTGTGCGCTGTGCGCTGGCCGTTATGGCCAAGCTGGTCTGTCGTCGCTGCTCTTGCGGTTTGGCATCCTTGTATTAGTTTTCTCGAAACGTTTCATCGTGCGTACCAGCAACTGTAGTGTTCCGTCGCCTCACCTTTAATTTCGGAGAAGACGAAAGGTTGTGGGAACAACGGCGCCAAACTTTGGGTCAAATGCGGAGTTTCGGGCCTGGTACGTGCGCGGCTGGGAACGGGACGAAAGGCCTCCCCTTTCCTTTCTCCCGTCTATTTCGCAGCGTTCATGGCAACCTGGGAAGACACCCAACACTCATTTTCGTTGAGCGGATTCATGTTTTCTTCTATATCAAGCCTCTCCGAGCTGAGATTCGGTGACACGATGCTCAGCAGTTCTCGTATCGGGATACATAGCCGTTGGCAGACGCTTGAGTCTTCAGGTAACCACAGTAACCACAAATTCATCCATTTGCTGTATCTACAGAACGTCAACTACTGCATGCAGCCAAGTACAGCCTCGCACTCAACGTCCAAACCCTAGCTGTAAGACCATGTGTAAGGTGTTCCTGGAGCGCAACGTTGACAGAGTGGCTGGGGGACCCGACCGCACGACTGACTCTAGATTGAGGGTATACAGAGATCGATAGTTGAAGTCTCTCGGATCTTGACTTGAGCGAACCAGGCAAAAGGAATGAGCTGTGTTGCGGAATATAGTCAGCGCACTGAGACCAACTTGCTCTAGCTCAGATCTATTGATCCCCCATACCACCTGATCGAGCAACATTCAAACGCCACAGCTGAGTTTTCGAAGGTAATCGAACCCAGCTATTGTGGTACCGCGATTTGTTACCTGTTGCGTTTTCTTTCTAGGTCAATATCTGCTTAGGTGTCTACTATTTCCTTCACCGTGCCATTTCTATGAAAGTAACTTCAAGTCAAGCTAGGACTACCGAGTCCTCGGTATGAGCAACAATGCCGCACACAGCCCTAGTCAGCACGAGTCTCTCGCTCGTTTGTCAAGAGAGCGGGACGTCCAGCATATTTTACCAGTTTAAAGCTACTCTACTTCTAAGGCGACGACATGACTAAATGTATCTAGACCTTCGCTAACTGGTGGTGGTTATTCCTCTTCTCATCAAGGTATATGCTGTGTCAAGCAACCCACGGAAACAGATACGATCTAGCCGCAATTGTCTCGGAGTTTGTGGATTGTCTTAGTTGTATATATGTACATTGACAATGTCGACTATTTGTAAGGTTCTCCCTCCTATCATACTTAGAAGCACTATGGCATTGCATACTGAATGTTATAGACCATACCTACATTAGGTAACGACCTCGTGGGGGGGGGGGGGGTTGCTATTAAAATATGTGCAGATTGATTCCTGCTCGCTGTTGCAATGCCTAGTCATAGGGCTGTGTACACTGTTTCGCCGCTGTCGTGGGCTTCAACGCACCTCCGAACACCCAAAAAAGGTGGGAGATCATCGTTTTGATCACTCCGAAAACTCACTGGGCCACCGCAGATGACAACGCCGACAAAACGGGTTTGGAGGTCCGAGCTCGAATGGGATGGGTCCTAGGCTGGCTTCAAATGCTATTATATCGTGTTTTCAACGGTAATTGCTTGCTTCTCGAGAGAGCTTTCTTTAACTCTCATTTCACTGTCATAGGCGCCTCAGCACACATAAAAAATATGACAAAAATGCAATTCCATTGAAAGCCACTGGTAAACTCGCCGGGTCACCTCAGACAGTGAGGTTCCCGAACCTGTTCCTGGAAGTCGGGTTTTGGGCCTTGCGAATACTAGAAACAATATATCCCAGACCATCTCAATTGTGCCCGTCGCTCTGGGAATAGTAACTGGGGATTATGCGGACAGCGTCAAGACGAAACATATGAGAGGACGACACCGCACCTTGCCCGATTCGGACTAGCGCTAAGTCGCTGCTTCTATTTTGTTGTCGCCCGCACGACCTCACCCTCCCCACCACCTCTTACCTTTCGTTTCTCGCTGCCCGAGATCACTCCTTCTCTCGCTCAGCCTTCGGCGTTGCAGTCAGCCAAGTTCTTCATCTGCCCGCTTCTCGACGAAGCCGCCATTCATTTCAGCCAGGTAGGCCGACTCCCCTCCCTTGACTGGTGCGACGCCGTCACCTCCGCGCTCTACATTCCTTCACTTGAGCCTCCTTCAACGCCTTCAATCCTTGCATCCCGTCGTTGTTTGTCATTCTGCATCTTATGTACCCCGCATTCCACGACTAACCGTCGCCTCGAGCAACCAGTCTACCTCGGCGTGGTCGGACCCTTCACGTTCCCTACGGTAGATCCGTTGAGATCTTAGACCTCGTAGGTGTCTATCGCATCCTTTGATCCCCTTCCCTTCCTTCATCTACACCGTACCTCTCAAATTCGCCACCGTAGCTGGCGCACTCGCCCCGCTCAGCGATCAATCGAGTCGCAACGCCGACCTTATTTGCTCCATTTACTGACGCCGCGGGCCGGCCTCGCTAGTCAATTCGTTGACATCGTCAATTGTACATACCTCTAACGCCAGCGTTACCGTATACGCTCTTTCAATATGAAGGCCGGCCACTTCACCATTGGTGCAATCGCCCTGTTCGGGTTCGCCGCTGCGCAGCCCCATGGTAAGCAGATATTCCGAGCGACAGAGCCTTGCCATTCTGACCTCCTTTCCAGGCTATCGTCATCGCCGCCATGCGAAGCGCGATTATGTTACCGAGACCACTGTCGTCACCGTCACTGGCGCCGAGGTAGTTGTTTTGGTTGACGAGCACGGCGTCCCTTATTCGACCTACACGGAGCCTGTCGGTCAGGTCACTGCGACTCCGGTCAGGGAGGCCTCTACGACAACATCTACGACAACATCCACAGTCACAATGACAATCGTGGTAGATGAGAACGGCATCCCGTATGCGACCCACGCGGAGCCTATCAACCAGGTTGCGGCGACTCCTAAGGACGGACCTTCTTTCGTCCTGTTCACTTCCACGGTTACATACTCGACCACCACCGTCAACGTCGTGAAGGCCGGTGTCTCTACTGAGGCCGCATCCTCAACTTTCGACTTTCCGTCCTCGACTGCCACGGAGTCGTCCACCGAGGCTCCGACTTATATTACTCCAATGGCGACTCCAGAGCCTACGTCCAGTGCAGTTGAAACTTCTGCCCCGCCAAGCGAGACCCCAACCCCTTCATCTGCCCCTTCTTCGTTGTCTATTGAAGAACCCTCTTCTTCCGCTCCGGCGACCTCTGCCGCTCCAGCTACTTCCGCCGCTCCAGCTACCTCAGCCGCCCCTGCGCCTTCAGCTACACAAGCCCCATCTGGCGCCTCTGGGGTTATTACCTCTGGCGTTGCGTGGGATCCGTTCACTGGATCAAGCTCGTCCACCACGTGCAAGAACGAATCTCAAATCGCTGATGAGTTTAACGCGATGAAAAGCTACGGAGTAGTTCGTCTGTATGGAACCGGCTGCAATCAGGTTGCGCTGGGGCTTCAGCATGCGAGAGATAACGGACAAAAGCTTATGCTTGGAATCTATGTGCCGACTGAGAATGTGTCGGACGATGTCAACATGTTCTCCGATGCCATCAATCAGTTCGCCAACGGAAAATGGGATGACATCCTTCTCATTAGTGTCGGAAATGAGCAAGTCAACTCGCACCAGATGACAGCCTCCGCCGTGGTCGACGCTATCAATGACGCCCGCCAGAAGCTCCAGGCTGTTGGCTATACTGGACCTATTGGGACTGTTGACACTGTTCCAGCCACAGTTGACAACCCCTCGCTCTGCCAAAATTCCGACTACGCCATGGTCAATAGCCATGCTTTCTTCGATTCCAACACAGCGGCTAAGGATGCGGGCACTTATGTCAAAGGCACCGTCCAACAGGTCGAGAACGCGTGCCCTGGCAAGAAGGTCATCGTCACTGAGTCCGGTTGGCCATCATCTGGAGACGCCAATGGAAAAGCTGTACCCAGCCCACAGAACCAAAAGGATGCGCTTCAGTCTCTCCGCGACGCTTTCAGCGATAGCATCATATTGTTCTCTGCCTTCAGCAGTGCCTGGAAGTCCGACTTTGCCGGTTCCTACAACGCAGAGAAGTACTGGGGTTTCATGTAGAAGGGTGGCCCTTCTCGACAAGCGAACCGCTGGACGGCTGTTGCACATTCGCGCTCTTACGGCCGGATATCCTCTCTTTGGTATGTCAATATGCACTCCCTCCTTTACCACATTCCCTTCCCTCCATACAATGTTTGTTTCATAATTACGGCGGCCTCATACGCTGTACAAAGCCGAGACGGAAAATATGGTTGGGCTAAGCGGGATTTTCAAGTGGAATGAAAACGGCATTATGTGTTATGAGGGAGCTGATTTCGGCGGTCTTGTTCCTATTTTGTCTTCATTGGCTATTTCTGCCTTTGATCGATAAGAGGACACGGGTCGCTTTGACTTGTTGTACAATATATTTAGGATGTCAAATCAGACATCTGTCACCTGCAAACTTTTTCCCGTGACTCGCACTGTTCAGATGATGTTCTCAGCCGGTCATGGGATTTCGCCATTGCGACGCGAGTGATGAAGCGGGTTTCATACGGAGGCAGTGGGCCGGGCGCTTTCCGCCCGCCTGAGCTCACACAAAACACCCTGGGACCTTGAACAGAAAGTGACAGTCCGTGAATCTATGCTTCTAAGATAGAACTTTCGAAACTTCAGACAAATACATACTCGGACTTACGTACACTTGTCTGGCACCGCTTGAGGGCCCCTGGTACATCATTATGAAGTGAAAAACGAGAGTTTTGACACGCTTGATAGCTCTTTAGGCCATCTCAGACGGAGTCAGAATAGACCGACATTCTATGTTCAACGAAGCATGACACCAGATAGGCCGTTCACCGTAGTTACCAGCAACCGGGCAACAGCGGGTTCGACTCAGATCAAGAACCCTTGACAAGCGGACGGGCCGGTTTGTGTTTTTGGCCCTGCATGCCCTTCTGAGAGCGGCGTGGCTTTGACACCCCGCTGCCCTTCCCGGAGCAGGCGCAGGTGCGCTGCCCGTTACACACTGTCCAACTTCAGGGTTGCGGAGCGCGGGGCCTCGACGCCGACCCCAGGTGATGGCGGTTCTGTACGCAAATGGTAGTAGTGAGGGTACACGGCGAGCCTTGCATCGGACCGCTTCTGCCTTGCGGTTCATCTAGGAAGTGCGTAGGGTGATCTAGTTACGGGCGGAGGTGAGGTACGTGTGTGCTATGTATGGGCGGTGGAGACGGTCACCAGCCTAGGCCCGTGGAATGCAGCTGTTGTTGCTGGGAAGTGGGTCTGCTGGAATTCTTCAAGAGGGAGAGAAATGCCCCGTTTTGCGAAGGGTGGAAGCAGCATTGCTTTTTGTGCTATTTCTGCGTTTGTACTGTACAGCTGGATTTGTTCATGATGAAGCAGGTATGGTTGATGCCTTTCTCTTTTATGTTGGGATGGCAGTTTGACAGGATGCCGATTGGCTGACGGCGGAATATGTCTAATGCAGGCTCTACGGTGCTTTTGTTTGCTGGCTCTCGCGGCCCTCTGCACGGCTGCTGCGCTCCCTGCAGGCGGTCTTCAAGGCGACGAGCTGCAGCAAGAAACAGCTGGATTCTTGAAGGATCTTGGTGACCTGGTGGTAAGGTTCAGTCAACGATTCGTAGGTGCTCTGCTCAATTGCGTACCTCGAAAGCCCATCGTTCCCAGCTCTCATTCTCCCCGCTTTGCCACCTGGTTTGATGGCTCCCCGGATGCTGTACCTTGCTGCTCTCTCTTCTCTCAGCTGTGGGCCTGTTACATCGCTCTGTCGATGCCACGACTCCAGTGTGGCGCTGGACGCTGATCGTGTCTTGCCATTTGCTTGTTTTCCACGCGTCGTCACATTCCGAGCTGAGGCCGGGGTGCTGCGCCACACCACACTCACGACTGCTGGCCATGCCCAGAGCCTCTAGCACAATTATAGTTCTGTTCGCTTCTCTTAGCGCTCTCTTTATATCCGTCCTTCTTTCTTCTCAAACTTCACTTCTCAAGCGCTTTTTCCTGACCCCCTTCAAGTACGGAACCCTACGAGACACTCCAGTCACCCGCCAAACTGTGCCAGATCCGACGTCATTTCCGCCAGAGGAAACCCCTGTCGTGACTGACTTCTTCGATACCAATCTATACCAAACTATCATTGAGACTCCTGAGACGACCTTCACAGCATACTTGCCTATTCATCCTAGCACTGAGTATTGGCCGCCGTCAGAGCCAGCTGAAACGACCCAGCCCAGCTACGAACCGGTGTACCCTCCGGAAACCACTGAGCCAAGCTACGAGCCAACTTATCCTCCAGAGACTACCCCAGCATATGTCCCTGTGCCATTGAAACCGACGACAGTAAACTCTATTTCGGTTCCGTCTGAGACGCCAATCGATAGCGATATGGGCTATTCTCATGATGGGTATAAGGCAGTAGCCTACTTTGTCAATTGGGTGAGTTTCCTTGTTTCGTTCGGATCTAGATCTTCATTTCAAGTTTTGTTCTTCTCAAAAATGAATTACGGCCCATGATTTGAGAGTGTAAAAAGCCACTTGCTAACTTACTCGTCCCAGGCCATCTACGCCCGCAATCACAACCCCTGGGACATTCCCGCCGAGAAGCTAACCCACGTTCTCTACTCGTTCGCTGACAACCAGCCCGACGGCACAGTGTACGTCCTCTCCATGATGCCCTGCCTTTCGTCCACCACTAACATCGCTACAGCATTCTAACCGACAGCTGGTCTGACGTAGAAAAGCATAATCCGGGTGACTCCTGGAACGATACCGGCAACAACATCTACGGTTGTTTGAAGCAGTTCTTCCTCCTCAAGAAGCGTAACCGCAACCTCAAGGTTCTCCTTTCCATTGGCGGTTGGACGTACGCCCACGAATCCAAGCACTTCGATGCTCCCGCCTCCACAGCCGCCGGACGCCAGAAGTTCGCAGACTCCTGCGTCCAGCTCATCAAAGACGTAGGATTCGACGGCATCGACGTCGACTGGGAGTACCCGTCATCCCCCGCGCAGGGTGAGCAGTTCGTGCAACTACTCCAAGCAATCCGCTCCGCTATGGACGCATACGCGGCGACGCTGCCTAGCAATCCAAAGTTCGACCTTACGATCGCCGCGCCGGCTGGGAAGCAAAACTATCAGTACCTCCCTCTCCAAGAGATTGCCAACGTAGTCGACTTCATTAACCTCATGGCTTACGACTACTCCGGCTCCTGGGACAGCTGCGCCGGCCATCAGGCCAACATCTACCACGATCCCAGTGGCTGCACGCCTTTCTCATCTTCAGCTGCCGTCAGCGATTATATCGCTGGCGGTGTCCCCGCTAGCAAGCTTGTCCTAGGTATGCCGCTCTATGGCCGCGCGTTCACGAACACGGATGGCCCGGGAAAGAACTTCAGCGGTGTTGGTGACGGAAGCTGGGAGAATGGAATCTGGGATTATAAGGTGCTACCCAAGCCCGGCGCGCAGGAGTTCGAGGATGATAACTTCGGTGCGAGCTGGAGCTACGATCCGACTGCTAGGACGATGGTGAGCTATGATACCGTCGGCATGGCGGTCAAGAAGGCAGCGTGGATCAAGGACCAAGGGCTCGGCGGCGCGATGTGGTGGGAGACCAGCGGGGATAGGAACGACACGGGGAGCATTATCCAGAATGTGAGTGACTACCATAGAGGCCAGCAGAGCGATGGGATACTGACAACTTTGTAGGTCGTGCTAGCGCTAGGCGGGCAGGATGGCAGCAAGCTGGCGAAGCAGAACAACAATCTCGAGTATCCTGATAGTAAGTACGATAACATTCGGACTGGCTGCCAGGGGCAATGAGTGGAGGGTGTGCGGTAAGCTGGTGGGTGGGGAGGAGTTTGGGTTGCATCAGATCCGTAATCCCAGGGCGATAGGCCTTGGTCATATAGTAATTGCTTGCATACGGTAAATCTTTCAGTAATACTATTGTGGTCACTCTGGAGCATATCGATGATGTGAGCTAAGGTGAGGTCTTAGTCACGTGGCAGCTTTATTTCGACCACCTCTAGAGCTCTTTCCTCTTCACCTCCGGCCAACCTCCGTCATCTTTACATTACATTTCTCCGAAGGTCTTGTGCGTACTCTCCGCCATGGACGCGGTTGTGAGCAGAGACGGCTCAGCGGTGGTTCTAACCAGCGAATCAGTAAAGATGAAGTAAGTGCATGCACATATTTGCCGCTGTCTGATTTGCTTCAACGTGGTTTCGAAAGACCACACCGATTCGATTTGCGCGATCGCTCACCGGTCTGAGGCTTTTCAGATAGCGGTATCCAGCAATCCAAGGCCGCCCGAACGTAAGGGCGAATTGAAGGAGCTCACATCGCTAACGATCAATAGAGCTAATTCAGCCGCTTCGATCAGACTACTCGACCTCACAAACGAAATCCTGCTCGAGATCACATCGCTTCTGCCGGACCGGCACTTCAGATGCAGCCTCTTCGAAGGCGCGGCAAAGCAGTCCTTCGAGCTGGCAGATCTTCGCAACGCCAGACTCGTTTGTAAGGCGGTTGCTGCCATAGGGGATCTATGGCTCACTACGAATCTTACTCGTCTATATCTGGACGCCTCACCAAAGTCGCTGCGGACGTTTGAAGCTGTGTGTGGCCACCCTCTGTACAGCAAAGCAATTCGAGAGATCGTATATATCGGAAGTCGGATTGCGGACAACCTCCGCGACTGGAAGGAGTACTATAAACAGGCCGTTGATTGGTACATGTATGAATCGATCAGGGCCGGAGAATTTTACGAAGTAGAAACCTGGCCTTACGACCATGACAAAACGTTGGAACGTTTCTCCCCTTCTCTTACGCCAGAGGTGGTGCAAGCGATGGAACGCATGCATAAAGTGTATATACAGCGCCTGGATCGTCAAGAGAGTGAGCTTCATTCCAAAGCCGACCTAATAGGCCTAACCAAAGCGTTTGAGAACATGCCTAATGTCACGTCCCTCGGCTTCATTACCAGCACCGAGACTGGAGCGGTTGGATGGAATATGCCAGAGATTTGGCATGATAACGATGGTACCATTGTTGGATATGACACCACTATTTTCCAGCCACATAAGATGAGGAGGATCTGGAGCTGCGAGAGCTTCGGAGAGTGTGACGAATGCGACAAAGCAGACATGTTTGCTGAAGGAAGCTTTCTTTACCAGCGAGAGAGTTGGCAAGGATTCGACACCCTCATGGAAGCACTTCTTGACAGCAAGAATACCATCAGTCAACTGAAACTAGGGGACAACGAGACGCGTATCCCAGTCGACTTTTTAAGGCCGTATCCTGCGCAAGTCCATGTCAACACTGGCAGGGTCTTCGCAAACCTCAAACAAATCTACATCAGTTTCTCGATGGAGTATCAAGGCTTCGCGGCCAGGACTCTCTTCTCGCCAAACGCCCATCCTCTTGTGACTGTTTTGAGTCATTGCCACAACCTCGAATTACTAGAACTGATTGACGATCAGAGAGATTTTGTTCTCTTCCCTGACGGCGGCGATAGCGACACAGTCGGCCTAATCTTGACCATACATTTCCCCAGACTCAAAAAACTATTCCTCAAGGAAACAGTTGCAACACCAAGGGCGCTTTTGGCATTCTGCGAGGCACACAGGTCGACTTTGAAAGCTTTAGGTTTAGACGATGTTTGTCTATTCCGCAGTGGTTACGATTCTGATGGTCGTCGGCGGCGTTTCATCAACAATACCTGGCGGCCATTTCTCACCAAAATTCCCAGTATCCTAGCTTTGGAGGAAGGTTTGGTGAAGATTGGCAGACGCAGGGAATATCGGGATCTATACGAATGGGAGAAAGAGCTGGGGAAAGACTGTAGAGGGGCGAGTCCGACGAGGTGTTCGAAAGATGATTGCTGCATTAGGGCCTTCAATCGTGGCTCTGAATATGACAGCGACATGGGATCCGACGTCGATAGCGGAACATTCGACTTCTCGGATCAAATCATGACCAGGAATAGGTCATGAATGCTCTAGACGATAACCTGGACTTTCTAAACCACGTTAGTTGGTCGATCCAGGGGTTGGTAGCACCACTGCTCCTGTCTGACATCCACTGATGAATCCGACGAGGCTCACTCCGACTTTCTTGGCTGGGGTGTTCCTTTACCCCACCTACTTCATCTTCAGTCCGGCTTTGCCTTTCATTTGCTTAACACGCCAGCGAGCTTCGCTTAGGCTTCATGATCCTGCCACCAATTCTCCCTCCCTTTATCAATTTGCGGCCCTGCTTCTTCCCTTATGTCATCTGCCTCCTGTTCCATAGACTCCAAAAATGAAATTAAACCGAGATCAAACCCCCGCTTCCCACCTCTGCATTTGAATTAGACGTAAGATCGCTTGGGCCGTAAACCTATACATATAGTGCTAGGACAAAGGTTTCCTTACACCTTTCTGACACCGCTTGCGATGCTTCATCAACAACTGTCTAAGGGCATCATAATCAGGAAATCCAAGAGAGGCAGTGAGTAAGGGGTATGCGATTACGATTATGGATACAAGACATCTAAAATCGGTGCCTTGATCCGCAGTTTAGGATGTCGGTAGTGTAGAAGGAGTAAGTTCAACTACCGGGAGCCCAGCTGGGCCACCTCAGATGGTGTCAAGCGTAATAACTTAGCGACACTCTCCTGCTCTTGCGCGAGAACTTCCGTTCGCCCTTCTTGAGTACGAACCAGACTTGAGTCAAGACACCCCAGCCTCACAACCCCTTCTCGTTCAGATAAGAAAAGACCACCTGGAAGTGGCCTGTCGAATTTCTATGCAGCGTCAAACCGTGCCCGGAGTTTGGATGAATCTGCAAGCTGATGTCGGACGCCTTTGGCCAGAGTCCTGGACCCAAAGTCGACAGATCGACTACCCCCTTACAGTCGCCCCGGCAAACAGGGAAGTCAAACTCAGCAAGAGCAATCTAGAAATCAAAATCGGATCAGCCATTTTTTCGGAGATTCAGGGAATTCTGGTTTCGACTTACGAGCAACGGGCCAGAGAAAGCGGGAGCTGGCAGCGGCCATATCATCCCAACAGACAGGAGCTCACCCACCCCCGCTGGCTGCTTGACTTCTTCCGCATAGTCCAGCATATCAGGCTCGAATGCTCCCTTCTTCATGAAGATTTGCTGCACGCTGCTGACTGTCCCTTGCACGATGACTCCGCTCGGAAACTCACTGAACCTCTTGTGGTCGCTTTCCGGGGCGTGTTCCCATCCATATGAATCCACACCCGTTGCGAGAAATTCTTTGTTGTAAACGAACGCAGTGAGAACTGCCCCATCAATAGTATCGCCATATTTAGAGATCGCTCCAGAGGTTATAGCGGTCCCGAAGGAGTGGCCGACGAGTACGATTTTATCGAATTTGGGAAGTTGGACATTTTTGCTTGTCAAAGGCGATGGAACGAGTTGCCCAGAGCGAGCGAGGATAGTAAGCTGGTGGAGTATCTCGACCTCCAGTGGGGCCTGCAAGATTTCGTACGCGTCAGGCTTGTCGGACTGCCCAACACCCAAGCGGTCGTAAATGAGGATAGAGTATCCTGCTTTCAAAGCGGCGTTGACGTAGGAGTTTGTGTCTGGACGGCGTTCGGAATCCTAGTAGCTGAGGATTCGTTAGGTTACATGGCAATGGCCTTTAGCAAGTCTGGAATGCCACTCACCTCTTATCGAAGCCGAAACCGTGGGTCGCAATCTGCAAGATGCTAGCTTTCGCTCCTCCATCTGGTACGCAAAGCCGTGCACTAATGCTAAAAGTTTGGTGGACAGGACGAGGAGCTGTGATCCGGCTAGTCGCGTTCGGGCCTGACCAAACGACCAGATTCCGTACCAGGTCAACCGCGTCAACGTTACTGTCAACGCGAGGGATATCGTAGATTGAGTTGTTGGCCTGTACCTCCACTGGTACTTTGAAGCCGATGCACGGTCTTGGATTGTAAGCAAGAGAAGAGCGAGCGAGAGCAAGGAAAGACGCAATAAGGATAATGAAGATCATCTCGACTGCTTTCGAGAGTTGTAAAACGGTGGGAATGGATGATCGATCTACTGGGAGACTCCGCTTGCGATACTTATATGAGAATGTCTGCTCTATGAAAATTTCAAGATTATAAAGACGCGAACGGCAGGAGCCGTATTCGTAATTCATCGCAAAAGCCACCTTCAACAATCTAATTTACCTCTCGAAGCTTACGGTAATACTTTTTTGAACTCACTAAAGCTGCTTCTGTCACTGTTAAGGGGTATAGTAGTTCCTGACCGGGGCCGTATTCGTTCTGACCAGGGGCGTATTCGGCTGCACTAACCTTAACATCAAAGAATGCTAGTAATGCTACGACATGATTTTTTCATTGATCAGAACGATCGAGTCCTATTCTCGAAGCTTGGTGAAGAATCTCGCTTTGGGTTATTCTACAGAATTTTCAGGCGAACCGAGCGTTATCATTCGACTTTCGGAATTAACTCCTCCTAGTATAGCCACAACTTCAGATTCGCTATTAAGTCACAATTTAGTCTGAAACTTTGTCTGCTTAGGTTCGAAAGCCGAAATAGACGTTGGAAGAGTCGGTTCGAGAAAAGAGAATAGTGCCATCGGTACTTACAGTACAATGCCATGAGTTTGAGAACTTCATGCATCTACTTAGGGTATCCCGATAAGCATTCAAACCTTCGAATAGGGTGTAAAAACTCGATGCAGTGGAAATTAGGGTACAGTTTGACTGACGGAAGACATGCTAGCTGGGGCTCCTTACAGCGGTGTCGAGCGAGCAAGAATGTAGCCCTAGCAGTGAGATGTCCGCATGCCCACACTTATGACCTAGTTCTATATGCTGCATTAGCGCTTACCTCTGGGCTACATGAAGCTTTATCTGTCCCCGCTCGGAATCCCGTATTGCTCCAACCTATTCTCTCGATAAATCACTACACATCATGGCACCATGCTTCCTCCTCATCGGCATAGCGTGGGACCAATACGAAACTCTCGTCGGCGCAGACAAGGCGGAAGAGATGATTGCGAGGGTTAAAGTAGCCTTAGCGCGCGATGAACAGCAATTCAAAGATGTTGGATTGGACTACCAATACCTGGACTACGCGCCTGGGGAGAGTATGCAGCGATTAGAAAAGGTGCTTGCGGAGAAGGAATGGTCTGGAGTGTGCATGTGAGTAGCCTTGTCAACTCCACTCAATGCGAAGTACACAGCTGATCCGATGCAGAGGGATTGGTATCCGTGCCAATAGGCAATTCACACCCCTCTTCGAATCCCTCGTTAATACAGTACATGAGAAATCTCCTCATACCAAGCTCCTGTTCAACACACAACCGGACGACACGATTGAGGCGGCGAAGAGATGGTTCCCGGAGGCAAATAATGGGAATAAATAGTTCTATTTAGGTCGAGAAAAGGGACCTCCTAATTCAGAACATCTCGATCGTTACATTCAATGCAGCTTATGATGAAAGACCGGGGCCACCTCTTACAGTGTTAAAGAAGTGTAATACAGAGAGGAATAAACGCCTTCTAATCTAGACCGTCTCACTCATGACGTCCAATGCAGATTACCTTGACAGACTGGGGCCACCTCTCACAACGTCAAAAAGGGTGATATAGAGGAGAAAAATTTACCTCCTAATCTAGGCCGTCTCACTCATTACACATAATGCAGATTCGATAACGTATCGGGGGCACCTCTGACAGCGTCAAACAAGTGTGATTTTGAAAGGAGCAAATACCTCATGATCTAGACCGGCTCGCTCATGGCATGTCATGCAGAATTAGATGACTTGTTGGGGGCACGTCTTACAGCGTCAAGCACATGTAATCTAGAGAAGAAAAACAACCTCCCAATCCAGACAGCGTCAACCATGACATTTAGTGTAGATTTCGGTTGCCTGTCGGGGGCACGCCTTATATTATTGATCAAGTGTACTGAGGATGGAGAAAACGAGCTCCTAATTTGGGCCGTGTTGATCGTTACATCCAACGCAGATTTCCGAGACATATTGGGGGCACACCTTACATTGCCATCTACCTGCAGTTTGATTCAAGCAGGGATCTCTTAATTTAGACTGTCTCAATCATTACATCCATTGCAGATTTCCATGATAGCTTGGGGGCACCTCTCACACCGTTGACTATTTGATTTTGGTGGGAAAAGAGAGGCTGCCAATTCGAGCCGCTTCATTCATGACATCTAGTGCAGGTCTCTGTGACATAGTAAGGGCACCTCTTACATCGTTAACCACACTCATTTGATTAGAAGAAATAAACTTCTGATTCAGACCGTTTCATTCATGACATCCAATGCAGATGTATGTGACATACTTGGGGCACCTCTTACATCGTTCACCACCGCTCAATAGACTAGAAAAGAGGGACTTCCGATTCAGATCGCTTCACTTATGACATCCAATCTAAATTTCCATCACATATCTGAGGCACCTTTCACAGCGTCAAGCACACGTCAATCAACAACACCACAACTTTCAATTCGAACTATCTCTCAATGGTACGCATTATATGCCGACGGATACAAGACCAGCCCCAGAATCACCCCACAATCCTTCAGTGCCTGCGGCACCGCAAACTCCCCTCTCTCCCGCCTCGACACCCTCTCCCACTCTCCAAACGCCTCCGCCACCTCTCCCAAAACAGCCGCCACCATCTCCACCCCATCCTCCCCACGCCTCCGATCATCACAGATTCGGGATACGATCTCCACGCACGCCAGACCGAGCTCCACGTACTCGGGTTTTGGGGCCTGCATCGCCGCGCCCAGCCATCCCCGGAAGCGCTTCAGTACCTTCAACTTCGCCTCTCCCTCAGCCCAATTCAGGGCGCCGATCTGGCGCACCGCGCGCTCGAGCTCCGAATCAGGGCCGAAACAGGAGCGAAGAGGGTCAAGAGCGGGATCCAGAGGCAAGGCAAGACTCTTCTGACGGCGCGTTCGCAGCACCGAGGAATCTCTCGCGTCGGCAGCGAAGCGGGCAAGCGGGACGCCGATCTGGAGGTAGAAGCGGCGCAGCATCTCGGGCGGGGCGGTTGGCGGGGCGGAGGCGCCGAAGAGCTTTGCGCAGTGCAAATCGGAGAGCACTTCCATTGCGGGCCACGGGGTCGTCAGGGCGTTGAGGTGCTTCGCTGCGTTGTGGAGGTGTGCAGCGGCGAGGAGGGAGGGGAGAGAATTGGCGATGGTGAGGCCGAACCATTCCATCTGCAGCGTGATCTTGACGCTTGTCGTTCCGCAGAAGATGGGGTTGTGATTTAGGAGGTGGTGGAGATCGGAGGAGGGTTCTATGCCCTGTACCTCAGCTAAGGCACTCCTGCCAGTGACGTCGTCAGGGGAGTAGAGAAGTGAGCGGGAGCCAGATTGGGGCTGCTGGGAAGAGGCAGCTAGGAGGTTACGCTTCATGGTCGGAAGTTCGTCAAGATCCGCCCAGAGCGTGTACTCTAGGTCCATGAAGTTGTCTCGGTTCTGCGGGCCAAAGAGGGCTCCCATGTTGTCACTTGTGTTGTGAGCGTCCAGGAAAGTCTGCTTTGCGGTGCTTATATGGCCCAAAAGGTCCATGTGACCTTGGTTACTCTTGGGCGTCAAAGCGGAATGAATGTCTAGGAGGAGGCGGGCAGCAAAGACGGTACAGATTGTCAGGTTCATCCCTCCTTTGCGTTGGACAGCGCGTAGCTCCTTTGTGACTTCATCCATTGAAAACCGGCGGTGCTGGATGGCTTTTTCCGCATCTTCGGGAACAATGTCCCAATACGTCATTAGGTGGACATCCATAAGCATTTGCGTGAGAAATTCGTCTTCTTTTACCCATTGCTTGACTGACGCATAGGCCAGTAGTTCCGGAAAGTCGACGTAGTAATCGGTGGCTGATATGACCGGAAAGGGGTAGCATTGGTATAGAGCTGAGAGGCTCTGTGAAATGGCACTTTGTTAGCATTTCAAGGGATAAGGTGCAACTTTGATGGACAAAGACTGCTCGCGATACTTACGCCTCGGTACTTCATGATCGTACGTGCTGTGGGCAAGTATACGAGCTCATCGGCCTTCGAGATCTCCAAGGTGCCCTTGCCGTGGAACTGGGTCGTCGTATCTTCCCCTTTTTTGAGCGGCCTGGTGGTGAAAATAGCCTTCGTGATTTGCTCGTAGGGGCCAGGCTTTGAGAGCTTCTTCACGTTCTTGTTCGCACGCTTGTCCTTATTCATACCCTCTCCGTCCGAATCATCGCGCATGACCGTCAAAGACATGAGGTCAATCTTGCCACACTCGTACTTGTGCCACGCTTTGTCGGGATATTGGGCCAAAAGAGCCTTCTCGGAGTTCCGGACTATGTCGACCGCGAGATTGGTTGTAATAGCTGCCGTCTGGAGATCTAACTCTTTCTTCTGATACTTCTCCCACGTTTCGCGGATGAACTGGCGAATGAGGTGCGTATCATTGAAGAAGCAGTGGACGATGAAGTCAAGCCGTGTATCCTCTTCTTCCTCAATTTCGACCACTTTCTCGGTTTCCTTGCTACGCTTCGTAGACTTCTTCCCCTCTTCCTCAACATCGTCGTAGTCCGCCTCTGACTCCCACAGAGAATCCTCAAGTTCAAGTACAGCAAAGAGGTTGGGTAAACAGGAGGTGCTGGGCTCTTCGGGGGCTTTTTCAGACTTACGCTTAGACTTCGGGCTCTTGGAGGAAGTCTTGGGGACGCAAAGAGGCTCAAGGAGGGTCAGAGCTCTCTTAAGAACCTCCGTGAAGTAGGCGTGGCGTTCGTTTGAATGCCCATTATCAAAGCCAGTCGTTGCGAACCAGGTCGTAAAGCGCGTTCTTGTGTCGATGGCCCGTCGAAGCTTTCGCAGGATGGCGTGCGGCACCTTGACACCCTCTGGACCAGACTTTGCGATGGCTTCAGCTTGCAGGGCGAGTTCCTCCGTGGTGAACGTATATACGGTCGTGGCATCCTTCTTTGCGCGCTTTCGGGCCTTGCCCTTGGGCTTATCGGTCGACTTCGTCCGCAGTTTGACCGTGAACCCGCAACTTTCTGCAGACTGAACGAGCCAAGAAGCGAACGCGGCGGTGTCCTCCTTGTAGCGTTGGTAACTCCCGGGATGCGCGGACATGATGACGATGGGCGTTGTGTGAGCGTGCGCGTCGAGGGAAGTATCTGTCTTGAAAGTTGAAGGAGAGGAAGAGAGGAGTAGCAGCTACGGTGTTTATAAAGAAATGGAGGCGTAAAGGTGGGAGAGTGAAGGTGGTGAATGTCACGCAGCCGAATTTTCACCACGTGAAGACGCTTTGGCCTTTGGACACACCTCCTCCGAACTTCACCGCTCAGAGACGGTAGCGGGTAGGGTCGGTTTGAGTCACATGATTGGGGTTTATCGTAGCAGTGTCTTTGGTCATTGGTGAACTATGATGGACCTACTAGGGGGTGGAAAAGGAGGGCGTATGGGTGGAACAATGCATAAGACCGGCTCCTGGGCGGATATCCGTATGATATCTCCACTAGCCATGCAAAAGGCCATTCGCCTCTGTGCTGTTTGATGATGGGGTGGTACTGTTTGAAGTGCTTCAGCGTACGGCAAGAATCCAGACAGGATGTAAGGCCTGCCGCCTTGTAATTTAGACTGAAGCATGAGATGTCATCTTCAAACCCATTTTTCAGGGGCTGAAGTGCTCTGTCGCATCATAAAATCCTCGGGAGGGATGTGATGTTCGTTGCCTCGTGATGTAGACTAATAACTCAGCTGCCGTTTTCACGCCCGTTTGGCGCTATCTGAAGTACCCTAGGGTATCATGAACTTCCGGACGAGATGTCAGGTTTGTTATCTGGCGATTTAGCATGAAGACTGACATGCCTTATTCATACCCGTTTGGCGCTATCTGAAGTGCCCTAGGGTATCATGAAATTCCGACCGAGATATAAGGTTAGTCGACTCGTGATTCAAGGCGAGGTTCGAGCACCTCTCTTTACACCTCTTTAACGCCGTTTGAGGGCTCCCAATACACCACGAAACCGCTGTGTCTGATCCAGCTTGCTAGCGCACGATATGATTACTATACAACGAAAGATGCCGATATTGTTGGTTGAAAGAGGCTATGATTTAGATTTTGAAAAGACTGGTGAAACAAAATGCACCACAGACGAAAAGGTATGAATCAAACCAACGTTGCCTACATAAATATGAAGGGCTATAGAACGAGTTCTCCTCCAAGGTTTCTAGCTCGGTGCCCCTGTGTAGTATGGCACGTGACAACATCTGGGGTGGCCCTGCGAGTTTAGACGCCTTTCAAACCGATAGACCTACCTTTCATTTGGTTCTATAGAAGCTCTGAGGCACCTCAAGCGGCGTCATAGAAACGAGTTCTCTTCATTGGTGCGGCTTCCTGGTTCGCCGCAAGGCTATATTCGGTGAAGGACGCCGTAGGAGGCACAACGGGCCTGGCTACAAAACGGCACACTCGGATCCAGGCAAGATGAGCAATATAAATATAGAGCAGCTCGTTTGAGAAGAGTGCTCCTGAAAGACTGCGCCTCATAGAAAGATGTTGGGTTCTCCTGAATATGCTGGATGTCAGGACAGATAGATGTACTTAGCGCCGCCACTAGACTACCTCAGCCGCGCTTTGAAATACTGGGGGTCCAAAGGACACCTTGCTTTCACCACCAATTATCCGACCACCCCAATAAAAGCCCCCTCCTCTCCGCTGCTGCATCCTCACCCTCTCCCATACATACACCACCTTTTCTTCTTATATCCATTCTCTACAGCTTCACAATGCGCGGCTTCGCAAAGTGTGTTGCCCTCGGGCTCATTGGAGCTGCCGTCGCCTCAGATGTTCACCAGCTCACCAAGGACACATTCGCCTCGTTTGTGGAGGAGAACGATCTCGTGCTCGCAGAGTGTAAGTCAATTACTTCCCCGACTCTCTTAGCTTCACAACGCTCATCGCTTCTAGTCTTCGCCCCATGGTGTGGGCACTGCAAGGCCCTTGCCCCCGAGTACGAGACTGCCGCCACAACACTGAAGGAGAAGAACATTGCGCTAGCAAAGATCGACTGCACAGAGGAGTCAGAGCTGTGCCAGGAGTATGGCGTGGAGGGTTATCCCACCCTTAAGGTGTTCCGCGGACCGGAAAACATCTCCCCTTTTACTGGCCAGCGGAAGTCGGATGCGTACGTTTGCAATCGCAGAAGCTATCGACTCGACAGGAGGCTAACAATGCACTAGCATTATCTCTTATATGACCAAACAAGGTCTCCCATCCGTCTCTACCTTGGACAAGGAAACCATCGAGGGCTTCAAGACCTCTGACAAGGTCGTCCTTGTCGCCTACTTCGCCGCCGATGATAAGGCATCAAACGAGACCTTCGCAGAGGTCGCGAACGGTCTACGGGATAACTACCTCTTCGGCGCCACCAACGATGCTGAGCTAGCTAAGGCTGAGGGCGTGAAGCAGCCATCCATCGTCCTATACAAGACTTTCGATGAGGGCAAGGATAGTTACACCGAGGCTTTCACTAAGGAGAACATTGAGGATTTCATCAAGGTCGCAGCCGTGCCCCTTGTTGGTGAAGTTGGCCCGGAGACATACGGTGGCTACATGGCTGTAAGTTCAATGATTGTAATCAAGAAAGCACGCGATGCTAACGCAGTAATAGGCCGGTATCCCTCTCGCCTACATCTTCGCCGAGACCCCAGAGGAGCGTGAGGAGCTCGCCAAGGAGTTCAAACCCCTTGCTACCAAGCACAAGGGCGCCATCAACTTCGCCACCATCGACGCCAAAGCCTTTGGACAACACGCTGCTAACCTCAACCTCGAGGTCGGCAAGTTCCCCGCTTTCGCCATTCAAAAGACGGACAAGAACGAGAAGTACCCATATGAACAGGCAGGAAAGCTCGCGATCAAGGACATTGGCAAATTCGTCGATGACTTCGTCGCCGGGAAGGTCGAGCCCAGCATCAAGTCTGAGCCGATCCCCGAGAAGCAGGAGGGCCCGGTCACAATTGTCGTTGCCAAGAACTACGCAACTGAGGTCATCGACAACGACAAGGACGTCCTCATCGAATTCTACGCCCCGTGGTGCGGTCACTGCAAGGCTCTCGCTCCCAAATATGAGGAGCTCGCCGCTTTGTACTCTTCGTCTGAGCTCTCCAAGCTGGTTACCGTCGCTAAGGTCGACGCCACCCTCAACGATGTTCCTGATGAGATTCAAGGCTTCCCTACCATCAAGCTGTACGCTGCTGGCAAGAAGGACTCTCCCATTGAGTACAGTGGCTCCCGCACCGTCGAGGACCTCGCCGCATTCATCAAGGACAACGGCTCTCACCACGCTGAGGCTGGCGAGCCGGAGACCGTCGAGCTCCGTGACGAGTCCGAGATGCCCGAGCAGGCCCCGGCTGCCACCGAGGTGGCAGATGAGACGGTTGACCACGATGAGTTGTAAATGCATTTTCTTGTTATCTCTTTTTTTCCCTAGCTAGCTCCTTGGGTGCACCCTGAAATCTTTTCAACCCGTGCATCTAACGTGTATTATGTCCGCTTCAGCTCAAGTTAAGTCGACGCTGCATCGGTGATGAAGCGAGGATGGTCGACGACCATGGAGGAGAGCGTGGCGGAAAAGACTGCAAATGCTGCGGTTATGGCTCTTGGGTATCGGTTATGGGGCTTACGGATCGGCTTTTTCACATGGGTTTCGCGCTGTGCTATAACATTCATCCTTAGGGTAAGGCAATGGATAGTGCTCGATGTTCATTTTTGATGTGCTTTTGCGATGAACCATGTGACCTCTTTACAAAATGCTTGATCAGTACAATCAATTCCGAACAGTGCACAGCTCTTGCACCAACCAATTAAATCACTCGTTTTATGCATTTACCTGATTTGCCCAATTAATCCTAACCTCACGTCAGCACCTTCACCGTCAACTTTGGAACACAGGGTCCATAGAGTGCACAGCCACCCGCGGTCCGTTCTGCTGGTAAGGAACGAGAGAGATAATTGTGATCTTTCTCTTCAACACCCACCCACCACAAGGTTCGTCCCGTTTCCTCACGTCGACTCTTTAGCTAAGACTCAAGAAAGGCGTCCATGATCAAGCCGTTTGAATTGGCGCCTTAGACTAGCAAACCGAGCCAACTCGACACTAATTTAGAGCCGTTTGCGGCGACGCGGGCCGGAACTCGACGACTTCTACACGAATCGCCAAGGCAGCAACGGAGGAACGGCCGGCGATAAGTACGAAGTGCCTACCTATCCAGGCGCATACATACGGTAGACGTCCATCTTATAAAAGCCCACCCAAACCTATCCTCTACACACCAACACAACACCAAATCCCCCGAAGAGCCCACCCCCGCTATTCAATCCCGATGCGCGACCCGTTCCCCATCCCGCGATGGCTCAGCAACGCGGTCCAGCCGCTCACCGGCACGCTGCACCTGAACACGCTACACCTGCACATCCACGAAGTCATCCTCGTCTACCTCTTCTACACCTTCATTAACGGCCGCCTGTCGCCCTACGCTTCGTCGCGCCTGCTCGGCGAGACATACGACGCCTGGCCGCGCCGCACGAAGCTGGGGTGGAACATGCACGTCACGGCGTTCCTGAACTCGATCGTGCTGTCGGGCGCGGCGCTGTACGTCATCTTCTGCGACCTGGACCGCGCGCGCGAGACGTGGGAGGACCGCATCTGGGGCTACACGGGCCTCGGGGGCCTGGTGCAGGCGGTGGGCGCCGGCTACTTCGTGTGGGATGTGCAGGTGTGCGTTGCGAATTTCGATGTGCTGGGCGTGGTGGACTTGCTGCATGCTTTGGTGGCGTGCGGGATTAGCGTTATGGGCTATGTATGTTGGGTTTTTTTTTTTTTTTTTGGCTTTCCTCACTTCCCCTTATTTTATTTTAATTTTTTTTCCCTCCCAATTCTTGATATCCGTGTGTGTGTGTGTGTGTGTGTGAGGGCTGGGATGGTTGATGGCGGTGTGCTGACGATTTAAAGTATCCGTTTGGGCTGTACTATGGCATGCACTACATCCTCATCGAGCTCTCCACGCCCTTCGCCAATATCCACTGGTTCCTCAACAAGCTCGGCCTCGCTGGATCACGGGTCCAAGTTATCAACGGCATGCTGCTCATCACGACGTTCTTCACCTGCCGTCTGGTGTGGGGGTCATACCTCACGTTCGTGTTCTTCCGCGACGTCTGGACCGCGCTGCACGCAGAGCAATCGCACCAGACGACGTACGTGTTGGACGCAAAGGTACAGTCGCTGGCGCTGGAGCACCGGGCGCCGTGGTGGCTCGCGGGGCTGTTCATGGTCACGAACTCGGTGGTCATGGGGCTGAGCACCTTCTGGTTTGTGAAGATGGTTGACACGGTGAAGAGGCATTCTTCGGGGGAGAGGCAAGGAGTGAAGACGAAGGCGAAGGCGAAGGTCAAGGCGGGGTAGAGAATGAATGATGGTTTTCTTTTGTATAGTAGAGGCTGTTTTGCTTTAGACATGTCGTAAACGAAGAAAAAATAGAAATGAATCGAGACGAACAAACTTCCTACCCGGGGCGGTCTCTAGAGCATGATTTTACTCCAGCTCCTTCAACACGAGCCGACTTATTCTCAGTGCGAGTTGCCAAAGTCATTTCGAGCGATTCGGCTGGGGAGACAAAGAAAGAGGGACGTCGAGTCAAGAACGACACGTGTTCCGCTGTTTCCACGCCGTGTCTATCGAAAAAGTTGCCGCGCAGTTAGATAGGGAAGTGTTTGCAATTGAAGGGGCAAAAGAGGTGGTCTAATCAATTGACGACATGGGCCACGCGATGTCTACGCAGTGTCTATTAACACTTTATGCGTGGTCAATTCTGTAAAATTTTGTAGTTGTGTTGGTATCGAATGATGTGTACTTGACGCTGTGGGGTGTGGCACCATAAGACTCCCAAAATCAGCATCACATGTCAAGTTCTCGGCCCCCGATACCAGCATCCCACTTTCCTCCCACGGTTGGTGCGTCCAGAAGCACCTCAGCTACCTCCATCACACTCCAAAATATCTTTCAAGCTCTTCATAAATCTATTTTCATTGAAGTTGAGTAGAGAATTGGACTCCTCTCATGCTATAAGCAACGCAGTCAGGTATCTTCCGTCACGTACCCTATTTTTGCCAGCCAGTAACCGCCTCATCAACCTCCTTCCTGTATCTCTGCTGGTCCACGCACTGCTCAAGGAAGACCTTGTACTTCGCCTTGAGCAACTTTTTCAGATTCTCGTCCGTGGTCGGCTTAACCATCTTACCCGCCTTGCTGTACCGATCCATGATATTCCATAAGGGCTCGCTCTTGCCCTCTTTGTTCGTGCTCGCCGCTTTCGCGCCCAGCATCGCTGCGCCGTGCACGACGGCTGCGTGGACGTAGCGCGGGATCAGCACGGGCATGTCGCACGCCGCTGCGATCAGGTCCATCAGGATGCTGTTCTGGCACTGGCTGCCGGACATGAAGATGGAGCTGATGACGTGGCCGGACTTGTTCATTGCGTCGACGATCTGGTGCGTCTGCAGCGCGATGAACTCCATAGTCGCATAGTAGTATAGTGCGAGCCCGTCGAGGGACTTGTCGGAGCTGAGGCCGATCACGGAGCCCTTCATGTTGGGATCTGCGACAGGCGAACGGTTGCCGAAGAGGTCGCCGTAGAAGAAGAAGTGACGCCCGAGCCAGCTGACGTTGGGCGCGTTCTCTTTCTCGCGCATCTCGCGGAGGTGCTCGTTCAGGTAGTCGTAGATGTTTGTGTTGAAGGTCTCGGCGACCGAGTGGGCTTCGTTGAAAGCCGGATGGGTCTCGATAACGTGTCTGAGGAGTTCGCCAGTAGCGCTTTGTCCACCTTCGGCCATCCAGTAGTCGGGGAGCAGGACGTCGCGGTACGGTCCCCAAACGCCGTTGACGAACACTGGCTTCTCGGACATGGCGAGATGGCATGTCGATGTGCCGGCCACGGCGGCCAGACGGGTGAAAGCTTGAGAGACATCGTTCTTTGCATGGTCGGGATCCAATTCGTTTGAACTAAGTTTCACCTTGGCACCAACAGTGCCGATCCACCCTGCATACGCATCGATAACACCGCTGCCGATGGCGATTCCGGGTGGCAGACCCATATCCTGGGCAGCTCTTTCGCTCAATGTTCCAACTAGCTCACCAGCCGTAAGGTATTTACCATTCTACGCTGGGTATTAGTATAACTCATCTGAGAACTTAGGGAAAGGGAGCGTTACTACTCCGTCAACACCGCCCATGCGCTTGAAGTTGTCCTCGCACAGGTCTTTCAGACCGATGTCGGTCAGGAAGTCTTCCTGCCATCCCTTCACACTGCCATCGACACCAACTGGGACGAAACCCTGCTTGCAAACGACGCTGCAGAAGCTCCGTGTCTCTCCTCCTGTAGCCATATGTGTAAGAGCATCAGTCAAGTCGTAGAACTTGCAGCGGTCGAACAGCTCCTTGGGCATGTTGTTCTTCAGCCAAAGCACCTTTGGAATTTCCATCTCGATAGACATCTTGCCTCCAACGTAACGGAGCAGGTTGTGGTTCGTCGCATTGATCTTGATTGTCTCCTCAACAGGCCGGTGGTCCAGCCAGAGAATGACATTGCGGTCCAAGCCATCTCTGTTGTCAAAGTCGGGCCCAGTGACATTGACTGGTTCGTCTGTGTCTTCGGAGAAGACGGCAAGAGAGCATGTAGCATCGAAGCCAATGCCTCGGATGGTGTCGCCGTCGATGTTGTGCTGGTCCATTGCTCGCCGAATAGACGTGCAAATGCACCGCCAGATGTCGGTAGTGGACTGCTCGTAGTAGCCAGTCTGGGGCTGCCATAGGCCGATGGTCTCGGACGCCAGGCCAACAATGTCACCCTGATCGTTCATGATGCAGGCTCGCGCACTGCCGGTACCGACATCGATGCCAATGTAGTGATCCATGTGTGGGTGGAGCTCATTGCGAGGATCAGTCGACAGCTGGCGGGATGGTTTCCGCTGCTGCTGGCTGCGGAAGGGCATTTGGCCGGCCATTTTGAAGACTGGTCGCCGTGTCAGGTATGCACAAGCGGGATTGGAGGGAGGCGTGGCTGGAGGAATGCTGTTGCGGGGTGCTCTGGGCGCACTCTTACCTTATCTGAGGGGTACCGTGTCACGATAGCTTCTGGGGCTCCTCTCGGATTGTGGTCGCGTTTTACAGTGAGGGTGAGCTTGGTGGTGAGTCGGGAGGGCCAATTGAGGTGGCAGAAGGAAAGGGAATCGGTGTAAGAGGTTTGCAGAGAGCTCCCCAGTTTTACGGAAGTGTTGAGTGGAAAAGTAAAACGGCCGCGCTATGAGCTCATGCCGATCCCAAGAAGGGTGCAGCAGGTAGTGGGGTGTGGGGCGCACGATGGGGACGCGATGGAGCTTCCACATCAATAAACCTCCCTCGTGATACGCTTCTACCCCACGGAGATGACCGCTACGGGCATCGTGAGGCACTTTTCACGATAGCAGTGTCTGGCTTTCACTAATTGTCGCAAAAGCAAGTGTGTTAGTATTGCTTTGAAACTTTGCGGGAGCATGACCCCTAGTCGGCGGCGTTGAACGGACAGCGAATGGAGGAAGATCGCACCACTTGGATAGGCGCGGAAGTCGTGCAATTGGACCGGGGAAGGAGGGGCGTTGTGTCGGTCAGCATAGCGGGACCGGATTCCCTGTTGCAGTATTGGGGGTGCGTTGCCATGTCATCGTGAGTTTCTTGCGCCGCGAGCGGAGGTGGGGACCCTGAGGTGCATGTTGACGCCTGAGGCAACAAGGCTCTACGGGATACTTCACTAACCAAGGGCGTCTAGTCTTCCGTGTTCTACGGACGACTACACTGACAAAACTGTCTAGGACAAACCCCATCCCCTGATCTCTCATCCATGTCCTCCCGCGTCATTTGTGCTCCGCAATTCCATTGCTGACCCCGAACGCCATCATGCAGCAGTTAAAGCTGTACAGCCTCGTGACACATCATCAAGGTACGACAGCTACGCCCTTTGCTCTGACTTGACATCGTTTCATTGGTCCACTCGCTTGTTTGTCATCCACACATCGACCCTACATCTTTAAGCCTCACACGCAAGACCTGGTAGTGATCTTAAACCTGGTGGTAAGAGTGTCTAGTTCCGATGCAAGTGCTCTATTGTTGTTTCTTTGCTTGTGCCTAGAGCGTCTCGTTGGTTGAGTCATGCGTCGTTCCTGCGTAAAACCTCTCCACATACGGAAGCATTTCCGCTATGCAGCGATCCCCCAGTATTATACCCGACCCCGACCCCGATCCCGCCCCTGTGAGCGCCAGATGGCCAGTATCAAGCATTCAAAGCCCGGCCACACTAGGACCGAAGTACTACAACCCTGAGGTAAATACTAACTAGCTATTGCAATAGTTTTAGCTGCCTCAAGCGAGCGCTTACTGATAGTTCTCCAAGCTAGCTCAATGGCTTCAAGGCATTGCTCGTCGTGCGATTTGCACCCATCGCTTATTATGTCATCCAAGGTCCACTGATTTCGATGGTTTAGGCACTGCCATCGGGCTCTCTATGGATTTATCTTGCAGTGAAGGCAGTTGCGGAGGGATCAAGGGCAGTGCCCTAATTCCCTGAAAATTTATATGAATCCTCGGGGGCGCTCTTGTAATTTGCGTCTCCAAGTCTCTCTTCTCTCTCTTCCAATTGCAAATTCTCTGCGCTGTGACACTCTTCCGATTCGCCATGTATTTACTTTCATATTTTGTGCCAGATATTCTGCTGCCACTCGCTGCCGCTCACAAACCCAAAGGCCATCATATCTTGTCTTCCAGGTTGCGTCCGGGAGCGACAATAGAATACAAAGAGGTAAATTTGCCTTCATATTTTTGACGAGCCCCTTCAGAGATTCTAGCACGGTCAGACCAGCATATGCGAGACGACACCCGGCGTCAAGGCCTACAGTGGATACGTCCACCTTCCGAGCAACATTACCCAAGACATACAAGGCGAAATACCCTTCCATGTTTCAGCTTTCTTCTGGCTCTTTGAAGCTCGCCATGAACCCGAGAAAGCTCCACTTGCCATCTACCTAGCTGGATGGCCTGGGGAGTCTTCGATGTACCCAGTCTTCAGTGGGGAGAGCGGACCTTGCTACGCAAACAAGGACGGAAACAGCACTACGCTAAACCCCTGGTCGTTCAACGTTCATGTCAACATGCTCTATATCGATCAACCCAGCCAGGTCGGGTACTCGTATGACGAGATTGTCGAAGGCTCGTACAACGTGCTGGACGGCAGCATCACTCCAGAGAAGCTACCTCAGAATCAGACCACAATTCCTGGGAAGTTTCCCAGTCAGAACCCAGCGACTACCGCCAACACTACAACGCTGGCTGCTCGTGCTCTGTGGCACTTTGCACAGGTCTGGTTCACAGAGTAAGTTGTCTACAAAGCAAATTCAGACATTTCGTTGACGCTAGAAGGTTCCCGGAATTGAAGACATGCGAGAAAGCTATCAGCTTATGGGGTAACTCGGCAGGGTCCACCATACAAGTTATAGCGTTCCCAGTTGCTAAATATCGGTTTTTAGTATGGCGGTTACTACACCGTTGGCGCCATTGCGTATTTTCTAGCACAGAACGCGAAGATTTTGAACGGAACACTGGACGCTAAAACCAACGTAATTCTGCCAATTGACACCCTCGGGGTAACGGACGGATGTATAGACCTGCTATACCAAGGATATTCATATTCAACGTTGACATACAACAACACTATGGAGTAAAGCTCTTCAACGAGACTGTTTCGGAAGCAGCCTCCGCCAATTTCACCGGGCCTGGAGGATGCTCTGATCAAATTCTACAATGCCGCGCTCTTGCAGCCGAGGGAGATCCCTACGATATCGGAATCAATTCCACCATCAACGACATCTGCGCCGAAGCAATAGAGTTCTGTGATGAGTTCGCTGGAGGAGGCGCAATGGTTGCTCTTTCTGGGGTAATCATATCATTTTCCTTGCCCACCTTCCACGCTGACGACCATCTAGCGTAGCACATTCGACCCCTCAGGCCTACGCCATCGCGTTTCTGAACCAAAAATGGGTGCAGGACGCGCTCGGCGCCCCTCTAAATCACACTGCAAATGGAAATACTGCTGGTAACGCCTTGATTGCCACGGGCGATCCTGTCCGTCGCAGCATCGCCGACCTGAACCTCCTTCTCAGCTCTGGGGTTAAATTGTCGATGGTGTATGGGGATCTTAATTTTATCTGCAACTGTACGATAGCCCATCTCCGCTCCTCCCTCGCTTTGCAACCGCTAATGCCATTGGTCACAGGGATTGGTGCCGAAAACCTCACTCTGAATACAGAATACCCAGAAGCGTCTGAATTCGGTGCGAGTGGCTACGCAAATATCACGACGAACTCAACATACCAAGGAGGTGTGGTGACGCAGTTCGAAGGTGTTTCTTTCTCCAGAGTGTTTCTGGGGTCGCATACGGGTACGCTCTCCCCTCTTCTCCCGTTCTTTTAGTCCTGAGTTTCATACTAACCTCATCACTACTGCTACAGTGTCTTACAGCCAGCCCGAAACGGTCTACCAAATCTTCAATCGCGCAATGTTCTACAAGGACGTATCAACCGGCCACCACAATATCGAGACTGGAAAAGGCTATAAGAGCAAGGGTCCCGCCTCGGCGTGGGGCTTCAAGGACGTGCTGCCGCCACCGCCACCTCCAGAGTGCAGCATCTCCTACGCCAGCACGAGCTGTTCAGAAGACCAGTTGGCTGCGCTAGCGAACGGGACAGCGGTGGTGGAGAACAACATCGTCGTGCAGCCGGCGGTCTGAGCGGGAGTCTTGCACTCGAGGTTCTCTGGACGAGAAAGAATAGCAGCAGAAACCCGTTGACGCCGAGCTTATGTATATTTAATTCATCCAACCCATTGATTCCCAGTACATTCTTATCTCCTTTCGCTTCAAAAGATTAGATCCAACCACTCCCATCTCTCCTACCCTCCCCAACCCCTCAAAACCTAACCGTCCGCCAAATACTCCCCCCATACCGCACAAACTGCACCTCAATCGTCCGCGTCTCGATACTAGCCGTCGTCTGCACCTCCTTCACCCGCCACTCCTCGGGGATGTCCTTGCAACTGCGCACCCACCCCAGCGGCGGCACGGCTACCGTGATGTCCTCACCGTCCCCGCTCCAGTCGGAGCTGCAGAGCCCCTCTTCGATCTTGCACACCTCGGCCCCCACCCCCGCCGCGCCGACGGAGTCCCACACGCCCTCCCGCCGTCGGCTGATCAGCAGCAGTTCCATGGCGCGCCGCCGCAGGATCGGGTCGCGGCAGCGGGTTGCGCAGAGGAAGAGGGGCACGATGGGGGAGAGCTCGAAGGAGGGGGAGAAGGAGGCCGGGCGGGCGCGGGGGGTGCGGTACGGAGGGGAGTCGGGGGGGATATCGGAGGCGAAGGGGCGGGAGCGGGTGGGGAGTTGGGACTGGGGAGGGCTGTTGGACATGTAGTCGGAGGCAGAGGGGGGAGTGGTGGGGTTGGGAGGGGGAGTGGTATCGTAGAGGTAGGAGGAGGAGGAGGAGCCTGAGTTTGTGTGGTGGGGAGTGGGTGTTGGCGCGGAAGAGGCGGGAGAGGCGGATAGCGAGCTGCCGGGGAGTTGGAAGGATGGGAGGGTGGCGACTAGGTCGATGATGGTGCGGAATGTTTCGAGGTGGTCATCGTAGAGCGATTCTGTGATGGACCCTACGGAGATGATGAGTTGGCACATGATGCAGTAGATCCGGAGAAGCGTGACGCCGGCGTAGGTCTTCGGGTCCTGGAGGGCCGTAGGGGAGAGTTTGGAGCAGTACGCCTCTAATGATGCTGTCCATGCTGGGAATGCTCCAAGGAGCTGCGCGGAAGATGCGGCGAACTCTGGTCCGTCGATTGTGAGGCCTGGCACGTCTCCAGTTGCAATGTTGGTAATCCACATCATGGAGCGGAGGAGCGAAACGAGGTCGGTACGGGCAGCTGCAGTGCTAGAGTACGCTGGAGGTATTACTGGAAATACTGGGGCCGTTTCGTGGTATAAGTAAGGGGATGTGCTGTCCGAGAAGGTCATGGACTGGAAGTCGAAGCGGTGGAGCACTCCCACAATCGCATCTTGAAAGTCCACGCCATGCGAGAGTCGGTGTTTATGTTGGTCCAGAATCCGCAGGCCGTTGCGAAGATGCATGTTCATAGCCTTGTAGTTACCCACAAGACTCTCGTAGCAGACGAAGATGATGCAGGCTAGGAGCACGGTTTCTACAGAAGTCTGGCCGGTTTGGTACGATACGAGAAGCTGATTGGAGTGCATGACTGCGTCCATGTACTGCTTGAAGGCGTAGTCGCCCGGGCTGGCTGCCAGGGTCCTCGAATTCGAGCTGTAGACCTCATGCATGGTGCTGAGAGCTAGCACACCGTGCTTGATGGCTGGCTCATGAAACATCATTCGCAGGATTTCCTGGCTCCAGAGCTCTGAGTCGAAGAATTCGGTCCATTGGATCAGGGTGTTGGCTTGGAAGTATGCGAACGAGCGGTTCTCGGCTGGACTGTCGAAGAGAGTTGGCGATGGGTTTCTTGAAATACGGACTTTTGGCGCTGAGGCCCTAGCTGGGATAGACAGGAATGATGAGTTGCGATATGCTGCAGCGGCAGCGGGCGAGGACTTCCGGGACAAGGCAGCATCTGTATAGCCTTCACACTTCCGTCCTGTTCTGGTGCATCGAATGCAGGCGGGCTTTGTCTCGTCACATTTGACTCGCCGGATGCTGGGCATTAGTTAGGTCAACCACCATCGTAGAGTTTGATACATGGAGAGGAGAGGGGGTAGATACCGGCAGGTGGTGCAACCCGTCTTCACGCGGATCTTGAACTGGCGCTCGAGGGCTCGCAATCTTTCCGACTCCATGGATGGTCGCGATCTGGGACTGGGCGTGTCGGGGTCGATATAGGGCTGGGACACTAATAGCCTCCTCCCTGTTGAACATCGTCCTGACTGGTTTGCTTCGTTTAGGTGTACGTTAGCTAGGGACACGCGCGAAGCTTAAACTTGTTAGTCCACCGCTACTCTAGTATCTACATGGGGGTAACCTGAGCGGGCTGCTCGCCCTCCCTGTCAGTTTCGGGGGCATTATAGTAATATCCTAGGAAAATAGTGCGGGTACGACTATAATGCCCCCAAAACTGACAGGGAGGGCGAGCAGCCCGCTTAGGTTACCCCCTTGTATGTAGCACCAGTAGCACCTGGGCAGGGTTTTTACGAGGCGTCAAATCCTCCGCCCCTATTGCTGACATGACTCTTGCTTATGCTCAGCCTCGTCGTATGTCGCGTTGCTGATGCAAGCCCCAGCCACCTCACCGCCGCTATGAATACGCTATTTCGTGGCCCGCGGCACAGTCCCTTCCACCTGGCAGCTGTTGAAAGTTATGGAATCAATACAGTTCGAACCGGCATTGACGTTTTCCAGAGTTCTCCTTCTTAACCGCCATGCCCTTGATGAGGCTTCCGCTATCCTGTATGAAAGTTGTATTGCTTAAGCTCTTATACATCGCGGACAGAGAGCTGTTTGCGAAATGGCATCAAGTACGGTATTTGGACACAAGTCTTGCACTCTTTCTTGACTTCTCCCCATGCTTCTTCGTAAGATTTAGATAAAAAGTCTGTGCACTCCTTGCGACTGTCTGATGTATTCCAGTGCATTGAAAAGAGGTTAGAAAAGATGTACAATCCTAGGGAGCGTAAATCGGAGCGGATCTAAACGCTTTTGACTGACCTATCCTACCGTCGTCTAGGGTAGTTCCCGATACTGTAAAGAGCCCAATGCAGGAGCAATTTGACGGCTGCAAAAGTAGCATTGCTAGCGCCACAATCCAGATCATCAAACGCCTAGGGTCCCGGTCCTTAGATTTGGCTTCTCTTAGGTATTGGCTAGCTCCTAATAGCGAGAAGAATGTTCAGTTCGAGGTAGCCGTAACGAGTGAAGGGATCTAGTAGCTAAATTTAGTACCCGCCGCTTCGCGCCAATACTCTTTGATGTTACCTTACGGCCCGATCTTTCTTTCATAAGACCCTCTCCTCATGCCAGAGGAAAAGTATCGGTACCAAGATTGCAACTTTTCTTAACATGCTAAAATATTTGCAGCTTCCAAGACCCTTGACCGTCATAGACGAGAGGGCCGGGCAGGCTTCATTGGACGTAAGATGACAGTCTGTTATAACTCCCTCTAGGGTGGCCCGAAGAGCAATCAGACAGATCACGACTGTCTTTTTTCAGCTCTTGATAATGCATCATGGAGCCTCAAGCAGTGCTAGGTGAGCCTAGAGTGGGTGCGTATTTAAAGTATCGGAAGGTTTAGAATAGATTTACAGATTCGTAGACTGCCACTTTTTGTGCCGAGACCTGCCAGTATACGAACTCCCGGGTTCTCGACCCACCAGTTCCATGGGAACACCAAACTTTCAGGCCACAAATGCCAGTTTCATACTTTCTGCTCGTCCACCGGCTCGCTGATCGGTTTACCACGCCAGGACATCTAGCATGCGCCTCCAAATCACAAAGCCATTGCTCATCTCTCTAGATGACCGTCGTCGTGTAGGGCCTTCTATCGTCAACATGAGCAATGGCTCAAGCCCTCAAAGAATCCCCAGCATGGACCCCAACTCGTACACCGCTTTCCGATTTCTTGATTTGCCACCCGAAATTCGCCTTCTTGTATATTATTACACAGTCACATGGTTTTACTACTCCCAAACTTTGGTGTCAATCAAGAAAAGACACGCCTTCATCTTAGAGCGTTGCGGTGTCAGGGCCTTTTACGGAAACTCTACAAGATATCTCCACGTTATGTCCTCGAAAACTTGGTACCTCCTTTCCTCATCGTCAACCGTCAAATCAGAGTAGAAATACTAGACATGCTCCTCGCAACACTTTTCATGATAAGCGATCGGGAGCTAAGCCAGGGTGCGATAAACTTGGATGCATTTTTCTCGAAACCTTGCCGCAAAACATGCAGGTGTTAGACTGGAAAGCCGCAAGTGGGGTCTACAAGATGAGTGACGGAAAAAAATATTATGGGAAAACCAACACAAATAGAAGCATTAGTCTTTAGTGGGCGTGTCCGGATTTCCGATACTGTGTCCGAGGCCACCCGTGAGGGCCTCTCATGGCACCTCATGGCACATTCAGGCTAAATTCCCAGAAAAGGTGATAGAAAAAGGACCACGTCTACACCTTACGAATATTAAGATGTTCTTTGATTATCGCATGCTCCGGCAGAACTATCGATAAGAGTCCAGGGAGATGAAATGCGCAACTTTCTGGACACTGCAGTCAAAACCACAGCCGGCAGGTATACTCAAAGCGCAAGGCTTACAGCATATCCGTCTATGTGGTATTTCCATATTCTGCTTTTGGTACCTATCAGACCTGGCTGCTAGTGCCACCGGTCCCTTCCTTTTGATTGGACGATGGTCGATATCAACGGGTCTCCCTCAACTTGAGCAGGATTAGCGCTCACCGGTGAGATGCATGCTATCTTCAGGCTGCTTTCGATCATACGATAAACTCAAGATAAGCCCGACAGTTGCCTCGACAATGTTGCCTTCATGGATCAGGACTCGTCATAGATGTGAGCGGGGCATGTTCCGTTCAGTAACGGAGTCAGATTTCCATGCTGCTGTTGTTGTACAGGCAGACGAATCTACGAATGCCATCCGCGGCTTCCGGCATCAAAAGTGCTCCGGCCGTCCAAAAAGGCACAGCATTGCCGTTATGGACTCTCGCGCGGATCCCCCACGCTTGTGAAATATTTACTTGTATCAACGGTCCCTGTCGTGCCCGTCCCGCGCAATGAGGATCGGCAGCAGCCGAGGATAATTCCGGGCGCCACAAATATAGCGGCGGCCGCGATGCCTTTCGCAGGAGCCCAAGCTGGAAGCGCGGCGGGCTGCAGCCCCTGAAAAGCGGTAGATCAGCGCCCAGGCACAAGCGAGCAGCGAACGCCTGGACGGTGAGTCTGCAACAACACTGGCATTCTATACAGCCAAGGGGCGCACGTGCATGGCCGTCTTGCGCAACACCCAACTGCAGTAGATGTTTCAGCCTGAACAACAGCACCAACGGCGGCCTGCCACTTGTTGCGTCGCAGGGAGACGGCATTGCCCACGGCGTTCGGCAAACCGCATGGCGATACATGCGCAGTGGACCCCTGCCCCGCTGGCTTGGGCCCTTTGCACTCGGTGCTGGTGGCGTATTGACAGCTCCTTTGAGCGCTCTCCGCCGTCGCTCCTCGTCGTCTACCAGATTAATTGGCGCTAGCTTCGATCCTGCAGTATCGTGGGCCGATCTGAGCATGGCGCCGTCGTCATCTCTGATATGCCCACGTATCCACCACCTTCCCCCACGGTTTCGCCTTCTTCAACCTCTCTTCATCACCTATTTCCATGTTCACAGCCAGAGTTATACCTTTAGTCTTACTATAATTGTAATTTGTAGCTAATTCACATCACTACTAAATAATGCTACGATTCTTGTCATTCCACAGAAAGTCCAGCCTTTCTACAGAAGAACCACCTGCGAGGTAAACGGCCGATACTACGAGTTTCCTCCCAGCTCGATGCTTTAGTTGCGCGTATGAGAGATCCGTCTCTAACACCATCTGTAGTGTGGATGCCCCGCGTCCCTGTGGCACTGGACAGCTCGAAAAACGCTCCTCAGTGTCGTCTGTCACATCGACGCGTCCCTCTCGCGACTCGATATACTCGAAAGAATCTTCGGCCACGTCTTATAGCAGTGTCCAGTCCACCACTCATTACGATTTTGATACTATTCCCACCATCACGAAGACAGCATGGGAGCTGGATCGTTACAGGCGGCCATCAGTGACCCAGCGATCGAGGTCGACTGAGGAGACCGCACCGAGGACGAACTTGTTTGAAAAGTTACCGCGAGAGATATACGACTGCATACTACAAGAGCTAGAGCTACTTCACTTTCAGCCCGGGAAGCATGTCTGCCCGTCTTGCTATTTGCGAGATGTCAGTAATCTAGCTCTGACAAGTCGAGCCTGGGATAAAGCTGCAAGAGCAAAGCTGTCAGTAATCCCAACTTGGCATGCGATGATATATACACAATGCTAATGTCGTGACAGATATCGCAATATATGGGTACTCCCTGACGATGGAAACCACGAAATGAAGAAGCTCAAGCTCAAGAATACTCGCCGCTTGAAACTTCTACGCCGTACATTACGTGAGAGAACGGCTCTAGCAAGGACCGTGAAGGAGCTCAACTGCCAGAACTACCAGGAGGTCTATCGCAAAGCTGATATATTTGACAAAGGGGAAATAGTAGACATGATTGCATCTGTTGTAATGGCTTGTCCAGATCTGGAGAAGTTGACAGGATTCCATGTGTCGTACAATCACAGCTTCGACCGGCTTTCCCACGCTCTATCCACTCGAAATCATCTGAAGGAGCGCATATGGCTTCTCAAGCCTCCGAGTGATCCAGCAACCCCAACGTCCCCAACGTTTCCAAGGAACAGCGACTCGAACAACTTATCTAATCTCTACGACCCTACCGCCGACTTGACTGAAACCTTTCTAGCGCAGCACTCCTTCTGGCCCTCGCTCACCACCCTGATCCTTCACTCGCAGTCCTCGTCATCCTCTCCTATAATGACCTTTCGAGCCTTCATCGCGACCTTCCGCTCTCTGCCGTCTCTATCCAATCTCTCGCTCTCCTTTTTCAGTGCCGCCGAGTTCTCGAACCGCACCCTAGCCGCCCTCCCCCCACTTCAATCTCTCCGCCTCGAGAAACTGCCTGGTCTCACTGACGCAGGACTGCAACGATACTTCGCCCAGCCCGCGGCCGCTTCCATTGTAAATCTAAGCCTGATAAATCTCCAAATTACCGATCTCGCCGTATTGGGTAAAATATTTCAATATTTGAGCGAGTTATCCCGCCTCACGCTATCTCAGAACCCAACACCACGCCCATCTGAAGATGCGTGGCCACTGCCTGCAAGCACAGATGCTGTGTTTCGCTCAGCCAGCCTGAGATACCTGCACTGGTCGTGTCTCACGCCTCACCCGCCCACCACCGTCGCGCTAGGAAAGGCGATTAAAGACGGCGACCTACCAGCATTACGAACCCTCCGCGCACCGACCGACGACGGGACATTGCAGGCAGTATGTGCCCCCCGAGCCTCGATCGCAAGAGAAGGCGACGAGACAGCAGTGAACATAGCCGCCGTGGTTGCGGACCAACAACGCAAGCACCGCACGAGGGCATCCATGATCGTGCAGCCCACTCCTACGCTCACACCGACGCCGAAGTCAGCGAAGCGAACATCTATGCTCGACTTGCGGCCGTCCAGGCTCACGGAAATGGCAGCGGACCCAAATGCAACAAAGGCGACACCACAGCTCCAGATACAAACTGCTATGGCGGTCAATGCTAAAGGGAAGTGGAAGCGTGTCTCCACACCGGTGCCGCCATCTTCCGTCTTCACGCGGCCTGAGCCTAAAACCCTAATCTCACCACTCGCGTCTCCACCACTTCCGAAACCGAATCTAATTTCCCTCCCTGCTGCTCGAATAGCTGCTCAGCATCGTCTGGCTGTCGCGAGAAAACTTCCGGGTATCAAGATTACCATCACGTCGCCCTCTGGCGTGGATGTCAAGAAGTGGACAATGGGGTCGTATCTTGGGCTCGTTCAAGGCCCTTGTGTTGCGCGGTATTGCCTTGATCCTGATATAGAAGGCGATGGGGAAGACGTTGTGGTCACAGGCGTGGCAGAAGTAGTAGGGGGAGCGAGAGCAGGGGGCGGACGGAGACAAGGAGAAGAGCCGGTATGGGAACGAGTGAGAGTCAGGGGGTGTTTGCATCCTGGAGGAAGAGGAGGGGATCAAGTGGGTGCGGATGAGCTCTTCTGATTCAACTCAAGGAGCTTCATACCGAAGTTGTAGAGAAAAAGTTTTTCATAACTCGCAGCGTGGTGTGTCCACTCGCTCTCAAACGCCTCTATGTATACCCAAACCCAACATCAAACGAACACCCCTCACGCACTCTGGCTCTCCTCCGGCCAGACATCCCACCCAAACGTATCTTTCATATTTACAAACCTCGTCCTTCTCCCCCTCGCCACCCTCTCAATCGCCTCAAACCCCTCGTCCCCCAGCTCGGCTACCTTCAAATTACTCTCGATCCGGCTCGGCGTCGCGCTCTTTGGCAGCACCACATATCCCCTCTTCAGCCCCCACGCCAACAGACATTGCGCCAGCGTCGCCCCCTGCTTCTCCGCCGTCTTAATCAGGTCCTTATTCGTCCTGACCTTCTCCCCCGTACTGGGCACCTGATCCTGGCTCCCAAGCGGGCTATACGCCGCCGGCAGGATACCATGCGCAAGACACCACTCGACCAGCTCCACATTCGGCAAAAACGGATGAATCTCAATCTGGTTCACCGCCGGCTTGACGCGCGCGTAGCCGAGGAGCTGCTCGAGCCCCTTGATCGTCCAGTTGGAGACACCCACCGCTTTCGCCAGACCAGAGTCATACAGCTCCTCCATCTTCCGCCACGTCGGCGCCGGGTTCTCTGTCAAGGGCTTGTTGATCACGTATTTCCCGTCCGCGCCGATCTTCGGCATGAACGTGTCGCCCTCTGCCACTTTCTCGGCCGCGATGGGCCAGTGCACGAGGAAGAGGTCTACGTAGTCGACACGCAGTTTCGACAAGCTCGATTTTAGCGACCATTCCACGCCGGCGGGCTCGTGCAGGTGGTTCCAGACTTTCGTGCAGATGAAGATGTCGGAGCGCTGCACGGAGGGGGTTTTGGCGAGGAAGTCGTGCAGGGCGTCGCCGACTTCGGCCTCGTTTTGGTAGAACCAGGCGCAGTCGAGGTGGCGGTAGCCGGATTCCAGCGCGTGCAGCGTCGCGGTGTAGGAGGAGCCCTGGGCGCCATCATTGGCGAAGGTGCCGAAGCTGATGCTGGGGATGGAGGCGCCGGTGTTGAGGGTGAAGGCTTTGGGGATGGTGGGGGAGGGGGTGGTGGAGGGGTGGATGGCCATTTTGGTGGTTTTGTGTGTTCTCTTTCTGCAGTCGAATTGGATATATCAAGGACTATTGAGCTGAGTATAGCAGATAGAGAATGTTGGTAGAAAGATGAACAAAATTGGCCCAAGAATCAGCGAACGACTCGGCGTATATGAAACTCACTCACCTTCCCTTTCCTCCCCACCACCCCACCATGCGCAAAAGAAAAGAAAACCCTCACCTATCCCCCCCTCGCTCCGACTCTTTCTCGCACCCTCTCGCTCAACACTTCTAGCCATGACGTAAAGTGTGGAATCCTCCTCTCCAGCTCCACTCCTCCTCACCGCCACTGCTTCGTCCGCTCAATCCACGACCCGTAGAATCAACACTTGCACATGCCAAAAGCCCCCTGCTGCGCGGCACTCGCTCCGATCCGACGCAACCACCCCAGCAACCGCGAAATCAGGAACGTGCAGCCATCCTGCAGGGTGAAGTTCCCACCCTGCAGGTCTGCAGTTCCCGCCCCTGGCGACTTTAAACATAGAAAAACCCGTTCGCTTTGGCGCTAAGCCCCATATATCTCGCGTCATACCGCAGAAACTCTGCAACCCGTCTCCAGCCCTACCCAATGGTCCCACCGCTAGTGGCTAAAAACCCAAGCCATTTCTCTACATCTCTGACACGACAAACGACCAAGCGGGCGATCGACATGGCGTTGCTATTGTAAAGGCATTCCGCCGCCGCAAGGAAGCCCTGCAGCAACGTGTGGATCCCCAGGGTCCATATTTGATATCATCACCGCGACCCGCCGTACCAACCAACTCGCTCTGCTTGCGAAATCTCGGTGGGCTTGAAGATAACGTGGCAACCTCGCTAGGGTAGCCTTCTGTGCGTTTTCGCCGGCGGCAAAGCCGTTCCCAAAAAAACACCATGCCTGGTATCCACAATCTCTGGCAGCTGCTGCGCTCTGTGTAAGCAAGCACGCTTGCCGGCCGCGGCGTCACCAGTGGTAGCTGTACCGTTTTCGCCGTCCCGAAGAAGCCACGAGCAGGACCCTTAGACCGCCGGGAGGAGCAAAAGGGTGGGTAAGGCGGCTCCACCGCTATCCACAGAATTTCCTTTGTCGTCGCGCCGCAGAGCGTATGGCAGAGGTGGAATGATGTTATCAGTGGAGCAGGCTCCGCGCTGGACGAGTTTCAGCTCGGAGACGAACGGGAAGAGGGGTGGGTGAGATAGTGAGGGCTTTTCCAGGGGCCCTTTGTTAAGAAAATGGCGGTGGCATTGTATTTTGTAGGGAGAATGGATATATACTGCGACCAGCCAGCCCCGTGGTTGTCATTCAACCACACCAGCATTCTCTCCTCTCCTCTCCTCTCCTCTTCACGACTTGGCTTGACTTGCCCTTGACCACTATCCGACAATATGCCCGCCTTCGACGACTCAGACTTCGGCGTCCAAGGCCCCATCAGCCCTGCCAAATCCCACCACGACTCCCCTCACTCCCTCCGCAAGGTCGCGAGCCGCAACAGCCACCATGTTGGGAGCCACGGTAGCCACCACATCGGCAGCCATGGCAGCCTCGTTATCCCCGCCGAGGCCAACGGCGGCGGCGACCACGATGCCATTGAAGTGCCTGCCACTCGCTCCTCCATTTCCGATGCCCAGTCCTACATGCACCAACTATCCCTCTCCCCCTCTATGAAGGAGAGGCGAGGCTCCCGTAACTCCTTCGGGACCTCCCTCCCAATCCCGCGCTCCAAACGCCAATCGCGGCTCTCCAGCGTCTCGCGGCCAGTGCGCCCCGGCATGCCGGCGATCCAGCCCACGCGCGACATCCTCGCCGCCCAGGTGCAAGACCTGTCGAGCGAGAAGGTGCACGCGGCGAAAGACATGGCCTTCGTGTTCGACATCGACGGCGTGCTGGTGCTGGGCGACGAGCTGATCCCCGAGGGCCAGCGCGTGCTCGAGATCCTCAACGGCGACAACGAGCTGGGCATCAAGATCCCGCACATCTTCCTGACCAACGGGTCCGGCAAGCCCGAGGCCGCGCGCGTGGCGCAGCTGTCCAAGATCCTGCAGTCGCCCATCTCGACGGACCAGTTCATCCAGTCGCACACGCCCATGCGCGCGCTGGCCGAGTACTACAGCACCGTGCTCGTCGTCGGCGGCGAGGGCTACCGCTGCCGCGAGGTCGCCGAGGAGTACGGCTTCAAGGACATTGTCGTCCCCAACGACATCATCGCCTGGGACCCGACGATTGCGCCATACCGCGTCTTCACCGACGAAGAGCGCGCGACGTCGCGGCCACGTGACTTTTCTAAAGTCAACATCGAGTGCATCATGGTCTTCTCTGATAGCCGCGACTACGCGACGGACATGCAGATCATCATGGACTTGCTCCGGAGCGAGGACGGCCGGTTGCACACCGTCGCCAAGGACCCCGTGTCCCAGAGGATCCCCATCTACTTCTCGCAGGGCGATTTGCTGTGCCCGACGGAGCATCCGACTCCGCGCATGTCGCAAGGAGCGTTCCGGATTGGACTCGAGGCCATGTACAAGGCCGTCACCGGCGAGGATCTCGAGCGTGTCGTGTATGGTAAGCCAGAGCTGGCGACGTACAGGTACGCCGACGAGGTCATCACCAGCTGGATGGAGCAGATCCACAACGATGAGAAGCTGCCCAAGAACGTGTACATGGTCGGCGACAACCCGGCGTCGGACATTGTCGGTGGGAACATGTATGGCTGGAACACGTGCCTGGTGCGCACTGGTGTGTACCAAGGCGAAGGGAACGACGACGAGAATCCGGCTAGCTTTGGTGTCTTCAAGAACGTGTTGGAGGCTGTGCAGATGGCCTGCAGGAAGCAGCTCGGTGACGACTTTCAGTTTGGATTTAACGAGAAAATGAACCCGGTGTTGCATGGGAATGGCAACTCGGCCATTGAGTAGGCTATAGCGTTGTGTTTCTTCTTTTTTTGGCGTTCTGGTCCATGGCCATTTTATATCCAATAGATTGACAGCCCTTTGAAGGGTTCTTTGAGTTCCAAAGTACTCTAGCAATTGCAGTATGATCATATGTCGATTTGGTCATACGTTGAGAGTTTCTAGTAGCCGCAGATTCTCCAGTTCATCCTTTGATATGTCCAGATTGTGCTCTTCTGTTGCACTGTGTGCAGGCGACGGCTTCCACCCAACTTCCTTGGGAAATTTTTCTTTGAGAAAGTCTAGCACCCACAGGCCGTCTGCGAATCTGTCCTCTGCGAGAAGGCCGCGCGCTAGTGCCAAGGATAAGTTGACTAGGAAGTAACGCATTTGCGGGTGTTTTGGGTATGTGAAGGTAGGCGCCATTTTCCTAAGATACTGGAGAGCTGGATTGAGATCCGGCGTCGAAGGATGTTGGAGAAGAAGCAATGCCTTGAAGCCTTCGGCGCCGCTACACCACTTGTGAATGCTGCCAAAGAAAGCATCATACGATGCCACAGATATGCCACGGGAGTTCGCGGTAATGTGGCTAACAATGGATGCGCCAGACGTAAAAAATTCTGAGTATTTCACAGGCCTGGAGGTATTCTTTTCCAGCGAGCAGGCATGAAGATGTGCGGATATAGCGTCTTCGAGTCCGCCTGTCCCGTTGAGTTTGCAGAGCACAACTGATTTCAGCAATCTGCTACGGAATCTAGCAATCTGTGCAGGCGGAATACCGGCATTTTCTAAAGCACGTTGCATATCCGGTCCAAGCCATCGCCACAGTGGTCGCTCGTTGCGCTCTTGGATAAGCAACGCTGCCAAGTTAGTATGAAATGCATGGTTCTCGATGAAGGCTGGTGTCGTCTCCAGTCCACTCGCCCACAGCCACTGTGCGATTTCAGTTCCAGCCTTGTTGGAGCTAGCGATGCCGTTTGTCGCCGTGGCATTGGAGGTCTTCCTCATGGCGTCTGCGTAGAGGAATGCCGTATAGATAGAGGCAGACCCGTCTGCTACACTGTCTCTGAACCATTGCGAGGGATTCTTCGAAAAGGCTTGCAGGGCAGATATAGCTGGATGACTATCTTGCCTCGATGGCTTGTGGGCAAGCAGGGGATTTGCGAGGACAGACTCGAACAGTCTGCTGATGGGGACATGCGAAGAGGCCGATTTGAGGGCGGTATCCTGGGCAGCGGTCTTGCTGATCGACTTCCTTCGCCGAGAGGACTGGGCTGCAGAAGCCTCGGGGGCTCCGGGATGCTCGCGATCCAGGTGTCGTCTGAAGGAGGATGTGAGGAGGGAGAGCAGCTGCTGGGACTCGCGGGGCGTCAGCGGGAGCTGGGGGTGGATCTTGGCCGACAGGAGGTTGAAGGCGCGCGCGGCCGAGGACTGCATCGTGGCAGCAGGCAGTCTTGGGTCTCCCGAGGGGATTTGCTGGCCGATGGCGGTGGTGTAGTGGCCTGGAGGTGCGGTGTGTCCAGGGCTTGGCGCAACCTTCCCTTCCTGCCACCAGCCACTGTTCCCTTTTCACCCACCATCTCCATGACATGAGCCCCAGCACGACCATACCAAACACGCTTCCATCGTCCTCCCACTGAGCAGGCGCCCCAGCTCGCCTCACAGAGACCGTGCTCGCCTGTCCGCACCCACGTAGCAGCAGCCCCTTCACCCGCCGCAGCATACCTCTGCCATCGCCAGCCAACCTCACTCCCCGACCAACAACGAAGCCGTCCCGCTCGCGGACCCTTCACCACCACATACACCACACACATGTCTGAAGTCCAGGCCAGACCTGCCACTCGGGGCAGGAGCTCAGCTCGCGGCGGCAGAGGCGGGCACGGAGTGCGAGGCCCTCGCAAGACGACAAACGGCGACCATGTCGCCGCCTCCACACCCTCCGACACGTCTGCAGACCAAGGCGAGCTCGGCGAGCTGAAGAGGAAGTATCTGTCGCAATTGACCACACTGAAGGAGCTGTTCCCCGACTGGTCTGACGTCGACCTGGTCCTCACGCTGCAGGAAACCGACGGCGATCTTCAAAGCACAATTGAGCGTATCACCGAAGGTATGTCCATTGGCCCTCCATCTGCGCGATTCTTCCATCCTTGCATTGTCCGCCAGCTTCCTCGCATCACTTGTCGCGGCCGCTCCGGCGCCACCTGCCAATCTGGTCATTGCGATGCGCTTCTAGCTTTTCTTCGCGTTGAGCTACCATCGCCTTGAAGCTGTGCATTCGCTCGCAACATCTTGCAACATCATTGAAAAAGGATTGCTAACAGATTTCACCCAGGAAATGTCTTCCAATTTGCCGAAGTCAAAAAGACAAAGGATCGATCTCGCTCCAAGGTCAAGGACACCACCAGCACCCCCTCTGACACTATCCACCCTCAGGCTGCGACTCGTGGAAACCGGACTCGCGCTGGCCAGGATAGTGTTCGCGGCTCGCGTGGACGGCCCGAACGTGGTCGCGGCGGCACTCGAGGAGGCCGCGGCGGAGCTTCTACAAATGGTACACGTGCAACTGGCCCAGAGTCGATTCCGACGACCGAATCTTCTGTGTGGGAGACTACTCCAGCTCCGGCGGACCCCAAGCAGAGCACTCCGGCGTGGGATCTATCAGCAGTTGCTCCAACTGCGGTTGCAGCTGCGGAGCCTGAAGCGCCCAAAACCACATCTGCCCCTCCATCTGGAGCGAAGAAGACATGGGCCAGCATGTTTGCGGCCTCGAAGCCGCCACCAGCGTCAAAGCCGGTAGCCCAGCCACCCCCGGTGCAGGCAGAGCCAGAGAGTACCCCGGCGGAGGTCCCCGCTCATGAAGTAGCAGCTGAGGAGACAGTAGCAGAGGAGCCTCTACCAATCCCGCCAGTCACAGACGAGCTTCCCGAAGACGATACAGTGTTGGTAGAGGATGGTAATCGGACTCCTACGAAGCCAACGGATGGTTCTGTTGGTGATCTGACACCGTCCAAGGATGAGTTGACGGAGGACAATGTAGAACATCTCCCGGACGCCTCAAACCCCGCTCCAACGGAGACTGCTGCTAGCACAGTCGCGAGCTCTAGGGACATCGGCAGCGTGGGTACTGTTGCGACTCCGCTGAGCAACGCAGGTCAGGCACCAATCGGCCGGCCAGCAATGGGAGGATATGCCACTACCGCGCACAAGGCCACAGGCGCAGCACACAGGAGCGCCAGCTTCCAGAAGCGGTTATTGGAACAACAAGAGGCCGTTGTTATGCCTGGAAATCACGCAGTGGACAGGGCCGCAGTACAATTTGGAAGCATGGGTCTGAATGGCGATGTGAATGCGCTAGACGTCGACGAGGACCGAGAAGAGGCAGAGACGCGGACTCAGCCGCCACAACACTCTCCAGTGGCACAACCGCGGGCTGCTCTTCCCCCAGCCCCTAGACAAGCCGCTCCTCCAGCGGAGCATCAACCCCAGGAGGCGTCGCCAACCCCCAAGCAAGCGCCAGGCTTACCACCTGTGCCGCAACACCAACAGTCGCCACAAGCATCGCTTGGGCCTCAGGTCATGCAACAGCAAGGCTCACAAACTGGACAACAGTATGGTCAATTTGGGCGCTACGGACAAAGTGCTGAGGCATCCGCTCCCGCTCAAAAACCATACGACCCATTCGGACAGCAAGCCCAGACAAGCCAATACGACTCGTACCCAAGCCAGGCTCAGACCGCGGGTGCACCACAGCAACAGCAGCAAGGACAATCCCAAGGTGCAGGTTTTTCCGCTCCAAGCGAATACTCGTCGCAATACTTCACGACCGACCAGCAACGAAATGCGTACAACAATTACTACCAGAACTACAATCAACAGACCGCCGCGAGCCAACAGGAAGCGGGAAGTGCGCAACAGCGGACCGGAAGTGCCTTTGGTACTGGCCCAAGCGACTCATCGTTCCCGCCGAGTCAGCAGGCTCAGCAGGTAAGAAATTCTCAACATGAACGTTATCTTGAACGTGACCGTTCTCTCTCAATACTCAGTCCAATGTTCTTGCTCCCTCATTTCCTTCTTTCTCCAACTTCCTCAAGTACCCCATCTGACACCCACCATCAGGCACCAAGCCGCTACGGCGAGGCGCAAAACAGCGGACACACAACACCGAATCCTGCTTTGGGCGCCCAGCATCCAACTGGTCCTGCCTCGCAACAAGGCCAGCACATGCACCAGCAACCACACACTCAACCGGGCCATGCTGGAGGATATCCGTACAACCACCCCTACTATGGTAGCCCATACTATCAGAATTACATGAACCAGTACGCCGGCTATGGCCAACAAGGCTATGGAGCCTTCGGCGGAGGTAAGGGTATGTACAATCAACCTCACCACGGCTACGGCGTTTCTCCGCAAGCCTCCTACGACCAACATTCGTCATCTCCAGCGAACGTTGGCGGATTCGGTCAAACATCTATGCACGGACGTGACAGCGCGCTCGGCAGCGGTCTTGGAGAGTACGGCAGATCTGGCTCGGCACAGCCTTCTCAGACTCAGCACAACGCCAGCGCCGGCGCAGGCTTTGGCGGCGTTCCCGACCTCTTCAGCCGCTCGCAGGCCGGCGGATACCAAAATCAGCCCTACGGGCAACAACAAGGCGCACAGCAGACCGCGAACGAGGATTCGTTGAAGCCATTCGGCGACTCGAAGACCAGCGGCGGGCCCAGCCCCTCTGCGCTCGGCCAACCCGGTCGACCAGGTTCTGCGACGAACAACACCCCCGGCCAGGCCAGCCAGAGCGGCCTACCGCCCCCGCAATCGCACCAGCAGGGAGGCTTCGGCGCCGGCGCGTATCCGAGCCATCTGAACCAGCTTCAGGGCGGACAGGGCAACCAGTACGGCGGCGGGCTTGGCGGCTTAGGTGGCCAGGGCCAGCAACATGTCGGCGCGCAGAGCCATCAGCAGAGCGGTGGGTATGGCCAGTATGGCGGATTTGGCGGTGCGGGCTACGGCAGCTACAATCGTGGTGGCTGGGGCACGAATTACGGGCAACATTAGAGCAGATATAAGCTGATTAAGGAGTGGATTGATTGGGTCAGTCCTGGTTCTATGTTTTGATTCATTGGCAAAGCAGAGAGAAGAGGGTATGAGTGAAGGGAGCACGAGAAGACGAGAGGAGAGGAGACTAGGAGGGCTGGTTCATAAGCTGGGGTTCGTGTGGCTACTACTGCTACCGATAATGTAGTTCAGAGCCCGCGATTTTTCTATGAAACACCTTGAAACTTTCTTCTCATCTCATCTCGTTTACTTAAAACTGTATTATGACTGGAGTCTCCTTATTTTCCTTATGTCTAGGCAACTCGACTCGACTCGGTTCGACTCCTACTCTCGTTTTCAGCTGAGCGGAATGCTCGTGGCTAGGATAAGCATGTGTTTGATTAGGGATTCGCTATGCTTGTTTACAATTTGCACGGTGGGGATCTGGGATGGATCGGATCACAAAAAAATTGGCTTCTGTTTTCGGTGCATGTTCTTAGCTGTTTTCTTCGTTGCCGATGGGGGGTGGCAGCTGTCGATTGCGAGGGTTACTGTCTGTCTGGAGGCGCTTTTGCCAGGACAGGATGGTCTTTACTTGAGTCTATAGCATGCGAGGAGAGATTGTGGGAGTGGAATGCAATGGATGGATTGAGTGAGTGATTGAGAGATCTTGTGGTGTGCTTTTGGGTGGGGTGTGTGATGTGATGGACGAAGAAACTCGATGCTTCGTCGTCAGTGTCCATACACCTACGCTACTTCGTCAAAAATTTCCTTACGTCTTGCTGACACCGCTTGTGGTCGAGTTTTAGGGATGCTTGACTGAAACAGGTAGTACAATATCCCAATGTGCACCCAAGAAATTCCCTTTCCCGTTCAGGGAACTGAGCTGCTTACGCTCCAGCCTGAGCTGTGGCTGTGCTATGGTGAGCGGATCCTGATTTGAGACTGAGGCCCCAGTTCTGGGCCCTGCATTCGACAGGGATAAGGATCCTCACCCTGCCCGGAAGGCCCGTAGACCTGCCAGGTTCCAATTTCCAGGCCCCAAGTCTCGAGTAAACTTGCTCTACGATATGTTACGGGCTATTCTGCAGACAGTCACGTTCCTAAGACGGCATGTTACTCAGGTTGAAATTGATGTGAACTCTGTCGTATTGTAGATGCCGTAAAGGCGGGCTATATAGAGGAACGAGATGAACTATCCCTTAGGGCGCTCCCTTGGTGCCAAGGCCTCGGCAGCAAGGAAGGCGCCAAGAAAAGCCACTCCCTTCCTTTGACATCAAGGAAGCACCACAACTTCGTAAGGAAGAGAAAGGGAGAGTAAGGGATACCTAGTAAACCGTATGAGTTGCTGATCCTAGGTTGCTGCAACCCGAGTATGTTCGTAAGACGTTATGTTATTAAGACGACCATGGTCTTAAAACGGTGGCATCTTAAGATGAGGGCGTTCTCCAGACAGTCACGCTCTTAAGATAGACTTGTCTTGAGACGGTTATATTCTTAATACGGATATGCTCTTAAGACGGTGACGTATTAAGACGATTATGTTCTTAGAAAGTTGTCATCCGACGCGGGTGTTATACCACCCCAACGTGGACACCCTCTGACCTCCGCCATTTACATGACCCTATGCCGCTGTGGCTGATGCTTATAGTTCAGTTGTTTCATGAAGCCTTTCAGGATGTGTAAAGTCGAGAGGCCGTGCATCTCGCACTAAGCAGAGGCGGAGCTAGGAAGTTACTCCTACTATTTTGCGATTCCAAGTACTCACCATTGGCCGTGCTGCGAGCAACAGTTTCCATACCCACTTTCTGGGCAAGTGTATCTCTCGTCGCCACCACAGCTTCCATCGAGGCGTTTGTTCTCGGGGCACTTCCGACGTTTGTTGAGGCGTGTGGAATTTGATACAAAGAGAAGAGGAGGTGGCCGTGATTGTGGAGGATGGGGCACAATAGGGAGATTTGATGGTGTCTCCAATCTACAAGAACTGCGACATTTTCGCCGGAAGATGCCCTGGAAGTAGGTGATGCGAGGGTTGTCGCTAATATGGCGAGGAAATGTAGTGATCGAATGATGTTCAGCACGTTGAAGAACAAGCACTCCAATCAATGTGCAGGATGTCAAAAACAGGCGAATAGCAAAGTCAAATGCTGTTTCCAGGACACAGAACAAATCCAACGAAATGATCAAAGCCCACAAAGAACTTAAAGTAAGGGGGCGGGTAATTTGACACCCCCTTTCGAGTAGCCGCACACCCCTTTTCGAGTAACCACACACCCCCCCCTTTCTTGGCGCTTCACCGCCTTCTAATTGGCTTGGAGAACTGCTCCGGAGCTTCCAATTCGCTCGCTTAACTTGCTCATTAATTCCGAATGCTCTCTCCAAATGCGGCCTTGGTTAAATCAATTACATCCTCTTCCTCTCCCTCCACAACACACTCACCATGGCCCTCCAGCCGCCACGGCTGGCGTACTACGCTACAACAGAGGAAGCGCATATTGCTCTATAAGCGCACGCATTAGCGCAGGCCTACGGCCTAGCAAAATACCGTAGTAAACCAGACAGAGTGGACATACGAGCATACCTCCAGGACGCATGCCGACAGCTCCGCCGCCAGCACCGCCTATTTCTGTAGTCCCTCATCCAGCTCCTGTCGCTCGGAATACCTATCAGTCGACAGCTACACCGGTTAATCTTTCTCGTATTAATCCAGCCCTTCTTAGGCCTACAGCTGCATCTACGGCAGCACCTCTACGGCAGCACCTACGGCAGCACCTACGGCAGCACCTATGGCAGTACCTACGGCAGCACCTATAGCAGTACCTACGGCAGCACCTATAGCAACGCATACAGCAGCGCATACAGCAGCGTATACAGCAGCGCATACAGCAGCGTATATAGTAGCGTATATAGCAGCGCATACAGCAGCGTATATAGTAGCGTATACAGCAGCGCATACAGCAGCGTATACAGCAGCGCCTACGGCTATACCTACGGCTGCACCTGCAGCTAAGAAGCGCGGCCGGCCGCCTGGTGCAAAGGATAAGGTACCACAGAAAAAGGCACTTCAGAGGAAAGATAGTACTTAGCATACAAATCAGCCTATGCCTTAGCCTCATCCTCATCCTCAAGCACAGAGGCTTAGCCGAGAGGAGCTTCTACGTCAGCTTGCAGCGTATGATGAGGAAATCGAGGGGTATATTAATTAGGGTGAAGAGTAGGTGTAGTCGGCGATGCTAGGGGGCTAGGCTTAATGCAAAGGAGCCGTAATAAGGTGAAGTTTTGACAGGTTTGGCATGCTATTAGGCACGTAGACACTTCTAGAATAGAATTCTATTCTATACTTATACTTAGACTTAGACTACGTGAGCTCGTACGTGAGCTCGTACCTGAGGCTATACGTGAGGCTATACAAATCGGCATAGCTATATAGCTGTACGTGAGCTCGTGTATAGCATCACGTACGGCCTCGTGTATAGCATCACGTACGGCCTTGCGTATAGCATCACGTGTAGAGAGACGTAAAGGTGAATGCTCGGAGCTTCCTCCGCACTGCTCTAAGCCAATCAGAAGGCGGTGAAGCGCCAAGAGAGGGGGGGTGTGTGGTTACTCGAAAGGGGGTGTGCGGCTACTCGAAAGGGGGTGTCAATTTACCCGTCCCCTAAAGTAAGAGCAAAAATAAGTTTTTCTTAGCAATTATTGAACGCCCCAGACTTCAGCGCTCAAGACCGTTGCGGCACCAGGTCGCGAGGCAAGGGTACTGTTTCTCAGGGGGTACTACGGTATCAGGCGTATCTTTTGTGTGAGGGCCCGCTAGCAATGGGGTGTAACAGGGGTGTAGATTTTGTAAATTACAGCCTCAATACTTTGTGAACCCTCCTTCAGCTTTCAGTACAGCCTTATCCCCCAACTCAGGTTGCAACACTACAACCTAGGATCAACAACTCATATGCCAGAAAGCTACTCTCCGAACATCAGCTGTAGAGAACCCAGCTGAAATCTCAGCTGTAGAGAACCGAGCTGAAGCCTCAGCTGTGCAGGGCTCATCTGAACTTACTAGCGCGCCACCCTGGGGGTGGCCCCCTTCCTTCCCCTAGTATATATACAACTAGCTAGACGTCTATAGAAATCAGAGTTCACATCAATTTCAACCTGAGTCCCCACGTGGTTTAGTTCTGTGCCATCGCAAGCCTCAACGCACGGACTGAAGCTAAGATCCCCTCCTAGACAAAGATGACGACCGACGCCATTATTCTATCTCTCCCGCCAAGTAGAAGCAATGGCTCTCTATCGTACGCGTGCAGTGCGACGCCGCCAAGATATAGCAGGCGATTCGTAGCCTACGAATTCACATCTATAAGACAATTGCTGAAGTTTACCTAGAATACCATTTACAGTCAACGGTGACAACAATTCGGTGCATGAGCTTCTCATCAACCTCAAGAACCAAGCGAGGGCAGCACGACTTTCTCTCAGCAATTCAAGAGAATGACCCTAAGTTCTCTAGCTACCAGAGGAACAAATTAGCACGCCGGCGCCGTGCTACACCAGCCAAATATCCACCTCACCTTATCGAGCTCATGAACAAATACCGCACACAACGACAAGGTACGCTTGCAGCATCTAGAACAGCCACAAGCCAGGCAGCATTCGCTACAACGCTGCAGGGGGTTGAAATCAATACAACACATGCGCCTGCTAGCACTAGCAGCAGCACAGGTTCTACAAACCGCCCGCGGCCAGAACCTGGCCTACGGCCCTGCCTCTGCGGGAAATAACATCAGTACAGAGAGTGCCCGTACATATGCGAGAATCAACAGCCGCCCAACTGGGAGCCAGATCCTGCCGTAGCAGTACTGGTCCAGCAGAAAGTGGTGATGCAGAGGCCGCACGTGCAGGGACTGATTCAAAAGTTGCAGAGCAGCAGGCCTACCGCAGGCGCCGTCTCGTGTTTCTAGCTTGGGGGTGACACTTGGCCGCTGGCGTGGCCCCTACGTAATTACTCTTGTTATTCACTCCTTTTCATGTATAGCAGTTCTCTTCAACTGATGTGGGGGGGGGTCAGAACGCTACGCTACGAACATCGGCTGTAGAGTACCCAGCTGAACATCAGCTGTACAGAATCCAGCTGAACTCAGCCGTTGCCCACCCAGGGGGTGGCCCATCTCCTTCTCCTGCTATATGGACAACTAGCTAGACACCTACAGAAATCAGAGCAATTCAAACCTGACACAAATGTAACTTGAACGAGAATTTGTTCAGTCAAGGCAATCTTTTTGATCGCTTGAGCCCCAAAACACGGACTTGCTCGGGCAACGATCCAAAGCTGACAACTCCTCAGCTCTCCACTACTGCCTCAGAGCGAACCAGCTAGTGGCTGCATACTGACGTACTAGTGTCCAGCGTCTTCAGCTCTCCACAGATACTTCGAATTGGGTCAGCTGTACTAATTGTATACCAATGTATTTGAGAGCATTGTGCTCGTCAGAGCGCATTCGATTACGCAATCAGCATGCATGAAGCACGCCTCTAAATTATCACTGCAGAGAAGCGTATCTTTTTGGAGCTGATCGTACTGTCTAGATACCCAATTAGCTGTCTCTTGGCTTTACAAACCAAGGGTTGTAGGTACCGTGTTGGCAAGGGTGTTATAGTGCTTTTCATGGACCAATTACGCTCGCAGTCAGTTTACATAAGTTTCAAATACTATTGCGTCATTTATGTCTATGTTGCTAACACCTTTCTTCAGCTTGGAGGGCCTCTCTTACATCTCGTGCTTTATTTGACTACAACCATACTGAGCTAGCACTATTTTGTATTCAAATTTGTAGTATAACAGATACCCACAAATCCTCGGCTCAGCAGATTAGAAGAAAGCTTCAGGACCTACAAAGGGTCTCATGATGATATTCTCTCGTCTAGATGAGACACCTTTTGCAAAGCTGAGCAGACAAGTCTGGAAGAGGGGTACCAAATATGCATATGCGCGTCGGGAAACCCTCGCACCCCACCCGCTCGCTTGCCCGCAATGATGAGTGGCCGCCCAAGGAGTATCGATCCAGCTGTACATTTCAGCTTGACCAGGCCTCAGCTAGCCACTTACTGTAGGACAAACGAAGGCTTTATGTGAAGTATTTAAACCCATGATTAACATCGTTCCCAAACGTCCATCATCCACACAATACTCGAATCATCTTTACCAGTAACCTCATCCATACTTCTTCAGTTCTTCAACTTTGGAACACTTTTCCAATTACACAATGTCTGAGCAACAAGCCAATTCCAAAAAGGTCGACTCGATCAGGATCCTCATTGACAATCGTCAAAACGCAGGCAGAGAACCCGCAACCTTCTCTGCAGACATCCGTACCGACGGCACTCTCTTCAATTTTGGAAGCGGGTTCAGTCAGCCACCACTGCTTCCCAACGCTACAAAGCCTATTTTCGCTACCCACATCTCGCACAACAATTCGAATTATATTCTCTCGATTGCATCGGCCGGAAATGCGACCGCACCTCCTTCGGCGATAGAGGCTGGAGTGCCTGTTGCACTTAATGGAGGTCAGAAGGTCGATATTCAGCAATGGACTATCATGCCGAATCCCAAGTTTTAAGGCGAGATTTTATAGCTAGCTTTGCGGCTCAGGAAAGAATCCAATATATCGTCTTTATCTTTGGGGAGCCAGGGAACGACACAGTACGCAGAAGGATTTGAGGACAGCGCTGAAAAGATATCTGGTTTTTCCTAGAAATGAAATAATGACTCGCTTTGCATCTTTTATCTTGAGATCTACTTTTTTGTTTAACATTCGTAGCCTATAATTGCTAAGAACTGCGTTCAGTATCCATCTCTAACAACTAAATTTTGGCACCAGTAAGAACACAAGTAGAGTGATCAATGTATCAATCGGTTGTCCTGAGGATGAAATTTACCATAGGCAGCAATGACTGTCGGATGAGATCAGTCATGAAAAGGGTCAATGACTTGAACAACCCAATAAAGGTCGTTCATACTGGTACTGCAACTATGATTCATTCAGACAATCACCACATTAGACAATCGATCTTGTTGGAAGGTAAATATGTTATCTAGACGAGCACGATCTCTACGCCCTCCTTCTCTACGAGACCACTCATCTCTCCATGCATCAACCCCAACCCACCGTAGAGCTCGCCGCAGAGCTTATGGGTGCCGCCAATTTGGCTCACAGCTGTGGCAGACCCTACAGGGCGAAGCAAGAAAGGTACCTTTGCGCCACGCAATAGCCAAACATCATCCAGATCTGCCTGAACGCAAGCCGAAGCCAGCCCAAACCATCGATCAGTAGCAACAGCCCTTCGACCGCGCAGAGCATTCTTGCAACTCTCCGCGAACGTAGTCTTTCGGGGCTCAGCAACGGCATCCACCATTGGTTGGAGCTTCTCGAAATCTCCTGATGTACATATGTGCAAGAAGTGCATATATGCATCATTCTCTGCCTGCTTGAAGAGATAGCGATAGTAGAAGAGGCCTATAGCCAGAGCGATAAAGTCGCTGAGATGTTGTGCCTTGGACAAATCTCTCAAGATCTCGTCGGTTGTGAAGTCCGGCGGGCTGACGTTCGAGACTTGCAGATTACGCCTGCCAGCGGTAAGGGTAAGACTGAGGGAGCTCAAGACGCTTCAAGCGCGGGTCCCACTTAGAGGAATGGTTATTCTTCAACCCCATAGCAGCATTGGCGATCATCCGAGCGACGACGCTCCGGTCCCAGTCGACATCACTGGTCGGAAAGACTAAGGACAACATGCGTTTAATGCGGCCCAAATTTACGCCACGGACAGCACAAGTGAAGATATTTGCGATCCTTCAGCTTTCTTGCATTGGATCTGAAAGTCTGGACTGGTGCATGCTGAAAAATTCCACTCCGATTCTTGGTATGGGACGGGTAGCCAAATGAGAGTGTGTTTCTCGGCAAGATCCCAGCGCGGAATCCAGCTGTTCTACTGAAGATCTTTCCCCTTTTCGACAAATTGTCTGAGCGCTAGGACCTGAAGGCTACCATCTTTGGTGAGGAGATAGCGAGTCGCGTCAAAGTAGGTATCCCAAAACAATCTCTTTGACGCGGCATCGTTTGATCTTGGTGGCTTCAGCTCGTCTGGGAGCTGCCCGACTGTAGACAGTCTCTCGTCTCCATATCGGCCTCCACCGAGTTTCTTGTCGAAATTCACCATGCCAAAGAGCACGTTGACCTTGTCTTCCGGAAAGCCGCCGACGCGTTTGCGCGTAGCTCTCAGCATCTCCAGAAACGCATAGCCGTCGACGTAGTTGCGAGAATAATAGTAAACACACATCGCCGCTTCAATTGATGCCGACGAGTTTAGACCTGGGCTTGTAAAACCTCCACCGGTCGTCGTTGGACTTAGGGCTCCCGGGTCGCCATGCCTGGGGCCTATTGTGTTGGGGAAATTGGAGGGATTGACCGAATTGGCAACACGACTAAAGGCACGCAGGCATTGCAGCACCTGAGCGGGGTCCTTCGACTCGTAAAGATCGACTGGCATGTTCAAGGGTGCCATCTCACAGGCCCTCAGGAAATGAGAGATGTTCTCCATTTGTATGAAGGGCATGGCAGACTTTTTGTATTTGATGCCAGGATTAGGCACGGCAAGATTGACAAGCCTACGGTAATTAGCTACTGTAGTGAATCTTCCAAATAAAATATTCAGGCGGCCTACCTGCACAATATGACCCCATCTTTCAGCCCATCCAGAAGGTCCCCGACCGGCAAGCGCTCGCCCAAGACGTCCTCTATCCAATTCCGTGCCTCCTTCGCAGCTGTGGTGTGTATCTGTCCATGCGCAGCTTCCTCATATCCCGATCCAGCGACGTGACAGATGCCATACTAGGCGAAATAGGCGTAGGTCGTTTTCGGCTGAAGTTAGGCGCTTGGGTTGGCCGAATGTGTTAGTAACAGTAATCTGCTGCTTCGAGCCGTGGCAATTCTTATGCGCCTCCTTGGTTTCAGCTCAGAATGTATGTAGGCGCCGTGGAGCGAGGGGAATGCAAAAGATGTCCTGGCGGTATACAAAAGGTCGAATCTTTGGTGGTGGGGGCCCTGACTGATGCAACTACCGTAACGTCACCCGCCTGCGCCTCCAACATTTGTCGTATGCAAAATAGCGCAATATACATCTCTTTGTACGTGCTCGCTTCGTTCGATCTTTATATATACGGATCCTCTATAGGAAGCTCTCTAAGCTTCCTTAAGGATTCGTCTCTCTTCGTCTCTCTTCGTCTCTCTCTCGGCCCGAATTAAGCTAGTTATTATTAGTTCTCTCGCTAAGCTCTCTATTATAACTTTCCTTTTGCACTACGCATAGAAAACTAGCACTAGAAATAAAAGAGAGTAAAGAAGCGCACATATATAGCTAGAGGAGGTGTTCTATTAGCGGTAGAAGAGGCCTCTTGTAAATAAGCTGCCTAGATAGGAACAGTAGAGGGGTAAGAAAGGTAGCAGCGAAGCGACCGCAGCGTGTAAAATTAAAGTGTAGTATGTGCGAATTGACTAAACATATGTTCCAACCCGTAATACCGACCAGCCGATTACTGCGGTAATCGAGGAAGCAAGTAAGCAGATCAGATTGGTTACGCATAATCTGCATACAGGACAGGACCTGGGGGAACGAGGGTCCGGCGCCTTGGGGTGTTGGATTCCCCAGACTAGCTATGAGGTCACGAGGCCAAGAGGGTCACGTGCTGGCTCGTAGAGCGAGCCAGGAAGCAAATGGTCGCGGATCGCAATGAGCCGCGACGAGCCATAGATTTCTTAGGAGTTGTCTTTTGTATGTAAGCACACTCATTCTCGTAGATAGGAACCTCGTGTTCAACTCCAGATTCTTAATAGCACTTGTATTAAGAGTAACCCGTCTTATGCCTGAGATTGATTTGCCTTTCCTCTCGAATAATATTGCACCCCAACGAGACCCGGACCAGTATCGTACGTCTATACAGCTAGTGTGTGGTATTGAAGAGACAATCCGTTACAACATAATGCACGTACATGCCCTAGATAGTAGGTAACTAGCTACCAGATAGCTATATTAAATATGTTGTATGTAGTTGAGCAATTTGTATTATATGCACTTGGTAGTACAGGGGGCGCGGCCAAGTTGCATATTCCGGACCCCACCAGCTAACTACGCGAGGCGAGGAACATCAAAACCACCAGGTTTTGGTACATTGGAGGAGCTATACCACAACAACTATAACCATCGATTACGATCCAAGTGCGTAGATGTATCTGTCTGTGTCTCTTAGTGATAATTATTGAAGAAAACAAATTTATTAACCGATACTGGGTGGTGCGAAGCAACTTTTAAGATTTGGGTGAGATGCTTACGTAACCGGAATATGCACTTGGCCGCGCCCCTTGTAGGATAGGTAGGTAGGATGCGTGCATAGGCAGCTTGCATGCAGATTATGTTGCTACAAGGCGCTAAGTGTGTAAGAAGCGTGCGCACATCTCTTATATCGTGCAATTTCCTTCATCGTACTTAGATCTATCCTATAGGATTTCAGATACAACTATGACTGCATGTAGGTTCTTCCTAATTAATTGTCAAAATTCAATTCTTATCCAGACTGCTTCAAATATAGATCAAAACTGTATGGGGCCTTAATTCGTGACCCGGGACAGATTTAAGGCCCCTCGCTAATACTTAACAGTTTCTAGTGAAGTGTATCCGAGTCTGCGCCACAACCGGTGAGTAAGAGTGATCACACCTGAGGAAAGCTGAGCCGAAGCTGAGCCAGGCCTCAGCCGAACTTAGCCACTCCGGCATGTGGTCACATGACCAAATGGGTTAGGCAAGGTGCAGATTGGGGTGTTGAAACAACATGACCGTTTCCACGGCCTCCTGGGCGCGTTCCTTAATTTGTTTGGTTCCGTGGTAGGTCCTAAATCTCGTATGCGTACAGATTCAGAAACTGCTAACTAGGTAGCTTTGATTCTTAGACGCTCTTTTACAGCTACCTGTGGTATATCAAGGACTTTTCAAGACTTCTAACAAAATATTCTGGAACAACTGGTAAACTACGGTGGTCTATTAGCATGAAAAGTGCAACAACTCTGGTGCCAGCCTTAGATGGTCCTGAGGAGCTTCCTTATCTTTCTCGCTGTTCTTGTTGCTCCGCTCCGCTGCGTCTCTGCCGCATCTCCTCTCTGATCAATCTTGAGGCGATACGGAGCTGGTTACGAGATTGCGAATCTCATCACTAATGTGGTGTGCAAGACGACCACAAAGGAACATCCGAAACTGCATATCCGTCACTATTGATGGACATCAAAAGCAGGAAACTCGTCTTCCAAGAACATGGAGGGCAACGATATTACTCCTTAAGCTATGTTTACGGCAACACGAATCCATTCCGCACTACTCGGGAAAGCTTGAGCATGCTGCAGCAGCCTGGAGAGCTGAACAATCCCAAGTTCCCCCTTCCGGTTACCATCAGGGATGCAACGACCATCGTTGAGCAGATTGGCGAGAATTATCTCTAGGTGGACTCATTGTGCATCGTGCATGACGACAACGATCTCTTACAGAACGCAATCAAAAGCATGGGGGAAATTTATCGAAACTCGATTCTGACTATCGCTGTCGTATCAGCATCAGCTGCTTGTGAGTCTATCCCAGGTATCCTTCCCGGATCTCGGCACTGTCTCCCATGGATGGAGTTGTGTGGTACGCGGATATTCGCTTGTCCAGTTCCTCTACATCTTGATCTAAAAGGGTCAAAATACGAGAGTCGCGCTTGGATATACCAAGAGCGACTACTTTCTACGCGAGCCCTCTACATTACGAAAAGCATGGCGTATTACCATTGCTCAAAGCATGAGTGGTCGGAACTAAATCCTGTCCTGAGCTTTTCTTTCAACATGAACCCATTGTATAGAAATAAATCAAGCAGCAGTATTCAGCCCAGAGGCCTCGACGCCCCATGGAAGCGGTCGGAGTGGTTATGTTACTTTGATCTCGTGCGGCAATACTCTCAAATGGACCTCACATATGCTTCAGATGAATTGGCCGCTTTTGCGGGTATTTTGGGAAGACTTGGCACAATATATGACACCCAGTTTTTTGCTGGCCTTCCCATATCGGCACTGCTCATAGGGTTACATTGGATACCTGGTTACGAGGAGGGCGTAACTTATGAACCCTCATCAGAACGAAGAGAAAGCTTTCCCAGCTGGTCATGGGCTGGTCGCAATGGGCCGATCGAATGGCTGGAAGCTGTCGTTATGCCGGATTGGTGGCAGTGGGTGGGATCAGTCCTCCCTGATCCAACGACAAATATCCAAGCAGCGGAACTCAATAGTGGTCCCGCACAAATCCATATTCGCTCTCAGATTAGATCAGTTAAAGGGCTTTCAGCGGAACTAAGTACGGCGAGTCTTTATCCGGAGAGCCTTCTAAATTCGGGGAAGGGGAATCCTACGCCTTTTATCAAGATTTTCGACAGCCAAGGTCGCTGGTGTGGTAGAATCTACCATAGCTCTCCAGACGTTATCGCCGGCCCAAACATCGACGAGGTAGGGCTTATGCTACTTTCTACATGCAGTACACGAAAGACTTGTATGTGCGACACTTCAGGAGAAACTGAATGAGAATATTTCTTTGACCATATTGCATTTCCTATCACCGGAGAGGACGGAAAATTAGCACGAGTGGTTAATCTCTTGCTCATTGAGTATAGAGTATAAAGGGGATGGCTATGCTGAACGTCGAGCGCCGTGCCAGATTCATGCTGACGTCAGGGAAGCAATGGAAATGAAAGAACAGGACGTCATACTAATATAGGCCGCTATCGCTGCGAAGACCTAATCAAACTGACGCAAGAACTTGATGGAGACCTCGGCCAGATTGAGTCCACGGGATTCTGAGCCATTCAGTGTTATCACCAAGGATTAGACAGCTGGATGCATGACTGCCCAGGCCCGAAGATGCATACCAGTCAGATGTACGAGGCTCCAGGCAGCAGTAGAGACCAAAATCTCTCCAGGTGAGCTCTCGCAAAGGTTTCTCGGTCAGATGGCTAATCTGACCAATGTAGTTTGATACCATGTGCATTTTACATCCAGGGGCATAGAAGGCCCCCTATACTGTTATCTATCCACTCACGTGCTGTGGAGAGAAGAGGGGCACCTGAGCCAAGCCAAGCCGTTTTCCCAAGATACCCTTAGTAATAGTCGACGTATTAAAAATGGGGGGGCGGGGCTCCAGCTGGAGTTTGGTTGCCGAGGATGATCCCTCCTAACTCCATTTTTACTAAGGAATTTACACGAAATTTGTCCGTCAGCGGCCATGCGGAGATCATGCCTGGTTCTCCGAATATCCTATTGGCCTGTACGTAAAGCTAGCTAATTAGGTGAAATAAATAAGCGACTTCCCCAGTCCCAAGTTCCCGGTTGTGGGCTCATAGCTTTTTTTTGGGCGTACTTCTGCCCCGTGTTATGGCTCCCCTATTTCCCCGCGTTTCCCCCCCCCCAACCACAATCCTGGTGGGTTATACCGAACGAGGTTATAAATTGTAGACATGCCGGATCAGAAGTACACACACAACATACCATACCTTATGGCGAGGTATATACAAAAGCTTTGAGATTTAGTCATTCTTCCTGTTGCATCGACGCATTTGGATCGTATTCTCAAGATGGCACACTCCAAGGAAAGTTCTCAAGGTCAGGCGGCAAGTCACGATGCGCGTAATGATAATCCCGAAGGAGGCGACGACGCTATCCTCCACTCTAAGAGGCCAAGTACCCGCAACTTCATGGTAAGCCGTAGCCTGCTTCCATTCCTTCACCTCTGATTGTTTCGGTTGGCTAGATTATCCTTGTGTCGGCGATATCCAGCTTTTGTTTCGGCTATGGAAACAATGCTGGCGGAGGATGTTATGCACAGGAAACGTTCCTCAAGAAATTTCTCAGTGGATCGAACGCCAATGCACTCATCGACGCGATGAATGCAATGTAAGTTTGAACAATTTTGTAGGGCTTGTATAACTACGGATCACTGACTTATGTCAGCTTTCTTGCCGGCGGCTTCATAGGGACTATAATGCAGAGCTTCGTGTCTGATAAGCTAGGGCGTCGCTTCTGCACAGAAATGGCGGCTATTCTTATGGTGCTGTCCGGCATCCTTAGTGCCGCGAGCGTCAATCCGGCTATGTTCATTGTCTCCCGTGGTATTGGTGGCATATCCGGAGGCATCATTCTATCCAACACGCCGGTGTATATGAGTGAGATTGCACCAGCGCATATACGAGGCCTCCTGGTCGGAATGCACGCGACCACCGTACTCTCTGGATATGTCCTCTCGGCACTTCTCGCTGTTGCCTTTAATTTCGTTACCTCGGACATACAGTGGCGCCTTCAGTTTATAATGCTGACATTCTTCTCTCTTATCTTCGCTGTCTCTGTCCTCTTCATCCCCGAATCTCCTAGATGGCTCGTGGAGCAAGGAAGGGTCGATGAAGCTAGAGCTATTATGGAAAAGCTGCACCGAACCAAGGCTGATCCAACGGCGATACTGGCTCGCGCAGAAATTCTGCAGATTGAAGCACAAGTTGACTTTGAAAGAGATCTCCCTCACAGTTATTGGTACATTCTAAGTAATGCACATCTCCGGAGACGAGCTTATTGCTCAATTATAACGTTCGCCATGGTCCAGTCTACTGGTTTGGTGGTAATCTTCAATCGTACGTAAGGTCCTAGTACACATACCAGAGCCCTCTGTCCCCCGCTAACATGTGTACTACCATCTTAAGTCATGCCTATACTCTTTGGTAATCTTGGCTTCAACAACGTTCAACAGCTTGGCCTTTCCGTTGTTTGGGTTACCATTGGAGCCATGGGCGCAGGTTGCAATGCTTTGCTTGCGGACCGAATTGGACGAGTGAAGCTTCTAGTTACCGGAGGATACCTTCTAACTGCCAACATGGCCATCCAATGTGCGTTGCAAAAATTTTACCTCCATTCAACATATAAGCCTGGAATAAATGCCAGCGTGGCTTTCTTTTTCATCTTTATCCTTTTCTACAGCAGTACGTGCGACTGCGTAGTCTACATCTACAACGCAGAGATCTGGCCAACCCATCTGCGGAGTAAAGGTGTCACCTTCGGAGTGGGGTCCTATTTTCTCTTTGGAATCGCATACAGCGGTCCTGCTGCGCAAGCATTCAAAAGTATTGGGTGGAAGTACTATCTCGTATTCATCTGCGTCACATTTGTTACGGCAACCCTTATACTATTAACGTTCCCCGAGACGAAGGGACTATCCCTTGAAGGTAACATACCCTCTCGTAATTTCTACCACAAATCAGATGCTAATGATGCAATGACAGAGGTGAACATCAAGTTCGGTGATAGTGTAGAAATGACGTTGGGCGATATTCAGCTGGATGAGATCCTCGGATCAAAGCCAACGGCAGAAACTACGGAGGTGGAATAAATGAAACCCTCTGGATGGGTTAAATTAGCTACGATGAGTAAGGGAATGATTGTGTAGCTCTGGTCCAAAATCTCTTGACTTAAAGCTCTGCCACCTGAACTTTGCTTCCCTATGCTCTTTTCTGGTTGTCTTAGCTTTGCTTTACCTTTTTTGGTTCTGTTATTTTAAAATTGTAAATAGTTGAAGCAAGTCTAAGAATCAGATCTGAGTAACGAGGAGGAAGGCAGCCCGATTTTGGTCCGTCCGACATTCGAACAGGGCGACAAATACGGAGTATTTATAGAGTTCAAGGTTGCCTAAGGTTAGCTTATGCGACATCAGTTACGCTGATAGGTGCGGGGATATTCACAAAATGTGTTCACCTAAGCTTGCTCCGTCCAACATGAACTATGCCTATGCATTTGATATGCGTGGTCTACGACTGACGTCCGAGCGACGAGCGGGGCGCAGCATCTATGCAGGCCTCATGAAACGAATGCTGGTTAGGAAGTCATACTATTATCTTCGCCTGCTTGTGGTGCTTCGAAGTATTAATTGGAATCATGAGTAGTAGACCACAGGCCCAGCAGGGCCTTGTCTCTGTACGACTTGCCGATGTCTGAGGTGGCTGTTCGATCAAATTAACTTCAACCTCGTTCAGGCTTCTGAAAGTACCCCGAAGCCCATCAAGTAGTGCGAAAAGAGTGTGCGCGAACCTAAATACTGCACGTTCCTGATCCTTCACACGTATCCTACACCGGGTGTTTGACATGTTTTGATACACTACTATACAAGCTTCTTGATTCTAGAGTAGCCCACCTTGTGCACTTGCAGAGTGTAGCTTATTCGTCTTCGCTGTGATTATCAAACGGGAAGTGATCCCTGATCCCATCCCTCTCCGCATCGTTTTCCACCGCGGCCATCATCTGGCTTTTGATCGACTGGGCGAGTGCTTTGGAGGCCTGCCACCTCTCGTCTGAGGGTACCCACCCCATAACATCAACGCCGAGGGCGTCCCTCATCTCCTCAATCATGGTGTCCATATCTAGTTGCTGCTGGTGAAGATCCATGATGGACCGAGTCTCATCATCGGAGTAGCTAATTGGAGGGTTGGGACAGTTTTGAGCAGCTATAGCGCCAGATGACACGATCTGTTGCCACTGCTGAATCGCATTGATCATGTCTCCCTGCAGCGTGATAGAGTCGCCCTCCCAAGGCGTTCCTGCGCTCTTATACAAACGCTGATGAAGAGTCACACCTTTGGTAGAAATGGCATTGAAATGCTCTTCATGGTCTCTCATCGTAAGCCCGGCATAGAAGAAGTGTGTCCATTTTCTAGCGTGTTGAATCTTCATGCGCGCTTGTTGAATTGTGTCCACGGATTCGTACTCCGCTGGCAGATCTGTAGCTGGACGTGTCATTCGCTCAGATTCTGGATCACCATAGTTCTGAAAATCGCTCGGTATGCCTGCAACGAGACAAAGCGGAAGGATTGAAGCATGTTGCCAGTCGATAAGGCCGACGACGTCTAGAGACTCGGAGACACGAATGTTATTCATAGAAAGGTCTGGATGTCGTAGAACGGGCCGACTGAGATAGCTTTCCACAGGGTAGCCTAGGCATTTCGACATCTCTAAATATTTCTTGAGCCCTTCAATGTGAGGCTCCGGTGACATTTTCTTGAATCCATGGATCTCACGATAAAGAAGATCGTAATGAAGACGTGGTTTGGCAAATATTTTCGTCCAAGCAAGCTCTCTCTTGCCAACATCTCGGAATACTTCGGGTGAGGACGTCCCTTGAAAAGTTAGATGGGTGATGCAGTGATGAGCATGGAGGAGACCAACAAGGACCTCGATTGAAAGCCATAGAGCTTCGTTGCCCATGCCACCAACTATAGTGTGCAGTAGGGCCAACGCAAAACTTCTTCTCTCCTTGAACAGGAAGCATTGCAGCCTTTGATCTTTCGTCTGGAGTCAGATCGTCTGGGAAGTAGATACTACCACTTGCTGGAAGCTGAAGAGAGAACAGTCGTTTTTCCAGATGCACAACTTGCTTGATGATCTGCGCCCTCTGCTTGAGTCCTAGGTCGGGCCAGATTTCGCTGAGAGCAACGCCTTCAATTTTCTCCATGACGATGTATTCGGCTCCCACCGCGTTCTCAGCAGTCGAAGACCACCCATGCACCCGTGGGACGGGAATGTTGTGAAGGCGTAGAAATTCCATCGTAGCGACTTCGCTTGCGGTTCCGTGATGTTTTGGAACGGTAGAAGGATATGGAAGTCGGGCTAGGACCCGCCTACCATCGTTCAGTGTCGCTTCAAACACACGATTAAACCCTCCTTCAGCAAGCTTAACGAATGAAGTCACATCAGAGGGGCTTTGTCCACTTGATGCTGCGATGGCTGACTTAAGTGCTGGGACATCGAATTTCAGATATCTTTCAGCAATCCTTAGCGGCTCGTTATAACTATTAGAGTCAGCAACATGATCGCCCACTGTGAAGGGAAACAGAATACACTCACATCCATCTACCCGAAGTGTACGCATGCATAGACTCATCTTCTGTTGCCAAGATAGGGGATCCGGCGACTGGCGTGGAAAAGCTCCTGAAACATTGCGGCTTGAAGGTGATGACTGATTTGAAATTAGTTGAATTAGAGAGGTTCTTGAGCGGGCCTAAAGAAATGGCCATGCTAAGCAGCTTGAAGAACTCCGTGTCCAGGAATGAAAAAGAGATTTAGCTGTAACGTTAGCGCATTGTGAGGTGGTGGCTAGAAGTACAAGACCAGATACAGCTGCACAAGGGTTGTTGATCTGCCACTAGACTTTATTTGCAGCAGGTTGAATGCGACGTAGTGGTTTGAATTTCAGGAGATGATGTAGTAAACTAGCGCGTGACGGTTTAGGACCCGCTTAAAATGACTTAATTTTATTCGGTACCAGCCTTACGTCCAACACCTTCAACATTTCTTTTTTGAAACGCAATCCGCACCCAAGCAAGACAGCACCGACATCATGGACAAAGGCATGCTCAAGAAGAGGAAGCTGAACAACGGCTCTCCCTCCGCGGGAGCAGTCCCTAAGAAATCGAGCTTCAAAAGCCTCCCGCTCAAATCTTCGAAATTCTCGAACCCCTCGAAATTTTCCAAATCACACACGAAAGATGGCGCGCGCAAAGCTCCAACCACCGCAGGCGAGCCTTCCTCCTCCTCGAAACCGAAGCCTACGAGAGCAGTCGAACCCGAATCCTCAGACTCCTCCGAGTCCGAGGGCGATAAAGATGAAGCCTCCGACGAAGACGGAGAAGAAGAGGTTGCAGAGCCAACACCCGAAACCACACCCACCAGTGAGAATGAAGAGGTGGTGCAAAAATCATTCGCGGACCTAGGCATAATAGAGAGTCTCTGTGAGGCGTGTGTAAATCTAGGCTACAAGTTCCCAACGCCTGTACAGGCAGAAGCTATACCACTCGCGATCGAAGGCCGAGACTTGATCGGTCTGGCAGAGACGGGCTCTGGCAAGACGGCTGCATTCGCATTGCCGATATTGCAAGCACTCATGGATAAACCACAGCCTCTATTCGGCTTAGTGCTGGCACCGACGCGAGAGCTCGCATATCAGATTTCGCAGCAATTCGAGGCGTTGGGGTCTTTGATAAATGTGCGATGCGCGGTCCTCGTTGGTGGTATGGATATGGTTCCTCAAGCTATTCAGCTGGGCAAGAAGCCTCACATCGTTGTTGCGACACCGGGAAGACTTTTGGATCACTTAGAGAATACGAAGGGCTTCTCACTGCGCAACCTGAAGTATCTCGTAATGGACGAAGCAGACCGACTCCTCGATCTCGATTTCGGACCTGTATTGGACAAAATCCTTAAGGTTCTCCCGCGAGAAGGACGACACACCTATCTCTTCTCCGCCACAAGTAAGTCCCATTCATATCCTCAATAACGCACCACTAATGCAAACACTAGTGTCCTCCAAAATCGAATCCCTCCAACGCGCCTCCCTCCACAACCCCGTCCGCGTCAGCATCAGCAGCTCCTCCCACCAGACCGTCTCCACCCTCCTCCAATCCTACAACTTCATCCCCCAGAAGCACAAAGACCTCTACCTGATCCACCTCCTCAACGAAAACCTCGGCCACCCCGCCATCGTCTTCACCCGCACCGTCAACGAAACCCAGCGCATCGCCATCGCACTGCGCACCCTCGGCTTCGGCGCCATCCCGCTGCACGGTCAGCTCTCGCAGTCTGCGCGGCTGGGGTCGCTCGCCAAGTTCCGCTCGCGCAGTCGAGATATCCTCGTTGCGACGGACGTGGCGGCGCGTGGGCTGGACATCCCGAGTGTGGATTTGGTGGTTAACTTTGATCTGCCGCCGGATTCGAAGACGTATGTGCATCGGGTGGGACGGACGGCGAGAGCGGGGAAGTCGGGGAAGGCGGTTAGTTTTGTTACGCAGTATGATCTGGAGATCTGGTTGAGGATTGAGAATGCGTTGGGGAGGCAGTTGGAGGAGGAGAAGGTCGAGAAAGATGAGGTGATGGTGCTGGCGGAGAGAGTGGGCGAAGCGCAGCGCGAGGCTGTGAAGCAGATGAAGGTATTGCATGAAGGTAGAGGAAAGAGGGGTGCAGTGCTCAAGGGGCGGAGGAGAGAGGGAGGTGGTGGCGGTGGGAAGAGGGGTAGAGATGATATGGATAGGGAGGAGGGTTAGTTCAGGTTCAGGTAGGTGGCGATTGCATGCGATTGGAGAGTTTCAGGTTCCTTCACATTTGCAGTACTTTATTAAAAGTGTCAATTGTGTCGAAAACGTATAGTTCCAGGAGTTACCCGTTGTGAACTTGCTACACTGCAATACTACTGCCAGTACGGCGTAGAAGCGCGAGCGAGAGCTATAGAAAATGGTACCAAACGAAAACCAACCACCCGCAGAGCCACGGACCGCACCCATGCAGCAGATCAGGAACGTTCTGAATGCTTCGGAGACCCACAACGATCCACTGGTTGCGAATTCCATCACCGTGACGTCAAGCCCCCACAACTCACGAGAATTGTCCTAGCACTCTGGTATATAACTCAATATATTAAACAACTAGCTAAGGAGCACTTCAAAGAACTCGACCACTATCCAACTTCTCAAAATTCAGTCTCAAACATCAACTCCGCAAAGCCCAGCCTACATACACCCAACATGCCACGCGACGGCACCGGCGCCTCCGACAACGCTGTCGAGCCCACGAATAACATCGTCCACGGTGCTAGCGGCGACGTGCGTTCTCCTTCCCCTCCTGTCTCTCCTTTACTAACGCATGTCCTATAGACGTCGCTCAACCGCGCCTCGAAAGTCGCACCCCTCCCCGAAGCCGAGAAAGGCGGGGCGCTGGAAGGCCTGAACGCGAGCGGGGGTGGCAGCGTGGGGAAGGCGCAGGGGAAGGGGAATGATTCGAATAAGGAGCCGCTAGTGGATCAGGTGACGAAGTAGGTGATGTAGGAAGGAAAGGGAAGGGAAGGCGGAAAGAGAATGAGGAATTGCTGTTATACGATGATAGGAGAAGAGAGATCCAAAGAGGAAGACAGACAGTAGGAGAGATAGGAACGACTTGATGGCGCTCCCACGTTCTTGTTCATCAAGATACCAAGATCGATATCAGAGTAGAGGCGAAACTAGCCTCGTATCGTCTTGACTCTGGAAGGAGAAATGATAGTAGAATCAAAATCGAGCTTGAGAATCTACCATTCTCCCCCGCATTCAAAACGGGTGCACTGCTATGATTCGTTGGGCTGTCGCAGCACTTGCTAGGTACATAGGTGCACCTTTACCGTCACACGCCTCCTTACACCGCACTTCGCGCCACCTGCACAACATGACATCGGGACTTACATATGCAGACGCAGTGCCGCAGTACAAAAATGCCTCACCGGAGATCTCGCTTAACGACTTGCTATCTTCAGTGCTTTTTGAGTTTTGATTTGTCTAGGGCTGGAGTTCCAAGGTTGGAGTGGCGGAAGAGCGGTCTGGGAAGCGGCCTAGAACCCGTCGAAGTCTGTTTTGATGCACTCAACACGGCTTGGGAGATCCGAGCTTTTGAATGCTCTTGAGGTGTCGGCGGTCCCGATACCTTACGGCCGCGGTTTCCTGTGGGTAAGGTGGTTCCAGGAACTAGTTCAGTGGGGTGTATTACAGAGAGGCACAAGAAGCAATCACAAATCAACAGAACAGTATGCGAATATGTTTGAGAGGTGCTTGATTCATTCCTTGCTGTGTACTGAGGAACACATCGAACTTGATGACCAGAACCCTTTCTGCTGTTCCGGCATCGTAAACCTTGATGACAGTCCCATTTTCCCAACACCGTAACACCTTGGTACGCCTTTGCGATTCCGTCGCCGCCTTGAATGCCGAACCCGAGAACCTCCACGACAATCTGCACACGCTCCTTGGATGTCTTGCTCTGGATCTCTTTGACGAAAAGACCTTAGGAGTCCTCCCACAAGCTGCCCTACTCGGTCGCTGTCGAGCACCGATCCGCCAACCAACCCCCAGGAGGTGGCGGCCCCTGAGACCCTAAGTTGCTTCAGCCGCGAGGTAAGTCTCGTCGCTAGCACGCGGAGTTGCCGGTGCCGCGCCAGAGTCTGCTCGCAAATCAAAGTACTTAGCATCAAAAGGGCTTCCAATTCCGTAGAAATCGGCCGTCGAGTCCTGTGCGACGAATGACGCGTTGAAGAAGCCTTGGGTGGAATCCGCCGAGTCTTCATACCTGTCCAGGTCGAAAAGATCTTCAATGTTGTCGTTGAGCGTAGACGAATACTCAAGGCGATGAGGAGTGATGTCAAAATCTGAAAGGCCAGCCGGGGGCTTGTCATAGGCGAGAGCGGCGGGGAGTCCGACTGACACTGCAGGTCGCACAATATCTCAGCAGGATATCGTGTCGGGTCGGACTCCAAGACGGTGATGTCGCTATATGAAGGGGTGGCGGGCTGGCTGTAGATGTCGTGGGGAGTGTCCATGCTGTCCATGGACTCGGGGCTGGGGAAGGATGTCTGTCGAGGACAAACGGTGTCTGTGAGGAGAGAGTCGACGGAGGAGACAGTGGGCTCCGGAATTTGGATGCCCGACTCTGCCTTTGTCCTGAGGTCAGGGGCGATTGCTCGCCAAGCGTTGATGATGGCGTCCTTTTGTTGGTCTCTTCGTCGGAGTGCCCGAATCTCTTCTCGCAGAGCCCGAATCTCTTCTTCCTGTTTGTCCATCTCTAGCTGCATTTGGTTTTTCTCGCCCTGCAGCTGCTCGACCTCGGCGCGTTTCCGCTCGCGTGAGTTGTGGGCGGCGAGGCGGTTGCGCTTGACACGCTCGATGCGGCGTTGCTCCTTCTCGTCTTCCGTCTTGGCCCTTTTTCGAGGCGGGAGCTGCGTCTTTGGCTCCGGGAGGACTTGGCCCCACGACTTCCGCTTCTTGACAGGCTTGGCCGAGCCCTCGGGCATCGGTGATGAGGTCTCGGGGGAGGGCGAGCTCTGATACTGTGTCTGCAGGTCCTCCAGCTTGACGGTGGTGGCGGCGCGGTCCAAGGGGCCGGGTGAGGCGGACTGAAAACAAAGGCCGTCGTGGTGATTCATGGTGTCGTTCGTCATGTCGGTGTTGCGTGATTGGTGCGTATAGCGAGTAGTAATGGCCGTGTTTGCGCCCACAGAAATGGTTGACTGCAGGTCTGGATTGTATGCTGCATTTGGCCGGGCGGTGGTGGACAGATATCAGCATCAGCGAGAGGACACGGTGGCCCTTTATGTGCCAGGCAGCCAGGGGGCGGCGGCGATTCGAAGCTACCGCCGAAGGGGGATGGCGCGGGGGGCTCAGTCCAGCCCGGAGAGTCTACTTTTAGTGCCGTGGAAGGCGCCCCTGTCTCGGCCCCTGGCCCCTGCTCCTTCCACACGCGTGCACCACTCCGAACACCACATCAAGCCGTCGATGCATCTCGACGCTCAGAGTTCCACCATCCGCCGCGGCCGCATCGTCGTCGCTGTCTATTTGCATCGCCGCCATACCGCGGCCAGCGTGGGCAAGATGGGAATATCCTGTGGAGCCAGGAGGCGCGTCACGGCGATCCACGCAGGAATCCGTCTCCTTCTCCTTGCTTCTGCAGCTGCCTGCGCATCCAACACCCGGCCTGCTGTTTCACCGTCCGACTCGGCGTCACTGGCTTCAGGGGCCACTCGGGCGTCTCGGGTGCGCCAATTGCGTTGCCTAGCCCGGCGTGCCCTTCGCCAATTATGGATGCCTCCAAAGAATTCGTCAGCGCTGTCGTGATGCACCCGCACACATCAGCGTCGTCCTTTTTCAGCCCAACACCACTGCTACATTATTAGCACGCCGTGTGGGTGTCAGACAAAGACCTCACGCCCGGCTCATCCATTATTAGGCCCGTCTCGTCTCACTCACATCACGCTTCTGCTTTGTGTGGGCGGATTAGGCAAGTGCCTGCAATTAATTTAGGTGACAGCATTTACCAGCCATGGCTGCCCACGACGTCCTTCCTGCTTTGTGTCCGTCAATACGCAATCAGTCTCCAACATCGTCCAGACCGGCCCGCGTTCCAGCCTCCAGTGCATACGACGTACTTCGTCCTTCAGGGCGGGTAGAATCATTCTATGCATCCTCCGTCGTGCCGTCGCACCGCGGGCGGTCCCTGCTGAGGGTTGAGGTAATTAGGCATTCCACCTTCGCGTGACTCCACGACGACAGCAATCTGGGGTTAATTGAACCCGGAGAATATGTTCGCAATAAGTACCGACGTCCATGCCAGCTTGCAATGCCAGCATATTGTCAGTTGCAATCTAAAGACCGTTTCCAGAATATTCTTTGACTTCCGTACGCTATTCAGTACCTAATTCGTAGTCCCTCATTTCATGTCACGTTTCTTCCGTGGTTCGCGTCACGAGTTCCCTTTATGCCAAGCCTCTTCTTCCCCACAGTCAGTTGATACACATCTACAACAAACATCTGTCAATCCTGCTTCACAGGGATCCGTATCCCTCAGAACTCGTGTGATCCTGCTATTGTTTCATCCGCCGTTGTTTCATTTCCCGACGACGCCCACCCACATTGCACCAATCACAAATCTATCCTCTCGAGTCCCGCAGACCTCACGGCTTTGCCACAACCGGCTCTCCCTCTCCCGCTGCAAACTCCTGCCAAGCTGCAAACTCCTGCCAACATACCGTGTAACCTGCGGTCCGATCCCTCCCCTCCTCGCGCCTCTTACGGCGCCTGCGGTGCAGCACCTGAAACGACCCCTGCTGCAACCACAGTTCAACCGTCGAACCGTCGCCAAGGTATATGAGCCTTGTCGCACTCGCCCCTTACGCTGCACAGCTCCCTCAACGACCGCATTCAAGACATGGGAATCGATTGTCGAATGAAACCTCCCAGCCCCCCGCCAACCCACGGCTGCGCTGCCCCTCATCCCACTGCCCCCCTGTATCGCTATCGCCAGTGCTGGGGTGAGGAGGCACGTAAAACACTGATCCCCCAGGGTGCCTCGGCGATAAGATGTGCCATGCTTTGGAGAACCGGTCACCATCGGGAGAAAAGCAAAGATCAATTGATAATCAGCGAGCGGCACAGAGTGACCGCCAGGTCTTACAAGCCCAGCCTCCTTTCCAGCCCTCCGGTCGCAGACCTAGAGCCTCGGCGTGAGAATATTCTAGTAACCGCGATCCCACATTTAGCCAATCTCCACCCGCTGCACCTTTCGGTGGATGCATGAGACGAGGAGGATGCTATGGCGTTGAAATGAGGTGAAAATAGATGGCTTGGGTAAGACATCTAGACCTTGGTTGGGGATGAGTCAAGTGTGGGGGAGGGGCTAGGTTGCCCAAGTATAGGAGGTCAGGTGAGTGTATTTGCGTGATGTTTCGCGAGTCGGGTTTGAAGCGGATTTCGTGGTTGACTGGGCCCTGAACACTAATGGGGAATGTACCGTGGTTGACGTGACGTGTAATGCTTCTTAGAAAATAGAGGGTGGGTTGGCGGGGGCGCTGATTTTGAGTTGTGGAGAGGTGAGTCAAGGAAATTTATAGACGAATAGAAAGTAACTATTTCCGAAGCGTTGATTTGAGCCGTGGAAGTCGTCCAGGCGTTGGTGGTTTCGTATCTCGTATGTCGTGAACATTTCATTTCTAAAAAAAAAATTGTCAGTGTATTGAGACACCTCAAGCAGCGGTAGATTGTTACAATCTCACTGTCGAGGCGCCATGTTTGAAGGCTAGTGATTTCACATATCATTTTGTGTTGCGAAGCCTTGGGGATGCTAGAGTCCCTCATACAACGTGAGCATCTAGGTCCTCTCTTGATGTTGAGGGTTCGATATCCGATGTTGGTATTTTACATTGCACATGAAAGATTCTGAGCGTATCGAGGCGCCTCAGACGGCTGTAGGCTAGAATAATCAGGTTGTTCAAATCTCAACGGCCCGATTCAAACTCTCGGCCAAAATGATTCGCAGATAGGACTCGGATCGCATGGTAGCGAATGCGCTTCCCATCAAATCTAGCGAACGAAAGCAAAAATCGAAGCGTCCTCGAGCACGCAATCTACCTCTGTGCTCTACACTTTCCGTGCACTCGTCGAAGCGAGAAGTTACTAAGTTGGGTGATGGATTACTTAGCATCGTTCTGGGTCAAAGTGTGTGGTAGCGAATTCGCTTCCCCTCAAATTCCGCGAATGAATTGTACTCGATGCTTGCTCGAGCACGCAATTTGTTCTCTGTGCTCTACACTTTTCTTGCACCATGTTCAAATCGAGAAGTTACTAAGTCGGGAAGTAGATCCCTTGGCATCGCTCTGAAGGACCTCACGATCACATACGACAAGGAAATTTGAGTAAGGAGATAGTCTATTATCGAGTATTCTCTAGAGAGAGCTCTAGATTTGCGCCGTAATAGAACTTACTTGGTTGGTAAGTGTGAATGAAACGAAAATTGGTTGGGCATCCTGTGATGTTTGGAAGGTTGGTCGATGAGTTGGAGTCCGATGGAAACTGCCTTGAAAGCGATTAGAAGGCTAAAGAGAATGCCAGCGTACACAAGAAGCAGCAGCACAAGATCGAGATCTGTACAGCAATGTCTTCACCTTGAAGGTCTTCCTAGAGTTCCGGTTGTTCCTGCTACTCCTCTGCTGCTTGAAGCTGGAGAGCCCAGATGTTAGTAGCCTCAGGTTAGTGGATTATGTTTTTGTTCAAGGCCTGCATTCCGTACTCTAGAAGTACCCCTCGGCCAGCTTGAACTTGTGAAGTCTATCACACAGCCAGAGGCGGCTTCGTTCGCTGGCAGGTAGATGGTTGTTGGCCAATCACAAGGCGCGTGACTATAATGTGGCCGGTGCTTTCTTAGTGCTACCCGACCTCCTTCACTTTTCGCCAACAAACTATTTATTTCAACTCCATTAACATATCAGCACTAACCATGAGGCTTCTCTCCTGCACCACGACTTATAGTATCTCGTACTTTCACAATGCTGGGGTGGCTCTGTAATCTGTGGCAGCCAGCGCTGGCGAAGAAGACACGACCAACTCTACCGATTGGTACGGATAGCTCTCAACTGCGCATTGGGAGTTCAATTCGCCAATCCGAAGCTGTTCAGAAAGCACTTTTTCCGCGGCGCCGCCATTTCTCTGACATCGACAAGCAACAAAAGTCAAACACGAATAGATTGCAGGAGCAGGATCTAATTTCCAAAGAATCGGATCCTCATCAATATACCGCCGGGTATTGGCTCCACCGCACCCAATTGCAGCGTCAAGCACGCTCAATCGACTTCAATTTCTCAGCACTATGCGAAAAGGCTGTTGCTGTTTTTCCTGGCGCAGGCAGTGTCGTCCGGTATGACAAGCTAGAGGGAGGCTTCAATAGGGCTTTCATCATGCACCTTGACAACGACAAGAAGGTCGTAGCTCGTATACCTTTCCGCGTTGCCGGACCTCGACGATTGACAACACATTCTGAGGTGGCAACGATAAGCTATAGTGAGTACAAACTTGTAATTACCCTGGCCTGAACCTAACGCTATACATAGTCCGCTCTTTCACAAAAATCCCCGTACCCAAAGTCCTGGACTGGAGTGATGACGACTCTAACCTTACTGGTACTGAATACATCATTATGGAGCATGTTCCCGGTGTCCAGTTGGCACAGAAATGGCCGTATATGACCCCACTGCAGCACTTGACGTGTGTCGAGCACCTGGCCGAGATGGTCATTGAGATGGTGAGGCTGCCATTTCCGGCATTTGGAAGTCTGTACTTTGCGAACGCTCCGATTGATTATGCGTCGAGAATCGAATTCGCGGAAGGATTCTGTATCGGACCGCATTGCGGGCGGACCTACTGGGATCGCAACGCCAGCGAGGCTCGCTTCTATAAGGAGAGGCCTCCGAATCAAGGACCTTGTAAGTGCTAAATCATTACATCATTTACAGGACTGACTTCCTCCTCAGGGGCTGATTTGGAAGCCTACAGCGCTGCTCTGATCGACGTAGGATTCTCGCGGATTCCGAAGGCCGACCCAACAGAGACCAGACTACCGTACCGTGGCTCCGTGCAAGAGCATCGCCGTCTCCTAGACCACAGTCGAGCCATCCTCAAAGCGCTGATCAAAACGCCCACAATTGAGAACCTAGCCTCCCCAACCCTCCTCCACCCCGATCTTCATATGCGCAATCTCTACGTATCCGACGACGACCCCACCTCCATCACTGCCATCATCGACTGGCAATCCACCAGCATCGAACCGCTCTTCGCCTACGCCGACTACATCCCAGACTATGCCGACAACCCGCTCAAAGACCAGCCAGCCATGAAAAAGCTGCTCAACCGCGACGACGCAGAAGAGACCCCCGAGACCCGCGAGGAAGAAGCGGCCCGCAAGCGGCAGGAGAACGACGTGGAGCGCTGCATCAAGATCTTCGAGGTGATGATGCTCGGGTTCGTGCAGAAGTTCCACGAAGCGCGGGTGATGGGCGACCAGCCGGTTTTACGCTTTATTCGGTACTGTGACGGGTCGTGGAGGGATAGCGCGGCGGCGTTGCGGCAGGAGATGATTGAGCTGTCGGGACGCTGGGAGGAGCTTGGGCTGCCGGGGGATTGTCCGTATCAGCCGACTGAGGAGGAGCTTGCTGAGCATGCGAAGCAGTATGAGGACTTTAAGGAGGCTGAGAGGCTGAGGCTGGGGATAAGGGGGCTCACGGGGTGTGATTCTGATGGGTGGGTGGCTGCAGAGGACTGGGAGGCATGAGGAGATGTATCGGATGTGGATGGAGGGGGGAAAGGGGGGGAAGGAGGATGAGGAATGGGCGAGGTTGTTGTGGCCATTCCCTCCTGATGGCGAGCAGAATGGAAGTTAGGGTCGCGATATTTCATGTTAAGGACGGCATGTGGTTTTCGAGCGAGTTGTACAGAATTTCGTTTATTAGACCATATGTCCCATGAGAAGGCGTTTGACTACGAGTAAATTGAGCGGAGTATTCAAATAAAGGAGAAGAAAACGACGGATATCAGGCCGTCGAGACCTAGGCATGAAAATTGGTACCAGGATATTAATTACCTAATTCGGTAACTTCTTGTTTCGAAGGAGTAACCAAGTTCGCTTCGATTGGTCAAGTTCGCTAAGGTGGTGAAGCGAATTCTCTACCATGCGATCTGGACCTTACCTACGATCTTTTTGACTAACGCCCTATTTCGGGCCTTAGGCATCGAAAATTTAGAGCCTTCTGGCACTGTCAGGGGCACTTCGAATCGTTGACTTTTTTGCTGCGCGATGTAAACCTCTATGCTCAACACTTTTCTTGCCATGTTCAAATCGAGAAGTTATTACTAAGTTGGGAAGGAGATTTCTTGGCATCACTTTGACGGACTTCACCATTACATAAAGGCAAGGGAATATGATTAAGGAGATAGTCTATTATCGGGTGTCCTCTAGAGAGAGCTCTAGATTTGCGCAGTAATAAAACTTACTTAGTTGGTAAGTGTGGATGAAAGGAAAATTGGTTGGGTATCTTGTGATGTTTGGAAGTCTAGTCGATGAGTTAGAGGCACCCCGACGTTACCAGCGTCGAGGTAAGTGCTGTAGGTAAGCTGGGTATATCAAAGCTTCTTCTCAGCCTGCTCTACCATGTCATTACAGACTCTCTCCACCTCTGCGTCGAGATCCTCAGCCTTGGTATCGAACTTGCCAACGGCCAAGTTTTCATGAGTGCCGTATTTCTTGATGAACTTCAGGAGCGTAGAGGCCGAAGCCTGTTTGTTGGCTTGCAGGTAGATCGTAAGGAATCTGCCATCCACCTTTTCTCCCGTATCGAGCCTTACTTGGACTTGCCCGTCGTTTTTCTCGTTCTGTCGGGGAACGATGCGTCTTCCGGGGACACTAGCTCCCAGGAACCTTTGGACCAGATTGTATGTGCTCGCCAATCCATCTACGGCCTTCTTGACTGTCCAGCGGGCCATGATATCAGTGTCGCTAGATGATAAGGACTGGGCGTCAGAGTCTTGTGTTTTTCGATGTAGGTTGGTGTACAGGGGCACTGCCGGCAATTGCGAAGGGTCGATCGATGTAGCTGCTCGTTGGTAGCCTCTCAGAACTTGGCTTGGATATTGGAAACACTGGACAACGCCCTCCATATCTTTTAGCAGTTGAAAAGAATTTGGAGGTATGACCGCTACCTCTGAAGGCCTTCGCGAGGCGGAGAGAGTGACTTATTGGCTTCTTGATGCTGTCTCAGACTTAGTGAGCCAAGATTAGTGATGCTTCAAGTGCTGGATCTTTGTCTTGTGCCAATCTACTCGAATCGTAACTACAGATATAGAAGCTCCTCACTTCGCCCTGTGAAGTGTTCTGTGTTGGCTGCCGTTGCTGGCCGCTCAATGCGCTGGCCAATGATATGCCGCACGACCATCCGCTGGACAGTGCGTCCACTAGTATTCCCGGTCTTGACATCTATTACTCCTCAAAACATCACCAACGATGAAATTCCTTTCTCAACTCCACCACACAGAATTTCTTACCACCGCGATGCTGCGGTGGATTCGCCGGTGCTGGCCGCCCGGACTGAGGTGGAAGACACAGCCTACTCTTCCCGTCAGTGCGCGTAGTGGTACCAAGAGCATTGGAAGCTCTAGCCGCAAGCTCAAAACCCCTCGACACTCGGCTTCACTCAAGAGAACCGATGGCAATGAAGATCGTGAGTACTTCAAAGACCCTTTATTCCGAAATAATCTCACAATGAAGAAGATGATCCCTACCAATACACCGCTGGCCATTGGCTCAGCCGGGACGACGTGCAGCACCAGGCACGTCTTATCAACTTCGACTTTTTAAAATTGTGCGAGAGGGCCGTAGCTTCTTGTCCTGATGCTAGCAAGGTAGTCCAATGGGAAAAAGCGGAGGGCCTCTTCAACCGGGCCTTCATTATGCACCTTGACAACGACAAGAAAGTTGTAGCTCGAATACCTTTCCGCGTCGCCGGCCCTCGACGATTGACAACTAACTCGGAAGTTGCGACCATCCGTTATAGTGAGTATCATGCTACTTCTGTACTGATCGTAGTTAATAATGTTTGCAGTTCAATCCTCTACAAAGATCCCCATTCCCGAGATCCTCGACTGGAGTGATGACGACAGCAATCCCACCGGCACTGAGTACATCATTATGGAGCACGCCCCAGGTGTTCTATTGCTCAAAAAATGGCCATTTATGACTCCTCGTCAACACGCGCAATGCGTCAAGAACCTCGCACAGATGATTGTCGACATGGCGAGGCTGCCATTCCCAGCATTCGGGAGCCTATATTTCTCAGATGCTCCAGTTGACTCTAAGCTGAGGACCAAGTTTGCAGATGGCTTCTGCATAGGCCCTCACTGCGGTCGGAGCTATTGGGATTGCAATATTGGAGAAAAGAGGTTCTATGAGGAAAGACCTGCCAATCAAGGACCTTGTAAGTATCCAATAGCAAACCAGTTTGCAATATTGACGTTATTTGCAGGGACTGATCTCGACGCCTTCTCCACTGGCCTGATCGGTGTAGGCTTTTCCCGGATTCCAAACGCTGATCCAAAAGGAGCCACGCTTCCGTATCGCGGCTCCGTACAAGAGCATCGGCGGTTACTGGTTCTCAGTGACCAAATTCTCAAGGCGCTGGCTACGACGCCACTCATTCAAGACGTGGCGTCACCAACTCTGATCCATCCAGACTTCCACAGCAGGAACGTGTTCGTTTCAGATGAAGACCCGACCTCCATCACCGCCATCATCGACTGGCAGTCAACCAGCATCGAGCCCACCTTCGTCTACGCCGACCAGAGACCAGACTTCGCCTATCACCCAGGTGCGGCGTTCTTAGGGAAGCGGATGAACAGCGATAACGCGAAGGTTGATGAAAAAAACTTGGTCGAGAACATCACAGACGAGGTTGCCCTAAAGTTACTCGAGAAGGACATCTCGACCTGCGTGAAGATTTTCGAGACTATGCTAGTCATGGTCCCGAAGGTCCATGCTTCGCGCGTGATGGATGAGGCCCTTCTCCGGGTGTTTCGATATTGCGACGGAGGATGGGTGTATAGTGCGGCGGGCTTGCGACAGGAACTCATCGAGCTCTCAAAACGCTGGAAAGAGCTTGGGCTACCGGACGAATGTCCGTATCAACCCACACCTGAGGAGCTTGCTGAGCATAGGAAGGAGTACGAGGATTTCGAAGCGCGGCAGAGCCTCGTAACAAAGTGTGAGAATTACCTAGGGGCGACTTATGATGGCTGGGTGGCTGCTGAGCACTGGGAGATGGCGGAGGGTAGGCACAAGGAGATGTATGATACGTGGATTGAGGGGAGCAAGGGAAATGCGGAGGACGAAGAGAGAGCGGCGTTGTTATGGCCGTTTCCCCCCAATGTTGGGCAGAAGGGAAGTCAAGAGGTTGTGGTAGTTGACGTCTAGGACGGCGTATGGCTTCAGAGCGAAGTTTCCAGGAGCATGACTACAAAGATGTGTCTACCAATCCACATCATCTATGATAAGGCGCTTCAATATCAGACCATCGACACCTGGACATGAACGTAATGCCAAGAAATCAATTACCTAACTCAGTAATTACTCTTCTCAGAGGGCATGGAAATGTATGGAGTCCAGAGAACAGATTTCAGTAACCAAGTGAGCTTATTTTGTCAAGTTCGCTGAAGTGGTGAAGCGAACTCGCTACCATACGATCTGGACCCTACTTACGATCTTTTTGACTAACGCCCTATTTCAGGCCTTAGGCATCGGAGCCTTCTGGCAACAGTCAGGAGCACATCGAATCGTTGAATCTTTTGCTGCGCGATGCGAACTGACTGGGACTGGACATCAGACCTTCGGCATTGACACCTAGAACATCCCAATGCTTGCTTGAGGCGAACGTATCAACGTCTCTAGTATCTCCATTAATAAAACTGGACGACGTCCTTCCTTCACCGCGAACCAATCGAACACTCATAGTACGTCTACAAGCATCCCCCATACAATCCTCTCTCAACTTCCCACCCCCCTTAAACCCACCTATCCCATCTACAACTTACTCTTCCCCCCTTTCCCGCTCACATTCCTCACAATCGCCCGCCCATTACTCAAACACACCTTCCCCCCCTCCACCCGCGTAATAAACCTCACCTCCTTCCACCCCTTCTCCCCCTCCCCTTCCCCCACCACATTGCTCTCGCCCACCGCATCCCCCACAATCCACATCTCCACCACCAACTTATCGCCCGGCTTCACGGGGCTCGCGAACCGCGCCTGGAACTCGCGGATGTTGGCCGGGTTGCTGCCGCCAAAGGCCTGCAGCACGGCGTGGGCGGTGGCGTTCCAGGAGAAGAGGCCGTGGATGATGGGGCCGCCGAAGCCCATTTTGCGGCCGGGCTCGGGGGTCGCGTGGAGGGGGTTGTAGTCGCCGTTGAGGCGGTAGAGGAGGGCGGTTTCGTGGGTGGTTTGGGTGACGGACGTGGCGTCGGGCGTCTTGCCGGCGGGTGGGGGGTAGTTGACTGTTTTGGGGCCTGCAAGGGGGTGGTGGTGGTGGTGTTAGCGGGGTGTTTTTTGAGGGATACTCGGAAGGGCTGGAGCGCTGTTCTGCCTCTCGTTTCTCCTTTCGCTTTCGCTTCTCTTTATCTGCCCATTGAAGTGATAGGGTGATGGAGTGAGGGAGAGAAACACTGAGTACGAGACCGCCAACTCACCCTTCGGCCCACCCCATCCCCCCGCGCCTACATAAAACGCGCTCCCCACCGCCCTGCTATACACCTCCCCGCTTGCTTTCTCGACTAGCAGCTGCTCCGTCTCCACCACCGTCCCGGGCTTGCCCTTATCGTACACGCCCAGCACTTTACTCCTGATCTCGAACTTCCTCCCCGCGGAGCTGGTCGGGAGCGGCTTCAGGAACTGCAGCTTGCGCTCGCCGTCGAGCACGTTGCGCGTGTCCAGCTTCGGCACGCCGGCGATGGGCACGGCGTTGGAGCGCGCGTAGAAGTCGATGACGTCGGCGTCGGTGTGCTTGAACGGCAGCAGGATGGGGTAGGTTGGGAAGGGGGCGAAGGACGGGTGGAGCTCCTATATCCAATCCATCCGTCAGTCAGCGCAAGGCTTTTCCGTCTGGGTTTGAGGAATTGAGCGGGCTCATAGGATAATTAAGGCTTTGGAGCGTTTTCGTGGCGATGATTCCTGTGGATGTGACTGCAGGGATGGGAGAATAGGGGAGCTCTACGAAGTATGGGGACGCACGTATAGGAAATGCAGCTCGTCGGCTGTACACCCAATGCTCGCTGCGAAGAGCAGCACGTCGCGCTTCAGCCATGTCACCTCGAATGTGGGGAATTCGAAGCCGACGCCTGGACCGCTCATTTTTGCGATTTGGACACGGTAGACAAATAAAAGGACTGATTAAAGATTCACACTACACGAGCTTCAAGAAAAGCGCGCAAAGGAAGCACTGTAGAGCGATTTAAGAAAGATGCACAAATTGCGGGGAAACATGATCCGGGGGTGGGCTTGATCGTAAGCTCTCAAGCTTCGCCGAGGGTTGCCTGTTGCCGAGGTCGCGTCGTCGACATGATGGAGACTGCTGAGGACCGGCTTTTGTGTTGACGAGCCTAGGCAGAATGTCAATTGCGTGCTTCGACCCTGTAGCTACAAGGGTAGTAAATGAGTATAGAGAGCAGCTGTAGTCGATCCAAAATGCGGAGCTGGAGCTGGAGCTGGAGTACAAGCTCCAAAGGTCGGCTGTTCCGGATATGGAAATCCCGATCTCTTCTCCGCATGTTCGCACGATCTTGATTTCGAGACACCACCCCATGCATTGGCTTTGAGAATACGATGATATGAATCCGGTCTCCATCACATCTCTGACGCAAATCTGCCGTCATGCTTGATATTAATGTCTCACAACACCTCATGCAGTGTAGACGAACGTTTGTGCACTGGTGACCTGCAGCAAGCAGCACGACGAAGCAATAGTATTGGCGTTTCAAGACCGTATATACAGAGTCACCTCCGCCGATTTAGCTCCCATCCATCCCTAGCCCATTTGAAACCCCACTCAATTCAACGTAACGACATTCGTTCGGTTCGTTCGGTTCGTTCGTGATGTGTATATAAATGCCAAATGCAAGCCACCGGACCAAAAGAAAAGAGAGACATGAACAAAGCGCACCATGATGGTTGGGAGCAAAAAGGAAATTATCATGCATCCGACGACCCGTCCACGCAATGCAAGTGCAAGCAAAGCAAGAAAGAAGGGGAACCCAAGAACGCCCCAGCGTACGATGACGTAGTCCACCTTCACCGGAAACCCAAAATGGAACTGTGCTGACTGATTCGTTTGGTGCTCGCTAAAACCGATGTGAACAGCGAGTGAATGCTCGTGGATGCTCTCGTAATGCAACAGCGGAAACCATTTGACCGCTTGGCAACAGACCACGGTTCAAGATTTACATCCTCTTCGGATCCGTAACATGGGGCTATCCCGTATGATAGGTTCGAAGGCAGATTGAAAGCTTCCCCATCATTATCGCCGCTCCCAATCCCCTCTTTCCGGGATTGCTTCAATGGCTATGACCATGGGTATCCAGGGAGAAAAATTCAAACCTAATGAAAGCTCCTCGGTGTCGAGGAATGGATTTACTCGCGTCATCAAGACGATTCAAATTCCCGAAAAACTTTTGTAGGCGCGATAACGCCAGAATTACGACGGAGGAAACGAATGAAGCGCGTAAATGGCCACGCAGAATACAAGTATGTACTCATTAGACATCGAAATTTCCGTGATTGAAGATGGTATCGTCATGATCGCTGCTTGGAATGATGCCGCTCATCCGGTCCCCTTTACTGAACGACCTCTCCCAGTCAGCATCCTCGTCATTTTCGTCTTCATCCATACGTTCGAGCTCGTGATCGCGACTGCGGAACTGCTGATCCATGGCGCTTTCGTCAACAAATGTGAAGCCCGCAAAGTTGGCTTGCATCGTTGGCGAGAGAGGAGTGGAAGCGGGGTTGATCCCGGACGCAAGTGCCGCGGCGCGGGCGTTGAGAGAACCATTGCCGTTCAGAGCATTGGTAAACTCCGGGTCGAAGTTGGATACGTCAAGCTCCGATTTGAGTTTCGGCTTGAATGGCGGAACTACGTTTTTCTTGGTAAGCGCATCCCAGTCGATATCGGCGAAGAACGGGTGGGCCTTGAGTTCCTCCGCGTCACGAGTTGCGCCCAATCGGTGCTTTGGGTTGCGGTTGAGAAGACCCTTGACGAAGTTCCTGCCTTCAGTGCTGAGTGCGTCTCTCGGGAATCTGACTTTGCCAAAGGCGATGTTCTTGTACATCTGTTGCGTGTCTTCGGCGTAGAACGGACTCCAACCGCAGCACATCTCAAACACCAACACGCCGAGAGACCAAAAATCGACCATTTTTGTGTATCCATGCTCGTCGAGCAAGACCTCTGGGGCTAGATATTCTGTAGTGCCACAGAACGTGTTCGTTGTCGCATTCTCGCCGAGGTTTGCTTTTGACAGACCAAAGTCGCAGAGTGCGATATGGCCCTTAGCATCTAATAAAATATTCTCCGGTTTGAGATCGCGGTACACAATGTTGTGATTGTGGAGATGCTGTAGAGCTAGGATGAGTTCTGCGATGTAAAACTTGGCGCGCGCCTCGTGGAAACGTCCCTCTCTCTGGAGATGCCAGAAGAGCTCCCCGCCCGACATGTAATCTGTCACAAGGTATAGATCCGTGGGTGTTTGGAAAGAGAATTTTAGTCCTACGATGAACGGTGACTCGGTCATGGCGGTTCGGACCAGAATGTTGCGTTCGCCCAGAGTATGCGCGACCTCCTTCTTCTGCACTATGACCTTCTTGGAGAGAACCTTCATGGCATATATACGTCGCGTGTCTCTCTTCCGTACTTGGAAGACCTGGCCGAAAGTGCCCTTTCCGATCAATTTGAGGATTTCGAAATCTTCTGGTCCGTAGTGCTTCTTATCGGTTTTGTGGAAGTTGATTCGAAGATGAATTTCGCCTGAAACGTAGTCTTCCTCGCCCTCTCGTGGCTCAAGGGTAAACCATCGGTCGTATGGGTGCTCGTACTCCACCAAGTTTGGGCAGAATCTAATGTGGCCAAGGAAAGCCTCTCCGTTGCTGCGGTCATAGACAGAGATGTCAATCTCAGAGTGGTCGCCGACAACATCACTATCATAATTAGTAGCTGTCAGTTAAGTCTTTTAGTATCATCTTACAATATTGTGTCATGCTCCCACTTTGGATCGGTGGTTTCCTGAAGCCCGCCGTTTTCCTTCGGATCGGAGCTGGTTCCGCTATTGCTGCTCTGCCTGCTCCTCATAGGTATCGCCATGGGCCGGCCCATATCGCTGTCGGTACGCTTAATGGCAACTCCACCTGGCGCATTGTTCTTCTTGGATGCGCCATCTCTCCTCGGTCCCTCCGAGATATACTCGGCCCACTGAAACTGACACACGACGTAAGGATCCACGCTGGGACGCAAGCCCCGTCCTTCGGAAATTGAGACGGAAAGTTTTCCTTTTGGCGGCCCAACAGCTGCAGCGTTTCGTTCCTTCGGTTTGGCCTTGGCCTTGGCTGCCGATTGCGGTGGTTGAGATAGAGTGGAAGGAGCAGAGACCTTTCCTTCTTGCGAACGAGTTCTCGGGGTTTGTGGAGGGGTGGCCTGATTGCGCCGCGGCGAATCCTCGCCATCAGTTAGCTTCGTGACTCTTCCATTCGACTTTGAAGCCGACGAACGCCGTGAAGCGGGACGCGATGCAGAAAGTGAAGCAACGATGGGGCTGGAGGGGGTGGTCGAGGGCAAGCAGCAGGCAGGGTTCGAAATGTGTGCAGTAGGGAAAGGTAGTGTCGTGACGATGGTTGAGAGGGGGCTGGCAACAGCTAAGGTATGCCTGCGGGATCTGGGCAGGGGAGAGTCGGTGCTAATCAAGCTCTGTGTCGAGGACACCACAGCAGGAGACGCAACGACAGAGGAGAAAGGGTGCTCGTCTTTGCTGCCTTTGCGCATTGAGGACGAAGAGGATGTCGGAGGGGTCGGGTAGGAGAAGGAGATGTGGTGGCAGGAGGGGTGCGGGAGGGCATTGTCCAAGCGCTCGTGAGGGAGCAGTGGCGGAGATTCGTCATCGCCGCTCAGAGCTCCCGACGGCGAACATGGCGCCGTCGGCAGTGCATCACTCTCCCCAGTGCGGTCCTCCTGATGCTCCTGGCGGGCGGCACCAGCTTGTGCTCCCTCTGGACGGGGGGTGGGCAGTGCGGGGGAGGGGCTGTCGACAGATTGCACACGGGGACGTAGAGATTCACGAACCTGACCAAAGTAACTGTGAAGTATGCCTGGCAGTCGTTTGTCGGTCAAGTCCGGGCGCGGTGTCGCCGCACCAGGGGGCGTCGAGCCGTTGGAGCCGATCTGGTCGTGCGCTTCATCGTCGTTGGCTCTATGCGGGGCGAGGAAGTTAGCAAAAAACATGGCGAGAGAAAGGGGGGGAGGATATGCGCATGCGACTGCGGGCGAGGGAGAGGCGGCCGGAGCATCTATTTCAAGGCGTGTGTAACGCTTGAATCGGATGACCCTCGTAAGTGCAGACTGCGATTTGAGATTTCGGCGGTCGGCCACAAGCGAACATGGCAGTCTCTGCAGCTGGATCCCCTCTCCCGCGCCTCGCAGCCAGCACTGGACACAGGAAACGAGTTGAGCAGCAGACGCAGGCTTACCGTGAGGACAGGTGCTGGTGCAGCAGCTCGCCCGGGGGCCCGCCGTGAGCCGTCATGGCGAAGGCGGCACCAAGCCAGTACGTGGGCAGCAGGCGAGGAGCTGGAGTGGCGGCTGCAAAGTGCGCAGAATTGGTCGTCGAGACGCAGGTGGTGGTGGTCGTGGTGCTGCGCAGGCGGGCGAGCGAGGGCCGTCCGTCGCGCGCGAGAGTGAAGCTGGGCCGCGCGCCGTGTGTCGTGTCGAGGGTGGAGGTTGCGGTGTTGGTGGAGGAGACGGCGAGCATCGAGGACTCGGGGCCTGGGTGTATCGTCATGCTCGCTCTGCTCGGCGCAGGACTCGGCTTGCCCTCCAAGGGCCGACTATGCTTGCCGACTGTGGTTAACGCTGGGCGCTCCATTGGCTGCGGACGACTCGCAGTGTTAGTGCAGAGCCTGATGCGCACGCAGAGATTCGGGCGCAGAACCGGCTGCCGCGATGCTCGACTGTGCCCCGTTCTTCGGCGCCCAGGGTGAAGTTGCAGGCAAAAACCGGGGCGGACGGCGCGGTCCCAGCTGAAGGCACCACCGTCTTGAGTCGTGAATCAGGGAAGGGAGAGTGAGGCAGCAGAGGGCGAATGCCAACTGAGGTCCGCCGGGTCTATCATCTGCGCGCCCTTCACCGCTTCGCGCCGCTGCCTGACCATCTTCTCCCGCTCAACTCCCGCCGATACCCTCTCACCCGTGGTCCAGCCTTGTTGCTGCGCTCAACGCGGCTGTCACGAGTGCGTGAGGCCCGGCGGCATGCCTCAGGCTGTTCCCTTGGGCCGCCGAGGGGAGGCCACGGGGGCTTTCCCGCTGCCCTTGGTACCTTGATATTGGCGTGATTTTTATTCCATCACCTCACCTCCGTTCACGGAGTCGTTCCGGAGCCGTCATGCCGCAAGTACGCCCCGGCCGTCATCGTCCAACACTCGCTGCTGATCCGTGATGCAGAGCTGAGTGAGCCGTGGTCACACAAAGTGGTATATAGGGCGCTCTCGGTGAATGCTCTGGCCAACGACGGCACTTGCAACCGTCACGGCGGTGCATCGAGATCGTTCCGGGCTGCTGGGAGAGCATGAAGACAACATCGTCAGGCCTGTCTGCATTGCGCCGCTTCGAGTCTGACAGCTGACAAGCAGTGCGACATCAAGCTTGCCGTCGACTCTACTCCTGCTCTGTGCCAACAGTGAATAGATATGGGCATGCGGCATTCTTGTGCTCAACTCTCTCCCGCCTGGGCAAGCCGCCCTCCGCACTCCGCTGGCATGTGATAGATTCCGCCAGACAGTGCCGCACGTGACTGTGACCGTTTAGCCAGGATCGGCTGACTAAGCGAGGCACGCCTAAACGGCCCGCAAGTCGCTTCCTGGCGCCTTGCCGCTGGACTTCACCTCGCGTCGACAACGTGTGTCGAAGATCGAACGAAAGCCTCCAGCATCCCCACCACGCCAAATGGCACCCCGCGGCCGCCCTCGAATCCGTCGCAGCACCCCCGTGCGCACCCCGACCCCTGCACAACAGACCGACGATGAGGACATGGCCGACGCCGCCGAATCGCCCGCCGAAACTCCTGCCCAGCCAGAAGATGGCGACAATTCCGCCCAGGACTCCGATGCAGCTCCTGCCGCGTCTGAACCCTCTTCACCTCCAGTCGTGCAGCAGTTCCCGCGCAAACGTCGCTTAGGCCGTCCCCCCAAAAACAAGCCACCCGGATGGGACCTTGGTCTGGAGGATGTCAACGACCCAGGCTCTGAGGGCGGAACACCCCAGAAGCGGCGGCGCGGCCGCCCCTCCACCGGCGGGGTCAGAGGCAGGCCCAGAGGAGGCCCGTCACACACCACGCGCGTGCCAATCGACAAGGAAGGCAATATGATGGACGTCGTCGACGACGAGGTCTCGCTACCTGAAGACGCCGAGGGAGAGGCCAAGGTCGACAAGATGGGAAACCTGCAAGGCGGCCGCGACTATCGCGTTCGAGTATTCACCATCACTGGAAGAGGGGACCGTCTGTACATGCTGTCAACCGAACCAGCGCGATGCACCGGTTTCAGGGACAGCTACCTCTTCTTCACTAAGCACATGCAGCTGTACAAGATTATCATCGACGAGGCGGAAAAGCGCGATCTAATAGCCCGCGAGATTATTCCACATTCCTACAAGGGTCGCGCCATTGGTGTTGTCACCGCTCGATCCGTCTTTCGGGAGTTTGGTGCGCGCATCATCATTGGCGGAAAGAGAATCACAGACGACTACTATGTCACCGCCGCTCGGGCCAGAGGGGACGTTGAGGGAGAACTTGCAGACCCGAATGATATGTTGCCGGCCCCTGGTGAGCCTTACAACAAGAACCAGTATGTTGCATGGCATGGTGCAAGTAGCGTTTACCACACCGGAGTTCCTAGCGTGCCTACAGCAATGGGAAAGGTGGTCCCTGGCAAGCGTAAAGTCAACATAACGTCAGCCAATTGGCAGTTCGAACATGCACGCTCTTCAAGGTAGGCCATACGCGATCGTTTAAAGCTCTTGCATGCTAACACAACAATAGTCGTTTCAACTCTACACTCGCTGCTGCCAGACGCATGAATGTAGACGGCGTATATGATGCTCACACCAACGCCATGTTCTATCCCGGCATCACGCAACCAACTCACACGAAATGGGAGGAGATCCCAGCAACGCCGTCGGCTGCATCCGAGCAGCATCTAAATGGCCATCTTACGAACGGAGGGGCAGAGCTCACAAACGGCGTCCACGAAGTCAGCCTGGAGAAGGCTGTTGAAACCAAGACCGATACCATTTTCACGTCTGTGCCACCTATCGTATCACGCAACTACCTAGTGGTAGATACGTATCTTACTTCGGCTCCTGTTACCGGCTTGGGTATTCCTGGACCAGATGGGGCTTATTACGACACCGGCGTCAATGGCTTGCCCGACGTCAGTGAAGACATGTTGGCCGAATTGCCCCCGGAATGCCGGCAAGCTCTCGCGGTGGCGCAGCAAAGCGAAAAGGAGTGGAAGAGCCAGTTCAATACTGAGGCGCTTGATGGGCATAGGGCAAAGTTGAAGATTGGCTTCACTGGAGTTCCAGTTTGAACAGCATTTACAGACGTCTTTCATCATCATCAAATGGTTGCTACCAAAGGAGTTTTCAGGGGCTGCCCAGTCCCTGGCGTTTAAGGCTATGGATCAACGATTGCCGACCTCATTAGATGGTTACCCGGACAGTGGCGATGCTTTTAAAATCGACATGTAATATTATGGAGGCAAGCTTTCGGCATCGGCACTACGTGCGATTGGAACACTCCTTCTCATTCGCAGCGTTTCGATAACTAAGTCAACACCGAGTCCGGAATAAGATAAGCAAAATTCGACACTGATCTCCAAGTTTGCACACGTGATCATCTATGACTTCATATGATAACAGTAGCAGCTAGGATACAGTTTGTTTCTTGGAATTATCGAGAATGGTTGCTTCTTTGTTCCGTACGAGCGGCTAGCCTTGTCAAGGTACATCGCACAAAGGCACATTCTTTCTTCCGATTCGCGAAGCCGTTCTATTATGGCGGTATCCCTCGTGGCGTCTTCCACTGACCTTCTAGAAGTCCGTATGCTGTCGCGTGGCTGGCTTCCTTGTAGCCCGGCTCAGGGAGTACAAAGGAAATGCGTGGGTGGCTGGCGGCCCTTCACTTTAGATTGACCACCAATCCTAGTCGATCACTCAAAGCTAGAACAAAGGCGCACAACTATCATGAGAGTCGGTGACTGTCTAGGTCAACTGCAAAACAACCAGTAAAACTACCCGGCATTCTGGGAGGGTTTCGCAACCGCTCCGACTCCTCCAGTACGGCTGAAACTCCAAGTTACCGAAAACGACAACATCGTCAACATGTCCTTGACAGGTAACCTGACAGGTAACGGCACTGACATATTTGCTCCTCCTAAATGCCCTACTCCCTTGCTAGAGGAATCTAAATTTTCAAACTCTTCAGGATGTGAGTTACACCACCTAGACGTCCTTTCAGGAATTTCAAGCTGATAAATTAGATATACCGGGCCGATACTGTGGAGTTGGTGCTAATGAAGATGGCACGGTTTGCTGCTTTCCCTGTCCTATCCAGGACTGGGTATACCCTGCAGGTATATTTTATCCTGAGTGTGGGACTTGGCAGTGACTGACAGTGTTCACAGACTGGAAAACCCAACTGAAGGTTCCGAACTACCTTAGCATTCTCTCTCTCGTCGTATGTCTCTTCCTGCTCTTGTCTTTCGCGCTTTTACCTCCAGAAAAGACCCATAGACATTATCTCAGCGTCGGGCTTCTATTCCCGGTGTTGTTCATATCTGTAAGATGAATCAAACCGATATTTAAAGGAGAATATATTAACGTGATAAACTAGCTATCCTTTGTGATTCCAGCTGGACACGATCCACCCTTGTGTTACGACGACATCACCCCCAACGACATGCACTCAAGCCTTTCTTGTGCCTGGACAGGAGCATTTGTAGCTATTGGAGGCCTCGGATCGGTGATATGGGGTGGGTACCATTTTGACAACTCACCGTCATCTGCACGATACTGACTACTATCCCAGTCTTCCTCCGCAGTCTCTGGCTGCATATCCGTATATTCTGGGACCGAGATCCCGGCCAGAAATTCAAATGGGGCTCCATTGCAGCCGGCATCTTCCTTCCCGCCGTCTTCCTGACTGCTCTCCTGGCCGCAACAGGCGTAAGCTATCGCATGGGTCTAACCTGCCTCCCTAACCACCCAAACGCCATCGCTAGTTTCTGGGTCTGGCTCGTAGGCTTCGCTATAGCAGGCTTCATCCTGCAGACCCTCACCACCGGCTATTGTATCTGGATTTTCGTTCGAGCCAGGAGACGTGAGCGCGAGAGAATTTCCCAAGGTTCACTACGCCGCAACAGTGCGAACGAGAAGGTGGAGACATGGCGACATGTTAAGACACTGTTCTTGCTGCAATGGCGTAATATTCTCGTCAGCGTCTTTGTCATCATCGGCTCCATCTCCTTCTTCATCGTCTTCTGGAGCCAGGACGAGAAGCTCGGAGCAGTGTTCAACGACCCCGCGAACATCATGCCGGTCAGGATCTGGATCACCTGCTTGATACTGAGCGAAGGAGACAAAGAGCAATGTCTTGAATATGTGCATGGCTTTACAGTCAACAGACAAACCGTACTTGCATCTTTGATCCTAGCTTCTGTAAGTACAAAAACGCCGTCCACCTCCTTCCTACTCATCTCCACAAGCCTTGCAAAAGACCCCAAACTAACCCCCACCCCAGCTCGTCGGCATCGAAATCTTCATCCTCCTCGCCCGCGTCTCCATGTTCAGCGCCTGGCGCGACCTCTTCGCGCGCCCCTTCCCCCGCCTCCGCCGCCGTCCCGCCTCGCCCCTCCTCACCTCCCTCGAAGGCCAGCCCCTGAAAGCCTCCCCCCTCGCTTCCACCTTCCCGGACTCCGACGCCTCCCCGGCCGGCTCAGCGCGCGCCTCCACAGCCATCAACCGCACCGTCTCGACTAAATCCCGCTTCCACCTCGGCATCCTCCGACCCAACCGCCAGCGCAAGGCCCCAGACGCACAGGCACACGCCCCGCCAGAGATCCTCCCAAGCCCGCCCACGACCCCCGCGGCGCCGCCCGCAAGCCCCAGCTGTATCCCCACACACCCACCGCCGCCGGGCACGGCGTACACGACGCATAACCGCGTCGCGACGCCCATCGATCGCGCTACCACCGCTTCGCCGTCGTCGGCGTACTCCAACCGGCCTGACCAACCAGTGGCTGCGCAGAATGGGGGGTTGCAGATCTCGGCGCCAACACCGGGGAGCTTCGCGCATGTTGCGACGGGGTTCCCGTCGCAGCGGATTGAGCAGGTGAGGGGTGTGACGCCGCCGAGCCCGACGAGGTTGGGGAGGGGGAGGAGCGTGAGGAATGCGGGGGATTTGCCGGAGTGGGCGAGGGAGAGGGAGGAGAGGAGGGAGAGGGAGGAGAGGAAGAGGGAGAGTGGGGTGGAGCAGGGCGGGGAAGGGGGGATTGTGGGGAGGGGTGGGTTGGGGATGAATCCGTTGCGGTAGATGGGTAGGAGTGGAGAGGGGGTAGGGCTGATTCTTTTTGGAGGTTGGGTTTGGGAGTGTTGAGTACCTGCTGGACGTGTAAGTCTTACGCGGACGTAACGCGTTTGGTTCTTTTGTTGCAAGCACTTACGAATCTAACCGCGTTGGAGGAATTTTTTTGATAGACGCTGCGTGGCACCTCGTGTGATTTTATCCTGTTACCTACCTCTGTCTCGTTCTGTTGCAAAGCTTTACCGATTCAACCGCGTAGAATCAGTTTTGTTAGACGCGGTGTGGACGTCATGGGGCACGTAGTAATCAATGAGCGACAGTCAGAGGGGGAGCGGATCAAGCTAAGATGTATAGACAAAAGCTGTTGTATTGATGAGGATGAGGAAGCTACTGCTAGCGGACTCCCATACCCATACACCGTGTCAAGGCCACCAAAAATCGGATAATTTTGAAGCGTGCACTACCACGCCATAAGTTTAATAAACAAAGGTAGGTGCTAGAACGTGATATCTTACATATCAAGAAGCATTTTCACTCCTTAGATTCTTGAAAATCAATAATGTTGTGGTTTTGACAAAATAGGGGGCCCCCGCGTCCACCCAGCGTCACTAAAAGAGATGTTCTTTCTAATAAAATAATTCCATTTTCTAAATTAAATAAGAGGAAGAGAGTAACTAGAAGTATGTACCAGAGTGTAGAACCTTATATATAGGTGTGTTATAGGTTAAATTAATGATAAAAGTGCGTTTACTGCAAAATTTTGGTGAGGTGTACAGGTAACTATTGTTCTACGCAGAATACAGATTCCCACATCCGCGACAACAGTAAGGCTAGTGTTAAGGGTGGAGTGTTCACAGCGTGGCAGTTCTAGGATCTAATTGAACGGCTGGATGCATACCTCATCAGCGCGGCACCTCTGCTGATGTAGTTCTCTGGCGTGTCGATGAGGCGTTGGAACTCAGCATGATAGTTGTTTGTGGGGAGTACTATGGAGTTCCATACTTGTCGGAGGCTGGCCAGGTCGAGGGTTGTTCCGGGGTCACTTTCAAGGGGCTCGACGAAGCCCCGAGAATCTTTCGGTCCCGTTCTATCACGAGGTTAAAAAGTGAACACGGAATTGTGACTTCCTGATCAGAAGATAGGGGTCAGGGAGGAGCGGTGAGGGCTACGGCAGGTGCATGAGACGTCTTGTATATGGCCTCGTCTTCCTCCAGACCTCTCCTCCTCTACATCCTCATCCCCATCATCAAAAACATTACGTACGGCGTCTACTCTCTATCGTTACGTAACAATAGGGCGATACCGCAAGCAAGATTCCAACACGGCACAGAAAGAGAAGGTTTCAACACCCCAGAAGACACTTTCCAGAAGTGACCGAAGTTCCAGCCCTAGACTCACATTCTCTCCTCAACAATGGCCCAACCCAACCAGCGCACGATGCGAATCATACATTTCTACGACGCCCTACTTCCCGTACCTTACGATCGCCGCCTCAGGCGGCCCATGTTGGCCGGGTTGAACGGCTGCTCCGAATCCCTAAACATGTCTAGCCTCCGAAATGCATGGAACTTCTCGCTGCACCTCCCTCCGAGCATCGACTACGCGAACTTCCAGCACCTACTCTCCACACCCGAAGACGACGAGGCCCGCGTGGTGCTAGTGACTGCTATCCCGAACTTCACGGAAGACGGACGCGACTACCTTGAGTTCACATGGCACACGATGACGGAGCAATCGGACAGCTTGCTGAGAGAATCTTGGCCGGTACGAGGGGAAGGGAAAAAGATGGTGCTGCTTGGACCTTTTCCGCACGGGTTGTTGTTCTGGATGCATATGAATCTGAAGCCGTTACTGCTGGAACAGGATGTGGATAAGCAGCAGTATGACGCGCTTGCGGGGTTTTACTTAGAGAGGCTGCACCAATTACGGGTTGCGGTGGTTGGAGAGGCTGAGGGATCAATCCTCAGTTTGGCGCAATTCGGAGAGCATTCTTCTGACCAAGCGCTTGAGAAATCGTTCGCTCGATGAGCTGATGACATGCTCCAACAATCTGATAGTGAAGCTGGAGGTGTCCTTCGGATAGCTCGATGTAAGAAGGGATTCGAAACGAGTAGCTGTCTCAGTGTGAAGTATAGACTTCCGCATCCTTTCGAATGTCTTTCCTTCTATGATCTGTAACCATGAGCTGGCTCTGTTGACATCACATCCACTGGTCGAGGGCAACTCTTCAAAAAAGATTCCATGGGGAGCTTCTTCAGCCGTAGGTGACCCACCCTGATGCTTCTGACCAAAAGGTCGCTGCTGACCCAGGGCGTGCTTTTGGTGAATGGTCACCGTTTGTTGAGATTGTGAAAAGCTGCGTTGATCATGGAAATGGCATGGCCATCTTGAACACGTAGGGTTTCCAGCACAAATCGCACCTCCGCTTTTAACCCATCTTCCTTTTCTTGTTGAAGAAGTAACTTCTCAAGTAGCTCATAATCTTCGAGAATGAGAGCTTCCAACAAACGCACGTCGCCTATAGCAACGGGAGGCAGTCTAGCAATGCCACCGAGCCGTAACAAGGTCAGTGCGAGCTTTTCGGAATGATCTCTGATATGGTCTTGACGAGACGTCTTATGTGTCACATCAGACCGAATAACGAACCCTTCTTGTGCGAGTTGGTCGGATATCCAGTCAGCTCGGTTACCGAAGGCCGATCCCAGTACTTCTGAGCTGAGGGGTCCACCAGCTTTTAGTAACGCGAGCGTTATCTCTAGATGTGTCATCGATATTGCTCGGGCGAGTACGTCACTATTACTTTCTTTGTTGAAGTCTACGCCGAATTCGAGGACAAGTCTGACCATCCCCAGTTCTTCGAAACCAACAGCAGCCATCAATGGAGACGTACCTCCAGGTGCAGTCTTGTTTACGTTTGCGCCAGATTTGAGGAGTTTCCTCGGAGCGGGTATATCTCCGAGATTCATGGCCACTAGCAATGGTCCCTGTAGTTCTGGCCCGGAGATGAAAGATTGATATTGAGTATACGTTTTCAATACAGTATCTAGCATAGATGTGTTGCCATTCCGTACAACCTCGCGAATGATAGCCTGTCTGAAGTCTTCCTGCGACCCCCATCTGGAAAGGCAAGGGTAGGCTGGCGATTCTTTCTGGTCTACAAGGGCTTCGAGGCCCTCCAGGCTTGCATGGATTAACATTTCCAATCCATCAACTGATTGTACCTTTAAGGCTGTTCTGGTTGCCAGTAACACCCATTCAGAAGTCTTCTCGGGCTGAAAGTGCCATCTTGCTAGGAATATCATCTTGGTACACTGAGTATGTCCGAATTTAATGGCAAGAGTAAGCGGCGTTATGGTGCTGTAGAACCTAACATTCACGAAGAGTCCTTCGCCCAGCATCATACGGAGCAGTTCAGCATTGTCGTGACGCTCGACGGCTGCAGCAGCGAATCCAATTGGAATATTGGTAGAAATTACATCCAAAGGATGACGCAGAGCAAATTGAAGCCAGTTTTTGCTAAGACCAGGAAATCGCGATCAAAGGAGCATCTTCACTGCTTGGACGTTAAATCCGCTTTGTCGAGGAAAAGCGTGTGCAGGCCAGAAATCTGCAGCGTACAACACGAAAGGATGTGATGCAATTGCGCTCAATTTCGACGTCTGGTTGCTCAGGTCCAGGGCTTTCTTCCGAAAATCTTGAAATGCTAGATACGTTAGGCAGGTATTGGCAATATCTAGCTGAATTGCAGGAGAGACCTCGGCCTCATTCTCCATCAGGAACTCATGGATGGTGTAGTGAACGAATCTGACGGTTTGTTCCCCGGAGGTCCGACTCCTAAGGGCGTCTTCTGCGTCAGAGGATCCGGCTTGAAGGTGCACAAGGCCAGCGCAGGACTCTAAAATGATGTCGATATCTATGAGGCTGCCTACATTGAGGGTTGTATCCCCTGGCTCTACAGAAAGCGCCTGGACGAGTCCGGATATTGTCAAAGGTCTTTTCAGGTACGCGATCTAGGATAGAGCACGGATAGTGAGGGCGGCTTCATACTCGGACTGCTTCTTGATCCGTTGAATTGTGGCATGATAAACGTCGTTCAGTCGTGGAGATAGCTGCGCCAATAGCGATCGTACTTGTCGTGGTGTGAGCGCTGTTCGGATTTGCTCAAATTGGAGTTGTGCGAGGAGAAACCTAGGTCGCGTTAGTCTGTATAGTGGCTCGTGATAGGATTGTGTACACTCTTCTACCGCTGCTTGTGAACCGTGGTGATTCAGCGCCCTTTCAAGAGGTCCGAAATAGACTACAATCTATCATTTTGAGCAGCTGGGCAACTGATTAGGCCACCTCAGACGGCGACAGAGAGCTGTACACAGGCTGGGCGATTGGCCTATTGCTCTGGACATCTTTGTATGCGTTGAAACACCACACGCAGTAGTAAACACGTGTACGCGAATCTGTGACAGGAAATTCTAAATAAGAAAGCTTGGAAAAGGGTACGACAAACATTCCACAGGATTTCTCGATGATAGTACGGCAGATTGCTGTATTGAGCGTCTTGTCTTTCGCCACGAATCCTTTGAGGCGTTTCGATGCCGCAACCTTTGACTCTAGGTATATTTGTAAGTCTCCTTCGGTCGCCTCGATCGTTATGCCGAGCACGGTTTCGAAATACTCTGCTACGTTGATGTGCGGCCGAGATGTGCAAAGGATATGATATGAATGTGCCAATCCCCTGAGTACGTCTAGGAAGGTGTCCCGGACGTCTTCTCCATACCCATCGATGCCGTTGATCTCATCAATGGCATCAACCACAATGAACCCGTCTTGAAGGTCTGTCGCATTATCCTCAAGAAACGAGATTTGTTCCACTAGCATTAGTGGTGGAACGTTTTCGCTTTCTCTTTGTGCACCTCCAGAGCCTTCGCCATCACTATCTTACTTTGAGATGCAAATTGTCTTATAAGGCTGGAGACGAGATTGGAGGCGGTCTGCTGATTCTGATCCTTGTAATCGCAATAGATAAACGCAACCATTGGAGCGGTTCCCGACGTGCGTGAGCATCTCAATGACTCAATGACGAAAGAAGTCATGTAGGTTTTACCAGCTCCCGAGATTCCAGAGCGCCACAAGACTCGAGCTGGCTCCTCTAGTCTCCATGATTCGAAATTTTCGTGCTGCAAAAGCCAAAGGTTGGTGCGGGGGTGATGCTGTTCGGATATCTGGCGACGTTTTTCCGAAAAGGTCAGAGGAGAAAGCCAAGAGAGGACCTTTAGCCGCTCTTGTTGTTCATCTAGACAATTTTGGCGATCTCGGTGATCTGTGATAGAGGTAAGTAAGTCATGGTTGAAAGCTAGATCCGGACCTACCGTTCGCAATAACCTTCAGCTGCTCGAGATCTCTTGACATTTCCGCCATATCGTGGCCGTAATTCGGGAGTGCCTTGATAGCGCTCAAAACGGTCTTAACCTGCTCTAAAGTCACGTCCGCATTAGCCACGAACGACGGCAATGCGGCACAAAGCCTCTTCGTCTCGTCCAGCGTATGAGCTTGTCTGCTTAGCATCTCCTCGACATTACTACCCGTCTGCGCCAAAACCGCGCATCCATCCACAGACAACGCGAATTGGAATATGTGCACGTAGCGGTGGATATCCGTGATAGCTTCGCGGTGCTCGTCCTCACGAAACGGCCAGGCCAGCTGTGCTGCCGTGCGTCTAATTTCGAATTCTCAAACTTGTCTGCCTGCTTCTCTAGCTTCTGGAGAAGTGTCTGCAGTCTAGTCTCGCATGTCGTATGGTAGTGAAAAGCACCTAGGTACTGCTGAAGCTCGAGAGCGTTGAGTTGGAGTTAGAGCTAGCACTTGCTTGTTTATCCAGGAATGCCATGAGCTGCCCCAAGGTGGATGAGAGAGCTTGCAGCTCGGCGACGAAGTGAGGCGCCGCTGTTGAAGCGTTGCTGAACCGGGATGTTGTTTGCACGAGTTGAATAGTCAAGCTAAGAAGGCCGGCGACGCCAGCAGCTATGCTTAACGGGTCCATGCCAGTATCTTTGATGACTTGTAGATGGCTTCGTGATATTTTGGGATGAAGTGTTCCGAGAGCCAGCTTGCGACCTCGGGAAGAACTTCACGCGGCTGTGCAGCTGAGGTGCATCAATCAGCGTCACGGCTGCCGTCACTGTCAACTCCGCGTAACTCAATATGAAATATTCTCCTAGGCTCTAAGTTAACGTAAAGAAACTTACAGTAAGTGCGTAAATATTTAGATCGTCTTTTCTGATGGGATGCAATTCGGGTATCATAGCCACGTGACTTGTTCAAACATGATACGCTTCCTGAGTCTACACGAACCCGTTTTGGCTCTTCGTTTCGAGCCCCACGTATGAGATGAGGAGTGAGCATTTCGATGGGCGGTTGAGTTGAGCTGCGCTGTGAGGAACTTGCCAGGTGCGATGTCCAGAATGACGACACAAACATCAATCATTAAGCAAAACATGAACTTAGCTCAGCGTCTCATCGTTCCTGAAAGATTACACTCATTAACATCCAAGCATGACTCATATCGTAATCGTGATACTTGAATACCATCACGTATCTACAGCTTCAATCATCGGGATACTCATCCCTGATATTGCTAACGAAGACACCTTGATTGCTATCCCACCGCTTAAAATACCGACCGGCAAGTTTCATCATGGATTGCGAGGGCTCGTAGGTTGAGAGCACAGGCTCAATGTTTTCTTTGGCAACATATCGCATACTCTTGTCTGCCACACTGCATGAAAGTTAGATTAGTCTGAAGTCCGGAAGGTGAGTCAATAGGCAGGTAGGTGGGGTCTTACAGGACATGATAGAAGCCCTGGTCCCGACCACCAGATAGGTGATCGACACCCATATGTCTTATCCATTCTTCTCCAGCAGCGCAAGACGAGTCCCAGCCAGTGATGACACCTTCATACAAGTACCGCCGATGGTGAAATACCTGACCAACTTTGTATGTCAATTTTTTGGTCATCTCCGAACGAGCTGATACTGGTTTTGGTTTTGCATCAGCAGCGTGGATGGAGTTGATATGGTGTAAGAGACGCCGGCCTTCGGGTAAATTATAGAACATAGGCATAATGTGTTCTTCAATAAGAGTGACGTCCCAAGGAGAGTGCTGCTGAAAGTGGTCACAAAGGTATGGGAGATACTGCCGCCGACGCGTCGTAATGCTCGCCACACTTCCATCTTCCTCTAGCCCCGGGCCTAGTATCAGCATGGACCAGAGCGTTGCGTAGAAGGCGTCATCCATATCCGGAAATGCTGAAAGCCAGGACGGTGGGCGAAAACTACTGTTAGCCCACAACTGTTCCTCGGTTTGTCGAATAGTCTGGACTGAGTTCATGATGTTACGTGCCGTCCTTAGTACCAGTCCCCGAGTTGATGCGTCGCCAAGAAAATTATTATGATCTGAACTGTGTATACCCATCTGGCGGAGCATCGTCCTTAGGGATTCCTCCGGAACTGCTAGATCAGATCGGAAGGGGTCGATATATAGATGTTCAGGGGTCGCGGTTGTCGAAGCGAGTTTTCCATCAAGTGTTTGCCCTTTGGGGGGATGTACTATTCCATAGACGTGGAAAGGATAGCCGCAAGGGCGAGCATCTAAACCGACCCGTTCAGCAACTGCACAGTAGATAGCAACGCTGATCAATGGTAGCGACTCGTGGTCTTCGCTGCTGAGAACAATGCCGATGAAATTGTTTCGAAGAGCTGTGTATGACTCCTCTGAGACACCTCGATAGTTGCGAGATCGGAGGAAGCTTGCAAGAGTGAGAGCTTGCTCTCGTGTGCTGAGGGAACCTAGAGTAGGATTCTCGAGGCGAAGACTACGCGCCAAATCGTCCAAGAAGCGAGTAATGTCGTCGATATCGCCTGCGTTTGTACCCAAGGTAAACATGTCGTACGCGGCCAAGGCTCGTTCCAGCTTCACTGCCGTGCCCTTTGCGAGGTCCTTCCACACGTTGATGGCAACCTCACGGTGAATCCGATCAAGGGTGGCGTTCGCATAGAACCTTCTTGCAAGCACATCTTCAGTATCGTTGGGTACGCTGCATTCCCGAAGAAGAGCATCTTTCGCGTCGTAACCCAAAGCAGCGATTTCGGCTACATTCGCAATTTGCCGCTTCTGAGATGCGAGGATCTCTTCAAGTAGACCACTCGTAGTGCGATCAGCAGCAATGCGCTCCTTGAAGAGGCTTTGCCAGTCGGTATCGGTAAGAGGCCCGCCCAGCTTCGCACTGATATGGTGCCTGGTATGCCAGAACTTGAACCGCGATTGGCATTGAGAGCGCCATAGTGCAGGCAGAGTGGCAATCGCCCTCAATCGTCTTGATACACCCGAACAAGTGACGAGAGCCTCTGGTGGAAGATATTCAAAAATGGCCTGCAACAATTCTGTAGGTAAGGAAGTAAGGGAAAGGTCCTTGGCGGCCATTATGCTTGTGAGGGAATTGGGAGTTGTGAGATGCTCCGGTAGAGATGAAGAGCCTGGCAAGTAGAGCTCTTATGTAAGGTAGCACTCCCAAAGGGCGGGTCTTGCTGTTTAGCTTGTCATTAACTAAGTACCCCACTGGTACTGAAGACGTCAAGATAATGAAAGTAGTTTACCAGAACATGCGGAATTGGGAAGCAAAAGGGTATCGTAATGGAGGAGCGGCAAAAGCAATAACGATGATGTGATGACGCCGAGTCTCGGCATTTTGTCCCGGAAAGTCACGTGATCGGCGAACATCGGCTACTTTTCCGGCGACCGACAACGACAACTTCTCTACCGACCGTCTGGTATAAAGACTCAACTGCGGACATTTCTTCCACCAATCTCTTCGGGCTCGCCGATTGACTAATCTCCCCTCTTGCAGAAGTTCCTCTCGCGCGAATCCCCGCCTTCGCGTCGACCGTTCACTCCGTCTCATGGCCCATCTCGCACATCGTCCGCCGAACGGCAAGATGAGAGAATGCCCAGAGCACGCTGCAAGACTGTATTCAGAGCTCATAGGCAGGATAATCTTCAAGCTGTAGCAGAACTCGGAATGTAATTATCAAGTCACTGTTGGATCTGGAATGGGTCCTGTGGACAGAAACTAGTGTGACGGGAATGCCGGAAAGCAGCTCGTAGAGCCTGTCTGGCTTGGGACTAGGCTATGTCATGGTGAGTTCTTGCTCCTATGATGCGGTCTTTCTGCCGATTGCATGTGAATATGACTATGGCAAAGTCACCCAGCAACTTCCAAGAAGAGTCAGCAGTAGGTTCTATTCATTGGCCAACTCGCATGGAACCTTGTGTATGTGCTGCTCTATCTTCTGCTAGAATTCCCTGATAATCCTTCCGGTATTTCTAGGTAGTATCTCATCATCTTGTTAGCTACACAAACTTCTTCTCCTCCCCTCCTGAAGCAGCCAGTCTTTGGTACATATCATATCCCTCAACCTTGGGCTTTTCTTCCAAAAGCTTGCCTTGTGAGTAGGATTCTAAAATCACACCGCCGTATAAAAGCACGAGCTTGGGGTGGAACGTGGCAAGGTCAAGATGTATGGGTCCAAGCATAGGCCTTTAGTATCTCCTCTTTTCTTTTAGAGATACGGTGAATTGTCTTTAGCTTTCTTATGGCTAATTTAATCCGCTCCACCACTGCTCTGCTTTTAATTAGATCGGAATTACTCATCAGACACGATTCATCGATTGCGTCTCTCGGCGGGCATGGGCGGATGCTGGTTTGAAAAACTGTCAAGCATAGAGGAGGGACGAGGAACAATTACGATTGCATGATAGATTAATGGAATCTTCGGCTTTGTGCTCCTGGTGGTACGACAAGGGCCAACTCAAGTATTCCTGTGGTCCATAGTGGCGGCGCTGCTTATCAGATCGACCTCGCGTCTTCACGTGCTTCCAGCCTCGCCTGGCACACATAGATCGCGCAATCCAGATTTCTAGCAGCAACCTAGTGCATGGATGAGGTCCCGCTCTATAGCCTGACGATGTGACTTCATTGGTATTAGAAATATGTTATGCCAAGCCTGCCCGGGATGTCCGGCATCTGTGAGCACTGTGTGAGGGATCTTATTTAGACATGCGGGCCGCCGCATGATCTCTACGTCTTCAATTCAATTCGGCCGTAGAAATAACAGCGTCCAAGCCATTCCATAAGAGTCTCCGGGTTGGACTGTCCTGCTCACTCATGGCCTGTGCCCCTCAAGTTCCTCGCGGAAGCGTTCGGCCTAAGGCTCGTCCGCTCACTACCGCCGTCGACATCACCTCCAACACCATGCTGCAACAGCACTCCTAGCAGACTCAGCTGTACATAATTTCTAGCCTACCTCGCCGACCCCACGCACGTCACGATGGCTGACGCCGCTCTAAAACGCATCGAATCTTTCCAATATCCTGCGGCGCATCTGGGGCACCTCACAGAAAATCAGCAGGCTGCCCTGGAGTCGTTCAAGAATCTGTGTCAAGATGAAGGATACTACAAGCCAGCCCAGGTGGGAGGAAGACCTGAGCCTAGCCACGACGACGAGACTATGCTGTATGTTGTTGTTCCATCCAACATGGCGATCAGGCTGACATTCACAAGGCGATATCTTCGAGCTCGACGTTTTAACCCCACGGACGCCTTTGCCCAATTTAAAGATACGGAGGAGTGGCGGAAAGAGAACAACCTCGTTGAGTGGTACGATACCATCGACGTGAAGGAGTACGATGATACTCGGAGGCTCGTGAGTTACCCACCTCTTCGCTCTCCAAAATGAAGCTGACAAGCAACGGCAGTACCCGCAATGGACAGGACGGCGCGACAGACGCGGGATACCTGTTTACGTGTTCGAAGTCGCGCATTTGAACGCGAAAAACATGTCCGCCTACGACAAATCCATCGCAAACGGCGCCACAGTCTCCCACAAAGTCTCACCGAAAATGCTGCGGCTATTCGCTCTATATGAGAACCTTACACGCTTCGTCATGCCGCTATGCTCTGCCATAACCGACCGCACTCACCCTGAAACGCCGATATCGCAGTCGAACAACATTGTGGACATTTCAAAGGTTGGGATAAAGCAGTTTTGGAATCTCAAGGGGCACATGCAGGATGCAAGTACTCTGGCAACAGCACATTACCCAGAGACGCTTGACCGGATCTTTGTGAGTCTCCAAAAAGACCCCGAGTTTGGTGATCTATATGCAGCGTAGCTAATAAACCCAGATCATTGGCGCGCCCTCCTTCTTTCCTACCGTCTGGGGCTGGGTCAAGCGCTGGTTCGACCCCATCACCGTCTCCAAGATCTTCATCCTCTCCCACGCCGACATGAAGCCCACGCTAGAAAAGTACATCGACCCGGCCAACATACCGAAGAAGTACGGCGGCGAGCTCGACTTCGAGTTCGGCATGATGCCGATCCTCGAGCCCGCCATCGAGAACGCGCTGAAATGGGACCACCCGACCATCCAAGGCGGGAGCCGCACGATCCCCACGGGCCCGATCAAGTGGGAGGAGAGCGCGGACGGCACCGTCACCGCCGTGGCTGTAGGAACCGAGAACAAGGCACCGCGCCGGAGCGTCGTCGCCGCGTTGGCCCACCCTGTGAGCATCAAGGCTATGCATGGTAGCCTTGTCACATCTAATACGCCCATTGCCGAAGACGAGCTCGCGCTGACGACTGCTGGCACGGCGACGCAGCCTCCAGACTCCGCGATTCCCGAAAACGCTGAGGAGCCGGCTGGGGAGGAGGAGCCGCCCTCAGCCTCAGAGACCCTCCCGATCCGCGAGAACAAGGCGCTTGAGGATCGAGCGGGCACCTCGTCGACGCGGTATGAGCAACAGTCCATGACGCATGCCCATGGCCAGCTCGCGGAAGGGACGCCGGCTGTGAACGATCACGGCTTCGGCGATAAGACGGTAACTATGGAGCCTAGCACAGTCGGACAGGCTCCCAAGGACGTTTCCGTGCCTCCAGCAGAGGAACCTGCTGCCCCCGGCTACCTCGAGCAAGCAAAGGGCGCGGTAGGCAGCGCAGCCGCAGTTGTCACAAGTGCGGCCGGCAACGCCGCTGGTGTGGTTGGCGGAGTGCTCCCAGTCGGAGGGAAGGGCAGCGAGGAGACCAAGGCCGAAGAGGTCAAGGAGAAGACGGAAGAAGAGAAGGAGCAGGACCGGCGCGTAGACGCGGCGAAGCCCGAAATCGTAGAGGGTTTCTTGCGGAGCAACCCTTGATTGTTCGGCCTGCTGCATTCGCTTCTCTGTCCGCTCGTAGCTTCCCCGGTTGAGCTGCCTTTTGGGAAAACCGGGCATAGACTACATACCCTAGCCCCTCTGCATCAACGGCCTTAATTGTACAGACCCTCACATTATTACCTCGAGTACTGGCATATACAGCCAAGCAAAGACGCGTGACTCAAAAACCGTGATGTAGAAAAATTAATATGCTTTCATCCTATCCAGATTTCAACCCCCGGTCCCGCAAAAACGGAGACCTGTCTCCAATATCAACTTCATAGGCTCAGAACGCCAGCAAATGCAAGATCCGCCCAACCCCATTCAATACGTCAAAAGCTTCTGCCCCCTCCCCGCTGCCGTCCCCTCCGTCGCCTTCGCAAAACTACACCACCGGTCTTTGATGCTAATGACCTCGTACGTCCCCTCCTCGCTCGCCCGGATGCGCATGCTGTGGTCGTAGCTAGTCTCAGTCCGGATCTCGAGCACCTTGCTCTTAACCCCCTTCCTAGCGTTCGTAGAACGCGTATACGTGAACTCGAACGGCGCGGTACCCGTGAACTCGAAGAGCAGCTCTGCCTCCCCGCCCTCGTGGATGTCGACGCGGCTCTCCAGCCCTCGCGACAGGCGCACCGAGGGGATCGGGTGGATCACCTTGGTGAGCAAGGGGTTGTTAGCAGGTGTAGACGCCAAGCATTCCGATGCGCTGTCCTTGAGGCCCGTGATGGTGAACGTGCCAGGGAGCTCTGCCATGCGGCGGAAGGTCGTGCCGGGCGACTGGGCTTTCTGCTGCTTGCCGTTGAAGGTGTAGAAGACGGAGAAGGGCATCTGGCCGCTGAGCTGGAAGCTGAGGCGCTCGCCGACGCAGTAGTCGTTGCGGTCCTCGAGGGGGATGGCGGACGGGGCGTCGTGGACGGAGATTTGGACCCGCGGGGAGGATGTGGGCGGTTTGCGCGTGCATCCGCGGGCGTCGCGGACTTTGCGGATGGAGATGTTGGAGTGGCCGAGGTGGAGCTTTTTGTGGGGGATTCGCAAGTTGTGCGAATGAGAGGTGATTGATGGGAAGGAGACCGTTTCGGGCTTGGACGTGCCATGATGCTTTATTTCGATTTCGAGATAGAATGGCGGCACGCCGGTGAAGGTGACTGGGATGACTTCTTCCCCTTCTGCTTCGCGAGAGCAGTAGCTGTAAGTCTTTCCAGGATTGTTGAAACGAGCCTCTGGCCGAGGATTGACTAGCTGTTGCAGGACAACAGGCTGGAACTTCTTAAAGTCGTGATCATAATTGTTGTCTCCAAGTCGCGTAAACTTGTATTCATAGAAACCAGACTGAGAGGTGTCGGTGCGAACTGATGCTAGTCCTAACGCGGATTTGAGGTCCTTTTTGGCCTGGCCAAGTGCCTTGCCACCTCTCTTAGCCTTGAAGTGCTGTTCATACGAGACCTCATATGGTGGAGTACCTGCAGATTCTTGTTAGTTTCTGGCTATGTTTCGCCAATGGACAAGTCTTACCACTCAAGATGACGTCGAAGGAGTCTTCGTCGCCCTCGCACACGGCATCCTTGACATAGAACCCTCCTTCGAATATTGTGGTAGCTGTCTCTGCAATCTTGAGTTTAGGGCGAGGCACCCAAGCAAGGTCGAACTGCTTTGCGTTTTCGTCGATAGATCCTGGGCATATGGAATCTTTAACTGATAGAAGCTCATAAATGCCTTCCTCCTTTGTCGTGATAAAGTCATTGGCATTATAAATCCTTTGGCTCTCTACCTTTTGTGGTGTTTTGTACTTTAAGTTCCACGGTCCTGTACCCGTGAGCTTCAATGGCAGCTGCACTTGATTCCTTTCGAGGGTTCGAATGACGCGTTTGCCATCGATCTGTCCAAAGTATGCCTTAGGACGCTCGTGACGAACGTTGATCGTGGATTGCTCCTTCAGGAATTCCTTGCAGCCCTGGCGGTCTGTAATGCTAACCAATGATAGCGTATATTCACCACCGCTGGTAAGTTTTTCCGTGTGGATGGTATACTCTTCATCGTGTATGTCTTTGACATGGTGTTTCTTGCGTTTTCCGGAGTGGACCAGATCGTACTCCAGGGTCCAAGGGCTTTCGCCTTGGAGGATAACGCTGAATGAGGCAGCTTCGTCGATGCATGTTTCCAAGGATCCAGAGTGAGCGAAATGGGCTGATGCAGACGGTTTGACGTCTTGTTCAAGAACAAGTTCCGGTTTGAGCGACTTTTCTGCATAAACCTCGTCGCTGATCGCTTTGAAAGTGTACGTATAATGGCCTGCCGCAGGCGGCGTCAAATCAATTTGACCTCTGAGGGATGTCATGCGGGCTCTCTTCGGACGTGGAACATCTCCCTTCTTGTGCTCAGTGTAATGGACCATGAAAGGGGGAGTGCCGATCAGGTCGAGAGCTACTCGAAGGCCAATGGGGCTCCCAGCACATTTATCTGTGATGTTCTGACTTGACAAAACTAGGTCAGGCTCCGGTGGGTGCTGGAGAACACATGTCGCAGGCTCGAGAACCTCTCCTGTGCAGTATTTCGTAGACACCGACTTTAGAGTGTACAGTCCAGCATCAGATATTATCGGTTGCTTGTTGGTGGTTTCTAACACTGTTCGTATGGGCTGAGCCGTCAAGCTGTGACCGCCATTCGGGAGGACATCATCTTCAGGAGTGAAGAGATATTCGACAGTGTGTGCCGGTCCGAAGATCGCCTTCTTGCCAGGCGCGGTCGAACCGTACCGAACAGGCATACGTGCCTTTTCTCCTTTGGCAGATCGAAGTGGATTTCGAGAATCGCAACCGTCTAGGACTATCGTTGGCCTCTCATGCACGGTGAACGTTTGGAGAAGACTATCGCTTCGTGCTCTTGGCTTCTCATCCTCCTCGGACTCGACGTAGTTGATGATGTTCCCGACGGCGTCTTGCACCTCCTCTACAGAGTACGTCCATTTGCCGCTCTTGATGAGAGTTTCGTTCAGAGGAACCATGAGTTTGTGTGATTGAGCCCATGAGACATCTTCCTCGTTGGCTCGAACCAAGGCATTAGTCTCATGCTTCGTAAGTGGGGACACGAAGTCCTCGGGCTGTAGGCTTTGGAACTCTGAGGCTTCTCGAGGAATACCGTTCACGGTCGTCCTGTACTTTATTCGCAGTGGTGGAGTGCCTTCTACTTCAAGCGCAACATTGGAAAGCTCGTTTCTGCAACGGCTATCTCCAGTAGGCCTCACACTAGCCTGCGGACAAGTCACTACAACCACATCGGACCTCTTTGGTTGGACCTCGAGCTTCGTTTCATCCAGCACTTTCCGGAGTATGTATATGCCCGTCTTCTTCACCGGATAATGCAAAAGGAGTGGGCTGGCTGCACTGGCTGCTTTCTGGCTTTTGCGTGCAGCCTTCATGAGCTTCCTTGTCGCTGATGCAGATATCGAGATCGTCTCGTTCTGCATAGTCTCCAGGTCGATTCGCATTATCTCTATCAGCACAGGGGTTGTTTGATTGATCTGGATAGGAATTTGAATTTGGTGGACTGTCGAATCGAGGCAGAATGGCTCCTTTTTCGGATTCAACACAGCAGACCTATGCAATATCAGTATTTATATGCAAACCGTGATCGATGGACTGACCCCTCAGGAAGTATATTGATAATTTGTTTTCCAAGAATCACAGAAGAATTGTGAAGAAGCTTCCCCACGTTTACTTTGTGTTCGGTAATGGCCATTTCATCGTCGAAGAAGACTTTCCACAGAGCGCCCAGCAGTGCTGGTATTGGAAGCTGCAGGCGATGTTAGACTGCTTTCTGGCAATTGCAGAAAGTACTTACGGGAATTCTAAACATCAACATGCCGTCGAGAGTCGCATGGAGAAAGAACAGGAGTAGCACAGTCCCGACATTCCATTCTAGCCAGGGTATGCGCATGGCAGGCAGGAGGAAGAGAAAGACCCCATCGAAGGCCACCCATTTCATGAACAGCCAGAACGATTCCACCTCGTCCACGGTCAAGTTGTAGAAGTCGTACAGCCGGTATGCAAATAGAAAGACATAGACGCTGAATACGTAGAATCGCTGCGACGGCGCATCTATTATGTCGAAGGGTATCAAGGGTGCGGCGGTCTCTGAGGGTTTGGCTGGCGAGGGTAGATCCTGTAGCTTTCGGGGCGTGCCCACGTTCTCGCCGACTATGGGGGTGCCATTGTTTGAGGTTCGAAAGCGCCCCTTCTGGCTGGTCTGGGGCGTGGAGGGGAACGCTGAACGAAGTCGAGGAGTACCGCTCATCGCATCCTGTGGCTGAGTGCGTCGATGGAGGAAGCCGTCATGGATTCGCAGCGGTTTTGGGGGGGAAATCGGGAGCAGCTGGACAGAGACGGCGTGCGGCCTGCTTCACGAATTCTGCAGCGTTGGGGCGGGCGATGTGTCTTTGTGTCGTCTGCTTCACCAAAAATCAAACAGACGCGCTTTGGTCTGCGCGACGGGAGTGTCCGTAGGGCTGAAATATGTCTTGGCATCGGCCTGCTCCGTATCAAGCGCGCCGAAGCCTAGGCCACTTTCACCGCTGTGTTGACGGCTACCTGTTCTTCCTTATTGTCAACCCGTGAATCTGCCAAACCCGACCGATTGTTCAATAGTCCTATTGTCCGGCTGCCGTGAGTATAAGAAGACCGCCTTCGCCATGACAATTCTCTCTCCGACCGTTCCTTCTTTCCTCTTCATCTCGCATCCCACATTTCTCTTTTTCCTGTCAAGTTCGTAACACAAGTCTCACAAATTCTGCACATTTTCACACATTCCGTCGTCTGAGCTGGTTCTCAGCAACCCTTTGTCTTAAAAATGTCTTCCTCAAGCAAAAGAGTCAAAACTGCCTCCGCTTCAGCCGGACCGCAAAATGGACGGCGCCTCAGCCCGCCCAAGGCATCTTCGTCAGCTCCGAAGGTAGCCAGAGGTAAAGCATGTGATGCTTGCAGAAAGAAGAAGAAACGATGCACACACATCGACGCCTCAACGGAACCGCAAAAGACCCCAGCAACTTCGGCTACGGTGAAGGAGAAGACGACTCCTCGATCGATCAAGAAAGCCCTGTCTCCTTCGTCATCCATCAAGGACCGCAAACACCCTTCTCCGCCACTGCAGAATGGGCTCGGTGACTCACCAGTTCCCAACCCTACCGAGACAGTTTCTCTTGCCGTTGAAGCTCCAGAGGATCCTTTCACTGCCCCTCCCACCTCTTGGATTCCGGACGTCAACACCACTATCGACGCTTCTACCGCAAACATCGCCAAAGCCGCCAACACTGACGTCATGAAGCCCATCACCAAACCCGTCCCGTCAGCTGAAGAGACCATCAATGGCAACGGTACTCATGAAGCCCCTGTCGACAAGATGACTTGGCAAGGCTGGGTCGAGATTGAGTCCGAGCCTGCCAACTTCAACTTGATGCTCAAAGAGTACGGCGTCAAGGGTGTCCGAGTCAAGGAAGTGTGGTCCCTCGACGGCCTCGACATCCTCCCACAGCCGGTATATGGAGCCATTCTGCTGTTCCGCTACCGAGACATTTGCGTCGAAGAAGAAGCCGAACCGTGCCCGTACAGCCTCTGGTTCGCCAATCAAACCGCCGAAAACGCCTGCGCCACTACAGCTTTGCTCAATTTGATGCTGAATGTACCGGAAGTAGACCTCGGAGAGCCCCTCACCCAGTTCAAGCAATTCACGAAAGGCTTCACTTCGGTCCTCCGTGGCCAAGAAATCGCGAATTTCGAGTTCATCAAGAAGATACACAACTCCTGGGCCAAGAAAACGGACATCCTCAACGCCAACTTATGTATGCAGAACTCCTATGATGCCCGAAACAAGCCTACTAGGAAGCGCAAAGCGTCCGAGGCAGTCGACGACGACGAGGACGTTCCGTACCATTTCATCGCATTTGTGCCGGTAGAGGGTAGTGTTTGGAGACTCGATGGCCTGGATAAAGAACCATCACGAATCGGTACGTCTTCCCCTATATTTCCTACACTTGGTCCTTTGACTAACAAATGCAACAGGGGACGTAACAGACGCAGGCTGGCTTTCGGTCGCTGTCGAGAGAATTGGGGCCATCATGGCCAGCGTCGAGGACATTGGCTACACGCTTCTGGCCATTGTTCGAGACCCGGTGGAGGACCTGAAGGAAGCTCTCGCGTCGAATCTTGCCTCAATGAAGGAACTTGAGGGGAAAGAGGGGGTGGAGGGGCAGAGGGAGGCCCTGGAAGCGGAACAACTCCGCATTCAGGCTAGCATTTCGGAGGAAGAGTGGGAACTAGAGGAAGAAGAGGCGAAAGTAAAGGCGCGGAGGCACGACTACGTGCCACTGGTGGACGCTTGGGTGAGAGAGTTAGCGGGAAAGGGGGTGTTGAAGGAGCTGTTAGAGGGGGACGCTTAGGGGGTGGAGATAGTCTGCGGATCGTGGCGGTCAGATAGCTAAATCAATGCACTTCACATCACGTATACTCACACTACATCTTGACAACGTACGTATACATTCAAGACACCCCAGACTCTATCGCTTTGACGAATTCGCTGATGTAAAGTTCAAGACACTGCATTTCAGGTTGAGGGTGGCTGGATCTATAAACAAGAGGTAGAGATTCGTGAACTTCAGATCAACATGGCTGAAGTTACACTTTGACAACGTACGTAGAGGCTCAAGATACTCCAGACCCTATCAGCCTGACGATTTTACGGATGTAAAATTTACAACACTGCTTTTCAGGTCGATGATAGCTGTACCCCTAGACTGGAGGTCGAGATCCATGACCTTCAGATCAATATGAATCAAATTACGCTTTGACACCGGGCATATACCTCCAGACCACCTCAGGAGCTATCAACTGGAAGAATTCACGGATGTAATGTTTTAGACACTGTGATTTAGCTCGATGATAATAGCATATACCGACTTCAAATCGCATACATTCTAAATGAACTTTGACAACGCACTTATAGCTGGAAGACACCCCCGAATCTATCAATCAAGGATGCCATGTTTCAGACACTGCGAATCAGGTCGAGGACATGAGAATGTACCTACTTTAAATCGAGCGCACTCTGTACACACTTTGATAGCCTAGATAAAGCTTTGAGACGCGCCCAGACCGACCAGTCATACGCCATCACAGATGTACAGCTTTTAGCAGTGTAAATAAGGTATGTCATTTCTACCCGCTTTAGATCGGAAGCCAGTATGGATGTGATTTTCGCAGCGCCGTGAATTAGGGGTTGTGTTTCCAGCCACTTCAAATCACCTACACTTGAACGAACATTTTGAACGCGTATGAATCGCTTGAAGACACCCCAGGGCCTACTAGATAGCAGCGTACCAGGATGTAAAGCTCCCAAGCCTGCAGATGAGGTATCTCATTTCCACCAACTACAAATCGGACGCCGTCACAGATGTAATTTCCGCAACGCCGCAGATTAGGTGTTTCACTTCCAACCTCATATACTCAAGTGATCATTCTGACAATGTATAGATAGCTTGGAGACACCTCATGGCCTACTAACAAGAAGCGTTCATGTATGTAAAGCTCTCAGCACCGTGAATTGCCTTACATAAACCTCATCCTTGCGGGCAGCGGAGCACATGTCCCACTAGCACAGCATGTTGGATCTCCGGCATCACACCCGCTCTCCCCACAATGGCACGCACAACTGCCGTTCGCACAGCATGGCATGCTGTCCGCCGAGCACCCATCCTCGCCACAGTTGCAGTTGAAATCAGTCGGCTGTGGAGCAGAAGTCGTCGTCGGCACCGGGACCGGCACCGCCGTTGTCGTCGGGCTGCTGTTGATTGGGCTGGAGTCAAGGTCGATGTCCGTATTGTCGGGGTCGCCATCGCAAGGGTCGACCCAAGGGTCCGTGGTGCTGTTGTCCCATCCCGCGTCGCTACAGCTGAGTTCTCCGGCGGCAAAAGCATCGTATGCGTCTTCTGGAGCGACGTTGAGAAGGGGTCCTAGTAGATCGCCGGTAGGGTCGTCGATCAAGCTGATGACGCCGTTATCGTTGTCCACGCCGAACGAGCTAGGGCTTGTGACCGGCCTGTCTATGTCTTTCACTTGTGGGTAGCGAGGGTAGTCTCCAGCTCCTGACGTGGCCCACATTGCTAAGCAGTATTGAGCAAGGTTGTCGGCTGATGAGAAGTCAGTATATGAAAGGTGCGTATTTGATGAGAACCAGTCACATACCATTGGTAACCACCCACCATCCCGTCCTGATAGTCCATCGAGCTAGAGTTCTTGTATATTGAGGGCCATACGCGTTAACAGTGATCAACAAGCCCGTAACGGGATTCTTGACTCTGATTTTACGATCATATATATGATTGACGGCGTACGCAACGCGATGTGACATACTATCGATGTGGAACAGCTCGTGTAGCGCCACATAGCCTAGCGTTTGGAGAAGCGTTAGAGTTTGTACATGCCAACGAGTCTGGAAATAGTTTCATGACTGACCGCGGCATTGGTAGTTATTTAGATTCAACCTATCCTCGGACCCTGCGGGATACGCGGCGATAGTTTTCGCGGCCTGGTCCACGCACGTTGGCAAACTGAAGAAACTCGGACACCAGTTGATCGTGGCAACTAAAACGCCGTTGTGATTGGTGGTGTATGCTGCCGCACGAGGGATCCATCTGGCGACTTCTATTTGTCCATTGGCGTTTCTGAACGTTATTGCCTGCCAGCATCTGCTATGGCCTAATCAAGTGTTAGTACTCGAATTCTGTGTATTTCTCTTCAGCCTATACATACACTTTGTTTCATCTTCCGGCTTTGTAATATATGGGCAACTTAGTTCAGAGCGCCGCAAGTAATCATCACAACGAACTTCAAGCTGCCACGATAGGAAGGTTCCGTCGTCTGTCCAGGTCACGATGTTCTTAAGGATGTCTAAGTGGTATTGTTAGCTAGAGTGGCACGGCACACAGCTCAGAGAATAAGGGTCAGGCAACAACCTACTTTGGATCTCGGTCTGGAATTCCTCATTGTTATGTTCGGCCCCAAGAAGGTCTTGCGCAGCCTAGATAGTAACACTTAGTTGGCAGATGCGAAGGACATCGTAAGCAAAGTGCATATTCACCTCGGACGTCCAGTCTATGTCATGATTATTGGCTTTGCCGAGCATCAACAGCTCCTTCCACGCCCCTCGAATGGCGTCTTGTTGAGGACCATCACACCCTTGCCATCCAGTGTAGTGGATTGCGCTGGGTTCAACGTCTTGTCTCGCTGTGAGATTGACCGGTAGCGGTTCTGGCGTATCGTCAAGTGAAAAAGTTGGATAAGCGCAGATAGGTGCAGCTAGGAAAAAAGTGACGATGGCACTTGCCAAGGAACGGAAGTTGAAAGCCATATTTGCACCAATATCAGCGCCTTGAACGTTGAAGAACGTTGGATGAACATCGATGAGGCTTAGCTGCAGCTGTCTTATATTAGTGCATTTTCCGATCTGGGCAGTGCCTAAATTCAGAGAAGCTTTCACTACGAGAATTGTCGGTACCACGGCATGGGCTGTGCAGAGCGAGCAGGCCAGTAACAGGAGCATTGTCTAGCCATAGGATGAAATTGACATGGCTGTAATTGCGAAGGATGGAAGCCATGAAACAAGCCTATTTCCGAGGTTGAAAAGTTGGGAGATCTTGTACCCACCCTGGCGGATAAACACCAAAAATCCTAGAAAGAAACAGGGAACAGGAAGCAGAATGATTTGCGAGGTCAGCGTTTGGAGCTTGATCGACGAATAGTCGTGCAGAGCAGCTTTCCTGACTAATTTCTTCATGGGTATGTTAGCGAGCATGTTGCAGCCTCCGTTCTTCACCAACATGGTCCCCTGTATCAAAACAGCCGACGGGGCTGAGTACGGTGCTATTAGTAGAAGCGGAAATCGTACCTATCCTGGGGTTGAATCGCCGGTGACATAAGCCGAAAGCTCATGAGGCTGAGCTATGACAGAGTATCTAATGTGGAGAATAAAGCGAAGTAATCACATGGATATAAAGTATAATGTGGTGTTGTGCGAGGTTCTTGCGCGGCGGCTACATCCTTCGAGTCGGGGCTTATTATTACCCGATTGGCACAGCATGTTTAGGGAATGTTGGCTATTTCTAAAGGACCCAACATCTCGTAAAAAGGATATTAAGAGTGAAGGCTAGATACTGTTAATTCGGGGAGCAAATCCTCACTGATCAAAGTATGCCAGACCAAATGGAATGATGATCACGTGCTGTGTCAGCTCAAGCCGAGCGTGTGGCTGCCTGCATTGGCACTTGACGTTAATCACATCGATCTATTCTCAGACAAACCTCTAGACTGACGAATCAGCTCGTTGACAGATAATCCTACAAATATCAGAAGTTGTGAAGATCGGTGGAACTTCACCACCAGCAGAAGCAGTGGAGAATGCTACATACTGTCTGTAACATCTCATCTGATCCACCTCGTCTTATAGACCAACATAGATAGCACAATGTTCGCTACAAGCTCCTGTTCGCATGAAGCACCGAGTGGTTGCCAACTCCTGGTTTTTTATGCCTGCGCCGACGAAACATGCAAGCTTCCGAAATTAAAGCGCGTTGCTACACCAGGTTATTGTCCAGCTTGTCGAGTTATGACCGTGTCGGTCTGATTATGTAAAATAGAGAGCGCCGAAAATTCTCGCTCGTAGAATACTGTCCCGGCAGGATATACCATAATCCAAGTCGTCATTCTTGGAGGCCATAAGGAGCACCATTTGATTCGGAGGAGAAAAGGGTTTGAGATTCCGTCCTGGATGCCATTCATTAGGTCAACACAGCTCCCGAACCGACAGCCATCCGGTAGCGACGAGCAAACACTTGCTCCATCGCTAGACACATCTAGATCATCCTCATCAGAAACTTAGGACGCTCTAGCCAAAATCCAAACTGTCGAATACGCATCGACCTCTTCACGAAAACTATACAACTGGATACATGGACACTAGTGACTTCAATCCAAGTCATCCGGACTCGTCTCCACTTTGTTCAGTACCGGTTTCGCGCTTTCAGCCTTGGGTGGCTCTTTCGAAGGGTAGAAATCTAAGACGCCACCCGCCTGTATAACTCCTGTGCGGTCGTAGTACGATCGCGCCCGCAAATACGGATCCAGCTCCCAGTAGTTCTTCTTCAGGTCTTCTGCAAGCGCATCCCGCTGCACCCGTACAGATTCCGAGGAAGCCTTCTCGTCAGCGCTTTCCTTGCCGGCGGATCGTATCCAGTCCAGGATTGTGCCCTCGTACTTGCGAACTATCTCGCTGCGAGCCGCAAGGAGTTGGTCACGTGGCTCAATGTTTGCCTGGATGGCGTTCTCCGCAGGGTCGGCTTCGACATATTTGTATGACCAGTCCTCGTCGCCACCTAATTCTTTTGGTATTTGCTTTCGGGGAATGAATGCCTCCAGTTCGTCGGGGTTTTTTGTGAAGTGCACTTTGCCTGCTACAACGGGATCGAGCCAGCCACGTATTATACTCCATATGCCTAGAGAACCGTTAGCATATACATGGAATGGTACATAATTATGGGGTTTATTGACCTTGGAAAATCCAAGGGGACTTGTGGACCAGAACAGCGCCAAGCGATTCGGGATAGTTTGCTTCGAAGCACTTGATCATGAACTTTACAGGCGTATAATCCTAGAACCAGGTTAGACATGCAGATTGAGAGTACGACAAAGTCGAGAAACTCACCATGTTCGCCATGGAGAAGTCGGTCATGTCAAAAATCACGGTCTGAAAGCGTTAGTGGATGCTTGATAAAAATATATACTCGAAGACCACTTACAGCTGTGTCAACCGGTGGCCTCAAAAGCATCCTCGCGGTTTCGATGGTGTATACAGTAAACCTCTCCAAGCTCTGCTCACTTTGCTCGCCTTGTCTGTGGAACCGCACTCTTACTACGCAAATAGGCCGGCCCTCCTTATCAACACCGTGCAAGTAGCTTTTGCCCATTCGCATCTGGTCAAGGAAGTCCTGGCCCTCCTTTCTCAGCTTTGGGTCGTCGCTTTTGCTTTGTTCCAGCATCGCAGCTTCACCTCGGCGGATGATATCGTCGTCAACGTGAATTTCTCCAGCCCGCCAGTGCATTGTTGAGATCATCATAATGAGCGCTTTCTCTATATCCCACTTTCTGGCGCGCAAAAAGCGGAGAAGAAGGCCGTCAGGGTGGTCGTGCTTCACCATGCTCCAAAAGGCTTTGCGTAAGTCATCGGGCTTGGTGCTCGCCAAGGCGGCTCTGAAGTCTTTCGTCTCGCCGTGCTTGTCCTCACCATCCGCAAGACTCAACTGACTCAAGTCCGAAGGAGTCGAGGTCCCTGACACAGAATCGCTATCCGTACCTTTGTCCTTGCCTTTCCTGAACATGTGGAGCCGACTCTTGCGCTTGTCTTTCTTGCCGCCAGTTTCTGGTGGCTCGGTTGTCGAAGCGCGTGGAGTTGTGGCGCCGTTGGGCTCTTCAGCTGTCGGCTCTTCGTACACACCAAAGACCCTCAGCGTCACGGCCCAGAACTCGCGCAGCTTGACCTCTTGCTCGGGTGTGAGGGTCCCGGGCCTTCCGGGAGGCATTTTAGGTGTCATTTCCAATGTTATAAAGGTCGAGGCTGATGTTTTAGATACCTCAGAGGTGTCTCGTGGTTGATTTCTATTCGATGATGCGCTCTTGGTGAGGGGTATAAGCAATGCGCCGCCAATTGTAATGGCAACGAGGATGCCGACTGTCACGAGCCCTGTACTGCTCTGATTCAGGTGTCGAGGCGCGTGCGCGCTCTTGGGCGTATTACGTAGGTTCCTGGGAGTATAGGCGGTAGTTGGGATGCGCGGCGCCGGGCGGTAGGATGTATAGGTGTATACGAATGTAGAGATTCGAGAGACTCGGCGACACATATAGGGGAGTTATGGTAGGGGCATAGGGGCGTAGGGGCGTAGGAGCGTAGGAGTAAGAAGAGAGGATGACGGCTGTTATACCATGGCGTAGAAATTGGGGTAACACTATGGAGCGGCAGGGCTGACGGCTGATGAGGCCGGGAGAGTGCGGAGAGGCTGAGCAAGCGTGCTGTTGTCGCAAAGATACCTATGTAGGTATGGACAGGAACAGAAGCAGAGGACGGACAGGTACAAATCTCCGAGCGGCAGTTCTCCGTCTTTCCTGCAGGGTGGATAAATGCGATCTTGCAGACGTAGTGGGGGATCTTTCGGTGCCCCAGCCCAGCCCGACACACGACAGCCGGCCTCCCGTTAATCGGGCGGCATCGTCATTGGGCATCGCGCCGCCAGGCTGCATAGGGCCACAGGGCTTCGGCTTGTTTGCCGAAACGCGTCCAAAACACCACGCTACCATCTGGTATGCAGCCCCGCTACACTCAATTGCAACATTGCTTCACCGACGCAATTCACCCATCGAACCCGCTTGAACACCAGCAATTGTCTCTTGCCATACGATTGAGTCCCTCGCCCAACCTCACGGCCCGAGATAGCACACAAGCATTAGTGTTATTCAAACGCACAAGCAGAGCGTCAATCCCACCATGACCTCCACAACGCCTCAGTACGAGCCTTCGTCAGGCCGCCGCTCTGGCTCGCGCTCTCGACCCCCCTCCCGTTCCCAGACACCTCTCCGGCCCTCCTCGCGGTCCTCCCTCCGAGAGTCGAGTCAGCGCGCTGCGGGACCATACAATACTGCTACGCCGCTAGACGCCCTCGAGCCCGCATTTGCGGACTTGTCAGATTCAATGGCCGATCTGGAGAACAACTTCATGCATCTCCAGCTGATGCACGAGAGCTTGGCGCGGTTCAGTGAGAGCTTTGCGGGATTCCTCTATGGGATGAACATGAATGCTTTCTGTGTGGACTTTCCGGAGGTAAGATATACTTGTTACAAGCAAACAACCAGGACATCAGTCGATCGACTGGGAACATTTCAAAATCTCAGAGTAAAGAATTAGAGAGCGGATGGATAATTGCACAGAGTATTGTTAGTCGATAGGGTAAAGGCTAATACCTCTCACACAGGCGCCCGTCCCCGAATCTTTCAAGCAAGCACAGAAACAAGCCGCGCTAAACGCCTCCTTCACCATGTCAGGGCCTCCTCCGCGTGAACACGATCCGGAAGCCACCTTCCTGTAAGACCGCCTCCTTAACATCCCTCCCTACCCCTCTCACCAGTCCAATCAATGCCATTGGATCGATCACCAAGATCTAATCAGCCGTTCTGGACGCGTCACCACCATCCCGAGACTGACTTATCATAGCACAAACGATACCTCCTTCGTTGACAACCCACCGTCCTCGAAAACCGTTACCAAGTTCACCACCCCAGCGCCCGCACCACGCGCCTCCCGCCGTGGCGGTGGCATCCCTGTCGTCCGCGGCACACGTGCGAGTGGCCTGGCACGTGCTAGTACGAGAGGCCGACTGCAAGCGCGCAGAGATGCAGCATGAAGAAAGCTTATCGAAGAGACAAATTGGCCCCACTATCAGAATTAAAGCAGTCCCAGTAAGGACACCACGCCCTGCCTGGTATTCTATCTCACGCTAATGCACCTTTTGCAGCAGAGTAAGGAGGCACTCCTTACCTAGAGTAAAGACTGTGTCCTCCATACGATGTTACGATAGAGTTGTCTCTCTGTTCATTTGTAGATACGATGCCGATGAGTGGGCGTGGATGTGACACTAGAATCTGATCCAGAATTGCCAGTACAAATTGACTGGCTTAGAGGCATACCAGAAACGTAGCAACATCACGCCACTTCTTCAATAATCCAAGTGTGGTAAGGGGTCTTGTTTATCAGAGAGCCTTGGAGAGGATGGATAGCACTTCCTCCAATCAAACCAGCGGAGTGAACTCCGTCAGGCGCACATCGGTGGCCAACTCACCTCCCACCCATCTCTCCTTACCATCAAAAGCACAAGTTGATATATATACGAGATAACACATCGTATCACATTCTCCATGATCGCGTTTCATTCAGATATCAAAAGGTTTTCAATCTCTGCTTTTGCTTCTGCCTGGTGCCCACTTCCCTCACTACGCATAACTCCATCGTCAGCTACCCCATTTCCATTACCACGCTCATTATCATCTATCCAACCCCAAAGAATCAAAGATGCAGCCGTCTTCTCTCGAAAACGAAGAGCGTACAGTGCCGTCGCTCGCTGCAAGTGGTATCATGATGCGTGCTGAAAAACGAAAGAAGAGCAAAAAACAGCACTAATGAGTCGTCCCGTCCCGTGCCGTCGTGTGGGTATAAATATTTCCATCATTCTCGCTCATGATTTTTCGGCGATCAGTCTGTCTGCCTACTCCTTCTCTCGCGTCTTTCCATGGAGCCATCGAGGCTCGAGACCGGCGGACATTACTTTTTGTTGCACTGCAATTTACGCGAGCGCGCCAGCGCTGCGTTTGGCAAAGGGAGTCTGGCTCTCCTTACGAACGGCCCATCCCTTCAAGGCGATGAGGACCGTCGTCCACGCCAACAGCAGAGCCGTGAAGCCGATGGTAACGGTAAAGGTGAACATGGCGTCCAGGCCATACGACTCCAGCGCCGCAACTGTGTCCTTATTGCTCACCATGAAGGTTATGCCGCCGGCCACCAGGCAGAAGGCAGTGATGATCTCGGATGGTGGGCGCGAAGGTAGGTACGACGTGGGCGGACAGAGATACATGAGGATGTAGGTAACGGCGCGCGCCAGAGCGAAACCGACGAACATGTTGCCCCACTGCTTGTGGATCATGCTGGACAGCATCGAGGCTTGGTGGTGCGAGCTCATCATGATGCCTAAGAGGAGGATTATAAGGCCGGGCATCGGGTTCATCGAGAAGCGGTATGACTTGGGTGGCTGCCACGACTCGCTGGGGCTCATGGAGTCTTGGGCCGATGCGATGGAATAGTTGAGGAGATCTCTCATCTTGCGCGACTCGACAATCATTCCGAGCAATCCACCACCGAAGAACATGACGGAGATGGAAACATGCTCGAGATCCTGCGCGGTCCAAGCGCCGCCCCAGGCTGCCAAGTGCTCGAGAAAGACATTGGAGCAGCCGTAGAGGAAGATGACGAAGGATTCGACGAATTCGGCGCTAGGTAGAGCCGCGCGCCGACGACCAACCACTTCTTTGGGCGGCTTTATGTTCCACGCCCAACCGAAATCCGCGAATGCGCCCATCCAGCGGCCAAGGGTGAGCAGGCCGTACCAGAAGAAGATACCTCCTTTTACGTAATGCGCAAGGACGTTGAAGACGGCACCGCCTCGCTGAAAGAGTTGTTAGTTGACTGTAGTCCAGAGCCATTGTCGAGAAAACTTACACCAATGCCGCCGTACACCACAGTACCGCTTGTGACGGCAACAAATCCTTGGATCAAGATGGTACGGTCAATCACGACATACAAGAATCGCATTGTCTTCAAAAGTCGGCCGAAGGAGGCGAGTCGAGAAATATTGCGGCCGAGGAATCGATCAACAGAAGTATTCCGCAAGAAGCCGCGCTTCTCCGCGTCATTGTCAAATGGTTCATCATCGTCATGGTGGTAAGGGCTCTGAGGCTCATTATACTGCTGGTTCTCGGACTCGACACTTGGCGACCTAGAGTGGCCACACAGCGAGGACGAGTTGCGCTCGGTGCCATGGCCAGAGTCATTCGACCACCTCGAGAAGTTAGGCTGCGCGTCCTCAACGCGATGATACTGGGCCATTGCAGCGCTGGACACAGGCTGCGCAATATGATCCTCCATGGAGTGCGCTTTGGCCCGACTCGTGTAGGCCTGCACGAGAGCCATGAAGACCCAAGCAGAGGCAATCCACGTTATAATCCACCCAGTCTTGCTGTGCGCATTGTTCGCGTACAGGTTTGGGGTCTTGCGATCATATATGATGCCGAAGAGCATGCCAAAGGCATTGACGATGAGGAAAATGAACTGGGCTGAGAGCGCGAACCGAGACCTAGAGACACTAAACATCACGCCTAGAACCAGGTCAGATTGAAGCCTCGCTGTGGCGCATCATTCTCAGCACTCACCAACAGGCAGCACCACCATCCAGGCCAAACTCATGAGGACGATGTGTGCGTATATGACGCCGACGTGGGCAGCGAAGCTCCAGTAGCTCATAGGCTTGTTGCCGGCCGAAGCCGGAGCCTCATGGTGTGCCATATTCATGTTCTCATCATTGTGGTCGGAGCCGTGAGCGACTGCTAGAGGGAGGGCCTCTAGTAGGAGCGCTGCGGCGGCTAGGGTGAGGACGCGACCTCTCTGCATGTATCCTGGTCGACGGAAGCTGCGGTGAGACTGAGAGACAGCCAGGTGGGATGATTGGTGGGTGGGGAGGGGCAGGGAGCTCGCGATTATGCGGAAAGGCGAGAAGCTGTGAGGGCGAGTGATATAGGAATGGCTGAGGCCTTAGGTTGGAGCAGAAGGATGCTGAACGTTGGGTCACAAAGAGCTCGGAGTTAGAGGGTCGGTCGGCGGGTATGGATGAGGATTATTAAAGAACTGGAAGGCTGCAGCTGCACGGCAGAGTCGGCCAAGTCGGGTGGATTGGTGGGTACTCCAGCCGGCGTCCGAGGATTTGAGGCTTACCAAAAGCATCGGCGACGCTCGCCAGAGCAACGGCGCTGCGGCATTAGCAGCGAAGCTCGCTGCGAAGGAGGCATCGGTCGGCCGACCAGCACTTTCTGATGTGGCTGCAGCTGCTTTCCCATGCATGACGTGGGGCGACACCTGGTCGGCTCGGCAGGCCTTGTCGCTAGTTGCAGGCGCCTTTCTCCCAGGATCCAACCGAGACGGCCTCCAGAAAATGCTCGAAGGAGCCTTTATCGCAGTAAGCCGTGCCTTCTCTCGCGCATCTCCAGACACAGCACAAGTAATGTCAAAGATGGACAAGTATTTGGTAGCTATCCTTGAATCCGTCCTGAGCAATTCCCGTCACAATGAACTCGCCGTGGTCTACCGAACAGCAGCCGGCGTCAACCATGAGAACGGACAAGGGTTCCGAACTACCCGGCGCCAAGTCACGCCGCGGCACGCCCGTACAATATCACACACGACGACGTCTAGCAAGCAGTGCCAAACGCAATACATGGACCGCACTCCACACGACACAGTGACGACACAGGTATGTATCAGTGTTGTTTGAGGCGAAGCTGTCTTGCTGGCATTGCTATGTAGATGGCGTGAGACTCGGCAGAGGCAGCGGGGGCGGGCTTTGGTCGTCCAGCAGCTTCATCAGTCCCGCCAACACCCGCCACGCCTCAGCATCGCCGACAGCGCTGCGATCGACGCCATCAGCCCACCAACAAGCTTTGCACCCGCTTGGCGACCTTGCCCGTCGGGGCTTGACCGCGGAGTTCACCCGCACCATCCACAGCGCCAGGATCACCCCGCTCCACCGACCCCGGCCAGCCATCATGTCTCCGGCCTCGTCGCGCTGCCGTCGCATCCGACTCTGATGTCTGCTGGGCTCGCCTCTCCCCAGATTTCAACCTGCGAACTACCTCATCGCGATCTTATTATCGCGGCTATTTCTCGGCGCGCGGATGAGCGGCCTCCGATATCTTTTTTTTCTCCAGACTCACTTCGCACTCCGTCATCGATCGTCACGACCGTCAGTATAAGCGCTGCTGACAGCGTGCTCACATGCAGTTTTGAGCAGCGATGGCTTGGCAAAGAGTCAGGATTGAGTCATCTGTCACCTGGGCAGCCTCAACCAATTGATTAATCGATGCATGCAGCTCTTCTCGCTCGTGCCACAGTGCAAGGTGGGGATGGTGCCAGCCAGCCCTCTTCGGAGTCCCAGCCCCACACACCACACCACTATTCAGACGCCCAGGAAATCACTTGCTCAGCATTCACTTTATCCAGCACTCCGGACCATCGTGTCTCACGAACCCATTTCCCGCTTCAAGCTGTACTGCCTGAATGAACAACCGATACACATGCTTCTATCTCAGTTAACTTAATTCCAGCCTCCATCTTGCCCCGAGTTTTCTGTAACTACATATCAGATACCTAATACTTTCGAATGTCTCGCGCTAGCAATCCTTCCTACAAGCATCCCCAACCGCAAGCACGCCTTTGATCCACTCTCACGCGTTCATCCCTGTCCGATTAACGAACCCAAGCGAATAGCTCAACGGCCTTACGAGCGGTAAAGGAAGCCTGCCGACCAATTGGATTGCCCTTCACCGAAGTAACCGAAGTGGCCGACTTATCCTTTAGCTTCACTATTTTCACCTCGTGTTGATAATTAATATGTATTCACCGCAACATTGCAATGTTCCTTCTCTCGTATGACAATATAGGCAAGGCACCAGAAATAGTGGATTTTTGGGTGTTGCGTTGGGGACACTGTGAAACAAAGTCAATACATACAACGTACGACCTTGCTTAAGCTTCAAGCATCCTTTCGCGACAGCTGCGTGACGCACGCCATCGGTGTTCATCCCGCGGAGCTTGTTCCTTAATGTGTATCACGTCTTTGTGGTTCGTTGAAAGAGGATGTTGGGATGTTGGGACTAGGTTTCGCGGTGCCGACAGCCGTGAACCGTCTGGGGCCAGGACCGGGAGCGGGAAGCATACCTATTGTACAGTAACTGCCTCGTTTGATTACGGCCGTGGTTGCGGTGGCTTGGGAGATCTTTCGATCGCGAGACCTTTTGCGCATTGTCGTCTGAGACGTGGGGAAATGCTCCGTTGGTTATTACTCAGTGAGGGGTTGGTTGAACGCGCGCAATATCTACAGTATCATCGCACCTATACCTAGAATGTCGACGTCACGTGCTTCATCCCATCCATCTGAAGGATAATCCTCAAACTCTCCACATCGCAGCAAAAGCTCTCCGTCACTAAGCTTGCTTCAAGCGCCTCAGACAGCTCAACCCCCCACATTTATACGCTGCTCAAAACCATCCCCAAAACCACCATGCTAGGCATGCAAGCAGCGCAATGCGCCACAGCCGATAGCTAAAAGCCACAGCCACAGCCGCAGCTGACACTCCCACCACCCCCTCTCCATCCCATCCCACCTCCCTCCACGATGCCCTAAATCCCCAATTCCCTCCCTCCTCCGCGCGCGCAAATCCAAAAGCAAATGGCTTCCCTAGCTTCCCCAGACCCAGCATCGCAGGACACGACCCGCGCCCCGTCGCCCGACCCCTCGGTCATCGCGCGCGACTTCGCCTCGCGCGCGCCGCCGACGACGTTCTTGCCGCGCAACATGCCCGATATCGCCGTCCGCTATCTGTACCTGGACTACGCGCCTGCGTCGAGCCATTACCTGCGCAACCTCATCGCGCGGCGGACGGGCGAGAGCGGGAAGGAGAAGGAGAAGGAGCGGGCGTTCAAGCACGTGAGATTGTTGGTGCTGGACCGGCCGGTGGGGGAGGAGGGGGCGAGGGGGTATGCGGTTGCGCTGGTGAAGAGCGTGGGTGGTGGAGATGGAGAAGGGGGACATGGGGAGGCGCGGTTGGAGGAGGGGTTTGCGCTGTTTACGGCGGAGGCGAAGGATCCGGTGAGGAGGAAGGAGATGTTGCTCAGGGGGGTCATGGTGACGGGGGCGGGGTTTGGGAATTGGCAGGAGGAGGTGGGGAGGTGTGGGGGCGGTGGGGAGGGGGTTGCGAGGGAAGGTTTGTGGGAATTTTTTTAGTTTTTTTTTTTCTCTGCTTGTCGCGTTATCACGTTGATACGCCATGTCTATTCCTGGAGTTCTATGTGGGTTAGTTTGGTTTAGGGGAGCTTTTTGCTAACTTGAGATGGCAGCGAGGGTCGTGTACAAGCATTACGTGCAGAATAAGTATCAGTTCACGCCGGCGAATTGCAAGCTTTTTTGTAATAGCGTTGCGGCTTGTTTAAGGGTTGAGAAGAAGATATGAGTATGGTCCATTTATTTCGTTTCATCTCAATCACCCGCGTAAAGGCAAGCAGGTCGAGCATTTTTTGGAAAACATGTTTACTCTCCTAAATGAGCGGCGACCTCGATCTCAATCCGCATGTCTTTCAGCGCTAGGCTCTCTACGCCGACGACTGTTAAAATCGGCTGATGGTCCGGACAGTACTTCCGCAGGTTTCGCACGATGTGGCCGCTTTCCAGCGTGTCCATCTTCACTACGTAGCAGCGCACTTTGTACACTTGCGACCAGCCTTTGCCGCCTGCTTTTTGCAGCGTGTGCTCGACGTTGGCGAAGGCTTGGTCGATTTGAGGGCCTTCTAAGGCGGGGATGGCTTCGGAGATGCGGTCCCATCCGCCTGGAGGGCGAGGCGTAAGTTTTAAGAAGCTGTAGAAGAGGGCATTGGAAAGGAGTAGTATTAGGGTAGGTGTGATTGCGAGGCATTGATGGATGGAAGAGTGGTTTCATTTCAACGTACCTTGCCCGGATATCTCAATGATACTGCCGTATCGGACCGCCTGGCTATAGTGGACCTCCTTCCTAGCTCTATCGCCGTACCCCTCATAGTCAGAGTACTGGAGGTGAGACATAGTAAGATATGAATTCGGAAATTGGTTGGAACTTTGTCCTGGGAAGCGCTGGGACGGATTAAATTGATACGATTGATGGAAGGTGTTGCTTTGGATAGTGGTACGCATAAAGAGGAGAAGGCCACCTACTTATATACTTCTCGGTGTCATCGACTATCGAGTATAGCTTAGAGTTAACTTTGGGGGTGAAGGGAATTAGTCAGACACGAGATGGTCAAGATCCAAAGCTGAACACCGAGCAGATGATGATGTTGCCTGGCGGTTAGAGAGTAGGTAAGCACTTCCAGAAGCGTATCGAATTGTTACTACTCCGCTTCCAATGAAGGTATCCGGAGACTTCGATAAAGTTTAAGGCGCCCAGTGAAAACAACTTCTCTTCAGCCTCAAGATCTAGCGTGGAGATAGCGCTACGATCGCCATTTGAAACGGTAAGGTTGTGGCTGAAGTTTCCGCCATAATATGCGTCTAGTCCTAGTGCCTACCTGAACCTATCTAGTTACCTTTTTTAAGGTTCTTAAGTCCGACTAGGATTGTCTTGATGTATCGGCAGCCTTAGAAACAGTCGTTGACTACATATTGATGATTTCTCAGCAAGCTCAAGGGAGTAGAACCACAAGCCATGAGAGTTTCAATGCCTGAAGTCAAACTGGGACACGCTGTTACTGTCTTGCATTCTTCTTTGTCCTCGTTTCCTAACTCGTTAAGGCTCTTGTCATTTCCAGAGGCTTTTAGAAGGTGTGTAGACGCTCTGATTCAGTTCAGAGTGCAGAGGCCCGGCGGGTGGTTCTCTTGAGTTCTCCTCAGATGTCAATTTCTCTTTATCATTTTCATTTAGTTGTTACGACCAGACTTTCCTTGGCCAAAAAATGGCATTCACGAATTTGTGATTTTCCTCTCCAACTCTAGGCTTGTGTACACTCGCCCAGCACTGCTTGAAGTCCCCTGGTGCGTTATCAAATGCTGAGAAACTCCAGCCTCAACAAGTCTTCTATCGCTCCGGGCCACCTCAGACGATGTTAGACAGCTCTGGAACCTGACGCCCGCCTGTTTGGGCTAGCGTTCCTATTGCGGATAGACTGGTGTCGCGCCTGCACTATTTACCTCCTTCTACCTCTGACGACAGCTCAACTCTTCCTCCTCCACCACCAATCTCTTCAAAACTCTTCACTAGCCTGAGTTGGTCAAGATCGTTCACTAATACTGCAGAGCTCACTAACTCACTGCCTCTCTGCAAGATCTCAATATGACGCCCCTTCTGCTCGCCTCCACCTTGGAGGACATCACCAAGACCAAGCTGCGCAAGCTCAAGCAGAGCCAAGTGCAGTTCGCAGCTCACCGCAAGAACATCGTTGATGACGTCAACAAAGAATCTACTCAAGCTGACAAGCTGCGAAAGCTTATCGACGGACTAGGCAAGAAGCTTGGAATTCACAAGGAACGTCGCTTGATCAACGTCCAAGCATACCTCCAACAGTCCTCGTTTGACTCATCCGTCTCTGAATCCGAGCTCAAGGCCTTGCGGACTCAGGTCGAAGGCATTCTGGATACTGAAGGCTCTAAGTATGAGTTCGCTGGTCTCTTTGGTCAGCTCGTGTCAGACTGGAATGATTACCACAACCTCCCAGCTGCTGGAGCCGCCTATTCCCCGACAATCAAGCAAGAAGACAGTCTGTTGATCATCTCAAACGATGAGTCTTTCGTGGATGGTGCTGTGGTGGAAGAGATGAGCCGGCAGAGAAAGGAATGGGAGGCGTTAGCTTTTTCTTATGGCAACGTATCCAGCAGTGACGTGAAAGGCTATCTCAAGGAGCTTTTCGAGGATCCGGAATTTCCCACAGCGCGTGGAAAGGCACTCAAGATTCTTCAGAAGCAACTTCAGAACTTCAAGATCAAGGAGACCCTAGACAAGCAGTCGCTCCGATGGTGCATTGACAGCCTTCTCAAGAACGACCTCTTCTCAGGCGAGAAGCGGCAGTCACTAGTTGAGTTGAAGAAGCGGTCAGACGTGCTAGAGTAAGGCTTTCTATTTCTATCAATAGCTCCGCTGAACATGCTAATTTTATTAAATAGCGAGTTGGCTGATTCACTCAACATGGATTTGGAGTCGATCACCACCTGGAACTGGAAATCCTCGCCAGTCTTTATCGATCTACGCAAGAATCTGAATGGCAAGTTTCGGGCTTACATGGACGAGGATACCCATGAAGCAATCCTGCTGCAGTTCGTTGGTCTTAGCTGGGCCACGTACTTGAAGAAATGCTTGAATGAGTTCAAGGCCAGCGCATGGACTCAGCCCCCTCGGAAGCATGAGGGTGAGCCTGATGATCCTAAAGCCTTTCGTCATGTTTGGCTTACTAGGAACACCACGGAGAATCTCCGAAGCACTCGACTTAGGGAGTACCAGGCGAGTTACTTCATGACACAGCTGCCGAAATCAATGAAGGAAGGCGCTCGAGAGTACAAGGACGAGCCAGACGAGGCTGTACAGACCAGCAATAGAGCTACTCGCAACCAGGCCGCCATTGGCGGAGTGCTCGGCGCGGGACAAGATGATGATACAAACACCTCCTTTGCTGTCAAGCAGTCGCTTCTCCGTACCGCCACGACGGAGATGCTCATCTCTACGCAGATGCAGCGGCCGTTTACGATCTTGCAGTCCGATTTCAAGTCATTCGGACCGTCCCTTCCTCATACGACAATTTTCACAGTGCTTGAGTACCTCGGAGTCTCCCCCGACTGGCTCAACTTCTTCAAGGTGTTTCTTAGCTGTCCCCTTGCATTGACTGCCGCACCACTGTCAGGGGAGCCTCGCGTGCGCCAGCGTGGCGTACCAGACAGTCACCAGCTCAGCGATATGATGGGCGAGGCGATTCTATTCTGCCTCGACTATGCAGTGAACAAGCAGACGCAGGGTGCCAATCTCTACCGACTTCACGACGATCTATGGGTCTGGGGAGAAGAAGGTGTCTGCTTGGCTGCCTGGAAAGAGATCCAAAAATTCTCCAAGTTCATGGGCATGGAATTGAACATGGACAAGACCGGCTCTGAAGTTGTAGCTCTTGGACCCTCGAACACCCCGTCGCCATTGTCTATAACCGATTCTATCCTTCCCAAAGGACGTGTTCGCTTCGGACTCCTTTACCTCGATCCAGCGAACGGCCAGTGGGTCATTGATGAGGGAAAGGTCAATGGCTACATCGAGGAAGTCAGGAAGCATCTCGGTGCTTGTCGGAGTATCCTTGCCTGGATCCAGGCATGGAACAGCTTCAGCCGGTTCCTGGGTAGCAACTTCGCGCATCCAGCGCACTGCTTCGGGCTCGACCATGTCAACATGATGCTCAAGGCTTACCGTCGTATCATCGACGGAATCCTTTCTGATCGCCCGAGCGCGAAGGGCAACATCGTGGAGTACCTGCGGGAGCGAGTCAAGGAGGATTACAACATCGAGGACGTTCCAGCAGGCTTCATCTACCTCCCCGTCGAACTTGGCTGCCTCGAGGTCCACAATCCATTCGTCGACCTCCTGCTCGTTCGTCGCAACTGCCTGAAGAATCCTGGAGACAAGATCAAAGCTGCGGAGGAGCAAGAGAAGAAAGATTACGAGGACGACAAGAAGCTGTTCATGGAGGCCCGCCAACGCTACAACAAGTCCGTCAAGCCATTCATCCCCTTCAGCGAGTATATCAAGAACCGTGAGGAGACAAGCAAGGCCCTCTACCAGGCCTATCAATTCCTGAAGACGGCACCGGAGCAAGGCGATGTCCCCGGCTCCGTCAAGACCAAGACTGCGCTGAAGGAGCTTCCGCTTGAGGGTTGGAGCAAGGGATTCGGCAACGATTGGACGAAGCTGTCGCCGTACTGGAAGTGGATGGCGCAGCAGCATTGCGATGAGATGCTGGATAGGTTCGGTGGACTGCCTGTGAGCGATCGGAAGGTGCTTGTAGTCGGCTTGCTGAAGACTCTGCGGAGTGAAAAGGTTAGATGGCAGATCTGAGGCGGGCGTTGCAGGTGCTCGGGTTACAGGTACTGGGGATTACAGGTACTTGAGACGAGATGGTGAGTCTCTGGCGACTGATGCTTAGATACTGCCACTAGTGAGCACAAGTGAGAGGGCTTCTTAGCCTTCTTACAAAATTCACACAATAGTCTTATTTGCAGTGTTTCAATCTTTGCATGTGCCATGCCGCGAGGTGTCTTCAAGCTAAGCATACGTTGACAGTACACTATTCTGCCAGCGTATGAGGTACTTCGAAGTGGTTTCAGGTTCCTTGAAACGATCGATTTCCGGTTTCCGAGACCTCCTCGAGGCACCTCAGACGCCGTCAAACGGGTGTACGCACGAAGCAGACTCCTTGAATTGATGTGGCTGAACTTTGCTATCCTCATTTGCAGTGGGGCGACCTTTACTTGAAGTCCATGACAACTTTCGGCTTGAACTGCGTGGAAGTGGCTTCTCGTATCTGCGGTGCTGAGAGTTTGACATCCGTGATCTTATCTCATTGCTACCTCTAGGGGCGTCTTGAAAGGCTATGTACAATGCCTAGTCATAGAAATCCGTACACTCGTTTGCCGCTGCTTGAAGAGTTTCATAATATTTTCCACATTCCGAATAAGAAGTTCGGCATTTTGGACAACTAATAAACTCCTGAGGCTACCCCAGACAGCGTCAATAGGATGTACGCAGATTGGAAGTGTATCCGCTCCTATTAGTACGTTGAAGCACCATAGACAGTGACAGGCAGGTGTACGAATTTCTATGGCGAGGCATTGTACTGTACGTTGCCAAAAGAGGTGTACGGATTGAGTTGGTGAGATTTTGCTATCCCGAAAGACAGTGTTTGCGAGCTGCACATTCCTCACAGCTTCCAATTCAAAGGGTTGTGGAAATGGCATACCTTACTTACGCTGCTCAGAGCTTTACACCCATGAAATCTTCCTGTCAGTAAGCCCTGGGGTGTCTTCAAGTTATACATACAATGTCAAAATGCGCGTTAGACCATAACCGATCTCAAGTATAAAAAAATGTAACACGTAGTCCGCAGTGCTACGAAAATTACATCCGTCACAGCTTCTAACTCAAAGAGGGTGGAAAACGATATATCTCATCTGCGGCCTCTCATAACTGGAGTGGAGATTTCAATGCTACTTCCCGATCACGACCTCTTTCCTCCTACAACTGCGCAAACTTAACATGATGCATCGTAATCTTATCAGACCCCTCCCTGAAAATCGGAATCGGCTTCTTAAACGCCTCTGTCTTGCGGAACTCGAACTCCATGTGCGCGTTAATGCTCTCCCACCCAATCGTGCCCACGAACAGCTCCCTGTTTCCTCCACGGCTTTGTTCGACCTATCTCTAGCTATGCTAAGGACTGTTCTGAGATTCTTTCCTTCCTCTTAACATGGTTGCCCGATGCATAGCGATCGTGGGTATATTTCTTTGTCGAGTAGAGCCTGGCAGCGCCTGTTGAATAGAGCCCGACAGAGCCTGGCAAGTTCTGGCGAGTTGAGACAACTAGGTCCTAGTGTTTTGCTAAATCCCTCATTTGCGTTGCTGCTGAGCCGTAGCTGATAAGTAGAATTTTGAGCCGAGCAATCCATTTTCGAAAGGAATATTTCTGGAACATGGCGAGGAATGTCGAAAGCCATGAGAATCCGTGAGCCATTATGGCGGCATGCGTATACGCAGTTCCGACGGCTTCAATATCGACAATGATGTGTAGTTGGGGAAGGTTGGCGATAACGCGGGCTAGAAGGTCGAACCACTGTTCTGGGGTCTCTGCCGCTCTGAACTGCGCACAGTTGAAAGCAAGATGGTGCTCAGTATGCAAAGAGACGTTTAGCGGGATCGCTTGGCACACGAGGCCTTTCACAATATCAACCACTGGGGCAGCACTTGGCCCGGTTGGAGACAATCCCTTGATGGCCCATATGACAGGGATTTGCTGGCCCCGTAACACATTGATGACATTTATCATAAAGTTTTGCACTCGAAGGCGATGTGTGTAGTCACTCTTCACCATTATGAGTGCTGGAGAAGAAGACGATTCCCAAGTCGAGAATTTGGGACTGAGCCAGAATGCTGGACCGGATTCAGCATTCCTGGGGCGCTCTCTATGTCTTCTGCCGATGGAAAGACGGTATCCGAGTGCTTTGATCGGGTCTAACTTATTCGCTCCCGAGAGAAAGTCCATGATTTGGTTCAGTTGGAGGTCGGTCAGTCGTACGTTCGTATCCAAGTTTGCGCTAGTTTGAATGCACTGATAGGCTGGAGCAGAACGTCAGATGACAAGAAGACTTTCAAAAGAGGGGATATACAAATGAGCAATCCTCGCATTTCTAGAAGGAGGGTTTCTGAGTCTCTCAATCTCTTTCCTAGGTCTCGAATCTCCAAGTGCATATCACGCTGCTCAGCTTGAGCCCCTGCAGTAGCCAAGCTTTCAACCTCTTTAGTACACTCTACAATATCCGCAATGAGATCGTTGTAACGAATTTCTGCGGGTCTTGCGAACGCTTCCCATGCATGGCGGGGTTCACTTTGCTGATACCACTCTTCCGCCCTTATGAAATATCGAATGACATGGCTGTATAAAAGAAAGACGGCCTGCTGCATCTGAGCTGTTGGATAGAGGATGTTTGCAAGTTCGATACGCGGCAGGGCATCTGCGATCTGAGTTAAGCCTTTGGAGAGGGTTTTCACCAACTTTCCATGGTTCTCAACCAGCTACCATGATGCCTAGTCAGCATGCATCTTTCTAAGTCGTTTTAACCCGGATCACATACAATAAAGAGCAGCTTCATTGCCCCCCAAGCCAGACTGACGCACTCGGGGTGATGCTGTACCGAAACATCCAAGATCTGGCCATACTGACAGACTCGAGAGGTGAACTTCCACAACCATTTACGGACTTTGCCGTCCTGATGTTGATGTTCATATTTCAGACGTGCATTCCCTATGGAGAGCTCCGGGTCTTTGAGAGAACTGGCTTGCTGAAGCCTGTTGTGTTTTTTTGTGCCGCAAGAATTGGCGTTGAAAATTACAACTGCGTCTTTAAAAGCTTTCTCTGCCGGTGCGATGAGATGTCCGCCGTTTGAGCTTAGATACCCCTGGCTTTGGGATTACATCCTTGAAGCACAACAGTAACAGAGCACTAGCGGGGCATCTCTCTATGTGAATGCAAAGAGTGGGTATCACAGCCTCGTCAAATGATTCCCTCCTCGCTGCCTGGCTGCAGACCCCTGATGTGGTGGGAGGCTGTGCCATCCACCGCCGCGGTTCAGCCTCACACAGAGGTTGCCGCCCATATAAGGGGGCTGCCGCTCGGACTGTCCATCTCATCCGAACTGAACGAAATGCCTCGAATTTTGACGGTAGTGTCTGATGAAAGCGAGTCACTGGAGAGATTCGTAGGTAGGGAACGCGAAGCAGTGCAGTTGAAGAGCCGGAGGCCAAGGACTCAGGTTGCCACTACTAGCGTGTCAGTGGCGTTACATCCTTCCATATCCGTAACAAGGGGGAACAGGGGAGTAGGGGCCCCCCCCCCCCCCCCTTTCATAGGCTATATATACGGGCCTTATGCCTCTTCAAATCAACACAGAACTGCTTCTTCACAACCTGAGACAAGGGCTGATACGACCGGGGAGCTGGAAGCAGATCGGGGTGTGCACGCCCTCGACGCACTCAGTGGCCATGCCGCTATTTTCAGAGACGAGACAGCCGGAAGCAACTTGGACCGAGAACATTTGAATATGATTGATAATCGAGCATCTCGCCATTACCATACCACGGTAAGTTAGTTTGAAGAGCCTCAACTTTTACTGCCTACTGACGTCGACTAACAAACCTCCTTGTAGTTACCGCGAAGAGAGGGAGATACGGTGCCAACCAGTTCTTCTTTCCAGTACGACCGCGCGCATGAGCATATCATCGAGACTCGGACTGGCGATGTGACACCACCACCGCCTAGACCTAAACGAACGTATCGAATGTCCCGACATAGGCGGGTCAAGAAAGGGTCGTTAAGGACGGGGGTGTCTGAGTCCCCTTTCGACCAGCCAAACTCGACAAATTACTCGAGAATATCAGAACCGCTTTAGCGGGAATCTCGACGATCACGCGCAAGCCGAATCGATTAGCTCAGATGAGCTTAGTAACGAGAGTGAAGCATCTTTAACGTAGTCGGCAAGCTAGTGGGCCATGCAAGCTAGTGGGCCACCCAATTTTTGGTGCGATTTAGACCTTTTAGCACCCCAGCAATCTCAACAACTACGAGATATAAAGTATAGCTTTAAGATTGCATATACTATCTAGCTCATTTTAATAGCTAAGAGAATGTTTGGAGCAGTATAGCAGCGTAATCCTATTATATTGTAGGTATTACTTGATTTTAGGGGCCAAAACTAGGCAATATTTTACTGCGGCTAAACAGGGCTATTAAGAGATCTAAAAAATTAACAGATGATATTAAAATAACCACGGATATCATTATCCTAAGTCATAACCTGGAATATTCTGTGATTGTTAAGATTGCTAGGGTGCTAAAAGGTCTAAATCGCACCAATAATTGGGTGGCCCACTAGCTTGCATGGCCCACTAGCTTGCCGACTACGTTAGCTACTGAATTGCGAGAAGTATGGGGAGGCAAAGCTACCCAACGACTACCTAGCCAACCGAGTGCTAGAATTAGGCGAAGACATGGATCTGTCGATCCCGAATCGTTATTAGTAGTGCATAAACCACGGAAATCTGCCGCGATAAAGGAGATGCTAGAGGAGCTGGAAGCGCTTAAAATGGAAAATGAACGCCTAAGAGAAGGAAAGGGCCTGCCTTCTTTACCTAAGACACAGCCTGCAGTTCTTGTATATATATATCGCATATTTTATTAAGTTAACGAAGCTATATATCTTAACGAGCCGCACTAGGAACCCGGCGAAGGAAGCCCTATATTACGTGCGAATAACCCAGTTCGAAATACTTAGTATTACCTGGACCAGCATTCCGAAATAGCTTTTGCCATCTATAAGAAATATAGGTATTTTCCACCGGCTGACTTTACTAAGATTAAGATAAACAATAGTGTTTACTAAGCCCCTGTACCCTCTTACAAATTCCTTTCTTATATAGCTCCAGCAATGCTAGACGCGATAGAAGATTTTATCGAGCGAGCACCTAACTTTAGAGATTACTTCCCCTATTTTGAACCTAGTGGGCAGATCCTGGCGCCTTATTTCTTTATATACTACAGCTTGCCCTTTCTTACTAATATCTTAACAAAGCTTAATTCTATAAATTAGAATCTTATAAGCCAACTCTAAAAGATAATAGAGAGCAGCTATAGGTATAAATATAAGTTAGCTAAGCGTTAAGCCAAGAAAGGCTTAGTAGCTTAACATCCTCTTAAATACTTAATTCGCCCAGGAGATGTATTAATCGGTTCTACGGCGGGTATTCCACAGGTATATATAGCCTTAATCTGGCTTAAGTAGCCGGGAAAAGAAATTAAAGAAGAGGATTGCGACAACTACAACTATATATATAAAAGGTTTCTAAAAAGGGTCCCTTATATAAAAGCCGCCGGTAACCGAAAGGAAATATAGTATAAATAGAACGTCTAAGCGTAGTATTAGCAGTTCGATAGTATATTTAAATAACGCCAGATACTCCCGGAAATAGTTGTAAGTGTCGGCTACGAAAAAGCTGTTCTAATTAGGTTGCTTAATATTGTTCCTCTTAAATACGCAGAGCCCGAGATAAGAACCTTGCTTAAAAAGTAAGGAAGAATATTCTAGTCTTTTTAGTTTAAGAGATTTATATTTTATCTATAATTAGAGGATAAAGAACTAAATAATATAAGATTTATACTTAGTAAGCCTATACTAGTATATATAGATCTCTACTAATAGAACTATAGATTAATAACAGATTTATAATTAATATTAAAATATATAAGCGTTTTTATTCTAAATTAAGTATTATAAAATTAATGCTTTATAATAATATTAGAGTTATAAATAGTTTAAGTAACGTGCTACTAAAAGGTAACTCGCTACTACTATTTACGCCAACTATAGTTAGCTATAATTTTTTGAAAAAGATATAGGGTATATTGTTTCTTCTTAGCTATATTTCTAACTTATAGCTTATTAAAATATAGTCGACCTGTTTATTAATTATATTACTAATATTATCTGCAATAAACAGGCCTTTAAGGATTTTATTATAGATAGTAGAACTAAAAAGCTTATCTAAGCTTTAGTTATAAAACAGCTTATCTCTAAAAAATCGACCGACTTTATTACTAGAAAAGGCAACAGCTTAATTATGCTCCTCTATAGAGCGCCGGGAATAGGCAAAACATTTATAGCAGAGGGTGTAAGGTGCATTCCTAGGTGGCGAGAACCCCCCTGTGCCGAGAAAAATATATTATTTAGGTATTTTAAGTCTTTCCTTATAAGCCTATAAAGTTATAGCTAATATATTAATATTCTTTAAGCATTTATCCTTAGGAAACCAGTCTGCAATTAGAAAAATACAACAATTTTAGTTATATTATCGATTGTTCCGTTCACGGCATCTAGAACTATATTAGCGTTGCACCTCTACTCCACTACAACTATTTATATAGTTTTAGATTTCGGAGGCTTAGGACAATAATTTTATTAAGAAAGAAAATTATCTCCGAGCTTTAAAGACCCTTTATACTAAAAGTATATATAATAAAGTTTTTCCGTGCAAAAGATTACTTAGTATTTTAGCGTAGTTAACGTAGTCGGCAAGCTAGTAGGCTATATAAGCTAGTAGGCCACCTAATTTTTAGTGCGATTTAGACCTTTTAGCACCCTAGTAATCTTAACAACTATAAAATATAAAGTATAGCTTTAAGATTGTATATACTATCTAGCTTATTTTAATAGCTAAGAGAATATTTAAAGCAGTATAGCAGCGTAATCCTATTATATTATAGGTATTACTTAATTTTAGGGGCTAAAACTAGGCAATATTTTACTGCGGCTAAACAGGGCTATTAAAAGATCTAAAAAATTAACAGATAATATTAAAATAACCACGGATATTATTATCCTAAGTTATAACCTGGAATATTCTGTAATTATTAAGATTGCTAGGGTGCTAAAAGGTCTAAATCGCACTAATAATTAGGTGGCCTACTAGCTTACATAGCCTACTAGCTTGCCGACTATGTTAGCTACTAAATTGCGAGAAGTATAGGAAGGCAAAGCTACCTAACAACTACCTAGCTAACTAAGTACTAGAATTAGGCGAAGATATAGATCTGTCGATCCCGAATCGTTATTAGTAGTATATAAACCACGGAAATCTGCCGCGATAAAAAAGATGCTAGAGGAGCTGGAAGCGCTTAAAATGGAAAATAAACGCCTAAGAAAAGGAAAAAGCCTGCCTTCTTTACCTAAAATATAGCCTGCAGTTCTTATATATATATATTGCATATTTTATTAAGTTAACAAAGCTATATATCTTAATAAGCCGCACTAGGAACCCGGCAAAGGAAGCCCTATATTATATGCGAATAACCTAGTTTAAAATACTTAGTATTACCTAGACTAGCATCCTAAAATAGCTTTTGCTATCTATAAGAAATATAGGTATTTTCCACTAGCTAACCTTACTAAGATTAAGATAAATAATAGTGTTTACTAAGCCCCTATACTTTTTTATAAATTCCTTTTTTATATAGCTTTAGTAATACTAAACGCGATAGAAGATTTTATTAAGTAAGCACCTAACTTTAGAAATTACTTCCTCTATTTTAAACCTAGTAGGCAGATCCCGGCGCCTTATCTCTTTATATACTATAGCTCGCCCTTTTTTACTAATATCTTAATAAAGCTTAATTCTATAAGTTAGAATTTTATAAGCTAACTCTAAAAAATAATAGAGAGCAGCTATAGGTATAAATATAAGTTAGCTAAGCGTTAAGCTAAGAAAGGCTTAGTAGCTTAATATCCTTTTAAATACTTAATTCGCCTAGGAGATATATTAATCGGTTCTACAGCGGGTATTCTATAGGTATATATAGCCTTAATCTGGCTTAAGTAGCCGGGAAAAGAAATTGAAGAAGAGGATTGCGATAACTATAACTATACGCATAAAAGGTTTCTAAAAAGGGTTCCTTATATAAAAGCCGCCGGTAACCGAAAGGAAATATAGTATAAATAGAATATCTAAGCGTAGTATTAGCAGTTTAATAGTATATTTAAATAACGCCAGATACTCCCGGAAATAGTTGTAAGTATTAGCTATAAAAAAGCTATTCTAATTAGGTTGCTTAATATTGTTCCTTTTAAATACGCAGAGCCCGAGATAAGAACCTTACTTAAAAAGTAAGGAAGAATATTCTAGTCTTTTCGGTTTAAGAGATTTATATCTTATCTATAATTAGAGGATAAAAAACTAAATAATATAAAATTTATACTTAGTAAGCCTATACTAGTATATATAGATCTCTACTAATAGAACTATAGATTAATAATAGATTTATAATTAATATTGAAATATATAAGCGTTTTTATCCTAAATTAAGTATTATAAAATTAATACTTTATAATAATATTAGAGTTATAGATAGTTTAAGTAATATACTACTAAAAGGTAACTTGCTACTACTGTTTACGCTAACTATAGTTAGCTATAATTTTCTAAAAAAGATATAGGGTATATTATTTCCTCTTAGCTATATTTCTAACTTATAGCTTATTAGAATATAGTTAACCTATCTATTAATTGTATTACTAATATTATTTGTAATAAACAGGCTTTTAAAAATCTTATTATAGATAGTAGAACTAAAGAGCTTATCTAAGCTTTAGTTATAAAACAGCTTATCTCTAAGAAATCGACCGACTTTATTACTAGAAAGGGTAATAGCTTAATTATACTTCTCTATAGAGCGCCGGGAATAGGTAAAACATTTATAGCAGAGGGTGTAAAGTATATCCCTAGGTGGCGAGAACCCCTCTATGCCGAGAAAAATATATTATTTAGGTATTTTAAGTTTTTCCTTATAAGCCTATAAAGTTATAGCTAATATATTAATATTCTTTAAGTATTTATCCTTAGGAGACCAGTCTGCAATTAGAAAAATATAACAATCTTAGTTATATTATTAATTGTTCCGTTCACGGCATCTAGAACTATATTAGCGTTGCACCCCTGCTCTACTACAACTATTTATATAGTTTTAGATTTCGGAGGCTTAGGATAATAATTTTATTAAGAAAGAAAATTATCTCCGAGCTTTAAAGACCCTCTGCACTAAAAGTATATATAATAAAGTTTCTCCGTGCAAAGGATTACTTAGTATCTTAGCGTAGTTAATATAGTCGGTAAGCTAGTAGGCTATATAAGCTAGTAGGCCACCTAATTATTAGTGCGATTTAGACCTTTTAGCACCCTAGCAATTTTAATAATTACAGAATATTCCAGGTTATAACTTAGGATAATAATATCCGTGGTTATTTTAATATTATCTGTTAATTTTTTAGATCTCTTAATAGCCCTGTTTAGCCGCAGTAAAAT